ATTAAGGGTCGATTTTATCCAGGTTTTCGGAAGGATTTCGCGTCTACTATTTCATTTTCCTCGTCATTGTCATGTACATCACGCCACAGTTGTTCATCATAGTCACATGTTTTTGCGTTGGGCGAGAACTCCTGAAAAAAATCCCGGCACAGGTAAATGCAGACAACCGAGCGGAGGTTCAGCAGCAAGGGCGAACAAAGGTGATTTATTTCTGGAGAAATTCCATATGCTTGTTTTTAGTGAGGAATTTCTGGTTTATTGGGTCAATTAAAAAGACCCAATTTTCACATAATTAAGCTGATTAAGTAACTGAGACGAGAGGGAGCAGATTTGAATATTTAATACGCGGAATGTTACGTTGTTATAATATGTGTATCCAATTAGATGGCGAGGATGGAGTTTGTTGTGGCTTTGTCGTTCCTGCTTTCCTGGACCCCTTTCTTCCTCATCACGGCACCCACACAGGTCCTGATGCCAAACTTTCTCAAGCGGAGTCATTACTTTGTCACCATGGTGCTCATCTATCTCCTGGCTTTCTCCCACTCGTGCTTCAACCCCTTCATCACCTTCGCAATGAGTGCGAGGATAAGAAAGGTAGCGTTAAGTGTCCCTATTATATATGTCGTCTATAAATACGTGCATGGTTGGTGCTTCGTATATTTAGGTACATATGTACATATGTTCAAATGCATATGCAATTTCTTCGATTATGGATTCGAGTATGGATTTTTTAATTTTGTAAATCATTTATCCTGTATATGTCACCAGCACAAAAATGGTTTCGAAAATTATTTGAGAAAATTCATTTTTCCGCTTCAGGTCGGCTGATACCATAAACAAACTTCCACGCTGTTTTCGTTACAAAGATGCATGAGCAGAAATTTTGATATCCTTTGTAACCTAAATATTTATCTAAAGCTGTATCCATAGTCTGTGATTTGTTCATGATTTCGTCATGATTTCATGGTTTCTCGCATCCATACTCCATAACTTTCCAAAAATTATTTTATTCCGATTTTCTGATTGGTCGATATTTTAATTGTTATGGTGATTAACATACTGAAATCATGAACCCGTGAAAGCATCACCAAATCACGAACAAATCACGGACTATGGATGCAGCTAAAGATAAGTACGTATATATGTATTTCCATATATATGGAAAGCGTCACGTTGCTTAAGTTGAAAACAGTTATCTAGATAAATAATTAGATATAGTTTCGACACGTATGTACATATGCAATGCATATGTATATCTTTATGACATGACCATTTTTTTCACCATGACCCATTGGTTCAGGGCTCTATAACCATCATCCGTACAATATTTTGCTGCAAGCATGGAAATTTATCCAGGACGGAAAGCATCCTCCTGCCCGAAATTCAACCAAACAATATCACCAACGGAACAAGTCCCCAGACGACCCAAGCCCTGTAGGTTATTCTGAAGGGGCCAAGGTTTTAAATACATATATGACAATTTGTTACGGTGAAAATATAACGGAACTAAATAAGTTTATGACGGGACAACAACATATTTAATGTGAAAATATTCAAAATTGTATAAATTATAAATATTCTTAAGTAATTACAGTAAAGTATTTTTTATAACTATGTTATTAATTTACATCGCACCGGGTTTGACTTCAATATTTCCACATTTCGCCCACTCGCCCGGTTTACAAATACTCAGGAGGAGAACTTATGTATGTACGACCTTTTCCAGGACAGATTTTGATCCACTTTGGATATGTAGCTAAGTAATATGTGGGTGTAGGAAAAGTGAAGAGGGTTAAGGCCCCCTAACGCCCACCACACCCATTTCAAGGGGCAAATAAAAAAGAAGGGAAAAGCCATATTTTTCCTCGTTACAACCTTCGCCAAAAATTCGATTTTATCGGATTTTGAAAGCCCTTGTACCATAGTAGTGGTAAAGAGTTATTTTATAATATCAACACAAATTCAACTTTTTTGGATAAAAGTTGTCGTGTAGAATCTCGTGTATATAGAGGTAAAAGCTACATTTTTATTATATTTTTAAGAACCACCTGATACGCTACTCAAACTTGAATTTGGTAATATGCTCATATGTACAAATACATACATACATATTAACCAAAATCAAACCTGTCTAGGATAAGACAAACCGAAATTCGATTTTCTGATATTTCTAGTTGTAAATTGAACAAATATCTATTGTTATTACAGATATACATGTATGACACTGTTGAAAACTAATAGGTATAAATATAAACGTTAAAATTAACCATGCTTTTGTCAATAAACTTATTTGGCAATTTCGACGAACTCGACCTTTTGACCTGTCCATAGTGAGAGAAAGCACGCATGCAAAGCCTAAATGCTTGACATTGAAGTGTAATGCCCTTTGGCTGCGATCACGAAATCGTTTTACACGTGATTGAGAGCAAGCTTTATTGGTAATTAGTATTAGCAGAGAAAATACGAAAACCTTTGATGCTGAAATGAAAACATGAACAAATACACAAGTTACATTGACATTCACCACCTTTGTGATGTGGTTGAGGAGGAAGGCCAATGAAGGTGTCAACATGGAGAAATTAGGAATTCTAAGTAATTGTATGTAGGTGTAACTACCAGAACGCGAACCAACATGTTGAAAGTTCGCACTAATTGTAAATGAAATGTATGTATCAAAACAAGCGATTGAACTTTCTCGATTCATGTAAGCCATATAACTCCAACGGATCACAATATTTCGTCATATCGGCTTTTGGTAATTGATTACTCATTGTACTCGTACTAGTAGTGGTAGGCATTTATTTGCCACAAATTCATTAGTTTGCTTCCTCAGGTGTTGAAAACTCATTGTTGTTTCGCTCAAAGTTCGTAGTCAAAGATATGTACTTGTTATCAGAAATAGTTTTGTTGATCCTAAATACTACGTAATTATAAGTCTCAATTTAATTATCCGATGTGTGGACCTTGTCAACACTAAATTTGTCTTTATTGATAAATACGTACATGCATGACACCATATTTAACAGGTGGATGCATAAAGGGTTTCTGTTGTGTTATTAGACACAACACGTCTAGCTTTTTGTAAAGACTTGCGACGTTACAGCCGGGTAAACAAGTTGCTCGACCAAACCTTTCCCAGATTGATTGTGTTTCACGAAAGGTACAGCATTAAGGATGCTGAAAATGTAAACCCTAGAACGGTCTACTTCTGGGCTGGCTCCTGTCCTAGCAAAAAAAATGTACAGGACATGTACAAACCCAAAGCTCATGGAATTTTTTTCAAAAGTATCCGACATGGATAGCATGACGCTCCAACTTGTCATCAAACTCGGCTCAGGCTTTTGAGGTACAGGTCAACATGTTAAAAAAGGGGTGTACGGCAGGGGAAAAATTATAAATTTTGTGTTACGTATTGTTTGAACGTTCACTAAGGATTCCTAAGAATTGAGAACAAGTGCAGTTACGATGCCTGAAAAAAACTTTGTAGACAAGACGGAGGAAATGTGAGGTGGTCTGATTTTTAGCCTTAATGGTGGATATCTATGAAAGGAGAGGTTTAGAAAGTTGGGAGTTGACAGTTAATGTTATACAATTTACATGTTGCAGAGTTTCTTCAATATAAATATGCATCGCTAAACGTGTCAAAAAGTATATATGTAGACTTAAATACAACCTGGGGACGCAATGACCTTGGTAAATCTGTGAGTGTGACTTCTTAATAAAACAACAAATACTACTTTTTATAAAAGAAACCCAAAAAAGGAAAGCTTAGATGAGGCTAAGAAGTGCGATAAAAGTATTTAATAAATTTCTTCTCCAGTTAAGGATATAGAATTTTAATATTTCCAGCATCAGTGCCCCATTTCACTACCATGCACATGCAAATATGCATCAAATCTAAAAAATTATGAATGCTTGCAAATATACAGAAAGCTGATAAATTAAATATACAGGTCTGACCTAATAGAGTCGACTCTTAGTAATATGTATACATAAACATGTTGCTTATGTAATTTAGTCAGCTTAAATTGAAATGGGGCGCTGATGCCGGAAATATTAAAATTCTATATCCTTAACTGGAGAAGAAATTTATTAAATACTTTTATCGCACTTCTTAGCCTCATCTAAGCTTTCCTTTTTGGGTTTCTTTTATTTATTAGTTTTTATTTGTATTGAAAAGTAAGGTCAAAGGTCCCATGAACTCCCAAAAATGTCCCAAAAATCCGACTGGGTACATTTCCGAGAACTTTTTCCCAAACAACGATGAAATTCAGAGACTTCATCATTCATCATTTTTCAAGAGACCCAAGCGTAGTCTAGATACTAAATTTCAAGCAATCGTGTTCTGAATTGAAAAGTTGGTGGGCCGACCTTAGCAACTCACCTTTGGGCGGTGGTGGGAGCGGTCACATTTCACCACCATCAAAACTTTCTCAGTTTTAAACCGATTTGGAAAATTTTAATTTTGTATTTTTATAGAAAAAATGTATCAGCTTTTTTATCCGTGTACTTTTTTCATACATGCCTTAAATTTTTTCAAATCTCCAAAAAACACACTATTGGTTGGGTTTCTATTGAATATCTCATAAACCGTTGGATGCTTTAGGCGGCCAAATCAGGGCTCTACTCAATGTAGCCATAATTAACTCTGGGCAAAATTTCATTAAAATCGGTTGGAAATCGACGGAGATCTGAAAAAATTAAGCTTTTCAGACCTGTAGTGAATGCTTACTTAGATGATTTTTTTCGATATAGTAACTATGGCCGCATCTAAGAAAAAGACCAGTGGCCTCTGGCAGTACTCAACTTTAATTTACGTTGAACTTTAGCAAAGGTTGAATCGTCACTGAAAAAGGTATAATTCACTTAGCACATAAATGAATATTTTATGGGCATCCCCATCCCAAAGGCATGCTGAAGATGGTAACACAATACAATATGTAAAATTTCAGAACCTAGTCGCTTGGACAAATGTGCATGTGCATACAACCATACGTTGGTCTGGACTTCACAAATCTTAATTATTTATTAATCGTTAATTCAGAACAAATATTTATCTGCTATTTCCAATATTAAAGTGAACTCCTTAAAACTATATTATCTATATGTTGAAATTTGTAAGTGAAGTACATAAATACTTATAAATAAATGTTTCACTGCAATATATTCAAGATTTGCATACGAGTTACTCAGTTTTGCAAGATACACTGTTTTGATTACATTCTGTTCACGTGCAGTGTGTTTTAATCTTTGAGTTACGTGGAAGTAATGTGAAAGTTCGAATTTTGCATCTTGCTGCACAGCGAATTGCAATTTTTTCTTCTATTGCATATGTCTCAGATTTTATTATTTTCTATTGATATCCACACAAAGGAAAGTTAACAAGCTCACAAAAGTACGGCTTCTCCAATATCTGTATACGTACCTAAGTATGTATTTCCGTCGAACTTCTGTTGTATTTCTGTCGTAAGGTCAATGTATGAACTCATACAAGTCGCGAGTTTTAATCAAGACCAATTTTACTTTGTGAGTACTTTTCTTTGTAACGAATGAAAATTTGACTTAGATTAGACGAGAAAGATCTTACAGATACTACAATAATTTGATGATACATAAAGCAAATAACGGCAGACTTGTCATTTAATTTTGTAGCCTATACATATGATGTACAGCTTAATATAACCCATACATACGTACATTTGTAACATACGTGTACGTATGTTATTCACACAAAAAACTCAAAATTCATACAAAATTCATATATACGTACGTAAAGTATACATACATTTATATATAAATATGTATACATGACATGCAAATAAGATATTTGATTTTTTTGATATTTCATCATGAAGGAGACAGAAACCATAGTTCAGCGTCGTTCATTTGTCCGTTTAAAGGGGAAAAAATTAGCTGTCCGTTGTTGACAAGTTGTCAAGAAAAAACTGTCCAAGTTGTATCGTTGTTGAGACAAATCTATGTTGTAGGTTGGCCATGTTTTCTGTTATCCAAGTTGTCCGGACAACGGACCAAATTCGACAGAACCCTTAAGCTTTTTCAGCAAAAAGTACAATTTTACACTGTCCTCCAAAAATTTCTCGCTGACCTCTCGGAATTTGCAATTCTTCGGGAAGTAAGTAAAAATGGCGAAGTTGGAAGACTTGCCAATCTCGTGACAGTCCTTCCATTGCGGAGGATTGATAACTGGATATTTTCTGGTGGGCGGGCATACTTATGGGAACAATTGTAGAAAGAGTGAATGAGGTGGAGAAATCCCTGAAAAAGCGAAAAATATTAATGAACAGTAAAAACTTTACAAATTGTGGTGTGTGTATTTTGTCCTTGAATTACCTTCCGAAACCTGGCACTCATTGCAAAATATATGAAAGGGTTGACGCAAGAATGGGCGAAGGCGAGTAAATTAATGAGAAGCATGGTGAAAAAATACTGGCCAAAGTGGAGAAAGTTCTCAGTCTGAATTTGACTCACTGCTGTTACGATGAAGTATGGGCTCCAGCAAACGATAAAAGAAAAAACCACGACAAGGACCATTTTCGCTACCTGATCAAGCGTCATAAAAATATTAATATTACGCATATTTTTTGCCATTAAGAAGTAATATAATTGTGGCCTCATATATTTACATATTTAATTGCAATAATTATGTTGATTGGTCACCTTTCTCCTCCCAAGTTCGAAGGTGACTCCTCCAGCTTCCGAGGGAAGTTTCTTTAATAACTCGGACGCTATGCGAAAACATGTCACGGCGATAAGCCCAAGAGGAATTAGGTACACAAGGACGAAAAGCGTCATAAAATAGTAGAATCTAAAAGCGTCGGAAAACCTGAAAGAAAACAGGAAATGAATACATAAGATTGTATCGTTAGTGGGGCAAGTTAATGGATCAAATAATTAGACCAGTTGTATAACAAGTCCCTGGACATGATCTAAAGATAAGTGTGCACGCTGCTTATCGTAATTACATTAGTAGGTACTCAATTCCCTGTCATAATGAGGTTTTTGAAGTTCACTCATCCGTAGAGAATATTTTTTGGTCGACGTAACATAATATTTCCCCAAATTTTCTGGGTCAGTGGAAAACTTGTAATAAATCGGAGTACTTTATACGCCTACTGATTCCATGAATTACTTGATTAGATGGTGATTGAAGTTTTTTAATTCGAGAATGCGTAAGACTTGGAACTCATGCTCATCTCATACATACTTATCCACGATGAGTGTGTCATTTGCCATAAAACGTGACATGTAACTACTAACCAGGATGTTGAACTACGTAAGAATTTTATGACTTTCTTGAATAAGTACGTGGAAACCTTAGCTAAAAAGGGCTACGTATACCCTGGTGCCGTAAATTTAGTTAGTGAGCGTACACCAGTGTGCACTTTCGCTTTCACCTACAGATTACTTAATCCTCAAGATTCTTAGACTCGCTTGCTGTGCTGATTTCCTTTTGTGCAATGTCAGAGTGCTAGAGTGCAAAACGACATAAAAAGTGCATAAAGGCGAATGTATATATGCATGGGCATGAAATTGCCTGAATTAGGTTTCCATGTCTGGTCCTGATTGACAGAGCCGATTGGATCGGAGCAAAGTGTCATTTTGTAAGAAAGGTATTATTTCTGCGAAATCCCAAGAAACCAGCCGGATGCTCTGCCAAACTTTCCCTCTCCTCCACTTGGTCATAACAGTAAACAGTTAATTCAAGGATACATACCCGATGCCTTGTTGTTTTTGAATTTAGTTTCGTCAGCGTCTTCAAATATTAGATTCTAAGAATTTTGTATATTTGCGCTTAAGTTCTTCTATATAAATAAACAGTAGTAAGGAAGTCTACTCGACGAAACTGCATCCTTTCTCTTGTAATTCGAGTATAATGCAAGGTTTCAACACTACCACTCCTATAATAATTATATGATTAATAATTATAACGATGATGAAATGTGATGGGAATGAGATACCATGAACAAATAAATAGTGGAAACCATGTGCTAGGTCACACGGCGTTAATAATAAGACGAGTCTGCCCAATTATAATTACATTACATATGAACTTCTCTTTTAATGGGGTTAGTGCTGGACTGTTTCGTTAGAATTACTCGTGGAGTATTTTATTACCACTGTCGAGGTCAACTATGTATGTACATTTGTCGTTAGTTTTTATGACACGTGGAAATGGATTTTATTTCATCGTCTCAATGTTTAATCTACTCCCAAATTCAATTAGTCGACCTTGAGACATTTTTTTACGGGTGCAACACAAAACTAAAGTTCACTTGCAACATACTAAAGTTTGCTGTCGAACATAAAACAGTGCCCATTGCATATCTGGAACTTTAAGCTTTAAGTACTTTGGCAGAGAAAGTTCAAGCCATTAATCTGGTTATGCAACATTCTCGCTTCAATTTAGAGACCAATATCAGATCAAAGAGGCCAGATTACGTATTTGCTGAGATAACATATTTATCAACATTGAGCTAACGGGGTGAAAGCAATTATAAATTTTGGGCTCCCATCCCAAAATGGAATACACCGATTAGTCACGCTTCACAAATTTAATTGCCGATTTTGATGAGTCTGTTCTTTTAGGCTGATAAGGCATTAAGGAAGCTAATATCTGTGTGTATCCATTCGGTATAAAATTACAAACGAAACAACGAAACGTGCAACAGGGTAGAGAGAAAATGCCCACCCGTCAAAGCAGGTTACTCTGGTGAATTCTCCAAACCTGGAGAAAAGGGAATTTGACACTGACTTGGCTGGATGGAGATTTGGTGCAGCCAGGAGACACGGGATGACCCATACAGCCACCAGCATCCTCCGAATTCGGAGTTTGGTCATGTTTATCCGAGATAAAACCGGGTTGACGATGGCATTGTACCTGTACAGGAATGAATCATGATTGCATAAAATTAGCAGTTCTGTAATATGTACGCAGTTAATCTGTATAGTTGTGTAATTTGCAATTTGCATACCTCTCAAAACAAATTGCTACCAGAGTGAAAACGCTCGTAAACACGACGACAGCCTCCACGAAGCGCACGGTTGTGCAGGCAAAGTCGGTCATCATGTTTATCTCGGCATCAGCAGCTAATTCAAATAACTGCAAAGTGTGACACTTCAATTGTTAGTTTCCAACATTTGTTTTCGTGCAATTTTTCTAAGAAATTTTCGCATGAAGGGCATAATCGATCTCATCTATCTATTCGCATCATAGATAAATTCAGTACAAGAAGGAAATGGATGGAAAAATATGATTTTGTTTTCGTAAAAGAAAACGGAAAGGTCAAAAATAACAATGCGAACTACCCATGCAAGATGCAGAGGAGGAGAAGGGTTAGAAAATCAATAGGAAAACGGATTTCTGCACGAGCAAACATGTACAATCGAATTGGTGATGAATTCGCTTACTTTTATTGGAAGGACGACAGCTCCGACGAGGAAGTCGCAAATTGACAAGTTAACAATGTAGCAGTTTACCGGAGACTGCATTGATTTGTTCCAGTACACGGTGAGACAGACCAGGAAATTCCCAACCATTCCAATCGCACACTCGGCGATAAACAAGAAAATAAATATTCCACGGATGATTTGGTTCTGTAAAAGTGTGTAAAAATGGAGATGCTTTATCATAGAATGAAAGTACGTAGAGAGTAATTTAAATAAAAATGTTTAGACTTTTTATGTATTGAAATACGTACCTGACTAAAATCTGGATATTCGACTGGGTTGTCTTGATTTGTTGTATCATTGTGCGTATTAATTAGTGACTCGTAGGTCTTATAAAGTTGAATATAACTTTCTTCGTCACTTATATTTGGCATGATTTGGTGCAAGTAGAGAATAAATTCGTCCAAGGGATCTTTCTCTTGTTGCATCCATTCCGTTGGGTGTCTCGACATTGTAAATGTGTTCATAGTTGTGTCAACTTTCATGAAAACTGATTCTTACAAAGATTTAAAATGCGAGGGCAATGAATCCCGATAAATCTTCTATTCTCCGTAAATTTATTGACGATTATAGAGTTTGGAGAAAGTTTATGTATGTATTCTCAGAAATTTGCATGCGTGCAAGTGGCCACAAAGATTTTTGCTCAAAGTGGTTTTCAGAGGTGAAGGTAGAGTGTTGCTGGGTTATGAATTTTTTTGTGAAGTGAATAAAAATACCAGTGTTGACATGTGATTACATAATATGACAATTTTGGTTATAAAAGTATACAACGTGAACGCAACAGTTGCACAAATCGGAGCAGAACCTGACAACTTGTACAAAACCGTCACTCCAGTTCCTTTGTGGCTTATACTGCACGTGGTGTAAGATTTCAGCGTTAGCTAGTTATAAAAGTCAAATAATATCAACTCAACGGAAAATATTATTTAACATTTAATATGCACATAATCTTAATTTTAATCGATGGTAAAAGCGATACAGTTTTTGTCCTTTAACAAAATTCATGAATACTTAAGATGATCAATAAAAAATTCCGAACAGATTACTGAGTTGTCGCCATAGTTTGACTGCAAGGAGGGTGAGAGATGTGACCACGTCGATCTGTGTATGAAGAGATCCTTACTTGACCAGCGTTGGGAGGAAACTGAGACTTCACTTGGAGAAAGTTGGAGTTTCACGTCTTTCAATCTCACAGGAGAAAAGAACCTCAATTTGTATCCTCCAAAAAGAACTTCGAGTTGGGCATCTACCACTTGTGGGGTCACAAAATTGTAATATTTTGAATTTGTCCCTTCCTTAATGCTATTGCGAATCGCAGAATGTGGTGAAAATAACTTTTAGATGCCCTAGCAATGACATAATCAAAGCTAATCTTGAGTAACAATTATGCTTTCCTCAGCTGCATTGAATAAATAAGTTAGTCATTTTGAATTGCTGAAGTTATTGAAAAGTCAAGATTGTGAAATTACATAACACGAAGTTTCGCCACTTTCCCTTTATATGTATGTATGCATGCGTTTATGTATGTGGAAGGGAGTACAGCTACGAGTTATGTAATTTCTAAATCTTCCCTAAGGTGGAATGCATATGTATGTATATCGTAATATGTACCTTAAGTGTATAAATAATAAAAAAAACTTCAAATTAACGTACATAGTTGCAGATGGGATGGTGATTTGACTAATAATTAATGTGCTACTGATGATTAAATAAGTTGAAATCCCAAGTGCTTCAAGAATCTGATGAACCTATTCTGGGACTACATACATATAGACATGCAGCATTTTTATTTCCACTTACACAAGAATAAAGTAAATAAGTATGTCGTTATAACAATAGGTGTTCAATCACGCTACATGATTTGAAACATGCTTGGTGCGAAGTGAGTTTGGCGTTTATATAATTTTATGTTTCATCCTTGAAAACTTGGTATTGAAACATTGGAGGAAATACCTTGGTGCACTAGTTAATGTAAATAATTTCCATAAAACGCCCACATTAAAATTTTATTTTTAGTTCTCTTACACACGTACCCACATGAAAAGCATGTTTCATTTTGTTCTTTGCAATTACCAAATATGAAAACTTGAAGGGAAAATCGACGAAACAAAATTTTATCCTCATTAGAACTTTTTAAGGAATGGTCAAATCGAGAATTTCTCCGTCAGCAGATTGCATCATGACCGTAATTAACTTTTTCATTGGCAATATTTTTTCACATATGTACATACCCCCCGCGCGGCAGGGAGTGGGAAACTTTGTGAACAATGTGGTAAATTTGTGTGGGTGTACAATATTCCTCATCTTGTTAGCCTTCAAAAAGATTCAATAAGTTTGTTTTTCAATTTCTAAAGTAGAACGTTACAGTCCCTGCTTGTACCGTAATATTATGAATCTGGGTTCATATTACAAGACAAATAGTTTTAGAAATCCAAATGCACATTGTTCATTACAGATATTGTATGTATACATATGCACATTGGCATACAAATTCTTACCATGAAATTATATGTGCGTATATGTCCATACATTCATTAATTGGAATTTACGGACCTTGTAAATATGCATGTATCAAGATAAGCGTCCCAATATTGGGGGCATCAAGTAAATATGTACATATGTTTTTTTATGTGTAGTTTAATTATCAATGGATTTAAGTATCGGTATCCTTAGATGAAACTAAGTATGCTTCAGTCGCAGGAACTATACAATTGAAGGAAGAAAGCTTAATAACTTAACGGCCATTAAATATGTACTTATGCAAATCACAATATTTTCATAGAGTGGGAGTTGCGAGGCACGCTCCTGGTTAGAACTTAGGATTATTCACGGTCATCGCCCCGTGACATTGTGGCAAGTGACAACGTTTCTACATATGCTTCCGCTTGTTCATGCTGCTAAATGAAATATTGGTTGACCACAATCCGAAATATGTATTTCCGACCGAAACGTGTCACAAAGGTTGTGCTGGTTGATCTGCAGGAAGGAAGAATTGACAAGCACTTAATCTCTGCAAACTTACATCGCAACCTTAGTAACCAACTCGAGTGAAAGTGTGATGATCATGCCACGATGTGAAACAAGTTCAACCCTGGCTTGTTTGTTCAGCTCTTGAAATTTACACGAATAAATGCCAAAAACGTAAACTCGGTTTGATTCTGTAAATATGATTGGAAACAGCATTTCGTAAATCTTTGTCAAAAGAATTGAGTATTTTATTACAATGCACACTTTCTCCGAGGGCAGTATGAAGGTGGAAATCGTTCATTGCAGGTCTTCCTTCCTTAAAATGAATTGTTCAACAAATTTTACAATAAATTTTCTAGATTTTGTTCGAAATTCTAACAATTTTAATACTTCTAGCACACGCAACTTTAGAATCTGGTCGTTAATGTATAGCGATCTCATTGCAATGACAGTGCTGGGTTTTGTTCTCATAATTAGCGAGATTTGCATTGTTCTCCGGGTCATACCGTTATTCCGACGTTACGGAATAAGGTATAGTAATCGTACACATTTGTCTTTCTGGTTTGTTATGCAAATGTGTATTTCGTCTCTTGTATGATTTTAGGAAGTTAATTTCAGCCCCAACATTCCTTAACTTGCACTTGTCCCTGATTTTGGCCGTGATAACGCCAGCATTTAGAGTTTTCCGCCAATTCAATATTTTCCCGTGTAGTGCTCCGTTTGGATGTGGGATTTGTGGAGTCATATCAAGTAAGGTGTCTTATCAGGAGGAGGGGAAATTAGAGTCCGATAATCGGGCTCATGATGCAACGCACTACAATAGATTAATATTTGCATGCAACCATAATTTCAGGGACCCTCCTGTCCACATATCCGTTTACCATGACTTCAATTTTCTACGAATTGACAAAACCAGGGCGAAGAAAGAAAGGAGGATGGATTCTTTTATTCTTTGCACCTTGGACTGCAGCATTTTCACTGTCAATTCCAGTATATTGGACATATTCATATATTGAAGGGTCAAATGAGCATGGAAATCAGACTACAGTATGTGCAAGGGTATGTAACGTTAATTATCTATTTGTGTTTTGCTTAAATTTTGCAGGTAACAATTTTTATTGTTTAGGCTTTGTTCATGGGTTCGCGTATCGCTTATCTCGGATATGAGTGTACTTCAGTGTTCTTCAGATACGTTGTCCCCTCAGCCTACATGTTTTACGGTTTGTAACAAAAATATTAACGGCAATTTTAAAAAATAATACATTCTTTTAACCTTTGACTACAGTTCTGCATATGGTTGGATTTCGATTAAAGTTTCTCTTCGTATGTCAGGTACAGTAATTAATGGCATTTAAATGAGTAAGCCCATGTAGATAGATAAAATACTCATAAAGAAAATATCATTTTATTAAATTTCTATAGAGAATTCCTGACCACATCCCAAGAAACAAGATCCGTCATGTCAGGTTCGTCTTTTTTCACATGGTGTATTACCTACTGACATGGACGCCGATGGGGGTTTATAACTTGGTCGCCGTATTTGGTGCGAGACTACCAACGATAAGTTGTCCCATTCCGCTCATACCGGGAAAACCTGAGTGGCTGGGTTTTAACGTGTTGTTTCTATTTCAAATTGTTTTCCAACCGTTTCTATACTTTTGTACGGTTTACGACGTACCGTTTTACGATTACATTCAGGGCGTAAGAAATGGGCTTGTTCGTATTGTATAAATAGTGTAAATGTGTTGCATAAATGGGTTGTAATTGAAATTATGATTTTTACAAACTCTAATCAGCATTTAATTACTCTTTTTCTTTTTGAAGACACCTACGTATATTATTTATTCAGAAATTTGATTACACGTATCATTAAATTATACATATATCATGTACATACATAGCCAGCACTCGTACAAAGTAGTTACACAATTCTCTCTTACACAAGTTGTTGTCACACTTGAGATAAATATAAAATACTAATTCTAAGAAAATTAAGATAATTTTACTCACAATCTAGTCGCAAACGTCGCATATCCCGTGCGACTTTTTTAAACTTCATGAACTTTCTTGGAAGTTTGGTTTGCGACATGAATCTATAGCACCGTCAACCGTATAGATTCATGGTTTACGAAACTCTACTCAAACCCATGTTCTTATTTCACAAAAGAGTTTCCATACTGTTTGCCATGTAGTGTTTGCATATCCAAGAAAGGTGATGAAGATATAAATATTTCGACGCTTGAGACGTGAAAGGTTCATTCACGATTTGTTTATTCGCAAAACGTGGAAGGTTTGCTTGGATGAGATTTTGAAATCCGTCCCCATTATGCGTATCATAGCATTCAATAATTTTACTTTGTATATGGTCTATTTACAAGGGAGAACAAGGTGAAAGTTTACAGCTTTTGGTAAATTGACAAAATGTAATATATAATCAAACATCAGCCCCCATTAATTAGTTGACATACATAGCTGATATTTAGTTCGTTGTTAATAAGCAATTAATAAGTAGTAAGAAAGGTAATGATTGCATAAGTGGCACAGGCTCCGTTATTAAAGATCGAAGCTGCTGCTATAGATCAGTTTTATACGATTATGCAAAAATTAAACTAAACCTCTTACAGTCTCAGTTTTTTTGACACTTTATTTAATACGTGCATATGGTAAATATACACATGTACAGTACATATGTATATTATGAACTACTAGAGACGCCCGTCATTCGACGGGACCTGGTAACTCTTAATCGGTACGGCTTAAAGGGCAGCTCAAAACCAGCTAGTGACTAGTGACATAAAAAAAACTTATGCTACGACATCAAGATAGGTATACAAACAAGTAGCCAGTTATCTACAAGCCTTTGGTTGCTTGTGGATTTGTCCGACCCCGATTTAAATTATTAAGTTAAGTATGGATGCCAACAATTTGTATAAACTAACACTATGTCTGTAGTACATATATACATACTACAGATAACTGCATGTATGTATTTATATATTTATAGTGTTAGGCAGTAGTTTGATAAAACATATGTATGCATGCAAAAGATGAAAACTCCTAAAAATGAATGTGGTATTTAGAGAACAATATATTTAGTTTGTTTATCAAGGTTTATTTGTTTCGTCCTTCTGATCGGTTATACATAAATTCATATTTTTCTTAATTGTTTACCGAAAAAAATAATAAATAACATAAAACATTAAAACGTAGCATGGAATTGTTAATTACTTCAACCTACTTATGTATGAGTGCAACATACTTGATTTTGTTTCTAACAAATGGCAGGATTGTCCAATTCTAGTGTGTTGAGGAAATCTTCAAATGACGAAGCTGTTTCGGAATTTTGTGGAATAAGCTGATCCGTGGAGAGTTGTCCCTCGTTAAGGAGTAAACCAGCAAAGTTTCGCTGTGAAAGAAATACAATAGATTATAAGAATATTTTCAAACTTGTAAGTAGTTATTAAGAATTTGTAATTTGAAATAGTTAAGATCATCACCTTTTCTCCCCTTCGAGGCGCTTGACTACCAACAGCCTTTGTCATGGTCTCCATTCTGGCGATTAACTGCTTTTGAATCAAGGCTTGTTGTTCTATCTGAAGCTGTTGTGCATGGACTAATTTCACCAAGTCTAACAGTCCATTATCGTCCTGATTTTTTGGAATTGGTGGTGTGCTAGGGATTGATCCTGCCGTAGGTCTGGCTGGAACGAGAACAAATACTTTTGCAGGTGGGCCACCGTCATCGAGGCGCCTTAATTTAGTGGGAGTGGATTCCACAAGATTGCCCATTGCTGATGCAGCAACGACTTCGGGAACTTGTTGAGAAAATACTTCCCTCTCCAAATAATCACCAATCACTTGAGTTTGAGTAGGTACTGGTGGATTGGTGGAACACAAAATTGGCTGGGTTGAGAGGGCAGGACTTGGTTGACCTAGTAGTTTGACTTGTTCTGGCTCAGTCGCCTTGGGTTGGACAATGTCAAATTGTTGTAACTCTTCTTCATCATCCAAAAATGAATACGACATGTCATCAGCATCCAAAGAGGCGAGCAAGTCGTCGAGTAACGGAATTTCTAATGAGACACATTCGTCTCCAGCCATGGGGGCAAGATGGGTGAGATCTTCGGGTTCTTCCAGAGTCGGGATGAGGGTGTCGTCAACCTCCATAAGATACCCGGTGTCCATGTCTTTAGTTCTTGCAGTAAAGATTTTTGCTGTGGAGCAAATTCCCTTGTTGAGGAGAGGACCAACGAGTAGGTCGGAAATGAAGTTATCCTCTTCATCCTCGGAAGTCAGGATTGGTTTTAATTGATTGGTGGCGTTATTTTCCGTCTTTATGACATCTCCAATTTGCACTTCTGATAAAATCTGATCTTGTTCCTCCCTCCCGGATGTGATGGAGTGGATACAAACGACTGAAGAGGGTCGCCCTTTGCTGCTGGAACTTCGGATTACAGTGGCTTGTGTAACTACCCAAACCCAGCCACCCCCCTTTGTGAGAAACCGATACCGGTCAGTCTGGTTCTGTTCTTTGTCATACACTGTAAAACAAATACAATAAAAATAAAAATTTTCGTCTTTTTTTGGCACCTTTCACAAAAAATGTAAACTTACAAGACTTGAACGCTTTCCCAATCTGTGTCCCATCTAATGCATGATTAAACTCAAACAGTGACCGCCCAACCATTTCCTCTGGGGTGTATCCAAGCAATTCCAAGACGGCGTCATCCACATAAGAGAATTTCATATCGAGAGTATGCTTAGTGACGAAGGTGTCCTTCTCAAGAGGAATGTCGGTATGGGATGGATGTGGGAGTGGTTGGCAGGTTGAAATGAACCATTTATTGCTACTCTTGGTTCCATCCTCCTCGATCATGTGACCAGTACAGTTGATCTCCTTAAAGTTTTCCGCCCTGGATGAGACGTTCCTGCCCATGGATGCTGCCGTGCATTTCATCCTGAACAGGACAGATTTAGTCTCCTCATCACTTCCCGTGGCGTGACTAACTTTCAACAAACTGCGGATATCGGTGTGGTCGTATTGGTGACTATAGTCGAAGATGGATTGACCCATGATTTCATGCTGTGGAGAAACGAAAATGTAAATTTTAGTAACAATGTAAAATCGAAGCAATTAAATACTAAGAATTTTTATTTCAAGCAGTTATATTAATTACCTGTTGAATTCCAAGCTGGGAAGTGATCCCTTTCGAAGCATAAACGACGTCCCCGTCTTCTCGAAGTACGAGGATGAAACCTCCCAAAGTGAGATCTATTTGAGTTTCAATGTCTGCACGCATGAAGTTTGGAAATTTTTCGGCACTCTCAATAGCAGGACTGGCACAAAATCCTAATGTTGATAAATATATGCATTATAAATAAATCTTATTCTCTCCCAGACATTAATTATTCTGTATCTTACCTCCATCGGAGTTCATCATCTTTCTGAGGTGAAGGTCACACAGGGTAAGGCGAAGGATTGAGGCCTTATCCAGGGTAGACTTTGTTTCCTCCACCATTGGCAGGGTGGCCGAGAGGTCACTAAATAGGTTACATTCCCTCCCACGACGACACCTCGCCGCCACCATAGACCGCTCGCGACGCTTTTCAGCATTCTTCAAGCTAAAATGTGAATAAAAGTATATTAAAAGTTAGTAAATTTCTCCACATACGTGAATATTATACATATGCATTTCATAGATACTTTACATGAAAATTACTCAATTCCTTACCTTTTCACTTTCTTTGCGATCGAATTCACGTCCATCTTAGCTCTTTTCGCTTTATGCATTTAATGCGTAACAAGGAAGTTGTGATAATTAATAGTAGCAACTTATATGACTTTGATAACGTCCACTTTGGGCTTCTTTACCCAATTAATATTTCAAAATGCAAGAATTATTATAGTTTTCTCGTCTTCTTCTCTTAAGATTTGCACTTTTGCTATCCTTATGGCAATGCTCTTCTATCATGCCGAAGTAAAACTGAACTGATGAAACTTTCACAAGGTTATGCAGTAGGAAGCAGCTTTGCACGTAGACAAAAATCTGGAGAGTTCTCGTGATGTTCTTCTCTGAAGTAAGTTGAGCGTTGAATGAGGCCAGTCTGCCAGAGACCGTTGAAGCCATGCAGCACTTCTTGTTTACAAAAACGCAATGTTGTTTTGAATCAAATGTGACGTAGTTGAGGAAAAAATAGCTTATATAACCAAAGGGGATCATTCATAGGTACTTTTTCATATAGAGGTTTCAAAATAGTAGTGCAAACATATAATTTGAAACAATTTCACGCAATATTACAGAAGCAGAAGGATGCACAAAGTTTTGCCTATCCTCCTAACCGGGTTGCATAAGAACGGAACGAGTCACGTAGACAGATCGACTTTGAACGCTATGCATTTAAGGGGGATCAAACATGAATGACGTGCATAGTAAAAGAAGTGGACAAAATTGTGGTTATTTTTTACGGAAATAAAATCCCTCGTTAAATGGATTTTTCCGTACATTCTGAGTGTATATGCCCCTCTGCAACAACAAGGAGAATAGGCCATGATCCAAAACAACACCGTCATATGAAAGTTAGGTATATGATTTGCAGATGCAGATGGAATGGTTTTGCAAAACAAGTATTATTTTGCACGTCATAGGGACTAAATTGGTCTGACAATCTACATGGCCATTGGTGTTTGTTTGGATGAACTGTGAGGTGTGTTTTTGTATGCATTTTGATTCGCTATGCAGGTTGTTGTTGTTGATTTGTTTTTATTTACTCATTATTGTTTGACCACGGATATGGTAGTGCTGCGGATTCAACCTGACTGATAAACAACACTTAACATTAAGTGTTGTGGTTTATAACTATGCATTCATTGTTATTTGAAGTAAACAACATATATTCATATGTAACTTGTTTTTCTCATAAGAGACAGTATTCTCTACATAGCAGGATGTAAAGTTTCTGCATATTCTGTTTGGCATTGTAGTCTTGCACAAATACTCTGGAGTACATAAATGTCAATTGTTATGCTTCGAACTAAATATGTTACGATACATTTATGCTTAGGATATATAATTGCATGCACATAATGCAATAATTACAAAAATGTAAATAGTTCTTACCATGCATACCATGCATGAGTTTATTGATGATCGGCATGCATAAGTAAAATGAGACCTTTTCCATGCTTTAATAAGGGTGACGTATTCTTGCCTCGATTTCACCTTTCACCCCGTTGGCCGTTACCCTTATGATATGCGTCAGAATTTATGGGTATATATTTAAGTGTTTGTGCTAAATATACTTGGAAAGTTGGACTTGGAACATTAATCTACTGTCTGGGATGAGCAAATTTGCCCAAGGTTGTCCATTTATATTTATTTCATTGATTCAGAAATCAAGGTTTATTTGAGACATTAAAATAGCAGAGCAATACATGATCGGGTATTTTAGACGGAAATATTTACTGTGATTTAACTAATTGCAGGTACTACAAAAAGCACAATTTATGTTATCAAATTTTCTGCGCGTTCCACGGAATTTGGCAAGATTCGACACAATCATGTCTAGTTTCAAAATTATTTGCATTCCCATGACATCCATAAAATGTAAAAGATTCGCACTTTTCAGACTCTTTGCTAAAATAGTACGCCTTTCTGGGTGCGTTGGCACATTGTGGGGACACTTGCTTTGGAAGGGTGCAGACATCTTGGACAAAATCGGCTAAACCTGAAATGAAATTAAATAAGTATTTATTAAAGAATGTATTACTTTATTATCAGTTTAAGCTATAAATAGTACATACCCGTACATTTTGAATTAGTAAGGTAGCATGAGACAAAAAATATAATTGCAAATCCAAATAATTTTGTTGACATTGTGAGTTATCTAAATATGATACAACTTAATTTTGTGTGAATGTATGCGACGCAAAATATTATGTATTTATAATTCTAGATTGTCTAATTGAGATCTGATTGTGTAGCGATTTTTAACAAACTGGCTACCAGTCTGATCGGATGAACTTCCTGGGTTACAATGGGCTCGTAAAGCAGGAATATATAGTTTAATCATCCTGGCTAAGTGACGCTGTATTTATGACGTGTGAGGATACAGGTTATAAAATTAACATGCCTACATGTGCATGTACATATGAAAATATGTATTGTTGAGCAAGTTCCTTGAAAGTGTGTACGTTAACTACATACAAAAATTTGAATGACTTGAAGGGCATGTTTTTTTGGGAGTTTGGCGACTAAACTGAGGGGTTACTAGCAAGTACATTTTCTCTGAATGAGTACAAGCAGAAATAATATGGAGTTCAACAAAGTTTAGTTGACATATTTTTAGATCCTGTATTTACATTAGGAGCTATATACCGGCCTGGAGCCATATACCGACAATATTCTATTGATTCTTAATTGTACATAAGTTTACATAAAGAAAGATTAAAGCCATTTTAGCTGTATGTAGCAGATAAGTAAAAAAAAGATATACAGTTTAAGGCGTTTTTATTACAAGAGTTATTGGGTGAAAACTGGAAAGAGTCTATTTGAGCAACATACTCCTGAGCACATTTGTTTGACACATGCAACTCACATGCAAGCCAATGGAACGAACCGTTTTAGAGTTGATAGAGGAGCGAGCTGATGGAATTGGGACTCACGGATCCAAAATGCTTTTTGAGAAAAAGTCTACACGGATGAGAGACTCGTCGAAAAGCTTCCCGTCTCATTCACGCCAACCAGCACACTACGTTCATGTGCATCTACGTGGTCCTATTTGGAGCTATTTGCTTCTTATGTATTCCATGATTTCCGAAAGAAGTCATTCAACAGGTGAAAGTGAGAATTTAAGTTAAATACTTGCCAATTCTGTAAATCCAAATGCGCGTAATGCAAGTCTGCATATATTTCTCGTTTCATTCTATGACAATTATGGTAAACATTAATTAGGATAAATATAAATGGCTGACACGTGGAATATAGATATCATACGTATTCACCGCAAATGGACTGCTTATTTTTCGACTTGATGAACAAAACATTCAACTCGAGACTGCAAATAATATGACATAAATAACAAGTTATCTACATACAAGTAAATAAGTATCTACATATTTATACTAATTGTAAATGAAATAATTTAGCGAATGAGATTTCAGTTATCTTATGAAGTCAACAAAATACATTAAGCTTCAGCCAATTATATTCATAAATCCTATCTTAGAGGCAGAAAGTAAGTAATATAGTACACAAAGAAGTCAGCATCTTCCTTCATCTCGTTATATGTAGATACATACAAGTACACCTAGCTGAAAGGAAACATTTTAAAAGTATTTCTATCTGTAAATTAAACTAGGTAGACAGCCTTTAATTTTCAGTAATTGGTCAAAATTACTGAAGGTTCCACTCGCTAATGAATCATTTTTCCATCTTTCCCATTCGTCCAAAGTTACATATTCGTCATCCTGACATCAATTCCGTATGAGTTAGCATGTTCGCATCGCAACATAATTTTGCAAAAAATACCACCGGAATACTAGCCTTGGAGATGCACAAGTTCGCAAATGAATTTTCCAAAATTAGTTTGCGAACTTGCGAAATTTGTTTCTTTGTAACGTTGCTAACAATGCGAACTTGTAGTGCATACTCCCCAATAAGTAAATATTAAACTTTAAATTTTTCAAGCATTAAGCAGCGTATCACAAAAAACGGGCAAACTTTCAACAACGGTGCATATTACAAATGGTACGTATCTCATTAGACCAGCGTTTCTGCGAGATCCTTTGTTGGGTCTTGTAAAATTGAAGATAAAGATTCCAACTCAAACGATGTATCATCTTTGGAACTTGATATCTTTTCCTCCCGAAGTGAAACGCAACCGTTTTCGGTGCAAACGTTGTCATCCTTAACATTATCCTCATCCATTCCTTTGTTATTCACATTTTCACCGGAATTGTAGCAGTTTGACGACAAAGTCTCAGACAAATTGCGAAATATGGTGATCGGGAGGAGCAGAACGTAACAATAAAATAGGGCGGCGAGGATGTAAAAAGAGGTCGACCTGGGGGAACATGCACATATAAAATTTGAGTACCAGTGAACAGATATGAGCCGAGGCTACTAATTTTCCATTACTTTTCAAGAGATTCGCAATCGAGCTCGGGATGGCTTAAAAATCTCTGATGGCGAGACTCGAGTGTTGTGCTTTTGTAGATTGAGATTCCAATTCCAAAAGGAATCCAGAGAAGGAAGAAGGTGATGGAGTTGACACGTATGAACCGACATTGCCGATCTCTTCTCGCCTCACAACTAACACAAACCTACAATGTATATCCGTCTTGAATTAAGGGGATATTGATTGCATTCATATTAATAATGTTTAATTAGTAGGAAAGTTTCTCCGGAAACCATGTTTGATACAATTTAATGATCATTAATTAAAAGCATGAAATATTTGTATTTGAAACGTCTGTAGAAGAATCGTGAGAGCTTACTAACTGGTAATTCATACATATGCACATAAATGTATGTATACTCCACAGGTTGAAAGTACGACTTACGTTAGGATGAGCAGCATATGTTTCCCTGACCCGACAGAGATCTGAATAAAACATATCGGAAACCCCACATATGTATTACTTGCAAGGTCAATTTTTGTAATTGAATTGTCCTGACCATAAATCATGTAGGCGGGAATAGCCACGTGGAAAATCCCGGCTCTCAAGGTCTCAAGCGTAGCGACTGAACCGAAATAATCCGTGTTTGGCATTTTCGTACACAACGAGTGAATAGTTCCATCCGGATGTGTGTGATGGACAAAGTTTGTGACGAACAAGGAAGGGATCGCACTCAGAAAGGAAAGTATCCAAATTGCTCCAATTAAGCGATTAACCTTAAATGACACATCTCCCCCGGATGCTGGATGAAGTTTCCTCACGCGTTCATAATTGATGCTGAGAACGCTGAGGGAGATGAGACCAACGCCAAGGTCTGTTGAGAATTTGATACATACTTATAGTTTAGATATCTTTCTGTAGTACAAGAAAATGTCACTTACTTCTCAGATAAGAGAAAAGCAGACAAATTGACAAATTTTGAAATATTTTGTCCAATCCGGAAATGTAAGCGGCAGCCAATGATGTTGGAAGGATGGAGGCCAGGGCCAAATTCGCAATTAAGTTATTGATTTCTCTGTAGATAATGGTTCTACTGATGAGCTGGTAGCAAAATGGATACAAACTTTGATAACAATAAAACTCTTTAATTACCTCGTTCTCCCCTTGGTTTTACAAATGACGAGAAGGAGGGATGTGTTGAGACAGATGCCTAAAGTTGCTAGAACGAACCCCACAATACCGGTCGTGACATGAATGACCCAGTCGGTCGTTGTTGTGCTGTTCCTACTGTTCCAACAAGAGAATGGAAAGTGATCTGTGAATTAAATCAGGCAAGAGATCATAAATTAGCCAGTAATTTTATTGTCGGTAGTAATAAGTGCCTATAATAAATTATCACCCTTTACCTGATAAATTTACAATAGGAATGCTCATTTCCATCCGGACACCTTAATACTGATTTAATATTGCCTAGAAAATTATTTGCGAATCCCAAATCGGCGTTAATTAGATACGCACAGATCCTTGGTCTCAAGTTCAATGGGGTTACTTTACTTTCTCGAAGATCTATTGTGAGCTGTATGATAATATTGTACCCGGATTTCTAGCTTGTTCTGATCCTGGGTTACGACTGAGCAACGAAAATTGATTGAAAGACATTTATAGCCATGTCATTGAATTCTGTGGAATAGCACTTTCACCGATCCAGCTATCTCAGTAGTACGCTTCGTTCTCACAGAGTATGTATAATGTACAATCTATTCTTCTCTTCGCTACTGCGAAATGTCTCATTGATGTGGTACACGTGGAACAAAAAAGGCAAAGGTTTCATCATAAATAATTCACTTTGATATTTTTATGTTCGAGTTTTTTAAGGTGAAGATATGGAATGGTAAAAGAAAAAGTGACAAAACGATGCTACATAAAATCTATTCTTGCAGTAAATCAGATCTCAAAATTTACTTCATAAATATTTGTTTATCTACAGATAATATAGCCTTGGATCTTTATTCCAAATTTCAGGCTTTTACACATGACCATTTTCTAAAATCAGTGTGGTCCTTACATATGCATGTATTGTGAACTATATCTATAAGATATCACTGTATTTGTAACAAAGTACATACATGTAATTTGATGTCTGATTGTCACTCTATCGTATAAATTGTATATACATATCCTAGTATTGTAAAGTTCAGATGATCTGAAAATTTAAAACAATGGTTCCACGAAACGTTTCCTTTGAAAACTTTTTCAATCCGTACATATTCATTAACATGACAAATTATATTGTCTTCGAGAACAAAAACTTTTCTTCAAAGTGCTACGAGCGAGACCAATTCACGTTAATACATTAGAAATCATAGTTTCAATTTGCGTACTTTACAGATACGTGCGTCATCAAAAATAGGCTCCTTGATACTTTATGCAGTATATTAAATTTCCAAAGGTGTATTCAGAGACTTGGGTTATCTACACATGATAATAGCATTTATAACCATTTAGAATGGAGCGACAAACATCCTCAAGCTATGCACGTAGATACTTGCTAACCAGGAAATCTGTCCCTATGTGACATGTTCCATGGAGAAAGCAGATTAAGTATATTAAATATCAAGGTAAACGGACATTTCAATATGAATTTCTTCGTTAAAAATTGCAAATGCGCATTTGCTAAATAAGAACTAATCCTTAAACAGATCAAGAATAAAACATTGTGAATTATGTTTCTATCTGCCAGAATAAAATAATTTATTCGTAGTTTATTTCACAATTATTTACACAATTTCAGATTAATCTTGATAATTTTGTTCATTTTATTCTTACATCAAAAATCAGTTAACTGAGCTCACGTTTGACAGCAAAATAGCGAAACGCATTAAAGGTTACTTATAAACACTGTATTTAGAAATTCATTAGTTACTTCTCTTTGTACGTACATCCCTAATCCTGCCAATTTGTGTTAGTTTCAGGTACCCCAACCCACTAATCGAATCATGTCGAAATAATAATAACGATAGCGATCAACTAAATTGATAAATTGGCGTAACTTCATTATGCATATATTACTTAATTCAATATTCTTGACATTAATTAAGTGACACATTTATAAACCCCAAGATGCAACCAGTAATAACTAGTAATTCAAAACTTATTTCAGCCATGAACATGGTGTAGGTTGAAAAATAGATCACTTTTGCTAGCCAAAAAACTTCCTGCATAACTAACAAGATCAGGTTACAGGCATCTAATTCATAATGGATGCAATCATGATCAAGTAAACGCGTAATCACAATATGAGAAATGTCCCATATCTGTCTAGTTACGACATTATGATTCGAGCAAAAAGTTGTTGTAACGGAATTGTAAACAACTAAAAAACCAGACAAAATTCATATAGATTCTTCTTCATTATAATTTTTTAGCCAAGTTCTTATATAATTCTGTAATTGTTCCAAAAGCTATAACAATAGCAAAACGACGAGTTTCTGTAGATATGTATGTAAGATGGGTAAGCGTTACTATATATAATGTCGTACTCGTCTAATAAGGGACTAGATGAGATTCAGATCAAGTATAAATATTCAGAATGCTCACACCTCAAATCATCAGTCTGATTTCCCACTGTCTGCAGTGCAGTTTAAGAACAAATCTTACACACTTAGCTTCAAAATGAACACATTTTTCGTAAGTTTTTAATTTAAGCTAGAAATATATTTTGGGATGGATTAATACATTTTCTATCATTCTAAATTATCCAGTCCCTCCTCGTCTTGGCAGTCCTCGTGGCTGTGGCGTCCGCCGGAGATTTGGGATATTACGGTGGTGGATATGGATATGGTAATTTTTCCTAATTACAATTTGTTGCAATTTCTTCATGCTAAATTATATTTAAATATTTCTTGTCTTCAGGAGGTGGCTGGGGTTATGGGGGTGGATACGGACTGGGGTACGGTGGGTGGGGTGGACCCTGGGGGGGCTACAATGGTTATTATGGGGGTGGTTGGGGTGGGGCATATAATGGCTGGGGCGGTTATGGTGGCTTCCGCAGCTACGGGTGGGGATGGTAGATTTCGATCGAGCTAATTGTTAGTTTAATCCAGTAGTAAAACGATAATCGAGTGCCAAAGAAGTTTGTGATCTTGTATAAATTAATTGTCCCAATGCGGTACAAATAAGGAAATTTTTAATAAAACGATATATAAATTCGTAAGTAATTATGAATGTCGCTGCTAAATATGATCATGAAAATGTTACATAAATCTGCACAGCATGAAAAGCACTGCATGAAAAAGGAAGCACAAATTGTCGATAGCTGTCAAATTACAGGTCGTTTGTAATAGTTAGTTGGTAACAACACAATCTGACGGATTGTCACCCAAATGGATCACGCCATCCAACAAATATCTGGTTGAATTGTTCATCCCCTGGAAATAGCCGTAAATATACGAGTCCACCATTTCCACATAGTTGTCAGCTTCCGGAAAATTGGTACAGAGTTCGTCCCTCAGATTCATGTAATCCTCAATGTACTCTCTGCAATACAAATAAAGTATCTTTGTCTCCATAATAGCTCATTTTGGAGAAATTAATCAAGTTTGATATACTCACTGTAGAATTCTCAACTCGTCCTCTAAAACTAGAAGAGGGCTTTCGCCCCATGCAATCCGTAGCATAATCATCCCATCAGCCTCGCCCTTTATAATGTCCTTCTTAAATCCGAGGACATCATTTAGCCCGGATGAAATATGGCACGCTATATTTTTAAACATTTGGAATTGTGGGGATGCCAAAATCCAGGATGGTAAAAGACCATACCGGACATTGTAGAAATGCTCGGCAAACATTGAAAAGGCGTCGTCCTGTGATTTACATTTATTTTATGCTGAGAAATATGGGAACAATAATTATTCGAAACTAACCTGAACACGAAAACGTCTTGCAACATCCATCGAATACCTGCGAGGGCTGTGATGCACTTGATTTTTTGAAATCCACTCACATGTCATCATATTTGACGCAACTGTGCTGATTTGGCTAATAAATTTGCATACATATGTAGGTGCATAAAACATATGAGGAGATACTGTTTGCTTATAGATTCCACAATTAAGTATGTAACAGAAAGAGATTGCCACTCACCTTATAATTCTAGGTGCCAAGTCTCCTGGATTTGTTAGACCTAAATCCATAAAATTCTTTATGATCAAAATGCAAAATTTTTGAATGAATGGTTCCACCCGGATGGACTCTGCTGCATAGAGATCCATTTCTAATCCTAAATTTCAAAATATTTACACAAGTTCAAAATAACTTAGAGGGTGTATTTTTATATTATTAGACTAACCTAATCGTAACAAGGCAAGAACGGATTTAATCATTTTTTCTTTCACAGGTCGAAATTCTTCCACAATGAATTTTCCACCCGTGTCCAAAATATCGTCGTAAATCCCTGCTAACGCCAATGTCTTGGCCGTTACTTGAACAACGGGATCATCCAGCGTCATTTCTGGTAACATCCAGAGCAAACCGGACATAACCTGCTTGCCAATTTCTGCCGAATATTCAGGCACCAACATGGACGGAAAGCCCATCTCCAGCCAATGGCTTAACGAGATTGCATTTTCAGAGAGCTTCTCAGCTGAAATGGAATCTGGATTTCGAACGTGTAGTGGTTTAAAGAAATTCAACGTCTTGTTTACTTTAACCCCCTCAAGAGGGGTTAGTGAGCTCTTAATTTTGGGAGGGAGGTTGATCGAAGGGGAAGGAAATGTAAAATCGAAATACAGATTTATTCTCTTCATGGCAAGGTGACCGTTTCAGTTGAACAAATTTTCGTACTGAATCAAATGAAGTATAAGATAAAATATTGTGATGATGTAATTCATGCTAAAGAGCTATCTCTGATATTTTTTCAATAAAAACTAATGAACCACTTATTTATGTGTGTACCTCTAACCTGACACGCAAATTTGTATTCTTTATATTACGGATATTATGTAAAATCGTGGAAAGGGGGTAAATATTAAGTTCATTCTCATCACTACTTGGAAATCTCCTGCATTACAGTATGAGCAAGTTTTGGGTACTAACCTGCGATAAATTGATTGACATCTAAATGCACTCCCTTCTACAATGTCGTAAGTTCCAGTGCGTTTTTGATTCGTGATTTTCATATTGTAACGTAATCGTAATGTGTATGCATGTAGCGTATCGTGATATTTTTGCACCATTTTCATGGTAAATATATGGATAAATTGAAACCTGACATTGACGTGATGGTTAATTCCCACCCCAACTTTGCATTTTGTGAGTAATAAAGTTTAAATGTTCGTCTGGTCTCAATAGCTAAAGACGATATCATAGTCTGGAATTATACTTATTTAATGATGAAAAACCTATGATTTCTAGGAACTCCTTTTGACGAAAGTGATAATCATTGTTTAATACTTAATTTTCTTGTGAGAGGATACATATCTACATATCTTTGATGAGAAGTTCATCGAAAAAAATTATTTTGTAAGCTTCATTTCACAATAAATAATAAATTTTCTCATTTCCTCATAAAATAATCTTTTGCACGAATTTAAGAAAAATCGATTCCTTAACAAATAACGTTAGCTGTGTGTTTAAGCATATCGATTTTCAAGGCATGTATTTCCCTTTGATGATGACGTTAAGCACAATTTAGCTTCTTTTAGTTGACATTTACTCATATTCAGTGTTTGAATACTTTGAATAGCGTCCTAATTTGTATTGAATTTACATATGTAACAACGATGGTCATAAATTTAAGAATTCTAGGATACATCATTCTAAATCTGATCAATTATTCTTCACAAATCATGGAAACAATTATTATTAAACACTTTCCAGAATTTTTGAAAAGTTTAGATCACTCTAGTCTTAATCCTAACCCATTATTCCAGACCTTTCTTCTCATCCCACATCAGAATATAATGTTGTCATCATTAGTAAATGTCCATCGTCCAAGTGTCATTTTATCAAACCACTTTGTTACCTCTGCTACAATTCAAGAGGGAAATATTTCCGTCAATTGGCCCCTCTGGGTGGAAACATTTAGGAAATCGTACCCATTGCTGACCCACATTTATCCACCTGCAAAGGGCTTTTTATCCAAAAACTACAATGGTCACGCAGTTTTCCAAAGGTTCAACGAATTATTCGTATCCAAGCAATTTGCAACAAAAACATTAATTATTACCCACATAAAGTCAAATCATATTAAAAATATTAAAATTGCACTCGATTCCGTGCGGAGAATTGATTTGATTTACTTTTTGCAGACGGAAAAGGTGAAACATATTAAGTATGACCTCTACTCATTTAATGAAGATGGTGATTATTTAGTAAAGATTGAGGCGATATTAGTCGACCTGAATTGTGTGGTATGTGACAAATCTGAAAAGCAAGTGGTCCACGAAAATTGCGAAAATGTCAGCGTTGAGAATTGTTTTAAACAGATGGAAACCAAGTACAAATCAGTTTTCCATCCATCTCATAAAAAACTTTTTGTTAATTTAGACGGCCCCTTTGAAGCGGTCTGTCCACGGGAAAAATTTGTAGCTTTTGGAAAATCGACTAAACACAGCGTACTCTTGTTCCACGCGTACTTGAACGAAGTCCTAGTTCACGAACTATTTGAACCATTCAAACCCAACGTAACATGTCGAGACATATTTGCTCAGAGTGTGGATAACCTCGGGCTGGAGGAAGGTCAAATCTTGGTCCGCCCAAGAATTTCGAATCAAAAGGGAGTAATATATCCCGTTTTTAGGAATATGATAACCGTGGACATGTTCTCCTTTAACTTCTTGACGTGTGACGGGGTGTGGCAGGGGCTGGATTTTTACGCATACCTGAGACCATTTCATCTTAACGCATGGATTGGAATCGGAATAGCGTTTGCAGCTATTGTTATCATGATGGCACTAATAGTGGAGCTAAATGAGGTAAGAATTAATATGGTGACATATTTTAATACAATTGTATATACCTAATCTGTTTACTACCATACTGATCATAATTAATCATTTTATGGCTAATCAAGGGCATTCTCACATTTAAAATGTTCTGTCATGGCTTACTCTTCACAACGTTTGTAGGGCTGGCCCCAATGCTCGCAACTTTTATGGATCTTCCAGAATTTCTCAAGAAGCAGAAGACGACTTCGAGTCTGATTGCACTACTGCTTACGCCCTGGATGATGATTTTGCTTGTCTTAAGTAACGCTTACATTGGTCTCGTCATTACCAATTTGTCGGCACCCTTGTCCATTGTTCCAGCATTTGAGACTTATCATCAAGTTGAGAATTTTACCAAGCTTATCTTTCCATACGATAAATACCAAGAAGACTATAAAATATCAAAGATAACTTATCAGGGAATTACAAGTGTTTCCTCATTTACGCCATATTGGAGGCACTTCGTGAAACACAAATACGCAAATGGCATCGACATTCGAGACGATAAAATTATAGAAAAATTGGTAAAATTGTTTATCCCAGTTTTTAACGACGAGCCAAAATCGTTTTTGAAAAAGTTGTCAAAATGCAAGGAAACTGTATTAGTTGGGGAAGATGAGGAAATCAATTTTTTATTCGAGGTGCTATCTGCTTCAGGAAGGATCGTGGTGACAAATGGGAAATCATTTTATTCGAGAAATCAGTCCTGGCATCTCATGTACATGGGAGGGTTAAAGGAATTCTTGCATTTTAGACTCATGGGATTTATTCTTACTAGAAAAATATTTTTGACAAATTTGGCCATAAAGATATCAGAGTGAGGGAGCGGTTTTCGAAATATCGGGATGAATTTCTGGGAAATATTAATGTCCAGCTCTTCAAGGTCTTCAAGCTCAAGGTCTTAAAGGAAATATTTTAATGGTGTTTTATGTTTATTTAATTTGTGTGGGGGCGTGCGTGATGGGTTTTTGGGGTGAGGTGGGAGTTTCTCGAAAATGTCAAATTAAAATTTGGGAAACGTGTAAAGTTTGGAGCTGAACCTTGTGGGTGATTTAAATTCACACGAAAGATAAAAGTAAGCCAAAAGTGTCTTGTATGTAGAATTTTATCTGATCATTATACTTAATTAAGTAATCAATCGACGTAAATTAAGCCGATGACATTATAAGATGCAAGGTGTTCCCGTTTTTAGCCCACATCAAATTGTACGCTATAAGTACATACATACATTAATTTAATTACTGATATTAAATTGAACTATACCCAGTACGGGATGAATGTTTACCTACTAAAATTATTTATTGTCCCTGATGGTTTTTCAACTAATTGCAAAAAATTCATATGTATGTATCGTAACTTTAAAAGATATACGTACACACATATCTACATGCATACGTATGTACATACATACATACATACACCTACATATTTGTACAACTTATGCCAATTTTTCGAATATACAGAAACGACGACGGCACTGCGTATGTAACTAAAAGGAGGCTAAAAATAAACATGATATCCCTGTCTTTGACATGAATTTTTTCTGGTTCAGATTTTGCTAAGCGCAAGTTGAACATAGAAATAGGCTAATACTTAAAATGCAAACCATGTCATCCAACGAACCACTACATAATCCAGAGGAACGAGACACATGGAGTTTGTCCTCATGGAGAAAGTATCCAGCCAAACAGCAACCACAATGGCCGGATCAAGCCGACTTGGAGAAATCCCTCAGAGAACGTAAGAAGGAAATTACTTGTCTATTTTAGTAAAAAAAATATCATATTTTTTTAACTTCCTTTCCACAAAGTACGCGAGTATTCTTCCATCGTCGTACCGGAAGATGTGGAAAGACTGAACATGCAGCTCGACGAGGTAGCTTGTGGCAATCGCTTTCTTCTCCATGGTGGAGACTGCGTTGAAACCTTTGCTGATGCGACGTATGAGATTGTTACAAAGAAACTTGATCTACTGGTGAAACTGAAGCGAATATTGGAAGAAAATTTAAACATAAAGTGCACGACAATTGGTAGAATTGCTGGACAGTATGCTAAACCAAGGTCCAATCAGATCGATGAAGGTGATAGTTGATGTACATACATTTGTAATTGGACGCATTGGGCGTACTCACGTCAACGTCTTAGATTTGTTGTATTGAAACTCATTTAGCAAATATTTTATGAAATAATCTCGCGAATAAAAAATATTCATATTTACTTGATAAATTTGAATCTCGACGGTTTCGATCAGACATTTTGTAACCTTGCAAATTTAGAATAACTTTTCTGTTGAAGTTATGTTGATGCGCTCAATTTGCGAGCTATGCGAAGGGTTGTCGTGAGTACGCCCATCATAATAAATTTTCATATACATAATTCTACGTATATTTCCTCATTGAAATAATTTGGATAGATGGGCTTCCAGTATTTCGTGGTGAAATGATCAACGGGTTCCAGGCAGAGAGTAGAACACCAGATCCGAAGAGATTGCTTCAAGCGTACAAATATTCATCAGGTTCCTGATCGATTATCGCTAATATTTGTATACAATTTCCCCGTTATATACATACTGAACAGTTTAATTACAATGTAAATTGTTTTGTGCATAGAAACATTAGACCACTGCAAAAAATATTTCTCCAAAGAGAGTAACAAAGTTGCAAGTAATGAATTTTTCACATCTCATGAGGTAATTGAAAATTACCTTAGAATTTTTAATTTATTGAACTCATACTGTGTTAAGCCTTAATTTCTGATCTTTTTTCCGTGGTTGCAGGGGCTACTACTAGACTACGAAGAGGCAGGAACGCGTAGTATAAACGGAAGTTTCTATAATTTGACGTCACATTACATCTGGGTAGGTGACAGGACGCGACAGGTAGACCATGCCCACTTGGAATACGTGCGTGGTTTAAAGAATCCCATTGGTATTAAGGTAAATATACTAAAATATTACCAACTTTACTCTTCTTCTTTATTTCGTCTGTATTTTTTTCAGAAATTTAAATATGTATTACGATAACAATCATATTATTGCTATTGTATTTTATGCAGTTTATGAATGATTACATTTTTTATAGGTTGGACCAACGATGTTAAGCGATGAATTGATAAAAGTGATAAAGCGTCTGAATTCACATGAAAAGAAGATAACACTAATTACACGATACGGAGTAGCTAATGTACAATTTCAAATTATTAATGACTTATTAAGTTTATATTATCATATATTAACTACAAATTGCAACAGGTTGAGAACATCCTTCCGTTGCATATCGATGCTGTTAAATCCGCTGGGTTTACAGTGATTTGGTCTTGTGATCCGTGTCATGGAAATACAAAAGTTACTCAAGCTGGGTACAAAACGAGATATTCCGATCAGGTAAGAAATGAGAAGTCAATTGATGACGGGGCTTGTTTTCTTAGTTTAATGTCAAGATTTTTGGTTAGTAGATGCTGAAAGAGCTCGAATTAACTGTGAAGATTCACGCCGCCATGGGAAGCCGTTTGGGAGGAATCCATTTGGAAACGACGGGAGAAAATGTAACGGAATGCAATCTCTCAGAAGATGAGGAACCCACGGCATACACGACGTATTGCGACCCTAGACTTAATTATGAGGAAGCAATTGAGATAACCAATAAGTTTGCATGTTTGTATTTATCAGAAGGTGTATGAAACATGGAAAGTCGGAATTTAAAATAATCACGCTAGAATAAAAGCCTTATAGGAAATATTTTATTAATTTTGTGCATTGTTCTCTCATTTCACTCCCATGAAAGTTTTACATTAGTTGACCCATTTTTCAAAACGGTTTCAAATCCATGGCAGGATTCACTGCAAAAAAATTCGATGGCTTTAACCAGAATCCAACGGATCTATTTAGCAAGTGGACAAAAAATCATTATATAAACCCCAGCGAAACAATAAAAGTAAAGCCAATTTCAAAATTCTTACTCGGCAGGCATCACTGGAAAATCACACGTCCTCGGAATGTGCGTTAGGCCAAGAACATGCCATAAAACGATATCTGTATTTTCAACATTTGCTCCTTCATCGTGTCCTACCCATTCTGGTAGCCCGCTATTGTTGAGATACATTCCTCCCGCGTATAGCTGTCCTTCCCGATAAGGTGTTACCCAGACACTGTAATTTGCAAACGCCGACTTTGGATGAATTTCGCTATTTGATGAAATCAAGGGTGCTTGACCATTTTCAGGTATTAATTTCCATGATTTTGCAGTAAGTGAAACCGGATTAATTTGAGATGTCCTTATTTTCCACGATCGAGACGTCGCTGCAGATGTCATGGTACGAGCTTGGCCAGACGATTTGAGCACATTTTCTTCAGAATGAAAGCCATTGCCGTATGGATTTTGAGCTAGAATAGAAATATTCAAAGTTTCCGAACGTCGTGCGTTTGGTATTAAAATCTTTGAATTATTTCCTGTCAAATAATTCTTTAATTAGACTAACCAATATCACGTTTAATATCTACAGTTGACACTGTATTATTCAATCCATCAAAATCTGTGTCGATTCGAATCACAAAAAAGTGTTGATGAAATTGTCCAACCACGTTGTCTCCAAGAAGCGTCCCATGTTTTTCTGGCAGTGTCCCACCAGCTGCAAGATTCAAATCCACAATTCCCGTCAGCACGGTTTCGAATCTTATCGTCGCGTCGGGATATAACATCCACCTCAGCTGATAGTCGTAGTTGGAGAGTGTCGCAAACATCGAGATGACCAGTCGTTGGGCTCGTAATGTTAAGGCGCGTCCTGTTATAGGATCCTTCTTTCTCCAGAGAATTCCAGCGTCCTCCTCGTAAATGCATATCGTATTCATCAATTTCTTGACGTCACCGGACATCGTGTTCACGGTGGAGTTGAGGTAGACGACGGAACCTTTGCAAACTTCTGAGCGTGGATCGATTTCATTAACGTTGAAGCCAACTCCGTATTCGCCAGCGTCAAATGGCATTTTTCTATGATATGGAGCTGTTTATGGAAAATGGAGCTGAATTTCAGTGAGATTGTAATCAGTGTAGTAATTTTTTCGAGATTGTAACAAATTTGTGCTGGATAATGTGCATAGATTAAGGGATCTAAATACCCACATATAATTTACGCTATAGTACAAAGTTACATACTTATTTAACTACGTACATATGTACTTACCTCTCGGAGAACCATACGGGACAAAAATTTCAGAAAGTGCAGCCCGGAATATTAATGGTCGAAGTTTTCCAGCATCATCGTAATTTATGTGGTGCAGAACTAGCCCTTCTCGTCCATTAAAGCTGAAAATTTGAATATGTCAAAATTTTAGGTCACATTTTAAATATTTTGTCTTCTTTTCCTAAGCTTACCCTATCCGCAAACTGAACTTTCTCCATTTCAGGTAATTCCCCTCCATAACGAAACTTGGGCCAAGAGGCTGCTCGATTTTGATCGGATTCAGGCTTGGTCCGTAAAATTCTTTTGGCAACACGATCGGGTCGTAGTTAGAGTTCTTTGGTTTGGGAATAATGTCAAGGTTTGTAGGAATTTTTGAATCTTCATAAATAGGAAGTTCTTCTAATTCGAGGACTTTGTTTTGTATGATATCAATCACTGCGAGAAAACTCAGAGGATGAGCTGCAAAATGAAGAAGCAGTGAAAATTGTAATTTTTAAGTCGGTAATTCTTTGTTCGCAATGACATACCGAAATAATTGCCAAACTCAAATTCTCGAACGTAAAAATAAGCTTGGGCCATACGACGGTTCTTATAATTTGGTTTATCTCCATCATATCCATATTTCCTACAAGAAATACAATTTATATTAAATAGTTAATGGGAAAAATAAACTACTTGTTAATTCAGTAGCAGCGGAACTTATGTTAATTTACCAAACGTCTGGAACAACTAAACTCAAGTTGGTGCAGTGATTCTTGAACAACCGTGCTTGAATGGTTTCATCCTCCAATAACATTTTCGCAATGGCATCCAACTGTGAATTTTTATTAAATTTTAAAACTAAATGGGTTAAATTTCTGAATATTTACACATCCTACCTCATCATAGGCAAATGTAGGTTGTAAAGATTTATCAACTTTGTCGAAAATTTGGACGTGCTTCGTCGACAGGTCAACAATGACTTCAAAAACTGACCCATCTTGGGGATTAATCAAAATTGAGAATGATTGACGTGGAATGACGCATTCGGGAGGAATCGTGTTGTTTAAGAAGTATGGAAAAAGCTGGGCTTTTTCCGGTTCTTGGAGCGTAATCCATATGTAAAGCCAAGGAATTGGATGTGTTGAGTAATTTTTGATAATTACAACCGTGTCAGAAATTTCTTGGGGAGATAGTGGGTCAAGAGGATGGCGAGTTTGTAGAGAAAATTTATGGATGCTTTCTCCTCGAGAGAGGAGGAAAGTAAAGGTGAGGAGTAAGAATAACTGCATAATTTGTGCCTCTAATTTTTGAATTCAATGGATGAATTATAATTTATAAATGAACGCTGGCTTTTGAATAATCAAATACATTGGTGTTTGTACATGCATAATTAGCTGGACTAATGGTTGGAGTAATTTATGTCGTAATCTATGGAACTCATAATGTGGTAATTATCCTAATATAATTATAAATATTTATCCATTGTAATTGACAATGAGGAATGTACCTGTGGAATTAAATACATATTTACATCACAGAAGTCAAATGCCTAAATTTTCAGATTGCTAAGTTTTGATTGTATGAATCGATAAACTTTAGGTATTCATGATTAAGGATCACCTTTCTTCAGTTTACAGATTATTTAAACCTTATTCCTTTACATTTGCAGTAAAATACTAACGAGAATCATTTCTTCTTCAATTATCAACATGATGAGATTTCATCTCACACAATCAGATTTACTTACTGTATGTTTGTCGTAGTTTTAATCCTTTATACAGACTTTGCCTGAAACATCACGTTCATAGTAGTTCATACTGCATATTTAAGTACATAGGTATTTCTCCGAGCTTAAAAATGCATGGTGATAACATACCTGTTGCAATCCTTATTCCATTGACATTACATGTTTATGTCTCTGCAAATTGGCAAAGTCTGCCCGGGCAAGTATCGATCCGAGCTTGAATTCCCATAAGTTTTGGCGATTCGTCATACGCCAGTCATAACCATATTCGTGATATACTAGATTAAAATCCATCGACTCGTACGCATAAAATATGCTATCTCTCTTGCACAACTTTGCACTTTCTCTTCTACGCAGTTTCAATTAAGAAAGTCTCATAACAGAATACAGATCCTAATAGTTACACATTTTAATCAGTGAATATTTTACCCGAAATCATGACACTCGCTCCGACTGGTAAATTTTTTCCGGTATTTGGAAAATACTGTAGCTTGCGTGGCTGGGCAATTTCATTCGCCATTATTCAAACGGTACGTAATTATCTACTATAAAGTTCATAGTATAAACTAAATATGTTGCCAGGTAGCATGTTATTTAATGCTGTTTTTTTATGAGTGTAGGCTTATGATGGTTGTCATGTCGCTCTTGTTGTCATCCTGCTTACACGAGGGCTAGCTGGCGAAAGTGGAGGGGTGGGTATAAAATTATAACATTACAAATATGTAAAATATGCATATCTGTACATAGATTCATATTTATATGTAACATGCGTGATTATTTATTTACACAGCGTCACGGTCATATCGGACCCTGGTTCATGATAATGGTTGTGCTGCCAATAATCCTTGTGAAATTTCTGATTTTTAATCTGGCTTACTCTATTTTCTCGACAATCACAAAAGATGTAAGACTCAATTTTAGAAATCTATCTAAATTGAGAATTGCATCTATAAATATATGGATTTTAATACTGTAGGAATCTCGGAAAAGCATTTTTTCCTCGTTTAAGAAGTTTGTCTGCTTCAAATGTTTGCTGGTCCCGACCATGTTGCTGCTTGTCGGATTGCTTGCCGGATTTTCGAAACTGCTCGAGCCTGTCGTACTTGGATACGTGGCCATTGACGTGGGAATTTTTGCAATATGTGCAATCATCGTTGGATTTTATATCAAATCTGGAAGAATGAATCCAAGAGCAGCAGGATTGTATGAAGTTGACGAGAATTGCAATGTGGAAATTGAAGCTAAAGTTGATCCGGTGGATGTGTAATAGATATTCGGGACATGCATGAAAAATTTTAACGATGCATAAAATTGATGAGATAAATAGGACGTAAAGAATTTGAAATATTTTAGTTATGATGTCAATGAGTATATTTTTAAGTGTAAATTTTAATGGTTTAAAAGGTCTACAATAATACACTCTTAGTATTGAATCATTACCAACCGGAGTACATATACGTATAACTTCATCGGCATGGTAGTAACGGGCATCACCGTATAGTAATGAACTATACTGTTGTGGTAATCAAATTAACCACTCAGGAACAAACTATGACTAATCTGGGAGGAAGTTATTCCTAGATTTATACCAGCACGGAGTGTATATATGCATGACTTCATCACATTTTTAACAGTGTGTTATTAGCACTAGTTCTATTATGTGTAGATAATTTTTAGATTTTATTCTGTAAAATTACATATAGGAATTACAAATGGTGTGTCATCAGTCATCAATCTACATTCATAAATTAGATTTTAAGTTACAAGGGTTAAATTAACCTTCACTAATTTGTGTCTCAATTATGTAATTAATTAAATACGTATGTAAATGTATGCATGTAACGGGAAAAAAGGGTAAACAGATCTGTGTTTAACAAGATGACCAAAATCTTAGATACACTCAATTACGCGACTGAAAGGAACCTAATTAATCATTTGTGTAATTCCAAACTTTGTGTACATATGTTCGCGTAGCAAATTACAGACAAAATGATACATTTGTATGTAAGGAGGAAATTATTTTTCTTTAATCAAAATTTTCAGTATATTTACATGCAGGTGGACATTTCATTTACACCGAGATTTGTGCTAAATTTAGTCATAAATGGATGCTATTACCTGATGTTATAAACGTTATAAATGTTATAAATTGATGTTATGACAAGTGAAATATGAAGCTGACTTGTGTATTTGCATAATTTTCCAAATAATATGGCATATGTATGTATACTATTATGCCCTACAGTGCTCCGCCCTGATTTGAGAAGCTTAGAATTCTAAATATTTAAGAGTAACAAAATTATTTCGTTAACAAAAGTAAGGAAATAGTTTGTTGGACACAAAACTCCTGAACCACGAGCGGTGTCAAGGCTTCTACAAAGTTATTTCCAAACTGAATCTTTAAGGGTCCCAGAGATTTTAACATCCTCCTACTCATCTTTGAAATATTCTTCCACCTTTTGCAATCCAAGTTGTCGTTATCTTACTAATTTGCGCCGCAGTAGAAAAAATTAGTAGAGTCAGTAATAACATAACAATGTAGATCATAACGAAAATCGCGATAATGTAAAGGTTACCACCATCCAGCAAAATCTTAATCATGGCAAAGCACGCCATAATCTGAAGAAGGGGACTAAAAAGCGCAAATGTCAAGAAGATACGACCTCTGATACAAGAATCCAGAATTTTTTCAAAGATTTGCAACTCCCTATAAAACATTATCTGGTTTTTGAAAATATTATTTTTTACCAGACATCTACACTCCAACCATAGATCTGATATGCAGGTTGCTAAAATTATGAATGAAAATACTCCCCCCACTGAACATGCCACCTGACACGAGACAAATTCAAGGATGGCCAGACCGAATTGCATAATGTTTCCGTAAATCCACTGCAACTGGTTCAGGTTATCTTTGTCACAAAAGAGCGATGTTAAGAGAGGAGAAAAGCATGGGGTAATTAGAGATAGTGCGAAGGAGGAGATTGGGACCAGCAACATCGCAATTTCAATTAGTGCCAATCCACAATACAGACAATTTGAAATGATGACGACATCCTTTCCGTACTGCTTCGTAGAATCTGCGATTAAAATTCGTCTTTAGTAAATGATCAATTTCTCCTGTAATAACTAAACTTTTAATGTTTGATAACATACTTTCCTTCCCAAGGATAAAATTCAATAAAAGTATCGGAACAACGTCTGCTTTGATTTCAAACCTTAAAAGGATTGTTAACAAGTATGCACATGATATCGTAATCCCAACTGCTTTTTCAGCTAAACCAGAAGCTTTTGTATGAATGGAGTATAGCTGGCAAGCTAATTGCAGCAAGTTGACTCCAAGCCATACAAGGGCCATATTTTGCTTTGATTTATCACCAAGGATGAGTGTTTTGTAATTGTAGTCGTACGTCATAAAGACACAGTTGTAAAAATTTGTATATTTTAAGTGGCGTTTAATTCGACGAAGTACTTGAGGCAACATTTTGCACCAAAGTCCGACCGGATAATGAAGTTACATTTTAAAAGCAGAAATTTGGTCAGGATGTGTATGTGTACTTCCTCACTTGACAAATAAGTAATATTGACACAAGAATGGTAATTCACTACGTATAATGTAGAGGAATACTTAATCTTGACAAAATCTAACTGGCCCATTATGTTGACATTCTAAATAATTAAAAATAATATGCGCGTGGGCACATTGTAAATATATGTAATGAAACATACGTATTTGCATTTACGATCCTGTGAATCTTAAAATTACTTTGGTCCACATGCTAGAATATGGTTTAGTTTAAATAATAAATATATTTAAAACAAACAAAAGTTGGGCGTGGAAAGTCGATCCGTGTGTCACAACGACGTAATGGGACTTGATGAAAAGAAAATGCCGTATTTTGGCTAAATAATGCTCCCGTATTCAAATTTGCAAGTTAATGATTTATTTTCCAATTGATCTCAATTATCTGTAGTAAATACCCTATGACCATGAATTACTTGCACATGCCGTAAGTATCAGTCAGTGCAACAACGGCACATGACAATCCATCGCAACATTTGCCAAGCGTGTCAAACATGCCCCCAAATTCGATCTTTGCGTTCAGACAGGCCATTCCACTGGAGAGACACTATTTTATAAAGCATAGACTTGTTTTGATTAAAATTATCTTTAAAATATAAAGGATCAAGATAAGATATGTTGTATTAATACCTGTAATGCCAGTCCATTCGCAGCAGCAGCGAAAAGAGCACAAACCAAGGCAATGATCAGAATAACCTTCATAATTTTTGTCGTTTTTTTAGAATTTTAAAGTGTACGAAATAGGCAGGAAAGTAAATATGAAAGTTAAATGGTCCGACGATTCGGTTTTATATGAAACTTATTCAAATAATTATTCAAATTATATAAATTTGTTTCTATTCATCAATGTGAGATACATATTGTTAGCTTAGGGTTTTATAATTCTTCTATTGTACTTACCACCTGCAGGACTGTGTGCACACCCTCCCATCGAGGGTGTGCAATGCTGGGTAACGTGTTAAAGTTAGATAAGCTATTAGATAATCAAGGTACGAATGACATATCTTCTAGCTTTTCAATAATAAATATGCTATTTTTGATTTTCACCAAATATTTAAATTTTTAAACACATACGTAAAAGAATGAAATCTGATCTAAACTTGAAATTATGTACCATGGTACATCCATATTCTATAACCTGCCATATTTTTTTAAATAATTGCAAGAAAGAGTAAATATTGTTCAATTGTGTTTAGATAAATTGATAAATATTGCAGATTTGATGGTATAATGTTGGCAATCCTAAATTTTTTTGTGGTTAATGTATACTAACAAGCTTACATATTTACATGCATACATATTTACAGAATGACGTTATTAGTACATTTGTACTTATTTGCGGTACTGAAGGCTTAATTTTAACAAAGCACTCATTTTGATTTAATAAATACATGTCGACTTAAGGAAATTGTCATTCCCTTCGACAGGATCGATGGACTAATCCTACGGAGGATAAGATGACCCTATGATAGGTATGTATGTATGTAGGTAGGTACATACAGTGTCAATAAGTGATGATAATTGATTACATTTTTTTGTAATAATTGCAAAATCTGGAATGATCAAGTTACACATACATATTTAACATATTCCAGTCGATTCGATTTCACATGCCAAACGAGTTCGCCAAACTGAATTGATTGATCGGAAAACACCAAGTTGAATTGAATGTGACATGACAGTTAAAAGAGCAGCAGACACGTGAAAATCTATACGTGCGTGCATGCAGATTGAAGTGGAAGTTGGGTTGGTCAATGTTGACCAAGTAAAATAAAACGAGGCGTCGGCACCTACTGATGCGTACGAGCAGGTGAATGAATTATTTAGGAATTGCGTATGCATAAATACTTAAGAGGCAAGACTTCAAAAAACTGCCTACGTAAATGTTTACAGAAAATTAACCCTCAATCACAACAGGTAACATTTAATTAACTCTCGGTCTCTAATTCTTCACTAATCTGCACAATTAGTTAACGTCACTCTCACGCTTGAAATTGATAATCCATCACACCGAATTGACAACTTCTCCATCGATTATCGCGCAGTGTCAACATTGCTTGACGCAACTGGTCAACACAATCCACACTTGACATCGTAAACCAACAAATTCCATGTCAAAGTTTCCATGCTTATCTCTAACAATTGGCGATGAACGACTATCGTCACATTCTATCCCAACTTTTCGTATATAATGACCCAATGTCATCGGATAATTGTCAGTATCGCTCTGGAAGAACGAAAGCAACAAGTTTAAACAGTGTTAAAATTTAAATCGCAATTATTTTATAAGACAATTTGCAATGTCACCTTCAAAAATTCTAGTTTGCTTGTTCTTCGTAGTCTTCTCTGTGCAGACTGCTTTCTCGCAGATTGAGGTCACACTACCATCGCAATGCGGTTTAGTGGAGGATGAGGTGAGATATAAAACTGGGTCCTAAAATTAGTAAAAATTAGATTTTTGAACTGAATAAGATTTTATATTTGTATTTTTTTTAATTTTGCAGTATATGGGCTATTGTCCACCGTGGGAAGGAGGTCAACCTACCTATCATCCATACCCGTATGACTGCAGAAAGTTCCTGGAGTGCACAAACGGTGTAGTTCGGGTATGTCATTTCATTTCATTTATAAACATTATTCGGGCATACCTTCATAATTACATATTTTGCATATAAATAATTATGCATTTCGATTTTATTTCAGGCTCAGTGTTGTGCAAACGGTACCGTCTGGGATCAGTCGCTGTTAGTCTGTAACCATGAGTCCACGACTCCATGCATCATTTTCACTACCCCACCACCCACCACGCCAACAACCACACCCACGACCACTCCTACTACTACGCCCACAACTACACCGACAACTACGCCCACAACCACGCCAACCACCACGCCTACAACTACTCCCACAACCACACCGACGACAACACCAACCACGACCACCACGACCACAACAACCACGACAACCACGACAACGACACCAGCACCAACAACTACAGAGGTAAGGTTACAGTAGAAAAATTTGCATAGTCCTGTACACGAATGGGTCAATAATTGTTGAATTTCCAGGATCCAATTACATGGATTTGTCCAGAAGGTTATGAAGGACCAATGGCCCACCCGTATGATTGCCACTTTTTCTATATCTGCGATCCAGGCCGTCGTCCGTGTCTTATCGAGTGTGCCGCTGACCTGTACTACGACCCGGTAAGAATTTAAATATTTGGGTAAATTAAAATATCTAATCCTGAGAATGCTGATCATAAAATTCTCTTTTCCAAAAATAGGACACTGAGCAGTGTGACTGGCCCTTCAATGTGCCATCCTGCAGCGGAGGTACTCCTCCACCTGGCACGCCCACACCTAAACCACGCACAACGACTGCCTTGATGAATTACAAGAACCTGGCGAGATCTAATGTGCAAGAACTTTTACAGGATCCTTGTGCTGGTGATGAGACGGTTCTCAAGTTCATTAAGAAATCGAATGCTAAATACTTTTCGTAATTGTTAAAATATTTTTATAGAAACAGTATTATTAAGTTTTGTATTTATAAACAAGGTCCCTAAAAAGGGGAAATCTTAGTGAGGGAGTGCAATCACAACTAATAAATAAAATTAGATTGGAGAATTTTTGCATCACCGCTCTCGGTACTATTTTTACTGGATGCAGTATAAATTTTTCTTTGCATATGCATGAATTGTTAGTTTTATTGAATAAATTGAGGAAGAAATACATTTTTACTGTGTAGTGAACGAGAAGTGGGTTAAATTAACTGAGGTAGATATGTAAGATATAATGACTAAATAATTATGAGCTACGTATTTGTTTAAAAAAATATACAAATTTCAATTTCATATATTAATTTGGCTACTCTATGCAAAATCATCGAACCTTTTGAGGGAGCAAGTGTTCTATTTAAACGATTAATTCTTCCAGTAAAAATGGTACCGAGAGCGGTGATGCAAAATTCTCCAGTCTAATTTTATTTATTAGTTGTGATTGCACTCCCTCACTAAGATTTCCCCTTTTTAGGGACCTTGTTTATTTATAACTTTTAATTGGGTAATTAGATTGCCCATTGGATAACTGCATTGCACTACCCCTTTTCAGTAGTTTGATGCGGAATAATTTTATTAAATGCTGGGTGTTTAAAATTGAATAAATCCGTTATTTCTTAACCGATTTATATCATTTTGGTCAAAATGTCCGGCCTAGATTACTAAACACCTGATCTGGAGGTGCAAACCCAACAACAACAATTTCACGCAGTTTACCAAGCATGTTACAGAAACGACTAGTTGTGCTGTTTACAGTTTTGAATGTAATTTGTTTTCAATTTATTAGTCTTGCGTCGTTGTCAATGGCAATGATTCGTAGCACGAGCAGGAATTTCTGAACTTCAAATTGGAATAACTAAGCCAATTCTTAACAGATTTTGATATATTTATGCTTTAAATTTTCGGGATAAACTGCCCTACAATTCGTGGGTATCAAACTGTTGATAACGTTTGCTAGTAACCAGCAATAATTACAAATGTGTTTCTAAGGCTACATTTTTGCCCATAATTCCGGTCAAGATCACGTAATCGCTTAGTCGGATCAGATCCCATTTCTATATTATGCAACAATAATCGGTGCAAAATTTCATCAAAATCGGTTGAGAAATGACTGAGATATCGCAGATGGTCACTTTTTTGGGGTGGGTCAAATGCATACTTAGTAATTTTTTTCGTTGTTAGGTATTTGCCTCACTAAGAAAAATGGATTTTTGTGTATAAAGTGTTAATAAACATCTCAGAAAAATATTGAAAATAATTAATTTAGTTAAATAACTCTTGCATAACAGGTCATCATCATATATAATTTTACTGTAAAATAAGTGCAGATCATAACGTACTGGCAGATGTCCTAATATGATTATTTTAAATAAAAACTCCTTAAAACAAGCATTTATAATAATTAACAAATAATAGGCATGATTAGTAGGATACTGGCCTTAGTTGACTCTTCCTCATTTTCCAACCCCACCGACCAGACAACTTTCACGGGAAGCACGAGTTGGACAGACAAAAATAGAGACCAAATAATAAAACCTTGAGCCAATAAAGGGCACAAAATTTGAGCAAAAGTATTAAGAATTTCGAAAATTTTAGGATTATCTTAATCAGTGTCAACTTCTTAATATTTGGAACTAAGACAGGTACAAGAGCGATCGCTTTAGTCGGCGTTGGAGCTGGCGTTGGCACAACACATGCTTGTGGAGGACAGTAACAAGTACAAATTTTCGCAAATGAGCTAAAGCTTCCGAAAATTGGTCCCATGTAAACTTCACCACAAATCCGGCCAATTCCTCCCGGGCAGAGATTTGTGCAACCGGCGATGCAATTTGGTAAAGCGTTGACGTCCGTATCCGCGGGATCCGTAACAAAAGGGGGACATTGATCCCCAAACTGATTGGTGGGTGCCTGCAAAATTAGCATTACGCAATTGCAAACACTTATATTTGGTTCGGTACTAATAATATTTTGTGTCACAAGTATTTATTACAGCGGAACCGCAAGGATGATTACACTGACAGAGGCCAGTCGCAGTGCAAACACCTTGTCCTGGTTGGGGAGCAGTCATCAAATCAAAACCGCATGAATGATAGCAAAAGGAATGCTGAACTGGGGCGTTTGTCTCATGTCGAAGAATTAGAGGGTCGTTACAATCCCGGATGAACGTTTGGCAGTTTACCTATGGAAATAAATTATGGTAAAATTGGAAATTCCAATTTTAAATATTTTAATTGAAGAAATGGAGTAGGCTCATATGCATGTACATGTATCCCTTCAGGGTACTTTCTAATACATCCAGATGTACGTTTTTAGATTCAGCAGTAAATTTCCATCCAGAAAAGATCTATGTTCAGGACGTTGAATATCTTCAGATTATTTTTAGTTTTGAGTTAAAATCTAGTAGAAATATCCACAACTACGTACTTTTGTATGTATAACCAAAGGTCTGAAGAAGTACCTCATTCTGGACTCACATTTTACGTGTTTCTTAAAGCAAATTTGATGCTGAATTCAAAAAAGATATCTCCACAATTGTTCTCATACCTTAAGAATTTATTGGCTTACATTGTTATTCGCAATGAGCAGTAGGGATGTGATGATGGTGACGATGATAACTTTTAGCATTGTACTATGCGCTTTTCACTTTGTACATTCCGGTTGTACATAAAATTGTACAGAATCCGTCAAAATTATTGGGCAGTCAGCATTTTCTGGGAAGATTTTAACTTTCAAAATCCATCTTCAATTTAAAAGATTGAAGTATGCGAAATTTTCCGTCTGATTTACTTTCCAGTCACCAGTTTAAGAAAGTGTATGTCACTTTAGTTTCGAAAGCGAAATCTTTTTAGGCACTAAATTTATCCACAACACTTTTACTCTACCAGCTTTCATCGTCTAACTGATTCTCCTAAAAAAGCCGAAGGTTTTAATACTTGGTCCATTTATTATACTTACATAAAGACTAAATCGTGCTGATGGTGATCATTAGTAAGTCGTGAAATGACCAACATACTCGCAAATGTAATGAAAGATACAAATGTGCCAAACTACCCGAAGTTGTAGCATTAATTATAAGTAACTCCCAGAATAATACAGACTAACAGGAATGGATTGAATCCTCATGGGCAAAACATAATTAATTAATTACTCCCCACTTGCATTCCTCATTACTTGAATACAGTTTGTCAGTATAGATGAGTGCATTGCGAAATTCGCAATGCGAATGCGTGCATGTGTATGTACATAAGTAAATACGAAATTGGTTGCAGTCGCAAGATCGACAGTAACATTCGTATTTATTGCTTTAACTCTTTCGCTTTCTTTGCAAAATAAATCTCGCCCCGTCCTAATTGTGTTTACGTCTCGTCGTGCCGTGGGATGAAAATAAGATGATAAATATTATTTACCTTCAAATTAGTCTTCTTGACATAGTGGGAGCAGAATGCTTTCGGGACTACCTCAACCTCAACCAGGGTTCCTAATACTTAATTCGAGGTTTTATGGCTAAAAAGCTGGGGGACACGTTTGGTTTTAGGTACCTCAGCACAATATAATAATTTGTCAAGATAATTCTAAAAAATAATGAAATCGTCAAGATTTAGGACACGTTCTTATCCGGCCTTCTTAAATTTTATAATGATAAATGCAAATCGGACCATAATCTTGCTTACATACCCCAAAAATTATAGGACTGATAGAAAGAAATGGTATTCTATAAATGATGGGCAACGGGTGTCGCCGACAATGGGAAATGAACCAAGAAACCTGTAATCAGGGGAGTTAAAGAGCAAGTGTTGTTGGCGAAGGTGACGGAGCATTTTTTTGTAAATAAATACTTAGGCTGCTATTAGGATGACCAAATGAGATGCGAGTGGTTGATGAATAGGACGCATTAAGGTGTTGGGTAGCAAGGATAATTTAAGAATCGGGCCGAGATTGTGGCGTTTAATAGTGCGTACTAATTTATGACAGATGCGGTGCGAATTAAATAAATAAGGACTGCAGTGAGTTGTCAAAATACTTGAAATATGTACTTGTAAATCTGATTTTTTATGTTGCTTAGTTTTGATATTTACTTTCCTTTTTCTTTTCTTTTATTTTCTTATCAAGTACCTGAAACTTGTCATTCACATGGCGTGGTAAAAACAATATGTTAGTGGGAATAGCAGAGGAAAATTATAAGCGAATCTCTTCACCAATGGAAGGACTGTTGAATGGAGGTTTCTTTATGGTCATTACCTTGACTAAATAAATATTTAGATCTGCAGCGAAGAAAGTTACGCACCTTTACAAATTTATTTACCATTAGAAACTCTAATTTATGCACTATATTTGTAACGAATAATTTATTACCAAGAGAAAGTTCACAAACACCGTGCATTTGAAACAAATACATCGTTATACATACATACATACATACATACATACACACACTAGAATTGCGCCTTGCTCTATGCTTTCGTTTGAAGTCCGAACTTTTTTCTCGATTAGTAGTGTCAATATTCTACTTTCAAGGTATTTAGCAATTTTACAAGTAAATGAACTAATCCTAATCCTAAGCAGGGAATAAATCTTGCTCGCACCGCTTATGGGCCGGTGCGAGCAAGATTTATTCCCTGATCCTAAGTACTTACATTTTTCGGATAACTTAATAGTGGTAGTCAAGGTTAAGAATTATAATCGATTACGCTGATAAACTTTACGTGTAACTTTTCTACATTTTAATTTCAGTCCTCCGCTTAACCAACAAAGTAGCTCTGCCACAAATACCAGGGCACAAATGACACTACAAAAATTCAAAATGACCATAATCGTTGAAACATTGGACCTCAGCCCAAGACCGTCACCACCAGCGCCGGTAGCTTCCACCGTCCCATTGTCAAACTGCTGAAACAATTTTTTCCTCAAGCCATACTTTTCATACAGCACTTTCCAGTACAAATATATCCCGGACATCGCCATGACTTGTAGCCTCGTCACGATGTCCTCCATAATTCTTGGATCGCCATTTTGCGCCACTGGCGACCATATCCATCCCTTCTGCCCCGTCTCAAGATAAGGCCTCTCACCTTGGACAAAAACCTTCCCTGTTACGGCGCTCGCCCAGGGCAGGATCCTCTCAATATTCTCTCTCGTGTCAACATACGCCTTGTTTCCACAATTTGGTGTCAATTTTCCCATAAAATGACTCGGATACTGATACGCCAAACTTTTCAGGTACACGAAACCTTTCCCCTCACTTCTTTGCAATGCTTTTTCTGCTATGTTTGCGTATGGACTATGCGATCCGGCAATGTTCCATAGGTCAATGGCGACATCCGGTATAGCTTCCCCAGCTGCAGGATTGTCATAGTAGACGAGTCGATCCTCCCGAATGACGGGACTGAACAAGGTGAAATTTTCAATCTGACCAAAATTCGTGTACGGCGAAGTCGAACGCCACGGCGTAATGACTTCCGAAGTAAAGAGGGACTTGTACTCTGTTGTTATCACAAGACTGGAAAACCACCACGTGATGAATAAGTATTTCTCCCACGTGTTCAGTATCACGACGGGAGTATAGTTTTCAAACCAGGATGACATCAAGGTCAGCCCCGTCTTTGCGAAAAGTTGAACAAGTGAAACTCTGCTTTCTATTTCTCTGCGCATAATCACAATTATCGTCGTACTTGTCGCCAGACTGGTCACCAAGGCAATCCCGACCCATGGTTGAAGGGTGGCCGTGTAAAATCTAAAGTTCATTTTAGACGCGACCCCTGCACAAGTGATAAAGTTGTACTGCACTTCGCTGACCGGTATGATAAAAATGTTGCCACTTTCATGGTCCCAAATACGTCCGATTGTTTCAAGGACGGGAATTATCATGGTGTACGTGGTTGGCCGCCAGGTTGGTGGAATTTCTGGCAGCGCGGAAACGTTTATCGATTTTATGGTAGATTCCAACATGACGAAGTGCATGTATTGCATGAAGGTAAAGGTTTTTAAGGAAATTGATGCTCTAGAAAGGTAAGAAATTGGGAGAAATGAGTCCTTCGTGGGAAATATTTTTACCAAATGGTTGACCACCTCGGGTAACGAGTGTCTATGCAGCTCATCCGATCCGGAGTGGCGGATGGGGAATTGGAGGGGGTTAGAGAGGACGAAGGTAAGAACGGAGATGGATTCTATTTTGATGAGGTATTTCATCAGAGTCCAGTGATCCTGATATTGGGTAGGGTTAATCTTAATCATAGTATTTACTGGACAATGGAGGCAGAGGTAGGGTACACTTTTTGAATGGTTGGAGATGGTGGCACTTTCAATTAAAAATACTTTACCACGCTTATTAGATCCCGCAAGGTTGGTTAAGTGTTGAATAGAATCGTCTATTTTGTCTTTGGGGAAAACAAAAATGAAAACCGAATATAGTGTAGGGGAGAATTTTGAAAGTTGAGTAGCAAAGATTTCTGCGACCCAATATCTTCTACCCACTCGTGTCACAGTTTCCAAGTTGAGGATAATGTGGAGAAAGCAGATCCCCTCGTTTTGTTGATGTAGGTTTCTGAGTAATATGGGACGAAGTTGATATTCGGAATTTTGACTAATTTCAATCGTTTTGTTAGTGAAAATTTGCACAGGTAAATCAGTTTGGGATGATATAATAGGAGTGAAAGTGTCGAGAGGAAGGGAATTGTTGTGCAATAATATTCTGGTAAAAGTAAGGAAACACGATGAAAAGTATGTTAAAATATTAATCCCTGTGCAACTAACTGGTAAAAAATGGAGTAATAAATTGATTTTGTGAAAAAGTTTCATTGCGAAATACATGTACTAACTTTATAGACATGATAGTGGTATAAATTGTTTAATATATGCGAAAGGAAATAATTTTTAGCGATAATCTTGCTTGTGGCCAGATGGGCGAGGCGTTATTTAAAGTATTTCTTGGGATGGATCTCGATCATTTATCCTTGTGTGGAGGGTGTGAAATTATATTTGCATAGTTATTGATCAGAAAAGTCCTTTAGTTTGTGACTTGAGGAGTTCCTAGAATTTTGGATGCACACATTTTATGCACATATTTAAGATTTGTTATTAGTTATTTAAATTTAACTGTGGATCAACTATAAAAATATTTATTTGTTCAACAAGCTTGACAAAGTTTGAATTATAAACATAAAGTTTAAATTAAAATAATTGTACGTGCATATGGCAGTTTTTTCGTAAAAATAATAAAAAATTGGAAGGATTTATATATGAAACTAATTTGTTGAAGCGTGAATTCATTCTGGCTGTGAAACCTACATTGAACTTTATTGTCGTATTGTTTGTACCTATGTATGTAAATATGTTGCTGAAGACTAGGACATACAAACTACATGCGAAATTATGTTTCATGTGTCTTGCGATTTAATTTCCAGATTTTATAATAAACATGTGTGTCACCCAGCATTATACTAATTTTACATATGTAGTTCATAGGATACATACATACACTATTTAGATACATTCCATTTTCAAACAACAACTACAACAACAAATGCAACAATCCACACCATCAAGACTCGTAGTTTCTCTAAGTCTGGTGTTAAGCCGTGGAATAGCACCAGAGGGAGGAGGTTCTACTTGGCTTGGTGTTGGTGGGGGCGGCTGTAATCCGGATCGCTTAATTATAATTTTCAGACTGACCCAAAAAAATATTTGTACAATTGATCCCCAAATAACGACTAAGTAATATGGATAATAATATCCATCCCCATGTTTCCCTTGGATTGCGAGTGTAACACCGATACATAGACAGACAACACACGAAAGCATTGTGCAAGTCGAACAACGATTTGCTAATCCAAAAAGTTTCTGAAATTTACATCGTGCAAAAAACTTTGAGATTGCAATTTGTGTTTACATACATATGCACATAAGTCAGTCTATTACCTGACTGGCCGTTGCTGGAGTTACATTGTAGAAAAAGTGAAGACAAAATATTGCAAAAAATGTTGTCAGGAAAATTATGCAACATCCAGAGCCAAACCTGGCCACTTGAGCCACTGAAACAAACAAAATTTATAAACTTCTTCTTAAAAAGCAAATTTTCTAATAATTTTTAAGATCACTAATATAATAGTTCGTGTTACGTTCAGCATATTCCGAGGAGTGGGGGATTTTTGTGACGCCTTTTAATCCAGTTCTTATTAACTCGATCACCAGCAACAAACCAATAACCTACATAAAATAATAAGAAATACGAATATCATGAGAAAGTGGTGTATTAAGTATGTATGTATGAAAGTCACAACTTATTTCCATACAATATATGTTAGTCCAGTTAGCAGAATTCCTATCTTTAGTGAAAAGCACATTTATATGAGACAGAAATTTGTAGTTTCAAAACATTAAAAAAGGGCACAATAAATCTCTACTTATCTTACTTTTGATAAATAATTTCAAATTATAATAAATAAGCAACTCGAACGAAATGGGATCCCTGACTGAAACTGAACAAAGCTTTATTCACTTGCGAAATGAAGAGAAAGTAGAAATCCGAGAAAAAACACGGCTCCACTCTGCCGGATTCTCAAAATCGATAAGTACGTATTGATCCGCACTTCTCCGCTCTACTTTCTCCTGTCAACTCTACAAGTAGTAGCCATGCGTTACGTCAATCTGGCCCAGGTCGGTCATCTCTCCTACGTCTCAAGGAGGAATTTCGCCAAGGTAAACCCAGTTTCATGCAATAATTACGCAATAACGGAAATCTTAATTGTACATTAATTCTTAAGTCCAGACTTGACTGAACCATCTCACAAGATGGGAAAACCTGGTATTTCATCGCCCTCCTCCACCACCGAGGAGACAGCGCTTCTCCAGCCGACGAAACATTCCTCCAAACCTGCGACCAGGATTTCGATAACTTTGCTAAACTCAAACCCAGACAGCATCCTTGCCGCCGAAATAATTGCGACAAGGGGGAGAATTCCTGTCGCCCTAAAATGCCCATCCTGCTCAAATGTGGTGGAAGCCACGCAGATCGAGAAAGTTAGAAATGTGGAACTCGCTTTTAAATTGCAGAAGCGTTGTGGAGCTTTATTCGGTGGGATGGTGATCATCACGTGGATCGTTTACGGGTTGGATTATCTCTTCACGAGTGCACCATTGGCCACGGAGGAGGAGTGGTGGACCTTCGTAAAGACGAGTTTACTGTATCAGACTTTCGTTATTGGGTGTGGGGCTCTGTATTTGACAATTTACTACTTCTCCAATTGTAGCAAGTATCGAGATGTGGTACATTATTGTAGCGTTTGCGAGTTTAGATTGGGGCGAAATAATGGATTGGATGATTATAAGAAGGACAAATGCTGGCCAAGGTTTATGCAGATTACTTAAAACTGATGTGGAAAATTTCTCCGTGCTAAATATTCAACGTTTCAGGGATTAATAATCAATTAATTTGAAAATCAGACAGATTATTCAATGTAATTTAGTTAAATAAATACAATCATGTAGTAGAATTCAGGTTGTCAAAGATTTATCATTATCAATGTCAAATTTTGAGCTTGCTAAAATCTCAGTGTTGTCCTTGCCAAAATATGCGTAACTATGCGTAATATTATATTACAATTTCCTTCCAAATTCAATAACAATTTAAAACGATAATATGTAATGTTCTATTCTATATTAATCGTAAATACGTTTAAAGTAACACGTGTATTGATTTAGCTCGGGCTAATTTAGAAATAATAATATAGTTGCTGGTTTGATTAATGTGATGTCACTTACGGGAAGTAATAATAAAACAGAATATTTTAATGTCTCTCCTAACACTTTATGGTTACAGACATGGTCATTAGCATCATGCCAGATATTTGCTGGAATCAATTAGATATTACGAATCGGTTACAAATTATTAGTAATTATTGACAGGACATGAACATTGTAGTCGTCAAGCTCCATGACGAAAGTAACCTTCAATTAAAGAGTATAGCTCAGTAAGAATTTGACTTGTTGAATCAAATAGATTTCTTGAGGATAATTTCTGGGCATTATGTGGCTAATTTAAGCATGTTTACTATGCATACATATGTAGTGTAAATTTTATGTGCATCATGTGTATTTGCATAGCAGTTGAATAATAAGTCATCTAAACACATAAACCAAACTCATAATTGCTTCATCTTGTCCATCATTTGAGTACAGTAGTCATATTCTACGCAATAGTGACTAAATTGTAATAATAATATGCAACTGAAAATCAATTGAAAACTTTACACCTTCATGACGTCAATTGTTCTGTATGTAAATATGTCATAAATGTGCATATGCCATTATACTTAACATTTTCTAGAATACAGTAGAAATAGAAACTTAATTACGTATAAATAAGTTAAGACTGACAGTGATGCAATTTAAGATTTGAATGTGTAAGTAAATAATGACAAAATAACATTTCAACAATAATGTAGCACGAACAATGCTTTCGGGTGGTTTCTATTTGTCAAATTAAATAACAATGTCTTACCTGACAGCTCATAAATTAAGCAGCATTATTAATGCTGCATACATACATGTATAGCTCAACCAAGAAAGTTGGACAGAAAAATACAGTCCTCACAAAATCTAGACCATGAAAGCAGACAGGCACATATGCGGGTAAAGTAACCAAGTACGTGATGCAAAGCACGGTAACAAAGCTAAAACTTCGAGACCAAATCCATAGAAATTACATGCAATACCTGTGGAAGACCATAGCTTAATGTAATCATCATCCTAATCATGGTCATCCAGATCTTTCTGATTTAAAATTTAATTTAAATTAAATTAAATTAAATATTTCTTGCCCTGCTTGGAGTTTTTAGATAAGTGATGTTAGCTAGAACATGTTTATGTACATATGTACCTGCCTACCTTCTTGTTAGTCACAGAAATTACGAAAAAATTAAAACGCCCAAACGTATTTACCAATATTTGACTGAATAATAAAATGCTGGTATTATTAATTATAAAACGTTATCTACATTTACATACACATACATAAGCAGTCTATCCGATTGAGTAGCATAAATGGGTTCAAGAAAATTGCATTTTTGTATATTTTTAGTATTACAACTGAACCATTTGATTACATAACCAGGGAATTCAAGCTGAATGAGCCGTTTCCATGGGAGCATTTTACGTGCAATCTACCTCGCTCACTTCTCATGAAAAAATTTCTCTTTATACGCAACGTGCACTTCCCCCACCAATCGTGTTCAGCATCGTTGTGGCAAGTATGACAAATTTCAAACAAAATACGTTTTCAACTTCATCGCTTTTATAACATGCGTTCGTAAATTTTGTGTATGTTTAACATATTTAATTGAACTAATTCATTAACTCTAAATCAAACATGATGTAACGGAACGGGGCAAATATGCGACTTTTTATCTATATTATTGAAATCATGACCATTAAGTACATATGGATTGAGTAATACGCATACATATGCTATATACTTGAGTGACTTGCAAATTCGGTCTTGTGAACGTTTAACATGGCACGTGATGATGAAAATTGTCCAAGTGTTGAACTCAACTTACAGTAGAGTTCAATCCATTTCTACTTGGAGTGTTGGCTCTGCCACCACCACCGCCGCACAGTGTTCAAAATATCCTTACGGCCGGCAAAAATAATTTGAGGTATGAAATGGACCCGCAAGGTAGAAATTCAATCTGGGTTTTGGTTATTTCGATTTCAGGGTGTGGGTGTGGTTGAAATAATTACATTTTTATCGAAATTTCGTAAAACTCTGAAAAATTATAGTTTTTCGGATTGATGGTGAATCTTTTTTTGGCAAACACTGTCTTGTTTAAAAATAGTTTTATTGCTCTGGTGAGGAGAAATAAAATGTTCTATAAAAAATAAATGTCGGCTCTACCCGCATAGTGCATAACTTTTTCAATCAGGGTATAAGTATTATTAATTAATAATAGTATGTAATGGTGTTATACTTCTGCCAACGTAAATTTTTAAAATCATATTATTTGTAACAATTGTGTGGAAAAACTTAGGCTATACTAGTATAACTTGAGAAGTTATCTTGCTCCAACACGTTAACTCCAACGTTCATGTCGATGGCATATTTTCTATTTTGTATACGCGATATTTTTGACAGGTTTTTGGATAAGTTTTTCATAGCCTTTTCATATTCAAAGTAATTCCCGATATACATGAAATCGTTATTGAAATTTTCAAACCCGGAATGCACTCTAATTTTGGAAAGATTTGTGTGCTTAACAAATAAATTTTCGCACTCTGAAACTAAATATTGTGAGCAGTCTGTTACTTCCTGCAAAAACCTGTGAGCTTTCCCAACAACTGGGGTGAACTCTTCTCCCATAAGCTCTTTTGCAGCGCGCTTTTCAATTTCTGCAAGGTTTCCTCCTGAGGATCCTCGAATTCTTATCATCTTTTCCGTGAGTTTCCCACTTGAATGAGAGAAGGCTTCTGCAACATTTATTATAATATTACGGTACGTAAGTAACATATCACCATCTCGGCAACATTTTATTCTGGGAGCTCATGCTCGAACGCGTCCTTAACTTAGCGACGTCGTAAATTAACGACGCCTTAATAACGACGAATTATAACAACGTATGCTCATCATTTGTCGTCAAGGCGTCGGAAAATGTTGTCGTTATGAGTTTAACGACATTGTCGGAAAAAAATCGTTAAAATTTGTAATCCATTTCCGATGAAGGGAGTGGTTCACAACGATCTTGGTAACTGAGGAGTTTTGTTCTTGCGTTTACTACCACTTTATTTTAGGTGTAGGAGTGGGATAAAATTTCAACCCACTTGTAATAACTTGTCAGACTATCCAAGAAAATTCTTAAGTAAAATGGGGAAGTCATTGTGAGCAGACATGTTTTCGAGTTTTTAAAATTATGTCATAATTTAAAAAGTTACAGAATTTACAAAATCAAGATTTTAGCTTAAAATTTGTTTGGAAATTCCGTTACGGACTAAAACGGGTATTCAGAAAAATGCAAAAATACGGGTCCTCTTAATATTGAGTGTACAAAATTAGTTTTAAGGTAAATGCAACTTTGATATTTTAATCTAAAGCTAAATTTTGATACTATAAATAAGTCGTTTTGAAAAAATTAGCAAATTAATTTTTGAGCAAATTTACTATGAAAAATTGCGAATTGTGAAAAAATTTTGAGTTATCTAAAAATCTCATTTTTCATAAGCACAGAAGCGCCGCATAATTATATTTTTTCCTTCAATCTCTCTCGATTAGGACTGCCAATGACTTCGACTCGAACTGTTCGAGTCAACGCATTTGACTCATGAGTTGCTGAGGATGAGTTGAATTGAGTTTGAGTCAATTCATTTCATTCATTCAATTCATTTCAAACGACTCATTTCAAAATGAGTGACTTGAACAATAATGAGTTTGAGCTGAGTTGCGGAAACTCATTAAGAATTTTTTATTGTCAATTTACCCTTTTTAAGATTTTCACCTTGATCGTACTCAGCGAAAATTTTATTTAAAAATCAGAAGTTCAAATGGGATTATTTGGCATCTTTGTAATGCATTTACTTAATACGTTACTCTAAAAATAGGTGAGTTGACTAATATTATATGAGTTGAGTTTCAGTCATTGACATTTAGTTGAGTTTGAGTTGAGACGAATTTGAGTCGACTTGAGTTAGAATCGACGATTTATATTATTGAGTTGAGTTAACTCAACCCATTGTCTCAAAACTCATGGAATTGATTCAATTTTAGAAATTGCATTTGATCTATAATTACTATTTTTTCCCGTTTGTAATAATTAAAGCTCTAAAATTAAAATTTGATTTTAATTGAGATATAAATTAAAGAACTTGCATTTAAATTTAATTATGTGCTAATCTCCGATAACAAAATTTCGGGCAGTCCAGCGACCCAATTTATCCTAAAAAAAAGTTGGCGTCAACCTACGCAAACCAACATATACCCACTCCCTGGTCAACAATCGTTAATAGCTTCTCGACCCACTCCACCATAAAATATTTGCATAATATATGAACTGATCCTAATTAACAGCAAATTACGACAAATTTATCTCGTTTCGACAGTTATTTAGGCGTCGAAAACTTTTACGACAAATTCCATGGTCTTACCGACAGTTCAAGTTTTGAGCATACGTCGGTGTCGTTACTAGCGACAAGTGCTAAGGACACATGCTCAAATGTGTCCTCAGCAATACCGACATCGCTAAAAATTATTTTGAGCATGTGTCGCTAATTTTTACGACGTCGCTAAGCTAACGACGCGTTCGAGCATGAGCTCCCTGGTTCCCTAGATGGTGATACGTTACTTGCGCACCGTAGTAACAATTGCATTAAGATATATAATAATTCAAACGCACTAACCCTTCGTGTCGCCCACTACAAATTCCGTCACTATATCATGTGGGTTATTTTTGTTCTGTCCACCATTAGTATTGCAAGTTGAATTCCATTTCATGGCATGAGCTACATGTTCAGGTGCAAACCCATGCAGTAAACTCAGATAATAGTGTGTTAAATTTAGATAGTTCTTGTGTGACTTTCCTTGATATGTTATGAGATGTAATTTGCGGAAGATCATTATATTGTCACCGTGATTAAAGTTAATGGCGGACCTGAAACACGGCAAATCGCACATCATATTAATATACAACCTTATCATCGCAGGTGGCTTATTCTACCTCTAAGTTTAGAATGGAATAAAGAAGAGTTTTCGTGTATTTGAATACTTGATCTGCGTCGTCTTTCATGCATTTCTCTGTGCAGTACCATTTACCAGTGAAACTATCTTTGGTAATTTTTTTCCATTTCATATTTCCTCGTTTGGCTGTATACTTCTTTATACAGGCCTGGGAAAAATTCAAGCGGTTTAATTTATATCGACACATTAAAACAAACAAAAATATTCTTACTTGGTGATACCACTGGTTTTCACTACAGTCATAGTTATCGCAACAAATCCATTCCGTTGTTTTATCTTTGGCGTCATATGGTTTGAGGCAGAAACAATATCTGTGATATATATTTAATTTGTAATTTAATAATGTGCAACTTATTTAACACCAACATATGTGAAAAATCCTTCTATTTTAACAAATTGTGTGCCGTACTGTTTCTGTTTACATGGCCTAAGAATGTCCGCAAATTCCATTTCCATCAGATCCATGCCTATTTTGCTCATGAGTTGATTGAGCTGAGCTTTTGATAACCCAGAAATATTAATAGTTGTCAGTCTCAGCCTTGCATATGCTACAACATAGCTCCGAAGTGCAAATCGCAAGAATCGCATACAAGGATTGAATTGATGAATAACATCCTGCGAGACCAGTTTATGCTTGTATCTGAAAGTATCATTCATTTATCATGTAGGCCAACCCCTTGGTATGCAACTGTTTTCTGGCTAACTTCAATTTTAAATCGTTAAGGCTGCCTTTGGTCTCCCACACTCTTTGGTTCGATAAGAGGGTTTTCATAATTTCGGTCCCGACTATTGCTTGGTTTTCTTGTAAGATGAGAATGATTTCCCGTAGGTGCAACTGCTTCATGGTAGTTACTTCTGATTCTTGTAACACAAAGGCTGACATTGGAATGTCGATAAGGTCAAGAATTGGCCTAGGACTTAACACCATCCTCCAGGGGGTGGCAATCCTATCCCGAATTGCAATGAATACCACCACGTTCAAACTGTGTAAGGTATTGGTGTTTCCGTAGTGTCTGGGATGTATGCTTTTATTTAAGTTGTCATAACTTAAACAAAAGCTTTTAAAACTTTCCTCTTGCGTTGAGACATCAGAAAAATTCAATTTCTTTCTTGCCAAGCTACCTCTTTTCAGAGATAGTGAACGTGCAGGGGTTGATGTTATTCCTGGAGTTACGTTAATCTCATCGTCCGAACTCTCATAAATTCTCAAGCAGCTTAGAGAACTGGTAGCCTCTTCTGGTTGAAACATAGGCCGGGCATTTCTGCTCCGGGGATTTTGGGAGGAAACAAGTTCGTCTTCAATCTCCTATAATAATTTATTCTGAATTATCCTCATCATCTTATTCATATGTTACCTGCTAGCTATTAGAATTTAAGCCTACGGCTATTATTTAAAATTAAATATCTCGCCAATTTCAAGTAAAACTTTTCAGACTAAATTTTGACACAATTTAACAAAATCTATGGTTGCTAACCGGCTTTACCTTCTTCCAATCCCGCACAGGTTTATCAAATGTCTTCTGTTGTGTCTCCATGTAATTTAGTATAGTCTTGTAGCAGACTGATATGCCCATTTCGTGAAATAATGTGTATGTCTGTGTAAATGATAATATTGGCTGAATTAAGTATGAATTAAACTTAAAAAGATTAAAACCGGATCATACGTTAACGGATACCCCGTTCTTCCAAAGGAGAGCGCCAACACTTTTAGCGAAAATGTTGTCGTGCATTCTCCGCTGGTATAAGGCAATCCCAACTATGCTCCGCATGGCAGGAGTGAACAGACCTTCCCCTAAGCCAACTAATGCTCCAAGAATTGATAGCGTAACGGGCGCAAAGTTCTCACATTCCTCATAGATTACATCAAGCGATGGGAATAGATCACCAGAATTCTGACTCCCGAATGATGAGTTGTCACCCAGTACAGCAAGTTCGGCATTTATAATTCGATTTATGTTACTACGTAATGATTTGAAACTCTTTTGATTGGTGCGACTAAACACGTTTTTTAACTTTTGACCAATAGGAGTTGATTTACGTTGTAATGCTCCTTCAGATCTCCCAGCTGGATGCCGTGCTTCATTTTCGGATTCCACTTCGGATTCTTCTTCTTGCAAAAGTGAAGCCCGCTCGAGATCGTTATTTTCGCTTATGCAATATTCTGCGTTTTCTGATGAGTGTGAGTCTAGTGCACTTGCAGAAGTACATGGTTCTTCATATTGTTGAGGTAGATGCTGGACACTGATGACCAATTTTCTTCCAATATAGGTGTTGTCTTTGGTGCGTTCCTTAAATTCCTGTAACTTAATATATGCCGTCCCAAGCTGCAAACTACACTTTTGGCACAAATACCGCAAGTCCTTCTTTGGCCGGGATGGTGTTGTGGTCAGCACGGATGGGAAAAACAGTTGAATAGCCTGATTCACAGTGCAATCCGAATTTTTTATTCGTGATGAAAAATTTACGCGGTTTTTATCTGTAACACCCGCGCAGTTATCACAATTTACTAACTTGTCTTTTACCATGTCAGCGAACGTAAACCCACTTCTTACACATACAAAATGATTTCTGGATAAAGTCGATGTCGTACTTGTGAACCAAATGAAACTATAACTAAGTTTACTTTGTAAGATGAGATTTATTGAAATATTTCTAACTTTCTATGTTCACATACAGCACAATTGTACATACAGCACTTTCTATTTCAACATTGTGGCAGGCGAGTTTGAAACATCAAACCTATAGAACAACGGGAACTTTCATTTGTAGAAAGTGAAATCCATAAGTTATGATAAACAAAACTTGTTTTAAATAAACAATACATGTTGACTTTCATTTTTATATTTTTTGTTTGTTTGATATAAACTATGGGACCGTTCGTAAGGCATGTTATCTATGTTACGTATGATAAGAATCGTTAATAATAGAATGTTGTATATTAAATTACTACTAATATTTAACGTTAAAACTTCTCCAAATGTACGTCGTATTTTGTGTACGGCCCTTCTGAGATGCATATATTTAAATCGCATAAAAGTTTGTCCTACATCGCCCGTTATAGTGCAATTTTTCCTAGAGTTTTACGAAAATCCGATTAAACCCCATTGTCGGCCACTCCCACAGCCGGGAACCAAAATAACATGCATTCAGATGGAGTCCACACGATTTGCGTCCATTTTATGCATTGAATCATTTTTTACCATTTTATGAGGTATTTGTGCACTGTGCAATCCTCACTTTTCCTCAGATATCGGAGGAAATACCGGGGCAAAATCCAAGTGGACTTTCATTGAACTGAGACACAGTGTGTTTCAGTTCAGCACTTGGACAAGATGAAAAGGGGTTTATTTATGTAAAATTTATGATATCGTGTAAATCCTAGACATTATATTACCATAAATACAAAAGATTCAAATAAGCATGGGACCCACAATTACAATTTACAAGATGATGAGCAGGTATCCAAGTTTGCAGGCAAATAGTCTCAGGTTGACTCGTATCACGTACGTGAGAACTAAAGCAGAGGCAGAGAAGACGAGGAAATATACGCACACTTTTTGCTCTTCATTCATCTGTCGTTGTTTGGTAGGGCTGGCGAGAACACGTTTTTCATCCTCAACGTTGTCGCGATAAACGTACGCACTTTTTCATTCCAGCTTGTTTACATTTTTTCTATTGAAACGTAGTAGTGAAATATAAGGCTTCATAAATTATGAAGCCTTATATTTCACTAGGCATTAAATGCCTAGTTCCAGTCATTCGTAAAAATAGTGTCGTTACGGAAGGAATTAATGGAAGTCTAAATAAATAAATAGTTATTTTTATAGCAATTGGAACTTTACAAAGTGTTTTTGACAAGTGAGTTGCAGTAGAGTTTAGTTAAATTTAGACATTTGTGACACAATGATTGATTTTAATTTCATAAATTTAAGAGAAAGGTGTATTTTCAGTTGTTAAGTGAAGAGGACATTGCATTGTTGAAAAGGAGTAAAATTGAGAGTCAGAATTTGTTGCTGGGAATTTGAGACATTCGGTAAGTCAATAGTGAATACGAGATAGCCTATGAATGAATAATTCCAATAAATTTTGATAAGGAACGAAGTATGGAATTTCATTCAACATTTCAACAACAAATTTGAGTTTTATCAATCTTGGCTTGCCAGATTCTTTCATAAGTTTCCTCTTCTCCAAGTATTTAGTCTTATTCTCTTATTCGGTAGCATTCCTCATCTCATCAAGATTGGTTTAAGCCATAAAATTCTAAAATCAGATAAATGACGAGACATTCGATTGAAGAATTTCCCCCATGTATCCATTTTGGTATAAACTAATAAGGTTTTGAAATTATTCAGGTTTTTAAGTTTTTAAATATCTCACAATGAAACTACCCCCGCCATCCCCGGGTAAAAATATGTTGAAGACGCTGATCAAGACTCCAGTGACCAGGGGGTTACAACCACCTTCCGGCCACGCAGTGCCTGAGATAGTGACACCCACTCCAAGTATTGCCCCCTCAATTCCCTCATCGGCGCAATCCATTGAGCAGAAACGAATTCTAATAAGGAAGCAGCTCGTCATTCTGCTTCATGCGATTGTGTGCAGGCGAAGGGAACATCGAAACAGAATGAGGGATCCGACATTCTCATCCCCGGTACAAAATTTTAACCTAATTATGCACACAAAATAAATTGGCTTACAATGATTTTAATTGCATTAATTTATTTCTCATCGTTGTCTTTTCAGCCTTGCAACGTTCCTTTCTGCGGTCTCATGAAGACTACTCAAATTCACCTGAACGCTTGTAAAGAGGGAGAAGCGTGCAGATTTAATCACTGCGCTTCGTCAAGACAAATCTTGATTCACTGGAAATACTGCGTAAAAGCAGAATGTCCCGTGTGCGTATCGCTAAGGAGAGTCGTTCCAACAAGCTTACTTCAGATCTTTCCGAATCCGTTGTGTCGAGCGGAGATCATGCAAAGAGTCGCCAGACAGCAGCAAGGTACCAATCATGGAGAAGACCAAGCGGTCCCGGAACTTATGGAGTCCGAAGAATGATCATCATAACTGAATTTACCGTTCCTGTATTTATTTACAAAAAGTGATTTATTTTTTGTGTACATATAAATATCCACAATTCTTTACCACTTTTCTGACACGAAATTTTCCAGTTTTTGTTGAAAATGCTTTAAAATCCAATTATAGTAGCGTTATGAATTATATTTGCTGTTGTAGTCAAGTTTTCGACAAATTTAATTTTCCTTTATTTATTGATTCAGTTTTGAAAACGATTGACTAAATGCAATTAATGAATAACATGCCAACGTTTATTTACATTTATCAACGTTTTCAACCTAACGGAAGCGATTCCAAGAAACGAATGTGTCATAAAAAGTATGATTATGATATTATTTATCATTAAATCAATAGTTATTATTCATGAAAATGCATCATTTCCTACCATTCAGTAAGTAATACTGTAAGACATGAGATTTTGTAGATCAATTGTGTGTTCAAGGCGTGAATTTTTATGTATCTATCATCTTATTATTAGAGAAGAAAAAGGCGTTTTAGTATTAGAGAGAGAGAAAGCACTGAATTATGTATCTGATTTATTGTACGGTTATTGACCCATGATTTAAACATTTCGTTCCAAAATTACTTGAAATGTATGAATAAAATCCTTATCGTGAACATTCACTTTAAAGATAAGATTATGAGATTTTGTGTGCCGTACTTGTCAAGAAACGTTTGTTTAGGTTATTTCGCGATGAATGCGCAAGGCATATCAGTACATTCGACTATTCTCATCTGAATTGTCTCATGACCTGCCATTGCATTATTTATTGGAACGTTCTCGTTCTTAATGTATATTCGTTCGTATGATACATAGGGGTGTCAAAGCATCTTATTTTTCTTATGTTAAATATAACATGGGGCATATATGTAGGTCACAACACCGTGGGGTGTAGGAGTAAAAATTCTTCGAAAATCGATCACATGCTCTATGTACGGCCCCTATAAACTGCATTAGCTAGTTATCCTTAATACTTACTATCATATCGTCTTTGGATTTACTGAAAAGTATGCATGCATCCACATTCCTAGATATGTACTTACATGCATGCTTTTGATACTATAATTTAACTTTGGAATCATCCAACTCCATACTAGTTAAATACATATATCTTTGCTTTACGTAAACTGTAGATATCAATGTAAAACGTTATAGATTTAAAATAATTATGCAAATACTTATCTTGCAAGAATTCTTTAGATCGTACAAATACATCTTATTATTGCATTGCAAATTTTGAATATTTATTTACCAAATTATTTAAACACTTTAGGAATATTTCATTCTCCACTTGTTTTAATTATTCAATGATTTCCATGTAGTAATACAAACTACATTAGAAATTTTAAGAAAATTGAATGGCTGATTTTATTTTCCTACCGTGACCCAAGTCCCATCAGGTCTTTTTTGGAAAGTTCCAACCAGTTTTCCTCCTTGATGTGGTTGAGCCACCATTTTTTTCGACCCCTTTGTCCCCCCGTATTGCGGAGGTAGTTGATTCACATCGACCAAATTGTCCACCAACGGTTTCCAGGTAGCTTTATCTCGGTAGTCGTCAAACGCATTATTCGTATGGTCCGACATGATCTGACGCATGCCTGATTAATTATATAGTCAAGATGATATAAAGTCAAGTTTTTATCAAATGTGCCAGACTAGAGGCAGCATAAACAATGTTTTTCATCTTTGGACACCAGAAGTTATACTGATGGAATACAAATGTACATAAAGATGCTGATAACTACCTGGAATGATCAGGTTGTGAAAAATGGATGGAGCTGTGGGTTTAAAATATAGGAAATGATGACTTTATGAAGATTTAGGTATTCATGAATCTCAGCCATTCTAATTTGTTCCTGTAAATGTACTTACAATTCAACAACATTATTTTCGTGGCCAATTTTGGATTATTTATTTCCCACGAATTGGTAATATCCCAGTAGAAAGTGGCACCTAAAGTAATGAATTGATTTGCTTTTCTGCATTTTTCTTGCTTCTTTGAAGTCTAATTTTCAATCAAAATCTTACTTGCAATGTTGACATGTTGCATAACATTAACTTTGTCCATGTCAACAAGCCAGAGGAATTGGGTCACATTTTTCCCAGCCTGTTGTTCTTTAAAAACTTGGGCTGCAGCATCATCCGTCATCTTGTTGAAGTGACGGACAAGCTTCTTATGCTTTTCCGGATCCAAATTCCATTTGGAAATGTCCCACTTTTTAAAATTCATTAGCAAAACTGGTAAAAATATGTACGGGTTAATGTGTATGCGAGAATATTTAAGTAAATTGTTGAATTTAGAATTGAGATTACTCGGTCTGCCAGACTTATCGCGTCCTTGAACCGTGTAAGGGAAAAGTTTCATCATTTCTGCCCAGTCTTCTTGGTTAATTGTGTCCATCTGGTTTTCTTCACGCCATTGAATGTGCTAAATAGACGGGCAAGAGGTAAGTAATTATATGTTTCGAAAAGCATGCTATTAAGTATCGTTTGCTTGCATTTCGAAACATGAGTTCAGCTTTCTCCGGGTCAAAATCTCGAGCTGTAAAGCATAAATATAGAGATAGGGAACTGGCATGAAAAACAATTAGCATGTATTTAAATTTCAATCCATACCTTGAAGAAACCGCAACAAGTACAAATCATTTTTCATGAACTCTTCAGTAATTCGGGGATAAATTCTTTCCTTGAGCTGAAATTTGATACAAGTATTTTATTCTTATTGTACTCCAAAGAGAGTTTGACTGAGGTTTTCAGAAATCGAACGTGGTTTCATGCCTGTTCGAGAGCTTTCTTCTCATCTCCATTCAATCTTGTGTGATCCTCCAATGTTAACTCCTTTCCAGGCAGATTTTCCTCTCCGTTTACCTTAAATGCTCCTAGAATTACTAGAAAGATTATGATAATTTTGAATTCCATCTTTAGTAGAATTATGAAATTTGTGTGTTTTGCAAAAGTGGAATAGAATAGAACATTGAGAGTGTGAGGTATTTTATACCTGTTGCTGGTATTTAATGTCGACGGTTATAACCAGGGTTCGCAGAAAACGCTGTAAACTTATGTGTTTTTTTATCAGCGTTAAGTCATATTTAACGATCGGTTTAGAAGATCTTTGGTTTTTTGGATCGTTAGAGTCTCTGGCTTTGCATTTGGTCCAAAATCGTTCCTATTCAATGCAATATTTTCAGCACTTCGTTTCCGCGAGTTTATTAAGTATATTTGTTGCTGTAGTTTATTTATTTCTGTTTGTGACACATTTAAAGCTAAATTAATTTATTAAAAACCTTGAAATTTGAAGACACGCTCAAAACCAGAAATATTAACATGAAAAAATACGTATCAGGCCGAAGTTTTAGCTAGATTTCTCAAATACACAGTTTTTTTTTTGTTGTAAGTTTGCTTAAATAGTGGAACCCTGGATATACCGTAATTTTAGCTGATCAACATCAATAACCCAATTGATTTTCATGTTTGCTTGCCATGCGATGCGTGTCTGCTTGTAATAAAAACGTGGAAAATTTTCCAAAGGAATTGATAAATGATAACTATTTGGTACCAGGAGGTGTCTTAAAATTTAGTAGCTTCTCCTACCCAGGGGGGATGGTTGTAGTAAAATGTTTTGCATTGGGATATATGGAAAAGAATTAATGATGTGTCGATTGACGTTTAATTCGATCAATAAGTGGGTGCCGAATTGGACCCCTTCTTATTTGCATGAGTACATAAATATGTAAATGTAAACTGGATTGCTTAGCTACAGAATATATCTAACCAGCTACGTCATATTTATCATGAATCAGGTGTTTGCATAATTATAACATATTTAACATTTGACACTACGAAATATGCAAACAATAAATTAGCGTTCAATCTTAAAGATAGTTCGCTCAAGAGACTGGATACTTGCATATATAAATATGTACTTACATCATATCTCATAATTCTGACATGTACCCTACTACTGATATTTTTCGATGTGACTGACAATGCTGTCTAAATAAAATTAGTTTGTAGTAAGTTATGACGGAAGGTAGCATTATTTGTGTATTTATGTATCAAGCAGTCTGTATCCGTGATGGGTTACCCATCACGGACTTAGTACAAATATTTGGACCAAATCTGCGCAGAAATGGAAATTTTTCTATTGCATTTTTGATTGAATCTATTATATCTAATACATGTACTGAAATTTACATGCGCTGGGTTCATGTCGTTAACACCCGATGACTTCACCCTTACATCGGCATGCACACTTCTCTAAATGTCTTCTTGATTTAGTAGCTCATTTCTAAAATGATATGAAAGTGGGTACACACTACACTAGATGAAATAATGTGTATGTAACAAAATTGCTTTTCATTGGCCAAAAACTTCTTACAATTTGATACTTTAGTTACCTAGATAGATTTGTTAAAATATAATCATTTGGAGCCAAGAAATTAAGCTGCAAACCTAAGTGAACTTGCACTTGATTTATCAATTGTGAATATTACTCAAAATCAGTTGTTAAAGTCCGCAACTAAAGTTCTCAAAAATATATTAGATTCATAATATAATACCACTGTCGCAACCATTAATAAATAGGAGCATTTCCCTAAATCATCTTCCCATTGTGAGACAAAGTATACGCCTTGGTATTTTACTGGTAACGGAACTTGTATATCTGTATAAAAGTATTGAATACAATACATAGTTTAAATTACTAAATTGTTAATCGAACAAATTAATTCTTTTGAACCGAATAGGACAATGTTGACGCTACTCTTCAACGACCCTGAAATCTTACTGATGTGCTTAATCGTTGGACTAATATCGTGCAAGATCCGATTTGCAAAAATTCAATATTCTGGACCTAAGAAAAAAGAGTTGACAGCATGTGCAACCGACGACAAACAGAAGTGTCTCAACTTTGCCAATAAATTCGACACAACTGGATTGGACACCAGATTTAAGGACACATCTCAAGTATTTGTGCCATTGCTGAACCCTGATTTTATCTCATCTCTGGATAAGATTCGTTTGTATTCTTTATATAAACAAGCAACCTGTGGCAACTGTCCCTTATCAGCGTTTGGCCTAAGTGGTAAGGGAGGAATTCGTGGAAAATTGTACTGGCTCTTACACCGTGGGATGACCCATTCTCAAGCAAAAATCGAGTATATTAAATACCATGCAAAACTACAGGACAATGAGAAAGTTTATCTTACAGTGCGAAATTATGCTGGTCGAATTAGAAACGATTTTCAGAAATTTTACAATTTTGAGCCTGTCCTTTATCCTGGACATATCGTCATTCCCTTAAATCAACTTCCATCACACCTACTTTCGGAGTATAACGGTGCAGTGAAAACGAAATACATGGGGGCATGGAGAGGAAAATTGGCCTACGACGAGAGAGCGATGCAGTACCCCAGACCAATTAGTGACTCACATTTCATCTCAATTTTTACGAATACGCAGTTTTGTAAATTGGTCACATATTTAGACCCTGATAAACAAAGTTTAACCCCGTACCTGAAATTATTTGGGTTGGAAGATCATAAAAATGATGAGATGGACTATTTCATCGCTGATTTGACTGGGGTGCTTGCCCTTCCACTGAGAAAGGAAGATAATTGTGTCCTCTGTCCAAGTGTGGCACTTTTTAAGCGTGGCGATCAGAAAAGTAAACTCTGCTTGGTTTCTATAGCGATAGAAAATTTGTTTGAAACAGCATCACTCGACGATAACGATGATTTAAATATGCCCCCATTTCCTAATTTGTTGGACAGCCTGAAACTCGTCCATCCAGGAAATGGCGTTGCTTGGGAACTTTGCAAATTGCATTCAGCACTTAATGCAAATTATATTTCTTCTCTAGGATTGCACACGGTTTTGCATGTCGTGCTAGCAGGTCCCATCTCGCTCACGTATGATTTTCTAAATAATGACACTTCCAATTTTGGAAGCAGGTCCATTATACGACGTATCATTGGGGTCCATTCTTTCGTACATTCTGCCGTAGATGCGAATGCTTTTGACTTCAATGAATCTGTCGTTTTTGCAGAAGGGGCGCCATATTATGCTTGGATGGTTGGCACATCGCACGGTGGTGTTTATAACATGATTCGATTAATTTGTGATGGCTGGAGGAGCACAAAACAACCCGTTTATGACGGGTTCAGTAATTTAGACGGGAATTTAGTACACAAAGAAAATGAGGATGTGTTACCTTTTCGGAAATTTGTTAATAGTTTTCTCCTTCCGATAACAAAATTTGTTGCGAAAGTGCTTCACCTTGTGAGAGGAGATGAAAGTGAGCAGTCATTTGTTGCAGAGTTTTTAACAAAACTGGGGGATTATTTGCCATTGAATAGTTGGTTAAGGGGGGAAATACACGATTTGGGGGGTAGTGGTGATTTTGAAGCATGGGGGATCTTAATGCAGAAACTTTTGACATATTTTATATTCAATGCGGTTGAACATTCGATTGAGCATTTCATGTTGGGCACTTGGTTGTTGAATGATATCCATGCAGTATTGCGGTACCATGAACGGTATCCATGAGTAGGGATAGATTTTGAAAATAGGAAAACCGACGTAAGAGAAATTTGGGATGCAGTTGGAAAAATTAATAGTATTTCGGACAGATCGAAAATGTATCTCATGTCAAATATGGTATTTAAACCGCATATTAGTAAAAGCTTTGGAGATTTATTTATTGTAGAGGGCGGATATTTTGGAAGAAATGAGGACGAGTTTTATGACAATTTTGGCAAGAGTGGGAATATATTTGTGAAACTGCAAAGTTATCAAGAAGAATTTGTGGAAGAGCTAAGAAAGGTTTTAGAACAAAAACGCGGCAGTGAATTATGTGCTAATTTTACTTTATTCGATTTAGGAGTTAGCGTTCAGAGTTAGAATTAAGAAACTACATAATATGTAGTTAACTTTCAATGCAAAGTATATTATACTTTGCATTGAAAGTTAATTAAAACGTGTGCCACTGGTTTGTTAATTATTATAACTATGATCTTTATAACGAGTAATTAAAATGTATACCAATGTAGTACATGCTATGTACATATGTAAATACTTCAATTTTCTCTAGTACTGTATATTTGAAATATGTACTGTAAATGCATACATAATATGTATGTACATATTATGTAATTTAGAATACGAAACACTTATTATATATTTATCCTATAGTCAGTCTGGTTCAAGTGACGGGGAATTGGAACTTAGTACCTGGGAAACGTCACCCAAAAGTTCCGATCCCCTGGACATTTTAGTTGTGCAAGTTACAGGGAAACGGAACCCACTTGTCGCAGGATTTAGCGGGCTTTGATTCTCCGGTACCCTATTAGACAAAAGTTACGATTCCCCGGAACCCAAGATTTTTCTTCCATTTTTCATAAATTGGATATATGTCAGGAAAAAAATTTTATTGTATCAAATTAACCTCCCACAAATGGGGAACATTGAATCAAAAAATTAGAATTTTTTATAGTCGCGCAGGTTCCTAAAATCACAAATTTCTGCCAAATTACAGGAGCGGCAAACTCAAAATGGTACGGGGAATCGTCACCCAACAATTATTTTCTGCGAAAAATATAATTATCTTTAGGGAAAAATAATTGTAACATAATAATAACGTAATAATTATAACAATAACTGTAAAATAATTGTATTTTTTGCAGAAAATAATTGTTGGGTGATGATTCCCCGTACCTTTTTGAGCTTGCCGCTCCTCAAATTTGGCAGAAATTTGTGATTTTAGGAACCTGCGCGACTATAAAAAATTCTAATTTTTTGATCCAATGTTCCCCATTTGTGGGAGGTTAATTTGATACAATAAAATTTTTTTCCTGACATATATCCAATTTATGAAAAATGGAAGAAAAATCTTGGGTTCCGGGGAATCGTAACTTTTGTCTAATAGGGTACCGGGGAATCGAAGCCGGCTAAATCCTGCGACAAGTGGGTTCCGTTTCCCTGTAACTTGCATAACTAAAATGTCCAGGGGATCGGAACTTTTGGGTAACGTTTCCCCTGTCCTAAGTTCCAAGCCCCCGGCACTTGAACCAGACTGATAGTACATATTTATTACGGAGGCACAACCTGCATAAATACCTCTAAGAACTTCCAACGTTCAGATGAAAATCGTGATTACGCTGTAACTTGATTTGATATTTTGAGCACAAACCGTGCACAGCATACTGCATCACACCCTTGCCCATGCTACATAAATAAATTGAATTTCATGTCTATGTTTAAAAAAATATCTTCTAGTTATAGATATTTATGCGTATGTATTTGCATATGTACTTACATACTCGTAATTATGTAGGTATACTCGTTAGATGCACGTGTTGGTCTGTTTGGTAGATTATCCTTGGTACCACAAGCTTTCTCGAGAAAGTACTACAAATCTTATGCTAGGGAAATGCATATGTTGTCAAGCGAAGACACTGTTCCAGTAAGAACTTAAGCAGTTGGATAAAAAGCAGAGGTTTAATCCGATAAATCATAAATCTTTTGCAGTCAACATTCATAAATACTTTCTTGAAGACATGTAATGTACATCATTATATGTAACCAGAGGTCAAGTTTATCCGGTCCAACGATATAAAAACCATATGGCATTACTAATCTAAATTGAATTTTGCGAAATTGAATCAAACTAAATACATCTGTGGTTAAGCAGGATTATTATTTATGTAATAGTAAAATAACAATTTGACCGGTCCCGTGTACTCATGAATTTAGTCGCAGATCAACTCTTCCATCTTCACAACCTACAATATTTCTAGCAATGTTGCAAGAAATAAAAATGTTGCTACCAACTTTCTCTCTGCTCCTTTTGTGTATCTCGTCAGCCATCTCTGTCAAGAATGACGACCCCAACTACGCCGAGAGGAAACGTTTAACAGAAAATTTGCTCTCGAAGTCTGAAGCTCCTCACATGCAACTCCGACCGCCCACGCCCACCGGGACCCCCCTCAACGTTACGGTGAATATCTATATCCGGGACATTTACGACATTGACGAAGATAGAAATCGCTTCACCGTCCAACTCACAATGAGACAGGAATGGACTGACAATCGGCTGGCATACACTCCAACCAGTGCAGATTTCAAGTACTTTCTCTTCGAGAACATAGGCCACGATGGACCACCAGTAAGTCACAATAACTCCGCAAATTGTGTAAAACTTACATATACCATAAGGTTTTCCTAATAAATAAAAAGACGCCATCCAAATGTGTAAATTTACAAAGATTTGTAAGCTAATAATCTTCCTTGGCTGACGGTCTTTGAAATTTTTTACACAAGCTAACCCTGTTTACAAACATCCACGTGAAGTGCGTAAATATATTTCTGTGAGTAACAAATAATGCATTATTTTCAGAACATCTGGATTCCTGACACTTTCTTCAGGTTTGGTTAATATTTTTCAGGTAAATATTTTTCAGGTATACATTTTTGAATTTTTCAGAGAAGAAATTTCAGCCTTTGATCATCGACTTCCTCATTTTAATCAACTCCTACGAATTTATCCCGATGGTCATCTCCTGCACTCAAAACGAATCACTGTGGAACTGCATTGCTCTACATTAAAGAACGTGAAGGAATATGATTGCCCGATTACTTTGGCTTCGTACATGTATCCAACGGTGAGTTTCATATTTACGTGATTTTTTTAACTTATTTATTTCATACTAATTCATGTTTTCATGATGTCGCTTAGAGTGATCTTAACCTGTATTGGAGAGAACTAGATGCTTATCAAATATGGGGAGGAGCCGCTACCGACTTACAAGGAGTTTACTTAAAAAATGTGACGACAAACTCCTGTACTCGAAAAACTTTGCTCGGTGATTGGCCCTGTCTTGACATGACACTCACATTCAATCATCATTTGTACGAGTGTCCATCATCGTGAGAAATAAGAACATGAAATTATAATTGAATAAAAATTGGCAAATATACATTCGACAAAAAATATTTTGTTTTATTAAGTCTTTGGTGATGATGACACGTTAAAATGGGCGAATGTTTCTTTCATCACATTCACCAATTTGTCTGCCACCTCAAAATTAGCATTGGCCCCGAGCAACGCAAATCTTATAACTTTACCGACCGAAGGTCCAAAACCATTATTCACGTCAACATTGTGTCTGCAAAATTGTATAGGAAATTAGTGCTTCGTGGAGATGGGAGTAATTTATAAAATAAAATATGCAAATCTCACTTTTCAATCAAATGAGTTCTTATCTCTGTTGAGTTCAAGTAATTTGGAAATGACAGCATCACAACTCCTACCAACCGATTTTTTGGTTCTGTCACGGTATCGGTGAGAAATGGAAATTCTTCTAATAATCTTTTTCTTAAATATAAGTTCGACTCTGCATGTTTTTTCCATGATGAAATTAATCCATCTCGGCTTAGCAGTGCTAAACCCTCTCTCAAAGTGTACATTAGCAGAATTGGGACGCTGTGATGCGTGAAATATGGCCGAGTAGCATCTAATCTCCAATAATTGTATTTTTGCCAGGATTGAAAGTCATTCAATAAAGTGTGTGGTGTTGTTGTGCGATTGGTCATCTTTTCACTACAAAATTGACAAATTGGTAAATTTTAAAAAAATACATATTTTTTTGTGAATTTCAATTTTCGTACACAGCTCTTGAAGAAAATGACATCGGAGCCTTTCCGACCGGAGCTCCGATTCCTTTTTGAGTGTTGCAAACCACGACGTCCATTTTCCACTTGTCCATGAAAAATGGTTGGATTCCAACAATGTGTATCACGTCCAAGACAGTGATACAGCCGTGCCTAATGGATGGATCATCGTAACATGTTAAAATGTGTAGTGCACATGCACATTAATAATTATCTTAAGACTCACTTGTGACACAAATCTCCTATAAAATCTACTTTCTGAAATACACCAGCGCTTGATTCACCATTCACGGCATAAACAATTTTCGGCTTTTTTGACCGAATTTCTAATTCGACTTCTTCCATGGTGAAAATTGAACCGGGTGGCTTCATCATTGGGATGGGAATCCCTTCTAACAATTGAAATCAGAAAAATGAATGCATTTTTGAAACATAATTTTGTCATTACTCAACTTACTCAGCCTCGTAACAATTTCCTTCACTCGGTCAGCCCACATTCCGTTGAGTAAAATAAGGACTGTGTCGCCAGGTTCGACAAGATTGTCCAATACAGTTTCAATCCCCAAACTTCCGGTTCCCACGATGGCCAAAGTATTGGAATTGTTGGTTTGAAAGAGGTAACGCAGACCGTGTTTTATGTCCTCAACGATCTGTAACAATACGATGTGTGTATTTACAAGTGCTTTACATGAGTACGGATTTTAGTCATAATATTCATTTTTGCAACCTTAATCACCGCATCTTCTGCGATTGCCATTTGTGGCAGGTTAAATGCAGCTATTGAACTTGGTTGAGTTGGATTTCCACGACCTCCGCTGACCAGCAGGGTTGGTTTTGTATCAATTTTCTCCAATATAGAAGAATGCGGTGGTAGAATGGCTTCATTTCCCCAAGAGAGCCAGTCATGATTATTTTGACCTCCTTTATAAATACATAAACAAATTATTGAAGTTCTTGCGTTAAAAATAAGATTGGGATTTTCTAATCAATTTTCTAACCCGCAATTAAGAACAAGCAGGGTAATATGATAGCTGATGTTGTAGCCATGTTAAATTATTTGAACGACTTATCCAAGCAGTAAATTCAACTCGAATACATTTTTGAAGCTAAAATCGACCCGAAGCGGCTAATGGGTTAAAACATTTGTGTATAAATAAATTGCCAAGTTCAAAGCAATTTTGTCAAGGTCGGAAATCGAAAAGGAAATCTACAGTGATAAAAATGATAAAGTAAGTCGGACGAATATCTAAATTCATTTTGAAAACTATGCTAATTGGCAAACTCATTATTTCCATGAAATGTCCACATGTCAATTAACATTGGCAATGTCATAAAATAACTTTCCACTATCGGCGTACCTGACCAAAACAATGATGAATGAACAATACGGCTACAGAACAATTTGCATGTGTGCAGAAACGTCAAACAAAGCTGTGTGCGTTTTCATATGTGAATTCCATATGACGGCAAGGCATTCAAAAATTAAACTTTTAATACTAACATGAACAAAATATTGATCATTGCAAATTTATGTTTCCTGTGGCCACAAAAAAAATGTCACCAGTGTAAAACAGCCAAATAAGATACATACATATGGAACTTGGTTGTTCATCATGGAAAGTTTTCCCCATATAATTTTATAGCTTTGTTTATGTCGTCTGTTGAATATTTGTGAATGAACTGATTTTTATAGACTTATTTTTCTCAATTAACTAAGGTTTCAATTCAATTGAGACTTCATTGGAATTCGCATTAAGAAAAATCAAACAGGAAATGACGCCAATGTCGACCTTCTTGTGGCCCAGACGATGATAAATGTTTCATTTATAGGAAATTGCAATTAGTATAAATACCACACGCCCTGAAATAAAAAGTTACACAACGTCTCCAGTCATCAACCTAAGATATCAACAAGAAAACTACAAGCAAACCACTCCCATTCGCCATGAAGACTTTTATCCTTATCGCCCTCGTCTTTGCCGCTGCAGCGGTATGAAATTTCTTTTGAATAACAGTCAATAAAACTTATTTAATAATTTGTTGGGATATTTTCATAACTAAAATTCCGTTTCCGACAGGCTTTCCCAGCACAACCTGCTCCCGCTGCAGCAGCTCAACCCGCCCCAGCCGCTAATGCGAACGAAAAGAACGCTCCCGCCGCAGCAGTTCAACCCGCCCCAGCAGCTAATGCAAATGAAAAAGCCGCTCCCGCTGCCGCCGCGGCGTATCAACCCGCCCCAGCAGCTAATTCGAATGATAAGCCCGCTCCTGCCGCTGCTGTTGTTAAACCTGCCGATAAACAAGCCGCTGCTTCAGCCAACAGTTACGAACCAGCACCAGCTGCTGCCGCGAACTATTATCCTGCCCAATAAGATTAGATAAGAGTTCTGATTGACACATGTTCTGGCAAAGATATTTATTTTTTGTACTTTGAAATCAAATTTTTTAAGTTCACAGATAAATTGGCGGTCATAAAAAATATTTTGTTTTAATTGCTCCATTGTTATTTCATTTCACTAAATACTCTTCGATGTTGTCTGTAACCATTGTTTCTTCGCTGACGCTCATAAACTTGAAAATTCAAATATTGGAAAGGAAGCTAAGTTGTGCATACATAAAGTGTACATGCATGGAAATTTGTCTATGTCTGCATGCAGAGCTTTAACTAATTTACATACATTATACTTACGTGAGTCATGGTACTAGATACTTATTGGTATTATAATATTTCAATTTAAACCATTTTTAAACTTATTTCTGAATTTTGTACTATCATTGTGATTTAAAAAAATTAAATCTGCTTTCTACATTAAGTACTGGTACGTGTGGATATTTACACACATAGTTTTCCTCTCACCATGAACTAAAAATACAAGTGATTGATTGATAAATATTAGTAATAATCATGACAGATGAGCTACTTTTGCTATGCATAAATGTTTTAAAATTGATGTTTTATTTATATCTAGTAACTACATGTATGACGTAGGAAAGCCTTAGGATTAGTGGACCAACGTAGTTGGTACATAGTAGCATGGACAAATTGTGAAAATAAGAAATGCGCACTCCGAACGTAACTTCGGATCCAAATTTTTCAAAAATACGAACTTATGTATTCTTATAACCAAATATTTAAGTACATGCATGAATACAAATGTGAGATCATTAATCAGTCATGCACTTATCAATTTTATTCATAAACAAACGTTTAGTTATCTTTCGGCGATAATTGTTCCTACTGTACGCTAATCAATGTGATAATCATTCCTTTTTGTTTTCACACCCGCAACCGGACGCAACAGTCAATTATATCTCAAAACAGAATCCCATGACATAATACAAAGCTAAAACAATTTATTATCTGTTGACAAGAGATTTCTCACTTCTGTGTATGATGTAACTTAATTCTCCAATTTTATAATTTGCATATGCTCAACATGCATATATGTTTCTATCGGCTACGATTCTTGAATTACATATGGTGTCATGACATATATTATGAATCCCAATTAAATAAATGACGGCATATAAACAAATATTGGTCAGATTATACACACATTTTTACTGTACTTAAATGAAATTAAACAGTGTAATCAATTTTAAATTTATTGATAAGTTTTTACCAAAGTTCAAGAGTAATATGAGTAATAATCAGAAGTAATGAACTTGGGAGACAAGCAGTCTCACTTAATTTTACAACCTAAATACATTTAGAGTTTATAAATTAGCTATCATAAACTCGTAACTGACTCATCATCACTATCGAAATCATAACTAAGAATTTCATCATTTTCACTATTATCTAACCATTTCTTCATCAATGGCACGTCTTCAATTATTTCCAAGCCTAAATGACTCTCAAAATCACAACCTTTCATGGAAAAATTGGGCAGATGCGTTAGTAACTTGCTTCCTGAACAACGAATTAATTTGGCTTGGACAGCATTCGTCCCGACGAGGATAACTTGACCCCCAGAATGAACATCAGTCAAGGTTGCATTGGACGCTTGAACAAGTACCGGTACGCCATCACCGTGGTCGACCATTGTATTTCGTGACCTAATTATCAAACCCCAGTCCTCCTCTTCGGAATGATATCCTGTGCATGATAACCCACGAATTGTATTATTTTCACCTACAGAGAAAAGATAAATGCCACGAAATTTCCCTTCCACTTGATTATTTTTAACCAAGGAAACATGAGCCAAACTGTTTGAGCTACCACCAATCAATATTCCAAGTTTTGTATCAATAATTCGGACATTTGTTACAGAATTTCGAGAAGATTGGGGCTGAATTTTTATTCCGAAAATTTCTATATTTTCTAAATCTACTTTGTCAACTTTGTTGTCACATCCTTTTATTGTTAGGCCTTCTAGACAATGAGAAAATTTAATGTTTGAAACCACATTGTTGTTACCGGATATTAAAAGACCTTTTCGACTGTTAAATGCGACATTTTCAACTTTGTTCCCATTCCCGATTACTTCTAATCCATAATTTAACCTACTGGAAACCATCGCAACGTTAGAAATGGAGCAATCGTTTTCAAAAAACGTTACACAATTTTGACCTTCACACTGAAAAATGGTGCGCTCCATGCTTTCACCCGTAATAACAACTTTGTCAGCATTTACGGAAAATGGCCCTTTGTAAATTGCATCACGTAACAGAATTGAAGTCCCACTAACAGCTTTCATCAAGGTAGATTTGAATTCTTGCGTACTTCCTACCTTTACTACTTTTTCTGCTAATTGTGCTTCCAAAATTTGCAAGTAATTTCTAACCCTTCTCAAATTTGGCAATCTATGCTGAATTTTCCTTTTCGTCATGCTAATTATTACTGCCCGAATGCCCTCCCCTGCTAAAGGATGGCTCTTCACTAGCTTTTCTTCCTCGTCATACACCAATCTTTCGAATAAGCTATATTTCACGAATTGCATAACTTCCCAAATGATAAGCCCTGCCGAAAAAATATCTGCGGGATAAGAATAATCTTTTTGTCCAGTGCGACATTCCGGGGCCATGTAAACTCTCGTCCCTGCATAGGAACTCAGTGAGTCAGTTTGCGTCCCCTCAGGCGAAATTTTACGACATAAACCGAAATCACCTATTTTTACGGGCAATTTGCACCCTTTTTCTGTAAACATGATATTTTCAGGTTTTAAGTCGCGATGCATGAGGTTGTGCATGTGCAGAAATTCCAGACCGGAAATTAAATTTGAAATAATTTCAACCTGGTCGCGTTGAATGAAGAGATTATTTTGTTTGGTTTCTACCAAGTTGAGCCAAGTTCGTAAATTTTCTCCGCATAGTTGCATCTGGATTGCCACGACGGGGACGGGTTTGTCCCTTTTGAACAAGAAGCCCCTGACCAGCAAGGACCTAAATTCCTCGCCTGGAAGAATAACTTCAATCTCTAGGGCAGTGTATTGCTTCACGTCGGAATCTATAACTTTGACAATGTTGGGATGTTTCTTCAAGTTTTTGGTGATTTCGGTCTCCCGAACTATTTGTTTTTGTCGTTTGTCATCCTCGTCGACGGGGAGGAGGAATTTTACGGCATATTTTCCACCATCATGGTCCGTGGCGTGAGCTACAAGGCCAAACGCACCTTGGCCAAGGCAGAAGTCATACGTTTTAATGTTATTTAGGAAAGAGGAGTCTGGAGAGGGGTATTGAGCTAGTTTTGACATTGTTGTGGGCGAAATGGTGAAATTATTCTGAAAAGTGACACCATTTTTGAAAGCTTGGTAAATAATTGAATTTATAAGTATGCATTTTTAAGGAGTATGAATGCCAGTGGTGCATATTTAAACACTTACTTGGATAATAAGTCTGTCTCTAATTGCACAACTGGAGGGATGCTAATTACGTATGTATTACTGGAAAGCTTTACATGGCAAGACTGGATCGTCCAGTGTGATTGCATAGAACCATATGTAAATATATGTGTGTACCTACTTGGAGCTAATTGAACTGTCCGTTTAGAAGACTGTTATCACTGGTGTGACTCATTAACGGAAAGTTAAAATGGGGTGTTTATGTATACCCTTTAAACTTCCAAGATAAGTTGAGTTGAAGTGTGTGGAAAAACTTCTCATGCAATCTGGACATGTTGTAAAATTAATTTGCAGTAATGAATTGAACACCGAATGATGATTGGCATTGAGGGCCAATTAATGTTGTCATCGGATCTGAATTTCAGAGATTTTACACCATTTGGTTTTTCATGTGGGTTTTTAAGCGAAATTTATAAGGAACTTATACTTTTCCATTGTTTTTATTTACTTTTCATACTTTTCATAAAAATACATCAAACTGAAAAAAAATCATGAAACTAATCGAACTTAAGCAAAACTTTGAAAACCTTCCACCCTTAAATCAGCCCCTCGGTTCAACTCCTCCTTAAAGACGTAAATCACCCAGACGGAGTACAAATGAAAGATTAGGATGCCAGTCTCGCTAATTTCCAACATAATGTTAGCTCTTGACACGAGATACACAATCGACATCACCAGCACAACTGCTTTCACACAGACAATTATCCAGCAAATATTGACAATTTTGTACTTTTCCTGCATTTCAAAACAAAAATAAATTAATGAGACTTCCTAGAGGAACTGAAATTGATATTTATGTATATAAAGTCACATTTTTAATTCCATAATAGAGCGTGACGTGCAGGCTGAAAAACAGGGATGTCAAGCAAAACACAACCAAGTAGTTCAGATTTCCTATGGAGAAGAAACTTTGTATTAAGAAGTAGCAAATAAATTGTGCGATTATAACAAACAAAAATAATTTAACAAATAAAAACAAGCATGTAACACAAGTGGTGGGATGATACTAACTTTCTGACTCGTCCGTGGGTGAAATATCTCCAACAGTGGTCTTGATTCCACGAAAGAAGTAGAACACCGATAAGGTCATGTTGTACAAGGACATGGCCTATATATTTATAAAGTTTAGATGATAGCAACAATAATACATACATAATGCACTTTTTAATCGAAACTGGAAGATATGGGGATGCTATAACTTTACCATAAGTGTAATTGCGATAAATTTCGCTCCAACGTTTAGTGTAACAAGTCCACAACATGGTTTGGGAAGAATGGACGATAAGCCATGATTACCAGGATTTTGATTAGGGAGAAGTTGCAGGGGCATATTTGATGGATTTCTGGGGACTTCTTCCCAATTTTTGGAGAATTGGAGAACTGAGGAAACTTTGGGATGAACGGAAGGGAATAAACGTTTGTAGTCAGATTAGAAATTCAGAATGAGGGAAGTTGAATAAGGGACTAAGGGAGCCGTATTTGGCATATATTTACATACATGGCCTTCGGCTGGATGAAAATAAGTGGAGCACACTTTCTCTGTATACTAATAAATGTGTAGATACTCCTTCTACACTCCAATTCCAGGAAGATTATTATCCCTTTCGTATTATTCTGAATTTCTGATATATTTAGAGGATCATACGAAGTACATTTAAAACATATTTTAAAAATCGGCTTCATTTATTGCATATTGGAGCATAAATTGTGTAAATATTTATTTGCATGTACAAACTACAAACATATTGAAATTAAGTAAGTCAAAACCTTAGAATGCAAGAATATAAATCTTATGAATTGGATCTTTAATTAATTGATATGGGTTGTGGAAAATAAATGTACACTAATAAATGTACTTGTAAATATGTGCGTATTCAGTAAAACTCATAGCCTGGTATACACATACATATATACCCAGTATATGGGCATGTATGTAGGTATGTTGTATGTATTTATAATGTGTGTAAATAATATACAAGTAATAAATTAAGTAGATAACTATAAAAGTAAATTGTAGAGCCATCACAAAAACCTATCATTCAATTTTCGCATTTATAAAAAAATGCATCCATGCATATGCATGCACATAACAATGATGGCTTGACTAAATCCGTTAATCAATAAAAGTTTCTTCGTTCACGCCATTGTTGTGAATATATTTAGCTTAACAATTTGAAAATGGAATACATAAATAAGGATTTGAAAGATAATTGACTGTTTTATCCACAGTTAAAAATAAAGCCTAAATTCATTGTTTTTACTGTTCTCAAATTCATGTGCTTTCGTCCCGGATAAATATTTATAAAAAATTAAAGCGTTGTGAGCAAGGTCATTTAACATGTCTAACTTGAACGGTTGGTCAATTACAATGGACTTCGATGATTTCATGTTTGACGTTGTATCTATAAAAATTCCAGATTCAGGCAGTTTATCCGTTAAGTTAAGAGGCATAAGAGGAGAAATATTTTTCAATATTATTTTTGTCTCTGTTTGCACTTCATACTGACAGAACTTTCTCTGATTGTAGTTGTTTTGAGAGAATTTCATTTACCACAATGCCCATAAAATTCAACTGAATGAAAGAATTCCTAAAAATATAAAATCGAACATGCTAATTATTGGCAGGACGTTATGGTTAATCCAAAATAACTGGCTGGAGTTGTTCCTAAACCTGGTTGTGAATTTCTTCGCTTTCTCCAATATTTGAGCTTTTGATGGCAGGTTTGCGTGCAAAGTTGTCAAGATTTTTTCACAATCCTTATACATACGTGGCTCAAAGGTAATATTTGTAATTCCAAAGAGCAGTTTTTTGAGCAGTTTTATTTTCAGCCTTTTAACTACCAGGACAATTTCGAGTTCAAATGCACGAAAGTTTTATGCATTTGCCAGTTTCTAACTTTGAGCTCGTGTATCTTTTGAACTGCTAATGGTAAAAGTGTGCAACTTACATCAAATTGAACCTACTGAAATTGTCTTTCCGAAACAATTTATATTTTACATGTATAAACAGCCCGCATCCCAGGATCAGACCCACTTTCGACGGGTTGAGGCATATTCATACTCTGAAATTCAGAGTATGCAAATGCTGCAATTGTTTGACTATGCAATCTTTCAGCATTGAATACATTGCAATCGTATCCTCGCCTCGTTATGATTCTTGTCATCTGTGGAGCTGACTGATTGAACAGTTTGCTTGTCGTTGCTCCTGAATATATAACATAGGTATATCTATGTAGTTTCTCCATCAGTGTATTCTCCAAAATTCTCAACCTGTTGCATTGCATTCAACTTGTTCAATATTACTTGGAAGGCTAAATTATTGTCTGTCAAACTCTCGAATAATTTATTTGACAAACTCTCCACTTTATCATTCACACATTCTTATCGGCTAATTGGCAGGACAGATTAAATTTCAAGAGGACCACGTCGAGCTGGGTTACACAGGTAACTCCACAGTTCAATTAAATTCAATTTATGGGATTGCTTGGACAGAAAGTGTACACATTTCTGAGACGTTGTCAAATTTCTAACTTTGCAAGATTTGCTACAACAAGGGCTGCAACAATGAGTGACGAGACCCTTCTGTACCCTGCCATCGAGCCATTTTTCTCCGGTCACCTTAAAGTTTCTGATCTGCACTCAATTTACTACGAACAATGTGGAAATAAGGATGGGCTTCCAATCGTCTTTTTGCATGGGTAAGAGTTCATGGTAAGAATATAAATAAGATAAGGTCCTTCAGCTAAATTTACTATTTTAAAGGGGCCCAGGCGGCGGAATTTCGCCACGAGATCGGCGATTCTTCGATCCTAAAGCCTACCATGCTGTCCTTTTCGATCAACGTGGGGCCGGAAAGTCGACACCGGCGCATTGCTTGGAGGAGAACGATACTTGGAGTTTGGTGGAGGACATTGAAAAATTGAGGTGTGGTCGTGTGGTATTAATGCATTTCGCTTATTATGACGCAACTGGATCAGATAATAATTATTTCATGTTAATTTTGCACCTTTTAAGAAAACATTTAAACATTGAGCGATGGGTCGTGTTCGGTGGCAGCTGGGGCTCTACGTTGGCCTTGGCGTATGCTGAAAAGCACGTCGATCGCGTCTTGGGTCTCGTTCTGCGAGGTATCTTCACCCTGAGAAAAGCAGAAATTGACTGGTTTTACCAAAAGGGCGCATCGTTCATGTTTCCGGAAGCGTGGGAACAGTATCTCGAGCCAATTCCGGTGGTGAGTAACTAATTTATAATTGAGGCTGTTATATATGCTTATTGTATTTTATCCACAGGCAGAGAGGTCTGACCTGCTTTCAGCGTATCATAAACGACTCATCGGAGAAAATCAGACTGAGCAAGTAAGGTGCGCCAAGGCTTGGTCCACCTGGGAAATGGCGACGTCGCAACTTCGTACAAATCCGGAAAACCTTGCGAAGGCAGCAGAGGATAAATGGGCGTTAGCATTTGCAAGGATCGAGTCCCACTACTTTGTCAACGAGGGGTTCATGCGGCCAAATCAAATTATTGAAGACGCTGGAATCATCGCAGACAGCGGAATTCCCGTCTCCATTGTGCAAGGGCGGTATGACGTCGTCTGCCCAGCCACGACTGCATGGGACCTCTTTAAGAAGATTCCCAAGGCGGAGTTCTTTATTGTGGATGATTGTGGTCATTCCGCGAAAGAAGTGGGGATTACAGAAAAGCTGGTGGCGGCTTGTGATAAGTATAAGAGTCTGAAAAAGTAAAACTGTATAAAATCATGAATTGGATTGGATACTGAAATTGAAGTAAACATGAAGATTTGTTAGGTTCACACAGGTATGATTTTGCGAATAAAGGATTAACATTATTTAAGGAATCATGGACCTTGGTTTTAAAAGGCATATGTACAAACTTGAATAGTTCCGTATACATAAGTACATATGTATTTGTAAGTGCATACATACGTAATTTACAATGTCAAACATTAAGTAGGGATTCCACTGAGTACAGATTTGCTCACCTACTTAAATCTAATTACTCTATAGCATAGCTGCGAAAAAAACTGCACATCATTAAATTATTTGAGGCGTCAGACATGTTGTTCTAAAAAGGCCAATATACATGCGTGGATAGTAATTAAATCAAAAACATTAATGTGCAACATTTCAACTTTAATGCGAGACTGATTGCGTGGGAGTTTGAGTGCATATCTTCAGAAATAAGCAAATATACACACATGCCTACCAACCTTCTACTTTAGTTCTAATGCGATATCCTCCAGGAATCTGGAAATGTGACGGACGTAGCTATAATACATACTTATGTGTTCCTTCGTTTTAGTTGGAAAACTTAATGATGGATACACGATGATAGATAGAAATAATTGAGTTTGTATTCATTACAACATTGAAATTCTGTCGACAGGAATAAACACTACAAAACATGGAAGGATACTTGGAATTTCTTACTTCTATAAAAATATAACAACTTTTACGTAATTGTTACATACCTTGTGAAGCATTTGCCAATTATTTAGATATGTTGTATGTCTGACTAACTGGAAAATACGCGTGGATATCGATGTCATACATGTGCATACGTTTTATGACTAAACAATTACATGCATACGTTGATTTCGATGAAACATGCGCCCCAATGCACAATATGCGTTATTCGATGCCTAGTTTTGTTCTCAAGATACAACTTTCATCCAAATTATTCAATTTTATAATCCAGTGCGCATGGCATGGGATTTCCATGTTAATATAGGTTTGTAGTTTCATTATAATCAGAAAATCTTCCAATCTAGTGAAATTTTATACCATGTGGATAATTATAAACTAATTGATGGATGCATGTAATTCCTATATGTTTTTTATTACTTAAAATACCTCCATAAGGGAAGGAGGAAAACTTTTTAGCCCAAGAAATGCACGCACATAGTGCATAATTAGTCACAGGGTACGCTATATACAAAGAAGGCGTTCCTCGTTAGATTTCTACCATAGCAAGTTAAACCCGATCTTAATTAAATTTTTACCAAGATCTTACTAAAAACATAAAATCAACTTTCACTACAAAGTATAATTTATTGGACCAAGTTAATTAGTGCAGAATTAGCAATGATTCATACCATAGATGTTTATGCAGATCAACCAGCCATGGAAGTAGAACACGGTGGTAAACACTACTCAGATAAAGTAGTTTTGAACGACGTGAATTTGAAAGTTGAAAAAGGAATTATGTAAGTTTGTGAGATTTCAAAATTCGAATTGGTTATAACTACATATGTATACGTATTTCTTACAAAAAGTAATTTATTACAGATATGGGCTTCTTGGGCCTTCCGGATGCGGGTAGACACTAGATTTTTATAACATATGTACATACATTTTAATTAAAATATTCGCCATGTTTTACAACATCTTAGGAAAACAACCCTTCTGTCCTGTCTCGTTGGTGTGCAACGGTTAAATGCAGGACGGATTACAATATTTGGCAAGAACGTGACAAAATATAAGAATGGAACGCCTGGCAGAATGCTGGGTTACATGCCACAGGTTGGATCAACTCGATTTATACTTTCATAAATTTATTCTTGATTAAGTGCTATTTTAATCATCCAGGAAATTTCGCTGTACGGAAACTTCACAATTTTCGAGACTTTCGCCTACTACGGCGTGCTTAATGGCATGACGGAAGAACGTATAAAATATAAATTGACTAAACTTTCGTCCATTTTAAATTTACCACATGTAGCTAAACTTGTGGATAAATTAAGGTAACTTATTTCTATATGTTTATCCGTATCAGGTAAAAGTTTAACAACTAAATATGTATGACATTTACGTATCATAGTGGTGGCGAACAAAGGCGTGTCTCCTTGGGTGTGGCTTTACTACACAATCCTCAACTCCTCGTTTTGGACGAAGTAAATAATCATTATAACTAACCAGTAATAACTATTATAATATAATTATGATCTCCTTCATTAAGCCCACGGTTGGAATTGATCCACTATTGAGAGAAACGTAATGACAATTAATATGATTGCTGACTGTTCCTGGTTGATTTAATTTATTTATTACTGATCTCAGGATTTGGGACTATCTCAAACTTTTAGTCAAATCTCAGGGAACGACAGTATTGATGACGACGCATTATGTTGAAGAAACCGCAAACTGCGAGAAAGTCGGTGTCAGACCTCATTTAATGTCAAACTGAATTTTGACCGAGCAAACATTGACATAAATTGTAAAATAGATTGGCTATATCAGGGACGGATCCCTTATAGTCGAAGACACTCCTTCCTCATTACTGCAAAAATATGACACCAACAGGTTAGACGACGTCGTGCATAAGCTTTGCAACAATGTGGAAATCAAGGCGACCTGGCAAGACTCTCCGCAAATTTACGATGCACCAAGTGTGAAGCCAACCCAACTGGTGCGTACGCATTTAATATATTTGATCAGTATTTTTATTGATAATAAATTAAAATACTAAAAATTACTCCATATATTGTTTAGAAATCGTTGAATGTCAACAATGTGGTAAAAGTTTGGAACGAAACGAAATCGAATGAAGGGTTGACGGGTTGTTTCGACAGCGACATTTTAAAAGTCCTAGTTAAAAGAAACTTGACAATCTACGTGCGAAATCCCTTGTTCGTGCAAGACATACAAAATTAATAGGTATATTTATATATCAATTGATTCCAATTAACACATTCTCCTTTTTGCAGGATAATCCTCCTCGAGTTTATTGTGTTAGTATTCAACGTATATCTATTTGTATATCTTGCCGGCAATCATCCTCTCGGGTTGAAGATTGGATTTGTCAATAATGAAGGGACATGTCCAGAAAATTTTCAGTTAAACGAGTTGAAGAATCCTGGGAATTACAGTTGTGCGTTTATATCAGAACTTGTTAAGGAAGGTTTGGATATGGTGAGTTTCTTCATACACGTACATTTAATGTACTACATACTTACATATGTAAATGCATACATATGTACATGAGGATTGGAGCATAATTGATTCACTTCGAATTGTAACGTAATATCCGAATTGTGGTCAAAAGTGGTCAACGTTCCGTCCTGAAGAAGAACGGAAATTCGAAAACTTGATCATTTTTCCACAATCGGGATGTTACAGAGTGAGTCCCTTTTCCTTCAGTTCTTATTTTAACATATCTCCACCTTCACAACTTCCCACCATGAGTATGCACATGGTATTTTATTTTTTCAAATTATAAGTCGGATTTTCTTAAAAAAATTCTTATTATGTTAGATTCCAATTAGTTCTGAAATGAGGGCACTAAACGATGTCAAACAAGGGAAGCTTTCGGGTTATATAAGCATCCCTGCGAATTTTTCAGAGCACTCGAAAGCACGCTTCCTTTTCGGACTGCATTCCGATAATGAAACTCTTGATGGGTCCACCGTAACAGTTCGTCTAGATCATTCAGGTATTTATAAATATGCTTCATTGTCATGATTTTTTAGTATTTTTTAAAAATTTTGCCGTACCTATATTTTACAGAATATTTATATGCATTCTTCATCCGGCAAACGTTATACAGCTCTTTACAAACATATATTCAATCTATTGGGCTTCAGTATGACATTGACAGCCGAGTAACGACACTTCCGATTTCGGTAAGATACATATGTGATTTATGTAAATATTCATCTAAACAATTCATTCACACAGTGTTTCCTACTCCGACAATGATTATGCATACCAATATTTATGTATATATGTAGTTCTCCTCCATTTTCGGACCCGGAGATGAAAGTTGGAACCCGTTTCTTATGCCGGCTGGACTGCTAATGTATGCAAAAATAATCGAATTAAAAAAACATCCGACAGCAATTTTGCTTTGTGAAATTCTAGAGTATGGTGTTTTTACGGAACAACTTTGCCACTATTTTACATCCAGGACAAAGCCCAGCACACCCTCGCACGGACTCTGGCTACAGGTGTCGATTATTACAAGGTCGTCCTCTCCTATTATATTGCGGACATGCCATGTGTTATTTGGCAGTCTGGGATTATGCTCAGCGTCATGGCGTGGGTCAAATGGGACGAGGTGAAGGGGAGTTGGGGGCTGATATTCCTCATCTTCTATCTCGTCCGACTTATATCGACATCAATTTCCATCTTTGTGGGGACATTTAGCAAGAAAGAGTTGAACTGCATATTTCTTGCCGTCGCTGTTTTGTTCTTCTGTATTTATGGGTCAGGTACAGAACTTTTACTTACTTTTGTAGTTGATTTCCATAGCGTTGTGATATTCGACATGGAAATGTAAAAATTAATGCGATATTCTGGAATGTGATGTTGCAGACACATTTTGGCCAGTACAGTCCATCGTTTGGTGGTATCGACCTTTTTGTTATTGTCTTCCCATCACATATCCGCTGGGAGTATTGCGCTCTGTCATTGCGAAAGGTTGGGGACTTTTCCATCCAGTGGTTGCAGTGTATGGAGTTTGTATTCCTTCGGTGATGATACTTGTTCTGTTCGGGGGAGGAATTTTGATTGAAAAACGCAACCGAAAAAACTAATGCGGAACAAATTTAGATATTTTTGTATTCCGATAAGTCACTAATGAGTTTCTTGTACCTTAATTTAAAAACATTGCAGTATTACACTGTGTAAATATGAATTTAGTAATTATTGAATAAATTTGTGGGAGATTTCTCCTGGATTAATCTATCTGAATGATTGAAATATGTATTAATAATAAATCTTAAATATTAATTAAAAGATTTGCATTTATTTATCTATGCATAGACAACCTACTCATACTTAACTTTGCAAAAAGTAAAAAATTTTACCAAACACAATTCAATATGTTGTACATATACATATTTATATACATATGTACTTAGGATTAGACTATGCATCAAATTTGCTGGAGTTAAAGGTCAACTTTACATACTAAAATACATAAAAGGTAATCAGCTTCCAAAGCCCAGGAAATAAGAAATCAGGTCATACTTCTTTCAATTACAAATAGAACTTTTATATATTTACATGAATTTACATGCGCATGTAGGTTACGATACCCACGTAACATATTTAATAGTAAATGATAATCAAATTTCGAGGCAAGTGTGTGAATAAAAAATTTATTCAATATCGTAAATATGTCGGCATTACATCCCATCCGATGTCAATGCGACATTTGCAAATAATGTTCGGTTATTCTTAGAACCACGTAAAACGGTACACTGATTCACACTCTGTACTTGTACTTACATATGTACATACATAAATAGATACATACGTCTACGTCACAATCAAAATCAAATAATCGTAGCTATTAATAAACATATTGACGTATATAATTATGATTGATTTATTACATCTTAGGATTAGCCACCCTTTGCAATAGACGTATAAGTTATCTACGGCAATATCATGCAGCACCCACCCACGGTCACCGACCGGTACAAAGTGTCTAAAATAAACGTGTGTGCCTTCACTCACAAATTTTTCGTTCTTTACGAAATGCATGGCCACAAAAACCCGTAAGACTTTTGTCTAGGAAGAATCCACTTGAGAATAAAAAATGTCCAGAAAATTTAGTATGACTCAAAAGTTCAATAATGACACATCGCTTCCTTAAAATTCTACAGTTACCAAGTTCAATAGCTTTTTTGTCAAACGTGTCGCAACATCATATGAAACGTTGAAATTTAACCGTAAGATAAATACAGACACATAGGTAATGTCAACTCTACCTACGATGAAACTGCCGAGCAATGGCAAACTGAATAATAACTGAGCAATAATTAATCGTACAAACATTGCTAATCAAATACTGCGAAAAATCTGCATACATGTAGCCTAATAAAAAACTGAATAAACGATGATTTGCAAAACGATGACACGGAAAAACCTTTTAGAATAGCACACAAACGTCAAGTCCATCCAAATCCTATAAACAATATGCTACAAATACAGGAATTAATTCTTATAAATTTATTAATGCAGCTTTGAACTTGTCAAGTTGTGCATTTTTGTCCCTCCGTTTAAAAAAAATAATACTATTAATATTGAAATCAGGAAAATGGAGAATTTCAAGTTTTTCAATTCGTTCATCATCATAATTTTTCTACTCTTCGCTACTTCTTGTACGCATGGAAAACGTAAGTTTTAAATTTACTTAATTTTATACTACTGAAAAATCAGCTCGTCACTTTCCTCTCTTCAACTGTTGTTGAAAATCTAATTGTTGACAACAACCTTGCATATTGTCTCTTTCAGGTATTCCACGCGTTGTGGGCGGATTCAGCCATTACGCCCCCCACCAAGTAAGTTTGGTAGATACCGAAGCAAACACGCATTTCTGCGGGGGATCAATCCTAAATTCGCTCACCATCGTTACGGCCGCTCATTGTCTCTACCGTCGGAATCGTGATAACGAGCTGCCATCAACAAACATCCCGCGAATGCCGCATGAAATCCGCATCGTGGCGGGAGAGTACAGTCTTCAACTACGTGACGTTACAGAACAAATCCGTCAGGTCAAGGTGCTCCGAGTTTATGGCGGATTTGATGCGAGGACTTTGCAAAACGACATCGCCCTCATTCAACTCACAGTGCCTCTTAAAATAAACCGATTCGTCCACCCAATTCGGCTACCTAGTCGAGACAGACAATTTAAAGGTTGGTTTATAAATTGTGGCCCCACAGATATTTATTTAGTACATTTTTCTCACATATTTTGTAACACTTTATAGGAAACGTAACCGTGTATGGGTGGGGATCGAATCGTGCCAAGGAATTTTTCTTTATAGGCAATACTTTTGTGGTCACACCTGACACCCTGCAATCCGGCGTAATGTCAATCATCACAAGTTTGGAGTGTCGTACTGGTCTGGATTACTGGAGTGGATTAGATGAGCAAGTCATGTTTTGTGCGAGGTCGAGTAAAACAACGATTTGCAATGGTGCGGATACGAAACTAATTTTTTTTTTGCTAATTGAATTTTTGGCAGTGGCGTCATTTAACACCCGAATAACAAGATGTCATTAATGATATATTTATGTATATGTTAGGTGATTCTGGGTCGGGTGCCGTTTGCCAGTACTGCGGATCATCGATGCAGGCCTATTCAGATATTGGGGCCAGCACCCATCATGCATGTGTCGACGTCCTCTGCGGCATAAGCTCAGCCGGGAAGGATGACACGGATTGTTTGGTTGACGCAGACGGAAAACTTATCAAACCACCACCGCCTGCCGTTTTTACGAAAGTGTCCGTATTTCCGAGTTGGATTAATTCCATGCTCCGTACAGAATTGAAGGTGAAAGGCAGCTTTCTCTGCGACGATCTTCAGTATATCGCGCAAGGGAAGGAGTGCGACGGAAATGTTGACTGCAGCGACGGCTCAGACGAGCATAACTGCACCCTGGATAACGCAGAAGTGACGCATTCACCATACAAGTGGGATGAAGTTAAACCCGTGCCAATTGTTCAGCATGAAATGGTGCCAACTTCCAGAAATGAGCCCAATTTAACAAGTAATTTTGTAGGTATGTATATACATCTATCTGAACGTTAACGTTGGTATAATATGTAAATACGTGTGAGTAAAATGAATTTTGTAAATGCTTGACTTATGTGCAGGAACGAAGGAGACGGTTGACCCCGACTCTTACGAAGATGACTTTTGGAATGATCAGGATAACGAAATAATGGATCCAATTGATAATAGTAGCATAATAACAGGAAATACGGAACACGACACCAACAGGACAGACAATTCTGAAACGGTACCTATCATTACACAAGATTTTACACCTATCGAGAACACCACTGGAATTGAATCAGACATGACGCATACCGGACCAAGTGAAAATGACAACTTTACATTTCGACCCATAAGAGCATTTAATAATACTGACGAGACTGACCCTGCTGTGACAACGAAACTCAATACTTCTGACGCCTTTTCTCATCATGATTACGATAATAACACAAATTCACTAGAAAGCGAACTTTTAGAAAATTCCATCCCAGAATTTGTCGATGCTACGACACAATCTCAATTTGACGATGCAACCACTAAGACTGAGTCCACACCCACTGCGACTGAGACTAAATATAACGTTGCAACTCCCTGTACCACATGGTCTTGTGCGTACGACTACAAAGAAACACTGCCAGAATTACAGAGAGTGGAGCTAGAAAATAAAATTAAAGCGTGTAAAGCTAGTCAAGGGTTCCTTTGTCCTGTTACTGAGTTGTGTATTAGAAATTTTTGTATTTGCAATGGGGTAAGTGACTGCTACAATGGGATTGATGAAAGTCCTGAAGACTGCAATGCTACACAATCAATTTATGGACGGTACAATTATTATACTACTTAAGTTTGGTCGCATATTTATTAGTTTAAATCTCAATAAAATTATTTGGTGAAGGACAATTCTTACGTTGCCTTTATCTCTACATACACATATTTATCTCTTACATGAGATAATTCACAGTAACTGAAAAATCAGTATTAATACACCTATCTACCTATCTATGTATGTATGTACATATCTGCAGATGTACATTGACTTGGCCATGAAAATTTAACGTTTATATTCGTTACTCATAATTATTCATGACTTTGATTATGATTCATACCGAGAAATTAGCACGGATTAAAATGAAATGATTTACCAAACTCGTTAAAAAGCTACACAGTATTAAATGAGATAATCAGTCACTAATTAATGTTACCTTGAATGTAGGTATGTATATGTATATGCAGCATGTCCATTTATACATGTATACATTTATATGCACTTCAACTCTGATTCGTCTAAAAATGATATTTCCCGGAACAATTATCAATTCGTTTAACAAAGCTTTTATTATGTAACTGCACTATGGAGAATACTTCTTAAAGTATGCATGTACCACTATCATAATTACTTATTAAATGAAATTATACGACTTATTTCTGTTTCACCCTCCAATCGAGCTACAAATATTCAACCGACCCAACTCCTAAATTCTGGTCTGCGACACACCACAGATAATAAAGAGTTTTAGATTTACTTGCTTTGCAATATGGGAATCCGTAAGATATTCAAACAATTAAACTTACCCTAAATATTCCTTATGATAATTTTTAAATTGGTAGGAGTACCTCGAGTCGTGCATGGGACGAGTTCCTACTCCCCCTACCAAGTCAGCTTGGTGGACACTGACATGGGCATGCATTTCTGTGGGGGATCAATCCTAAATTCGTTCATTATCCTTACCGCGGCCCACTGCCTGTACCGCCCGAGTCGCGGTAAGGAACTCCCCTCTCTGAATAATCCAAGAATGCCGAACGAGATCCGCGTCGTTGCGGGACAATACAGTCTCCAGTGGCCAGACGTCACGGAACAAACACGGTACGTGAGCGAGTTTGTGGTACATCCAGCATACTTTAGCATTCTGGAGAACGACATTGCCCTCCTACAACTTTCCGAACCTCTCAACATTACGCGATCCGTGCATCCTGTCCAGCTGCCCATATTAGATAGAGAATTTAAGGGTATGTCATTATTATTATTATTTAATTTTACAATTACTTTGTGGCCCGCAATTGTACATTGTAAATCAACTAATAAAAAATTAACAAATTTATCATATACCAATTGGGTAGGAAATATCACCGTGTTCGGATGGGGAGTGGATACAATGTATGATGCGAAATCATATGTGGCACATGACACTTTGCAAATGGGTGAAATGTCAATAATTCCCAAGTCAAGGTGTGACTTATTGATGCTTCTGAACTCTCGATTACCGACAATACCGACGAGATTTGCTGCTTCCTCGATGATATGTGGGTGGTCGAATAGTACGACAGTTTGTAAAGGTAAGTTTAAAGATGGCATAGGTATACGTACATAATTATCTTAATAGCGAAGATGACTATGATTGTGGATTTTAGGTGACTCTGGTTCTGGCGCTGTTTGCAGAGATTGTCCACCACCCCCACCCGTCGTCGAAGGTATGGAGAGCACTGGAGGAGAGGATGGCAGCAAATGTGTCGATCTATTATGTGGAATCAATTCCTGGGGCGGTGGAAAGAACGATTGCCTCATTGACGAATTTGGCGACCTGATTAAACCTCCCCCACCCGCCGTGTTCACTAAAGTGTCAACCTTCGTCTATTGGATCAGCCACGTACTCCACACCGAATTGGAAGTGAAAGGTCATTTTCTCTGTGATAATCTTCAATACGTTGTACAATCGAGAAGGTGCGATGGCAAGCTTGACTGCTTGGACGGCTCGGACGAGCAGAATTGTACGAAATCTGGGTCTACAACGACGGAATCGTCGTTTATTCATAATAGCATTTCAACACAAATGAATGAAATAACTCCGACAACGACACGTAATAACAACGGTAGTGATAGTGCATTTGAGGAGGGGAGCTTGCGAGGTTGATAATAACAGATCTTGGTGCCCTTTGGATATGTGGTAGGGACCCATGAGTGTACTAAAACCCTGAAGTAGTTTGACTCCATGGCCACATTTGCGCCCGCCACACCCACTCAAAAATGTCCAAAAAACGCTTTCACCCCAGTTTTCACTCACTCAAATCCACGCCAAAAATCCAATTTTACTCGGATTTTGAAATTTCTTTCACCATTATACTCCCAGATAGTTGCTTTCTTCAATCCAATATCAAACTCAATTTTTTCGAAATTTTTAGTATTTTTAAAATTTAAAATTCTGAATGAGCATTGTTGTAGTCATCAACAAAACAAATTATGTTTGCGAAATAATCATCAATAAAATTGAGTTTGATATTGGATTGAAGAAAGCAACTATCTGGGAGTATAATGGTGAAAGAAATTTCAAAATCCGAGTAAAATTGGATTTTTGACGTGGATTTGAGTGAGTGAAAACTCGAGTGAAAGCGTTTTTTGGGCGTTTTTGAGTGGGTGTGGCGGGCGCAAATGTGGCCATGGAGTCAAACTACTTCAGGGTTTTAGTACACTCATGGGTCCCTACCACATATCCAAAGGGCACCAAGATCTGTTATTATCAACCTCGCAAGCTCCCCTCCTGAGTCAAATTCCGAGTGCATGAGATGGAAATGCGCTTATAATTACAAAGAAAACCTAATTCATACACTGAAAGTTCAACTGGAAGAAAAAATTCTAAAGTGTAAAGAATCCGATGGATTTCTATGCCCAAAAGGAGAGGAAATATGCATTGGGCAACATCGTCTATGCGACGGGAATATAGACTGTCCAGGAGGAATTGATGAAAATCGAGAAGATTGTGAAATTATGAATTCTGTTTATGGGTTATCTGTATCAAGGAAAGGAAATAAACAAGTCGTGTAGTAGGCTAATTGATCTTGGAATTGAGGACAAGTGTACTTACTATGTATTAAAATAAAAGCAGATCTGTACAGACATGAATCGTTTAATAATAAATATATGCACGTAATAAATGATGATACGTTACATAGTTATGACTTTATTAAAGAACTTCTTTGAAATGCATCTGTACAGCCAAGAACAGCATAATGTATTAATTTCTTGCTTAATCCGATTTTCTTCGCTCTCCGTCGCGAAATTGGATCAAAACCACAAGAAAAGTTAGAACGGTTGATAAAATCTACCAAAAAATATAACGCCGTAATTAATTATCAGTTTACCAGTCATGCACCTTCTGTATGCTTATTACCGATGTCATCAGACGTCTATTTAACGTAAAGAATGAATCTGGCTCAATTTTTAGAGCATCGCCGGACAGTTCATGAATTATTGAGGAAACCCTGTCTCTCATTTCCGGACTCAGAACTTGTCTTGGAATATGGCAAAATTTTCGTAATATCTTCCTCTGGTTAATTTCCACTTTTCCAGCTTCAGTGCCCATATGATAAATGATCTTGACGCAAAGTACAAGTGGAATCAGTCGGGACAAGGCTGCATTAATCTCGCCCGTAGAAATCCAAGTAAATCCGATGAAGAGGTAGGTTAATATTAACATGGAATTGTACGTAATTTCAAATGTTATCAGATTCGCAGAGGAGGCATTGTATCTCTGCAGTATTTTTATTAGAAGGTGGTAATTTGATATGCAGAGATGCAGCTTCTTTTCATCCACGACAATTAGTGGGCTCACTTTGACTGCTTGAGGATCTATAATCGTTTCCTGTAAGAAAATGTTGATTAATTAGTATACGTCGTCGAACATTTAATATTCCTAATTTACATAGATTTACCGTTTTTTCGGTTTCTGCAATTATCAGATTTTCTTCCCAGTCCTCCACATTCCCACAAACGTGTCCCATCTCGGTATCAATCATTTCCAAACATGCATTGACAACTTGGATGGGAAATGTAACAAACAAGGACTGAAAAACATTGACGGCTCCCATCACACTCCACGAAACGACTGGTATGATGCCCATCATATTTAGTCCCGTTTGAATATTGGGTCGCTTCGCTGGAATCGAAAATAGTAAAAACCCTCCAACAATTTGTGACATCATGACAAGTATGAAAATCATACTGCCAAGAACGGTATTTCTCACGGATGTCTTGACGCGAGTAAAGATTTCGCAATGTTTCGCACAAGGGTCGATACTGATGCGAAAGTTGCCGTCTTTATCACTCGATGAAATTCTGGTCAAATCGGTGATAAAATTTCCCCATCTGTTAATAACAAGTTGATGTTTAAAGATGAAAGAGACTCTTTTGAAAACGGTCTGAAATGCGATCAAGGTTCCGGTGACGATGAACGAAATAACTTCCGTTGACCGGTGCAAGCCCATGAGGACCATTGTGTCCACAAATGACGAGTACCACAAGATTATCAAGAAGAGTTGACACGCAATAATGGAAAAAGAGCAAATTAGTGGAAAACTGCAGCGATTGAATGCAAATTTGTAGCCATTCTTGGATTTGACAATGCTCAGAGGGAAGTAGCCAATTCCTTGGGAGACGCGGATTCCAAGTGATATCAAGGAGATAAGCGTTGTCTCCACGACAGCAGTCGGAGGGGGGCCCGATGATTCTCGTTCCATGGCAGATTTGATATTTGTCTGGATATTTTTTAGAGTTTAGCCTCAAATTGGTAAGTGTAAAATCTGAAGCAGGTTCTAAATGTACTTCAATATTATATACGAACAAGGTATCATTGGCAATTTATACAAGTTAGTCAGTGGCAAAATTATTATGGATGATTTGTGGACAAAAGGCGTTATGAACGAATATTAGCAAAATGATTACTGTGTCCATTGCTGCGTGCGTGATTGTGTTGGTAAAAGTATAGGTTTCTTGGCATGTAAATATTGACTTGACAGAAATTAGCTAATTGTTTTTCAGACGTGTGTGAAGTGTGACACATAAACTATAGCAGAAAGATTATTGGATGAATGATTATACAGCATTGTGACATACGAAATTAAGTAAGGCCAGTAAATCTTATTTAAATTATTTATGGTATTTATATATGCAAAAAATTAAATTATCAGCCCAGTTCGAAGAAAGTTTAGTGAACTTATTTACCTATTATATGCAATAATTCCTGGAAAAATGCAACCAGTCTTAATGTTTGCCATAGTCCCCTGAAAGTCAGACGTATGCATGTAAATCAAATCCATGTGAATACATTCTCATTAGATAATGATAGACACATACAACCAAAACGCATTCACTATGTATAATACTAAACAGTATAAAGATTGATTTTTATTTGCTATAATGTCATGGATAAGTAAAAATATACAATTAATGGAAGATTGTATATATTGTAGGCCACATTTGTAGCAGCACTGGCAGTTGTTAATTTAGTAAACTATTCGAGTTGTTTCACATTTAAATATATTATAAACTTGGAAAAAATCCTCATTGGGTAAACAACTCGCACTAAATAATTTAAATATTGAGTATGCGATACTAGTGTTTATTAACGCGAGTATTGCAGGTTATTTATGTATCTTGCAGACTATGTCAACTTGCGTACTTAATAAGGGCTTTAGATTTCTTCTAACAAATTGATTATAAATATATACAAGTATTATCAGCTAAAATAAATAAATGAGACACTTCTTGGTAAGAATAATCACTAATAATCAGCATCATATGTTGTCAAACAATACTGTTTATGAGATTGATTCTGCTTTTATGTATAAAACTAAACGTCAAATAGAAGGCGGATGATATTGACCGGACCCGGACTTTCCAAGACCCACTTCGTCCACTTGTTATCTCCTTGTTCATAACTAGATTGTTTCAGTTGTTGAAGAGCGTGACGAGCTTTGAGCAACTATAAATTAAAGAATATTATCCACTTTATCATCTCAATTGTTCTCGTTTTCATCAAGATATTTTACAACTTATTATTTACTATTTATATACATGTGTATGTAACTGTACTAACTTGTGAATTCGTCAAAACGGTTCTTGCACGATGCAGAAATTCTTCCTTGTGGCACGTGGCAGCTTTGTTTTCGCCTCTTTCTCTCTGCTGCTGCTGGTGGGATGGTTGTCGATATTGGGACGGGAATGGCTGAGATCTAGGTGGCCGAGGTCGGCGGTGGTTCTCCGCCTGAAAAAATAATATGTTGCTGTTAATGCTATTTTCATCTTTGCAATGGATCGTGTAAAATATTCAAAATGTACGTTTCTCACTCGGTTGTAAAAGTCTTGGCTGCCACTAGCGAACTCTTCTTTCTCAACAAACAAGATTTCTTCATTCATGTCATCCCCCCAGCCATTTTGAACTTCACGGGTGTATCGCTGCTTCTTTCGCGATTTCTTTCGACGTGGCGATCGTGCTGACTTCTCAAATTCAAAGTCATCTTCCTCTCGCATATTTTTCCGCTTTATGGTCCGTCGTGGTCGCAGTTGTCCACCATCTTGAGGCGTAGGTGGATCTTCCACATGTGATTCGATTTGACTTGATCTCTTCTGTTTTGCCATATCAGCGAAAGTAATGAGCTCATCAAACTCCATAATTAGAACACAACATCTCTTCTTGATTTGCTTAAACTCTGACGTAAGTAGATCGGAAATCTGTACGAAAATAAAGATATTCAGAAGAGCTTGTAGGATATAAACACATGTGCTAAAACCAACGACTTTCAATATAATAATAAAAAAACTCACCGGCTCATGCAGACCGTGCAGTGCTTCAGCATCAATTGACCGTATTCTTCTTACATAATACTTTTTCGAATCAATTTTAAACTGAAAATAGATTAGTACATATTAACACAAATTCTACTAATAAGTTCGTAATATATGCATTTTACACTTACCCCGTCATAAACTTGTGCAATTGCCTGCACCCAGGTTAATTCCCTATCGACTGTGATATCATTGTCATGCAAAAGTCGCAATTCCTCAATGGAATAATCTCCTTTACGGCCTTCATACAATCCCGTTTTGATGTTAATGGTCACCAACATTATTATTTTTTACCTTGGCGTGGTTTCCGAGCAAAAATAAAACTTGGTGGAATAATTATTGAGCTCGTAAGATATCGATTTTAAAAACATTTAAATTTACATTTAAATATTCAATTTTAGCTAAAATAAACACTGCTCAAAATTTTCGAGGAAGGAATGTGTTTATTTTCTGTTTATTAGAGCAAAGACTGGAGAAACTGGCTCGAGTTGTTCCCACACGTCTTCAAGGAAAATGAGGCGGTCTGAGACATGGGGAAGAAATATCTGTGTAGCTCTTTCTTCCTATGATTTTAGTGGTGACATTAAATAACTTCACAATTAAACTAATTTGCATATATCCACAATTTTTATTTCATACCTTTACAACAATTGACAATTGAATTTATAGATTATTTTATTATGGGATTTAATATATACCTATTACTGTTCGTTCAAAATTAATATGCAGTAAAGTCCTCAAAATTTTTTAAAAGATCAAATGGCCAAAGTTGCTGGTTGACACTGACAACGACTTAATTATGCACATTTTTTCTACTTTTTAATGAAAACCATGTGAAATTTTGAGAATATAAACAAAACCAATCATCCGCCAAATAACCTATCAGAATTTTTACTGCATATTAATTTTGAATCAACAGTAGTAAATTGTTAAAACAAGAATTAAACTTTTTTGATCTGTTCACGAACTTTATCCAAATTATGCATGATCAATGACTTTGGTAAAGCTTTATGAAAAACAAATTCTGCAAATAAACTCAAAATACAGATCACAACCAAAATTCCAAAAATGTAAAAAGCAGTGGAGATCTTTGAGCTAAAATCTAATTTTGCTACTTTATCAACCTTTGGATACGTCCAATTTGCATAGTGCTGAAATAGCTTAATTGGCATTGCCATTTTAAACCACTTTTCCCAAAATGAATAGATTCCTGACGATATCATCACTTTTATGCGATGCCATGCATAATTATTTTTAATCGATTCGCTGGACCAGCCATGAATTGCGGAAAAAAATCCACCATCACCCTGCAAAAATACTTTTTCTTTTCCATTGTCGTTCATAAAATGTAGTATATTTTCTATATTTTCTGGTAAATCCATATACGCCGCATTGTCGCAAATTGTCAAGTTATTTACAAATTCTGTGACATCTCGGTATCTTAAAGGCTTCAGTTGCTTTTCCTGTCTCCCATTAGATGTGATCTCTTCCTCTTTTATTCCATTCAAAAATGCTAAGGCTACATCCCTGTTTTCCCTGCCAATTTTGGACTTCCCTTCATACTCCGCCAATCTAGTTAATTGTGCAGTCAGCCTCATGTAAAACCAGTAATGTAACTGTTCATCGGCCAATGTCTGAAACTGAGAATTTGACAGAACGGCTTCAACGGGCATCCATATTTTGAAGTTTCGTATGTCATAAAACGTCTTCCATGGAGCGTGATACTTTGCCGGAATAATTATCTCTTTCGTGAACGAGGTTTTATACCAATTGGTCAACATTGTCCCAAAAAATATCATGAAGACGCCAAAAATTATTGCAGAAAAAGTACCATACTTTTTGCCAAACAAACTGGATTGGTACACGAGCAGAATAGAATTCTCCATACAAATCCCCATCGTAACGAATCCACTTAATGTTCGACTTGATGATCGACTCCCCGTGATAAGGATGACACTAACACAAGTACAAAGGGCGAAAATCCAGGTAATATTATCAAACGGTGAGGTAAGCGGATTCAACGGCGATAAGTACCGATGCACTTTGTGGCACGAGAGAAAGCTGAATCCTACTTCGTCATAAATAATAATTTCGGTGTAAAGTGGATTCATGTAGAGCTCTTTTTTTCTGTGTAAGACAAAATTGGGGCTCAAATTTTCGGATTGATTCAAGTCCCGAAAGACCTCCTCCAAGATCCAGAGTCCAAAGAAGTCGTCAAAATTGACTGGGGTTGAACTTCTGAAAAGAATGGCAAGGTTTTCCACTGTTTTGTGAAAGTGACCATTTTTTGACCCTTCGCGGAATGAGGAATTAGGGATTATTTTAAGCAAATCCGTTATCCAGAAATATTTGTTTAATTTGGAAACGAATTCAGCAACGGTGTCCAATTTTTCCATACAATTGCTGAACACGACATCCATGCATGTTATTGAGTACGATGGATGGGAAATATCCGCCCTTGGGAAGAAATAGTAATGGTTTATGAAGTGTAGGACTACTTGGTCATCAATAATTTCGCTCAAGACGACCAATCCACTTACACATAGTGCTACCTCAGCGACTACAAATTCCATGAAATTTAAAACTTGAGACGGTAAGATTCTAATAAAGTGGTATACGAATTCGTCTTTTAAAGTAGTAAGAAAAATGTAATATTTGGGTACACAACAATCATGATTTGTCAAACGGATCCTTTGAAGTTGGTTATAGATAAAATTGACTACAGGTTCGTTTTCATCAATGTCTCCATCGAAAGCGAGAAATGATTCGTCTCTTTCTGGAAGCAGTACAATGAAGATCCAGCATTGCTTTGATATATATTTCCTGACAAAGTCTGCTGTGCTGAGAATAGAATTGTTATCCAGTCTTCCTCCGTTAAAAGCAAAGATGGGGTTTAGTCGTGGTTTTATATCAAAAACGGCACTCTTGTTTGGCGTGATAAGAGCGGATGTGCAAGGTGAGAATTGATCCAGTACTTTGTCTACGCTGAAATGGCTTGATTCTATATGAGAATTTGTACTTCCTAGTTTATCGTTTGATATAAAGTTATTTGTAAATCCGTTAGCAAGTTGAATCTGCAAAAGGAGCACAATATTTTTTAACTCTAACGTTCTCATTGTCGAGTAAGAGAAGCGGAGCGTGGTTGGGTGAGAATATAACAACTGATAGTTTTTTTAATATGAGTGAATTATTCAACTGTCTAGCCTTCTATATTTTATTAGTCTAAAATCATTATAGTGTTCATCCCACAAATTTTCGGCTTGAAAAGTCGAGTGCGTTCAACATCCACACCCGAAAAGTATTGATTTGCATGGCTCGTCTTAAAGCAAGAATACAAATGGGCGTATGAAATTTTGCATGCATATTTATAGGTGCCGATTTTTAGGATCATTGATATGGTTTTAATTCTATTGAGATTTACGTTTTCGAGTAGTCAAAATGGTTGCTGATAGTAAGACAACAGTCTTTATTTCATAGTTGGAGTTTCTATAAACCTTATGCAAATTTATAAATACAAGTAAAAATGTATAATTACAAATAACTTCAATGAAAAATTTCCCAAACTAGTGCAAATATACTGACCACCAAGCAAATTCCGCAAATGTAGAAAGCAGTGGAGATTTTCGAACTGAAATCTAATTTTGCCACTGTATCAACCTTCGGATATGTCCAATTTGCATAATGGTGAAACAATTTAATTGGCTTAACAGTCTTGAACCAATTCTCCCAATATGAATAGATTCCTGACGACATCATCACTTTAATGCGATTCCACACGTAGCTGTTTCTAATTGGATAGCTCCACCATCCATGAAGCGTAGATAAAAATCCAACATCACCTCTCAAAAATACTTTCCCGTTCGCATTATCATTCAGAAAAGGCAGCAACGTGACAACGTTTTCTGCTCGATCCATGTAGGCAACTTCGTCGCAAATTGTCATATTATTTACAAAATATGCTACATCTTCGTACCATACAGGTTTAATCGCGGGCTTAATTACTCCCACTTTACCATCCGGTGTGCCATTGTAAAATGCTTCTGCTGTCTCACTATACTCTTTAAATACTTTGGATTGTCCTTCGTATCCAATCAGTTTTTGTAGCTGCATTCCGAAGAACATGTAAAACATATAGCTTGACTGGTCACGATCCTTCATATTGTTCACCGGAGGAATCTGAAGCACAGCATCGATGGGTATCAAAATTGTAAAATGCCGCACATCAAATGCGGTCCTCCAAGTTGATGTATAAATTGCAGGCACAATCATCTCTTTAGTGAAGCAAGTTTTATACCAGTTTGTTAAAATGGACCCAATTAAAATGGCAAAAAGCCCAGTGACCAGTTTTTCAGTGGGGTAACGTTGCCTCCCAAATAGACGAGATTGATATGCGGACAAAACCGAATTTTCAACACAAATTCCAAAGGAAAACAATCCTCTTAATAACAGCATGTTGGAATTTGAGCCTCGTTGGTCCCCTAAGATTGTAAGACTTGTGAAAGTGAGGAGTATCACAATCCACGTGACATTGTCAAAAGGTGAGGTCAATGCGCTTAACGTTGAAGAATACCGATGGACATTGTGACACGACAGAAAACTGAAGGTCACTTCTCCTTGAACAATGACATTCGGGTGATTTAAAGGGTTGATAAAGTAAACCTCTTGTTTTTGATGTAAGGCGTAAATACCGTAACTTTCACCACGATCACTTTTGTTCCGATATTTCAGAACGTCTTCAAGAATCCAGAAATCAAAGAAGTCATCGAACGTTGTCGGACTTGTGGCTTGGGTCACTTTCTCATAAAATGTAACAATTTTATTAAAATAATTTTCTCTCATGGAGGTCAGTGTTGGTGACTGGATGATATTTGATGCTACTTTATCTTTGCGTTGTTTCATAGCCCAGAAATATTTGTTCAGATAAGAAATTGATTCCGACACGGTACCCAGTTTTTCGTAGCAATTGTCAAACTGCGGATCGAAACACTTTATTTCGTACCATGGAGCGGACAGTGACATTGTCAAGTTTGAGTATAAACGGTTGTGATAGTAAAGCATGAAATGAGGCTGATCTGCTTCATCCACGGCGGATAAGTACGATACTTTACTTTTAGTTAATGAAACCTCTACAATCACAAATTCCATGAAATGTACCGTGTGGAAGCTGTTTCTAAATGACGCTTCACTAAGCCATCGTTTGACGTGTTCCTTGATGGTTGTCAGAAGCAGGCAATATTGTGGGTAGCCAGTGTCACTAATTTGTTGAATTTTATTGAAATATTTAACATGATCACTCCAGGCCCAGGTTTTCCTTAGTTTGGAGGAAGTGTTAAAATCTGGAAAGGACGTATCACTTTCTGGCAGAAGCAGGACAAATAGATAGCAATGTTTTACTGCGTATCGTCTTCGGAAATTGGTAGTGTTCAACTGATAGTTTTTTAAACGCTTACTATCAAAGGAAGCACTGCGCAGAATGATCGGATTTAATTTTAATTGTAAGTCAAACTCAGCAGTTGAATTTGGTTTAACGAGGATGGTTGTGCAATTTGGAAAGTGTTCTAGTAAAAGACTAATTGGTTGGAGGGTTTTAGCTGATTTTGTTGTATGGGATTGGCCAACAATAAATTGAAGACTAAACAGGGTGTTAAAGTTTAAAAGAATTGCAGCAAAGTGTTTCCAGCGTGAACTCGTCATTATTGGACACTACTGTTATATACATACAGAAGTAGCTTAAGTTAAAAATAAAGTCAAGAAATGATTGAGAATTTTGAGGAAAATAATGGCAAACCTGTTGAGAGTGAGACAAGTCTAAATAATTACTCAGAATTTTTTGCATTTCGATTCTGTGCATCGTAGATCGATCATATTTGTAATCATATAAAGTGAACTTCACAAATGTGTAGTGTACGCAGGATTGTTGAAAAAACGGACACTTCAACTATCCTATTTGCATATATATTTCAGAAGTCGAGTTCCATTGCATAAAATGTCTCCCCGAATTGCATATTGTATTTCAAGAGGCTTTCTCCATCCATACTCACTTAATGACAGCCTGGATGTATATTGCATAAACCATACATGCATATGTACAGTTATATGTACAGCTACATTTTATCTATTTCGACTATTTTGACAGTACCGATCAGATTTATATCTGTACATACATACTTATACGCGTATGCACATGCTATATATGTAAACCACGAAAAATTTATATTCTGACTTTCCTCTAATGAGAAGTTAGTATAAGGAAGTATTATTAATTAGCAATTTATGTAATACAGTATTTGTTACGTATTCCAGGAGAAAGTTGATCTCCAAGAACAATGCATACTAATGAAGAGGGATGAATCTAAATTTATAATTAGAATCAAATACAAATGACAGAGTAAAGTACGTGTGTAGGATTATGTCAAAACTCATCGGTTATGAATCATTTTCTGCACGACGATGTTTTGGTTTGGATGCTGCTAGCTTGATCATCAACTAAAACTCATTACTCTTTTATGACATACATCGCGAACCTTTAATTTTGACCCAATGAGCAGAATATCCCATTCATATTGTATTATGAGCGACAATTCACTCATCCATATTGTGACTGAACTTGTTTAACCACAATCATAGCGTAAAAGCCGAATAAAAGTAAATATTGAAACAAAGCACATGCAATGCTTCTTAGGAGAAATGCTTTAGAACTAAAGCGAATCATAAGATTGCATGACCATGAAATATTTTTGACGTGCGTACTTAAATTACATATGTACATAACCAAAAGTAAGATTGCATCACGTAATCTAATTTCCAAAAAAGTTTTTGTGAGCAGGATTTCAAATTACGAAATACATATAAAACAAATTCTGAAAAATTAAAATCAACATTTTTACCTGTTTCATTGAAACGAATGTATAATGTAATCTTCATTTTTTTAAAATCAGCCCATTCATTTATTTGTAAATAAATATATTTATGGATTATGGATGGATTTTACATGTTAAAATAGTTAATATGTATTATGTAATTTAATGCATAGGTACATATATGTACAATATAGATAATAAATGTGTATGCTGACGATTAATACAGTGTCAAAGTCAAACGTATGCAAATCTTATACTGATTCTACGCTTGGCATAGCATGATTTATTAAATTTGTTGCTTGAACAAGGTGGAGAAAGTTAGTTTCCCTTCCGAGAATATCTGTTATGAGAAACTTTGCAAAACGAACGCAAACACTTCGATGGTAGACATGGATGAAGGATACGAGGAGATTGAAACATTATGTGAACAAAGGGAGACGTACATACTAGATATACTTAAACACGTAACTTTTACTAGGCTTATGTATGATGTATGTAGATATGTTTTTCCGTTATAGTACAATTGCTAATGCTTTCACAAAGCCTGCTCATTTACTGGATGTAGGATTCTAATTGATAAATAATACACTCTACAATTTGAAGTTACTTTGAGTATTCTCCAGTCCTTAGAATTCGTTAAAGTACTCTTACTTAATTGATCCTCAGCTTCGCGGAGGAGGTTTTTTACGTCGAAAATTAAATGTTATGACTTTCATGTAATTTAAAAAAATCGTGTTGCCAAAAAGCCGTGATTTTAATAATATTATGCCAAACAAGGAATATTATATGGATGTGATAATAGCCTAACACGTTCCCCTCAATTTTATCACATTTTGCTACCTACATACATATGTACTTATGTATGCACAATTGATTTTATGATAGAATGGAGTAAATTTTTTGATTACATATTTTTCCTACGAATGTTATTGCATGGAATAAGATATACAATAAGCTATACATACTACACGGTGTTGTTTCTATTAGCAACAGTAGTAGTGCCTCATCGAGAGAGAGAGCAGTTTTTTTTTGCTGTACTCTCATTAATTAAACACTCAATTTGTGTGGTAAACATATAATCCACAATATGTAGTATGCAATTGTAAAGTATCGACTTTCACCAAGACTTGGTCATTAGGCATTAAGATGTATGTTCGCAATTCCGCTTATAAGTGGTATTGAGTGCTGATTATACAAACTTGGTTCGCACAAGGACTCATTTTATAAGCTTACAGTTCTTATACAAACTTAGCATCTAATATGTACATACTTGCGACGAACTAAACTTACAGGTAGACATATCTAACTTCTGTTCCGCTATTCCTTTGAAAGTATATTGTAAGAATTCAATATTGAATCATGGAGAGCATCTTAACCAGTTCTCAGTTCCTAGTACTTCCTTGGTAATTAATAGGCTACTAAATACGTATGTATGTATATATGCATAACGCCTCGGTGCTTGCTAATTTGGCATTACTTGACTATGAGTTCTGAAAAGGTTGGCATGAAAATCTCCAGGCATCAACTTTCCGTTTCGTTTTCATATGTTGATATTTGGCAAATAATTTCTACAACGTACATGTTGTTCCTTCCGGGTAAATACCATTTCTAACTCTCATCCGCCCTGGATGACATTTAATAATTGCATTGTCGGACGATTCGAGGAAATCCTTGTTACCCTAATGAGTTTCAAGTTTCCATTTCCTCTTCGTAGAAAATCTTTCAAGAAAGGATATTTGTATTAATGACTTCTTGTGGTCCATCAAAAAAGAAAAGTTGGCCTGCGCAAATGTCATGTTTGCATGTGAATATTTAGTAATGGGCTTGGAATTTGTGGCCTTTTTTAAAGAAATAATATTTATTTATTATTCTTATAAATAAACAAACATATAAAATAGGATGGACCAATTACCTTGAAATCAGGTACAATAAATATATAAGAAAGCTCATTTTCACCAACTTACACCTCATCGATAACCTCATCATCCACCAGTTCAATATTAATTGTTACAATTGTTTGTTTAAGGGAAACGTTGCCATGCGTTTCTTGCATCATTAGTTCACACGGACACTCGTCTTCACCTTCAGGACTGTAATAACTACGGGCAACTGTAGTTCCTCCGACGCATTTACTAATCTCGTTAGAACTTGTATTCCGTTTCGATTTCTCAATCCCGTCAACAACGCTATTTGCTTCTCGTTTCCAGAAAGTCAGCCTTCGCCCGAGACGCCGGAAGTGTTTCAAAGCATTGTTGTGCGTGCAATATATAATGACGGGAAGCAGGATGATGTACATGTAAATGGCACAAATTCCCACGTAATATAGGACCGGGTGCCGATTGAAGGGTTTCTTTGTCGGGTCTTTTATTCCTTCTTGAATTTCCGTGAAGAGCAATCCAGCTTCGTCCAGATTGGAATAATCTATCTCGAAATGTTGGATTTTATCCAAATCTCGAAAAGGTGTGTATATCGAGTGGAAAAGACCGAACGGGAACCAGATTAAGGTGAAAGTAATCGAGTTGATAAAGATGAATCTGACACGGCGAACCTTCTTCAATCTGCGACTCGGAACTGGCTGCTGTACAAGATGGAGAAAATTTGTCTTGAGTTAGGACAAGTTTTAGAATTCGGGATGAAAATATTTATGTATTGTGCAGTGGCTGCGGAAGCGTTGGGACAGAGGAGGAATGTTCCCACGGTTACTAAATGCCCATCATCTTCCCATGTTATAGAATCCCCTCCCTCCCCTATCTTACATTGCTAATGTCTTCAGAAGTCCCCACGGCTTCCGCGGCCACCGGCATTACGATTTTGTTTACATAAGCAGACAAGTTCAGAGATATACGTCCAAACTTGCATAGCTGGTAATTTGATCAGTCTGAAGCATGAGTAATATTTACAACTGCTGAAACAAATTACCTGACGGAAGTAAAAGTATTTCAGCTTGGATCGTATTTTGTAGAGTTCTGAAATTTTGAACACATTGAAATGTTTGTAATACTTTTTGGGATCCTGAATTAGTGACATACCAAACATAAGGTAACAGGAAAGCAAAATGTGAAAGACCAAACATCTCAGGGATTCGTAAACAAGTCCAAGAACAAAATTTCCAAGTAATGGTCCCTGCCAAGACAGGAAATTAATATCAAAAACATACTAAACAAAAATATTTAACAATGTATTTGTTTTGCTCTTTATCGTCTTATGTACCGGGGTGCATACCTCGTTTCTTAATAGTTATTAATATTGAGCGTACTCATGAGACAACGTTGTCATATCTTGCAAACTTGACATAGCAACATAACCGGTAAAAGTTTACGAAATTTCCCAAAACTTTTGCTGAAAAACTAACCAAGGGATTTGTTTCGTAAATTCACCCAGCAAATGGGCATGTTGTTTCAGAGTTATTTTATTTCGCAAGCTCATCTTCCTCATCACAAGCAATAGAAATTATTAAATTACAGATAATTCAATTAAACCAAATCGAAATAGGAACACAGGATTGCTTAATATACATATCTTTGAAAAATGTGTGAAATCAATATTTTGTGAATTTTCGACGCTCAAAAAATTTGTTTCGTAATTTGGGTTACGAAACAATTTTTCCCTGTGCAAATTTGCTAGACGAGTTACGATTCTATGTATTTAGGTGTTGCCATATGTACGCCCATTATTAGGCTCATATATATATATGCTGTTCGTCTATAAAGCGTAATTGGGAATATCTGGTATTCTACTTATTTTATGTAATACATTTCCTACAAAGTTCAATGGAAGATTTGACAAATATGTCAATACTGCAGTTCAATAAAAGTCCTTCTTGTCAATGACAAGTTTTCATGCTTCACAAAGCAGTTTCATGCTATTCAACTTAAATGCGGAAAATAATTTCAATGAAGAAAATCAGCACAACACCATTTCAAGTATTACCAAAAAATGCAATTTCCGAGATACAAACTACAAATACTAGTATCTAAGCCTACTAGACTACATATTAATATCAACGAACTAACGATGTGAATATTTTATAGAGTGAAACCTTTACAAAACATTTAAAGTTAAAAAGTACTATTCTAACTCGAATTCAGTTGCTACAAAGTTTGCATCATGAGAAATAAATTGGTGTGCCAAACCAAAAAAAAAATTTTATAGGCTTAAATTTAACGGATTATTAAAACTAGGGTCTCGCATACATAAGTCATATTTAAGAATGTGTACATATGTAACATATTTATCATCACAATTCGGTGTCCCCAACAAAAATGGTACAAAAAATAATTTGTGTCTCAATGATTCCAATTCCAGGAACCTGATCAGCATCACGCCTCCGAATATCTCATCGGATTATGCTTTGTGAAAGGATGACACCATGACATGATGTCTTCCTTACATGATCATGTAAGATAAGTATCACGCATGTACGACATTAACCTTGAACCAACCTTAACACACGCGGCGTGAAGAACACCATCGGGATGGACATGTTGCACAAAGTGTGCCGAAAAGAAAGCAGGGATGGCAGCAATCAAGGAGCATCCCCAGATTCCCACCGTCACACGAAGTACATTGACATCATTTCGCAAATGTCGCTGCACTTCAAGGCTCCTCACTCGCTCGTGACTTATGGAAAGGACGGTGAGTGCGAGTAGATTAATGAGACAATCTGATTGACAAAGAGATTGATGAGGAAGTTCGTACGTACATACAACAAAAGTATTTCTGCATGGCTTCCCGTGACAACAACAACATCCGTAATGAGTAACTTTGAGAGATGAATGGGTCATTGTTAATTAATTTTCTCAACTTACTCCGTAAGTAGACAATTAGCGAACACCCAGAACTCTCGGAATGTCTCTTATCGTCCGACAGGTACATGATTCCTTGGCAAAGGATGAGTATTGATACCACGGCGAGGTGGGCGTTGAGGTAGTGAAGAGATCTATGGATAAGTCGAGAAGGCGGAATGTTAATTAAAGTCTTCACTTCCTGAGAAAGTCTTTGATGTCTTGTATCATCCGAAATTAGCAATAATGTGATACGATGTATGTATATATGATTGAAGTACGCAGTCGCTCAATTATAATTACCAGATTTATAGACATGTTTGGGAAGTAAACAAGTTATTTATAAACTAAAACTATTTAGTATTTGCATACGTATGTATTCGTTACCTGGTTCGCTTCTGTTGCACGAGGAGACAAAGGACTGCAAAGTTTGGGACAAGACCGATACATGAGTGAATTCCGACAATAAATGAGACCGAGAGAAATATGGAGAATTGGGCTGAAGAAGTCGTAGAGTTTAAGAGGGACGTGAGTGGATACGGTTCTGCATTGTTGACCATGGAGATTGATGCCACAAAATCAGTTGAATTAAAATAGTCCATCGTTGAAACTCATTTAGATGGTATAATCAGGGCGAGAAAGGTATCGTAGAGCTAATAAATCCAACAAGAAGGGCACTTTGAGATGGAGAAAGTGCCAGTGTCGTGGCGACCCTCTTGTTGAGAGGAGAGCTAAATTGAGACTGTCAAGAATTCTCCAGGACAGCAAACACAACTTTGCTTTACCCGTTGCACCTTTCTCCTCAAAATTCATAGCAAGGCTGACAGGTATAAAATATGTATGTAACGCTGGGCTCGCGTTCCGGATTTATTATGGTGTCGCATGTTGGAATCGACTCATCTGAGAAAAGAAAGTTCTACTTAAAACAGATTTCAATTTCCTGGCATCCCGAATGCATCTCTGCAGCGTGGGACGTGATATTTAGGGAAGTTTGGTTTGGTGTGATACGAATTGATGTGGTATAATATGTAAATATACCTTAATTTCATGGTCAGAGCGGTTGAACGGACAAAATGTGCTAAAGTAGAAATGGGGCGCATTTTATTTTAATTTATATATTCCGCACTTTGACGCTATTCGGTCATATCTATTTTAACTCAGAAATGTTAAAACAATACGCCGTATAAATATATTTGTAACGTTTAACATGTTTTGGAATTATTTGTAAAAGCCTTAACTTCGAAATAAGACCGAAGACCGGCTGAATTTGACATGTGACATTGACATTATTTAAATCCTGAAATACCTTCTAACTTCCCAATTGATACAACGTCTATTGGACAAAATCTATTTCGTCCTTTTAATGCACTATGAGATGAAGTTTGATGCTAATTATTATCAAGTATTACAAACTGCAAAATTATAATCATCCTTAGTTCCAGGTTCTGTGTCCCTTACTGTGTCTGTGACGGCAATAAATGTGTACTGATAAATTTCTATGAACACACCTTAAAGACAAATTCCACTAATTTCTTATCTTCTTCTTCAGTCCAGTACACATCGTATTTAATTTATTCAATTTAGTCCACCGAAGATGAGAATACATAATAAAGTCTTATTTGGAAAGTTACCAAATAAATAGGTTTATGCAATCCTTGTCACAATTACGAAAGCAGCGAAGGAACAGTGAATAGTGAATGATTGAGTACTCCCAAGTGTTCCACGATCTAATGCTTGTAGAATACGGGTACAAATCCAACTTCGATTATGTTTTATGTACATTGAAAATTTATCCACGTCGTAGACTTGGACCTCAAATCTTTGCACGAACCTAGCTGAACAGGAAAAACCGACGAATGTAATATATCGTCTTTGTACAAACTTCAAAGAGCTTATCGTAGTACAAGCACATTTCAATTCAATCATAGTCGATGTGTTTACTATAGCCGAACTTTTCACATTCTTCCGCGTCACACCTTTTCAACCGGATGTAGAAAAACCCGTTATATTAAAAATTGGACTTCAAAAAATTTGGAATCTGGAACACAAGTACATATCTATACTGAGCAAGAACTGCCTACATACATAAGTATAAAATATAGGCACATGTATGTAGTGACAGATATATGTATGCCAAAGTATATTTTAAGGTATATGGTACATAAGGTATCACTAATATGTGCATACATTGTGTCTTATTTAATACTAGCGTATAGCCCGGCCAAGGCCGGGTTCTAGAGTTTCAGTGGGGGGTGTGCCCAAAGCGAAAAATCCGTCATACTATATTTTAAATAATTCCCAGTGGAGACTTTGTCATACTACATACATACATCAGACTGAGGGTTTGCCGAAGTCATACTGCATTTTAATTAACCTGGTCACAGTAAAATTTGATTCCCCCCTGTGGGAGTAGTTGAATAGCTAATTACTTAAATTCCCGTCGCGTGGGAGTAACTGCATAGCTAACTATTTAAATTCCCACGCTTCACGCTCCCGTTAAGTTCCATAAACCCCGTTAACTTCTACAATTAACGCCAAGCTATTGACGGATTCGGATTCAGCGTCAAAAATACATTCGAATTGATATGCGACATCACGAATAAGCCAGATTTGGACACCACGGTCACGGCGAGGTCACGGGGGCCTCGCAGGTCAAAACCATTGACGGCGTTGGATTCAGCGTCAAAAATACATTCGAATTGACATGCCACTCGCTGTGGGTAGAGTTTCTCAAACTAAAATAATTAATTAATAGTGTTTATCACGATCACTTATCATGATAACCACTATTGATGAGTGATGTATGTATGTGGGGTGTACATGTTCATGTATTCATTTATTCATGCAGTGCAGTGCATGCATGCAGTGGTTGCTCCGCTTCCTTCTTTGTCTACTGTATGGGGCAATTTGCATTGCGAAGACGGACCCAGGGACCCAGGGATCATACTAACACTTTATTAGAGTAGATGTACCCAATGTGGGTGCAAAATATGTTGCATTGATAAAAACTCAATATAAGGAAGTTAGGGTTCAGTCCACGTCTTCGACTGTTCTCCATTGATTTATGATACTTCTTTCTCTAAAAAAAATCAAAGGTACAGGAAAGGCGTCGTAGTACGTGCTACTGGATAACTTTCACTTGTGGAAAGTCAAAGTCAATACTAAACTTGACATCCAAGTGATATCGTCCCAAGTGTGGAATTCTTCTTTAGATTATTGGAATTGTTGATCTAAGTTCGCTTTAGCTAATATGCACATATTTGTAGTTCATATGGTATGTCGCATGCAACATATTTAAATACCTAATGTAGTATTTGTAGCTTTTGTTATTGACATCTTGGCATCTGATTTTTTCTGTAGAAAGTTTTAACTGACTATTAAAGTGAACATTCTCTTTCAAATTTAATCAATACATACATGAGCATGTGTGCGTAATCTATAGGGCGATGAAAGATCGTAGGTTTCATATATGTAGTGTATCAAGTGTCAAGCAAAGAGTATTATTGGAATTTTGGATTATTTGTATGACTGCAATTATCAAGGAATTGTGTTTTTCTGCATCAAATGGAAATAAACAATACACTCATGTCTTATTAATATTACATTGTACATATGCATTATTATTTGTTCCGTAGTTAAAAAATACGCACATGCGTACTACACGGTTGTTAATTTATATGTAAGTATAAACTACTAGCAGTACTGGTTCATCATAAATGGAAGCAAATGGCACAGAAATGACATTTTAAAGATAAGAAAACCTCAAGATTTACATTCGCCAAGTGTTCCGTGTCTACTGGAGTCAAAGCAAAATCATGAAAACATAATATTCGTCACTTTGATTCCATGATTGCACGGTGGTATTCTCCCCCATAATGTCATGACATATATTCAGATGCAGTTGATCATAGCACCTTAAATATTTGAGCAAGTTAACGTAGTTAACTTCGACTCATCCGAAAACTATCTACTTTTGACTAAACGTCAAACAATACGCGGAGAAGGTTGGTCGGTTCTGGTGACGTTAAAACCCATTTGGACCACTTTGTATTACCTTCTTTATTGCTAGAGGCTTTCAATTGAAGGAGAGCATGACGAGCCTTGAGCAGCTGAAAGAAAACGATGATATCGTCACTTTTAATTAATATGTCAAGATGGTTTAATGATTTATACAAGATTATCGTCACTAGAATTTAACCTGTGAATTCGTTATAGTCATTTTCGCACGTTCCAAGAATTTGTCTTTGAATTCCTCCGCATCAAATCTTCGATTTTTGTCTTGTTGTGGAGGTGGAGCTGCCGGTGGAGCTGCCGGTGGAGCTGCCTGTGGAGCTGGTACTGGCAAAGCTGTTTGCGCATTTTGATGGAAGGGCACAGGAGGAAGAGTAGGTCGTACTATGCTGACCTACCATTAAACAAGGTGGTAAAAACTTTAGCAAATCATCATGTTATTAAGTACTACATCACAGCTTACTTGAGTAGTGCCTTGATCCTGTTGATTCGTTATCGTCTCACTGATAGCTGTGTTACCATTTCCAGTGATTTCCTCATCATGTGGGCGTCTTACCCATGAAATTGTTTCTTCGAGGTTTCTTTCACCAGCACGGTTATCATTCACCACACATTCGCGTACGCGGCTGGTCCGCTGGCGTTTAGCTCCACAGTCTCGATAGCTCAAATCTTCACGGACGCCTCCCTCCACACTGGACAATGGGACCTTCTCGTCAAAACTCATTATCTGCACAGCATACTTTTTCTTTCCTGTGCTAATCCTATTAAACTCCGACATGAGAATTGAAATCTGTAAGAAGCATTTTTTAACAATCATTTTTGAAGAAATGTGTACATTTAATAATATTTCTTACAGGTTCTTTCAAACAATGTGGAGGTTCGCCAAAACGACCTCTCACTCTGCGGACGTAATACTTGTTTGCATCAATTATAAACTGTATTGAATTTTGATATTTATAAATTTATGAGTAAATAAATTTAGTAAGCAAATTTATGAGTTTAAACCAGTGTGCAATGCGTATTTAATTCAGTATCTTAGGGGCTCACCCCGTTAAAAGTTTTCTCAATCGCCTCCATCCAAGTGAGCTCGATGTCAACGGTCATAATTTTATCGTGCAAAACTTCCAACTCATCGATTATCCTGGACCAGTCGAGCATCTTCTTTACATATACGGGCGGCCCTGTTCTGAGATAAATGTTGACCAACATTCTATCGTCACCTTTATTTTTTATCTTGAATGAAATTGAAGAACGTTCAATTAAAATTTTTTCAACACTCGGCTTGGAAACTTCATGTACGTTTCTTTCTGCTGTGAAATTATTTCACTGAAATGATAACTGGGATTCACTGAAAAGTGTGCCACATTACGACAATTCTTATCCGGACAAGGCAACAGGAGGCTTATCTAATCTACGATGTGTACAATTAGATTAACGATAAACTACAACTCTCCTCGAGACGAGCAACCCAACTTCAGCATTGATAAATAGCACGAGAATGTCGTTTTTTATTGCGAGTCATTTTTATCTGTTAATATTACCGATATACATAAGACCGTCGCGTACGTAAGTATTATCAATTGCATATTATTTATACACGCTTTTGTACCTAATCATGAAGGATTTATTTTTTACATATCTACAATTGGACAATTTAAATACATTTAACATGTACCACACGCTCCTTTTAAATGCACTTTAACTATGCGTCCAACTTTTCCTGCTCTTGTTGATCGATGAAGGATATCTGGTAAAGGATCGTCTTTGACTTCATGAGGCTGAATCCATTGTCCCAAACGAGGGAGTAGATGCCCTCTTTTTCACAAATGTGGGACCCTTCCTGAACTTGGGTGTGAGCGTCCACCCGCGCCAAGGGGACGATATCTTCCCACTGGTCCTTCTTGGCACGAGCTTCCTTAGAATAAAATAGATGGAAACCGACGTCATGTCCCTCAGATTTAAATTTCCACTCGAGGATTGTCTGCTTATCGGAGACTTGAACCTCTTGGATGAATCGTTCACGAGGGGCGACAACAATTTTTGTGAAGGCGGCGTCCTCCTCGGTTAATCCTGGGCAAAAAGGTTACAACACTTAAGTTTCAGTTATTACGGGCTAGTTTTTATGCTAATACTGATTTTGAATCTATGCAAATATGCAGTAATCCTTACCCTTCATAAAGGCCGACATATCTTTTGGACCTTGTATCCATATGGGGTGTCCACTCCCATACTCGTCTTCCGTCACCAGCTCTCCTCCCCAGTTGGTCGGAATCAATTCCAATGGAAATCTTTCTCTTACAATCTTCTTCCACGTGTCTTTGTCACTCTAAAAAGAAAGTTGTAAGCATTTAAGCAAATTAAATGTCTGCATCATAAATATTAGTTTGCGAAAATAACAACTAGAAAACTTACCCCATAAATGTCAATCTTGTCAGAAGTGGACTTTGGCAAAAGAGGCTTCAGAATATTGTAAATCAGCTCAAAAACCTTCGGAGCGTTGACAATCATACAGAGACGAAGGAGTTCTGGATAATTGGCGTCCATGACGGCTTGCGTCCCAGTCATGAAATCTCGACAGGATTTAGTTGCCATTTGACGGTAAGAAAAACTGAAAATGAAGCAAAAAAATTAAAATTTGTAAATTGCACGGTTTAATATTTTTATTTGCCTACAATTTTGTCTACTATTTAAATTAAGGTAAATATTTGCGTACCCTTCACAGTCACAAATTTCAATGATTTGCGTGCATTGGACCCCTTTCTTTGCGCCTTCTTCTTTCATAATCTTGACCCATTGTTCCATGAAAAGCATATTAAATTTTTTACACGTTTCTAGTCCATATTTGTCCAGCATTCCGCGAACGTCATGTCGCCCAAAGGGGACCAAAAATGTAGCATAGCCCTCTTTTGAAATTCCACAGAAAGCCAGTGGGATCAATCTTTGCAGCTCCTCGGGCACGTTACCCTCTCGCTCGAGTAAGGTATCAATCTGGTTATCTTTCCTCCATTTCATGGAAGTTCGGAACATGTCTTCGGCCTTGACGAGATCGAGGTTCCGAGCTCGGAGCCATTTGATGAGGTACGAGTCATCCAATTGGTCCTTGGTTAGGGAGAGACCTGCTAAATTGCTCCTGAATTTGACCAATTTGTCTTTCTCCTCAGAAGTGTATTCGTTATTGGAGAATGCAGCCTTGAGAACATCGCTCGTCGTCATGGTGATGAGACAATAGATAAAAAAAATTGCTGTGTCAGTAGAAAGACGAGCAGAAAAAATGACAACAAATGAATGGTGATATGGAATAAAGTGTTTTTAAGAATTGACATGCACCTATATTTGCACACTGGTATTTGATGTTTTAATTGGGAATAAGCTTACCACTGAGTTGTGTGGGTTGGTCGGAGAATCAATAAAGATAACCTGAATTTTTGAACGCGTAAAATTTCAGCTCGATAAGATAGATAGAAATTAAAGTTGGTGATGTTGCAAAATTGGAGTGGTATACACAGATTCATGCATATTTGCATAATGCATTTATAAGTACATTATAATTATGTTTAATGCGATAATCATTTTCGTCCATTTTTGCACATTTTGCATATCCCAAATGATATTCTCATCCATACATATCAATTTTTGCCTTATCAATTAATGCAACTTGTATTTTTGCAACCGATGCACTGATGCATAATACATTGACCTTTAATTGCTCGGTCAGGATAAGATTGTGACAGATACCGAATTTTTAAAAAGCTATAAAGATATATATACATACTACATGATATATTACTATGAAAGTATGTGTGATGACGATTGATGGTATGTGATGCTGATGTGAAGTTAATTTGCTGCTACCGATTCGGGAGAAAGAATGGAGAAAGCTCTTTCGGGAGAAAGTTCCGTTTTCTTCCGACTCCTTTAAATTAAACTGTGTAATCCTAAGAACACCAGGTCTTTCGGTTTGCAGACTTTTCTCCTCTCAATACATAAAACAGACATATTCTGATAATTTATTTTAATTAGAATAAAAAACCCAAAGACCACTCATGTAAAGTGTTATACATACATACATATTCATACAACAGAAGCAAAAGTAACATGAACCAGCGTAATGCATAAAAATCGGTCTCAAATACAATGTACATAAGCTACTACACAGCAGCACGCGTGTGACTTACATTAAACAGGAGATCAGATTAAATGGTACATTCCTCCAACCAAATCCAGGGTTACATATTTATGTATATTAATAACAATTATCTTGAAAAAATACATACATACGTTAACGTGCTACACAGCAGTTGAAGTAAAATTAAACCAGACACACAATACAAGCACTTGAAAATCCACATGAAAAGTATTGCATGTTCAATGGCTTCGTATTAACTAAAACAACTAAACGGTAGTTGTTTTAGTACGTTGTTATTATTAGGAGGAACACCATGTCATTTTCATTTGAAGGAAAACGAATCTTGGTGACGGGGGCTGGTCGTGGTAAATAATAAATGCGCTTTATTTGCACAATTTAAATAATAATAACAATTTATTCTTGTTGATATTTTTTTAATCTGCCAGGACTTGGTCGGGCAATTGTGGAAAGCTTTGTGAAATCTGGTGGCTCTGTTTTTGCCTTGGACATTAAGCAAGAACTTCTCGACGATGTAACCAAATCTTTTCCCACCGTGGTCACAGCAGTGATCGACTTATCCAAGTGGGACGAGGTGAAAGAGATTGTCCAGAAATTAGGGCCCATGGACCATCTCGTCAACAATGCTGGGGTTTTTATTTATGAACCAATACTGGAAGCGACTGAGAGTGCTGTCGATAAGTAAATAAGTTGATAAGGTTTAGCTTCATATTAGCAAATCATTGATTACAAAATTTTTCTTCCAGGGTTTTAAGCGTAAACTTCAAAGCGGTTCTTAACATGTGCCAAATTTTTGCAAAGAATGTGATTCAAAACGAAATTAAGGGTGCAACCATTGTGAATGTTTCTTCACTGGTGAGTACTTCTTTTGATGGCATAATGTGAAGGCATAACTTAAAAAATATTGTCCTTATAAGGCCGGACAACGACCATATCCGGTTGGAACTCAGCACTCGGGAACAATTTACAGTTGCAGTAAAGCAGCCGTTGACATGTTGACTAAAAACCTGGCCGTTGAATTTGCACAATATGACATTCGTGTCAACGGAATTGCACCGGGACCAATGATCACGGGACTGATGGATAATTTGCCACCAGATGTTCGCCAAGGTTTGAAAACTTCTGCAATCAAAGCACGTCAACTTGTTCCAGGTGTCGCCGAGTTGGATGACGTCGCCTTCATTGCGCTCTACTTATCCAGCCCGGTTGCAAAATTTATTACGGGAAGTATCAATGTAGTTGATGGTGGGGTGGGAACTGCGTAAATTGATTACTCGTGATGCGTTGCACTGAGAATTCTCAAAATTAGCTTAATCGCCGAGACATGGTGGAAATAAAATGTATCATTACTCATAGATTTCAAGAAGTACATTTTTTCAAGTCCTTATTGATTATTTACACAATTTCATAACAATCGCTTTTGTAGTTTGTTTCAGTTTGACAAAAATAATATGCATATGTATGTATGTGGAATTGGGCGTTCTAGCGCAATTTAGTGCATAAAAGCTTCAAGTTTTCTTTATGTTATGAATATTAATTTATTTATTAATATAGTCAAGTATTATAAGTGCCAACTAAATACGTATTAAAACCGAAATTGATTAAGCAATAATGTGCATGCATAGGCAGATAAATAGCATTTGTACCATTTTGGGCTTACAAATAATATGAAACTTTGGTTCTCCGTTTCTTAAATATCAAAATTTCCATCCCAAATATAGCAATTGAAATACCACATGAAACTAAAAACAATATCAATATTCCAACCAGGTTCTTGCCCAATTTTAACCTTGACCAAGTCTGTCTAAATCGTTGTGCAATTTTAATGTATTTCGTGACACTCTTTTCTTTCGATAACTGATACCACTTATCCGCCAGTCCGGAAGACATTAACCCCGATATTCTGGATAGAACAATGTCATTCCCCCAATTAAACAGGGCCCATCCCTTCATCAATTTCCCCAGTGGATCCAGACTCTTACTGATTGCAGAGTGAGGATAAATCGCTTGCAAATGTGCGTGCACCTGGTTTATATGATCCGTCCAAGATGCCAGAGCTAATGGTTTGTGACAATCAGAAATTAAGTCAGCAAAGGAAGAATTTCCGTTGGAAATTTCGACATAATTGTGCGGAATCTTTGTAATATTTTTCAGTCGTTGCAGCATTTTATACGTTGAAGAATTATATCGATCGAGTTTGTACTCATAATCATCCACTCCTACTCCTAGCAGGAGGTATTCAAATACCAAAATAATCGACAACCAGTTGCCATACCGGGCGACCTCTATTTCAGATCTGGATTGGTTGATAGCATAAATGTAGACCGAGGCATCATACGGGATGGTGTAGACGGAAAACTGATTATGAATTAGCTCCTGAAAATCAGTGTAGGTCGCCCTTTTTGGAGGGACGGTTAGGCGTTTGACGTACCCACTTTTGTACAAGGTTGATAAGACTAAACCCGCAAGAATCCAGGTTCCACACAGAATGTAGGCAAAGTTGGCGTAAGTTGGGATAAAACGTCCGGTTGAAATTGTCGATTGATTTTTAGCCGGTGCATTACTCTGCTCGAGAAGGGAACCACACCCGACAAACAAAAGTACTGTAATTGAACTTGAACTTCTGCCAAGTAAAAAATATCCGAGCGAAAGAATGGCACAAATTGTGCCGCAGGAGGCTAAAATAAGGATCCAAATGGTACAGTCGAGGGGGGTGACCATGTCGGAAACTCCAATGAAAGTGGCAGAGCTCTTTTGATGACATGTCGTGAATTCTAAACCCTCCATTTTATAGGTCAGCGTTTGACCCATGAACAAGTCCATGAGGACGCATGGCATGTTTGACTCGCCACTAGTCATAGACCCCGGATACACGTAAACATACAGCTTAGAATACTTTACGTCATCACTGTTGTCTAGGATTAGGGGCATCTTGACACACTTATTCCCTTCGAATCCCGTCATGGTTGCATTGTTGAACGCCAATTTGAAAAGGATTAAATCTAAATTCATTTGACGGGAGTCGTACTTTTTGAAATTTAAGTACTTCCGAGGTCTTCCATTTGGTCGAACGGACCGTCGGAGTATTCTTTCTTGCTTATCGATATCAGGATCGTTTAAGGCGAGGTGATTAATTCTCCATGTCTTATCAACCATGGTTTGAGTGTGGGTGGATATGCGTAAATTTAGATCTATCAGATCAGTTAGGGGAAGGTATAAGCGGATAAATTTCGCATGACAATGGGTACAAAGTTCACACAAGAAATAAAACTGCGGGCCAAAAAAGGCAAGTCTGTCTTGAAGAACTAGGACAGAAAATAAACTAGGCGCTGCATAATAACGACGCTTTGATTCGTACAATGGAGTTGCCCAAGCACCCCATTGCACTGGATTGGTCACATTGGTGACCAAGATTTTGTGGAAAGTTTTCTCTGAAATTTTATACGGAACAGTAAAATCCTCCAGCCTACCGATGTAGGCGTACCCAATGTTCACGTGGGGAACCCTCATCCGGTCGGTGAACAACATAGTGACGTGTGGTATCGAAATGTGGATTGGGGGGAACAAGTGGAATTCGAAGGTGCAGGGAAGGTACGTAGGTCTGTAAGCAATCGGTGGTGAGGATGAATTACGGTCAATTCGAATATTATAGTTTAGAATATCTTTTTCTCCGTTGAATCCACTCCATATTGTGTGAGTTACTTTTAACTTGACGCGCACAATTGGTAAGGAATTTATGGTCCAGTTCGCCTCAGAGTAGTCGTATAAGACGAGGAGACAGGAAGAAAAAGGGTTTATGAGATCTAAAACCTCGTCAGGTGGGGGATTAGCAGAGATAATCGGTATGAGTGAGGCAATGATGGATAGTAAAATAATTTTTGGAAATAGTGTCGTCATGATTTAATGACGCACAGCAAAGATTGTGGCAAACTGGCAAGGATGATGACAAGAAACGAGTTAGAAAGCGGACAATGGACTTCTATTATATTTGGATACTTGAAGCGAGTACCCACCGCAAAACAAGTGCAATACCAATATTGGAATTTGTAGTATTGGGCGTGCCGTATCGTATACAAGCAATTGGTTCAACAATGTAATTTAGTATATTAAATTTCAGTACATGAAATTGAACGACACCATAGACCAACGACTTCAGAAATTATTTGGTTAAAAATTACTTTTAAAGTTTATGTTTACATTTTGAATAATTTTTTATAGATTTAATTAAAATGTAATTGTTAATTTAAAACTGGTACAAACCTTCAAATGCTTATTACAAAAGAGGCTTTCATGAAAATTCCATATTCGGTAAGAAATATTGAGACTTATGTATGAACACCACTTCATAATAATTCATTTAGAATACAAACTAATTTTGGAAGACAGGAAAAATGTTTGAGCGACCTCGTGAATAAATTTGTTTCATGATTAATTTATCTATTTGAACCGGTTTAAAATTAACACATGTTTTCGGAAAGTATTTCCACCGTTATATTTTAAGTCGGATATGTCACCTCCCGTTGTTCCATTTAATTTAAAAAAAATGTGAGCAGTTGCACACTTGACCTTGAAAATTGTTCCACACAATTTGCCAGAGGTTGACAAGTTCATGAGAGTATGGAAAATAGCAGGACAATTTAAACTGTCCCTTAGTTACATTTACAAGGTAACTATAGATCAAGTGCTTTATCATTTTGGAACTACCAACGTACATATAAATCCAATTTGCGTCACTAGATTAAATAATCCAATTGTCGTGCCTTGCATAAGGTGTTGTTGGGTTAACGACTGGTTATTTTTTCATAAGGAATGTACCTGTCATTTGCATGAATATTATCAAAGCATCAATCAATTCAAGACATGGTCTATTTGCCCGTCCTCATATGCGGATAAGATGGGCATACAACATGGCCACATTGTTTAAAATTCTGGAGAGTACATAAGTTTGTCTCATTCATTTGTCTCAACTTACTTTTGGTAAGTCCATGCATAGCCCAACCATCTTACTGACTGAGCTACGAACAGGGAAATTATACATAAATCTGGGGTAAATCTAGGTTTCTCATACCATATTCGACACGATATGATTTCCGTCAGAGATAACAGAAATTTTATTTTTTCCATGTAAAGAACGATAAGAAATTTAGGCTAATAATTAATTAATGTTGTCTACCCTTGCCAATATCAGCGTTTTAATGAGTACCGAACGATAAGTCCAAGTTTCCTAAACACGGCATTTAAAGTGGATTAGCTATCGTAAACTAGGCACAAAATTATTTATTCCTTCTATTTATAGCTGTGATGAATTAATCTCCCCGGCAAGTGCCAGTTCAGAAATTTGGTAGAAAGGAAAACACAGGACCAAAAACTTCTGACTAAACTAACAAAACTGGCAAAACTAGATGATTGGCAACTGAAAATGTGAGGATAAAATGGTAAAGTTTTTGTATGTATGTATACTTTTTAAAATTTGAAATTCTGTTTAAAACTGGGGTTTTTAAAATTTCTCAGCACCAGTTTTGAAAAAATCGAAAACATGAAGAAAATTATCAACTTCGATGTCTTGAATATGCGTTTGTTTATTCTATTTTATTCTCAATGATTCAGTTTCATTGGTTTTGAGCAGTTACAACCAAAACAATAAAAAGCAAAAACACAAACGTCATTCATATTTTTCCACGAGTTTTTGAAACCTATATAGCCTATTAACGAAGTTTCACCTTCATGAAATAAAATATGATGTACGCAGATCAAAATATTTAATAATTTCTACTTCAAGACGTGGCCATGTCCCAAATCCTGTAATCATCTATGCACCAAGCAATTTCCGTTGTTATAGCCATCACACTTTTCAAATCAACCCACGTCTTGTCATTAATCTTGTAAAATAGTTCATTCTTCGACCCCAGTGTCTTACCTCTTGACGCAATTATCTCCCCGTGAAATAGCCCACTATCCGATGCAAAAGTGCTTATTCTGTGAACCTGGACGCCGTTAATGTCAAAGTCCAGCCGTGGAAAGTATTACACAATGATGATACTTTGTCACGCAAATTTAAACATATCTGTCTCGTCTAAATTCAACATAACGACCCATAATTACTCAGCTGCATAGCACATTGCAAAATTCAGGATGCATTTAAGATACGTTTATTGTTATCCGTGCCACAAAACAGACCAATTATTCTGTCCTGTTAATATTCTACTGCATTCCTGATCGGATGCCTACTTTTACACTCCCGACTTCTTGTTACTCTTAATTATGGAAGGAAAAGTCTCCAATTATGGGACTGCATGTTCAGACTATACATACAGCGTCCACGACAATTTACGTCGTGGACGTGGCCGTCCTGTCTCGTATGTAATTTAGCAAGGAGAGAACATGATATAGTGTCGATATGACAGTTTTTCGATATGTATGCGATGGACTTCACGGGAGGGTATGAATTTAAAATGTGTAAAACAGGTAATTTTTTATGGATTTGATTTTTGTCCTTTTACACTTTTAGATATCTCTCTTGCAAAAACTTAGCTGCGGTTATTCTTGCGGTGCTCGGTTGTACAGTTCACAACTGGATTTCTTCTGGGGATGTCAATTTTTTGCCAAGTTTCATAAAAGTTAGCAATCATAATGCAAGCTGCAGGGGGCTTAAAGAAAAGAAAGAGGCGGAATCTAGCAAAGGTTAACAAACTGCAAGAAACTAAATTTAAAATGTAATTTTCTTAAGATCAGGTACTTATTTTTGGATATATTCAGGTGTCGGCGGATGGTGTTGTTCTCTACGATCGAGATGCCGACATCTTCGACCCCTACGTACTCCACCCACAGTACAAAAATCATCAAGACTTTCCCAACGCATTTGGAAACTCTGGTGGAGATGTGACCATCCGTGTCACGTCGCCCCATGCCCCACCACGCTCTGAACGGGACGGAGCATGGAGTGGAACGTCCTCCGCTTATCGGGAAGAATTGGAGGAATTTCGATACGGGAGGAACGCAAGGGTAACTCGAGATCCAAAGTTTACATCAACCCACGCCGCAGTTGATATCGAAGACGACCCCGAATATCGACCCGTGTCAAGTGTCATGACTGGAGAGCTGCCTCCGCACAATAGACCAGTCTTGTTGAGTGATAATCACATAACACGGTATGATTTTACGGGGCATATTTCGAGTAAAATTTTGACTCTCAGACATAATTTTCACAACGAAGAAATATTTTTGTTTCTAAATTTTTGTCATACATAGTTCTTTACAAGAATTCACGAGGAAAACATTTGTAAATTTTCAGACTACGCAACATTATGCTTCTCGGCATGACCAGTTTGGCCTTCCCGTGGAAATTTAACAGGAAAACGCACCAGATTGACAAGTAAATTATTGGAAGACATGTGTATTATTAGTTTATCCTATCATTAAGATAATGCAAAATGCCATAGGTGGAGCCCGTGTATGGAAAGGATTTGGAAAGTGGTTTGGACCCTGACCACGATTCAGTCAACGTGCATCACAGGATTTCAGTTTTACTCTTTCTTCTCCAGAATGGGGACGGATGAGGATGGGAGTTGGCGACCAGTGTTCCAAAGCTCATTTTCCGTCCTATGGTACTGTTACTCGGTGGCGTTGAATATGTAAGTTCTTCGAGTGCACATAATTGGCGTCAATTAAGTGGTTTTAATGTCCTAATTTATTTAGTTGCATGTACAAGTATCGGGATGCCATCCGACACTATGTGAACTCATTGTTCGCCATGAATGCAAAATTAGTTGGTAAGAGTTTTTGAAAGAGAGGTCGCAGATCGCATGCACATAAGTGATTCTAAATAATGTCTTGGTTAGATGAGTACCTGATAAACGCGGACGATCACAAAGAGGGTGGTCAAATTCTTCTCAATGTCTCAATTCCAACCAACATTACGCAAACTTTCATCTCGGTCAGCTTATTTCTGACATTCCCAAATTCCCCGTGGTATTTGTACAGCTATATTTACGATCCGACCCATGGATGGTGGTGGCTCATTCCGGGGGCATTACAGGTGATAAGATTTTGAAAAAAATTACAAAAAATATTTTTGAAAACATTTCAAATCTTTATCATAAATTTCTAGGAATTTGTCGTTATTGGTCAAATTTTGTCGCAGTATCTCTTAATCGCATGGATAGTTGTTGCTCATGCGAACAGTGTCGAGTTCTGGTTACAAGAAGCACAGTAAGGTCTCAAATGTAAAAAAAAACTGTCTCGAAATACCCCAGTCTGTAATTGAAAACTTTTCTTAGCAAATTGAACGATTCTGACATGACCCGACCAGAACTTCGTGACCCTCACAACGCCGTAAGAGTGTACCGAACCCTCCAAATGCTGACCACCGTGTTTAACGATGCCATGGCTCCGATGGCCGTCTCTGTAAATAAAATGATCAACTGGACAGCCCTCATCCCATGCGGATTTGTTCTAATTCGATCCATGAACCAAAAAGTTGTGGAGGAATTTCCCGGCATTCTGACATATCCTTTTGGTGTCATTGATTGTGTGACATGCTCCTACGGCGTTTTACAAATGTCCGCGAGAATGTATGACATTTCGGCAAGTCTGCTAACATCCTGGAGCCAAACGAGGCATAAGGCTCTGAGAAAAATTCTAATCTCATGTCCCGTCCTCAAGGTTAAGATTGGACGTCTCTACATCGTAACGACCTCGACAACTATTACGTATTTTAAGTCAGCCCTGGACTACATTATTAATGCCATCGTTTCGTTTCCGTAATGGATTTGAGGAAGTGTAAGCTCTGCACATTTAATAGAAGTTAATGGATCGCTTTCACCATAGAAAGGTGTGTAGGCGGAACATGCGCCTTACTCAATGTTTATCGTTTGGAATCCTTATCGTTTGGAATGGTTAAATGGAGACGATTTTGTTTGTGCGGCTATTTCCGTCTTTTAGACTACATAATTTACTCTTCCTTTCAATTTGATTTGACATTTTGACGGGCTTGGGAAAAGCGTAATGCGATTTTGTATTAATGTACTTGAGCGCAGTAGGATTCCTTTCTCAGCCCTTGTGAGAAAAACAAAAACAGTTCAATTATGTATGCATTTATTGTTTCAAAAACAAATTACTTTGATTAGAATAACATGCCAGTTATTGTTAATTTAAATGAAGGGACAAATGCTCGCATAAATTCTCATCCCATTACTAATTAATTCACTAAATATTTATTGAATATTTTTTTCATATGCGACAGTAGAAATTATCTAAGGTCAAAAGTGAATCTAGTAAAACCTTTTAAACAAAGAGATCTTGTGTTTATCCAAATTGCTCGTAGAAAAAGCGTTCTGAATACATATGTATGTACATACATTTATGTATTTAATGCGAAATTTGTTCTGATCACTGTAGTACATCATGATATATATATTTCAGTGTTTTAAATTTTACGATAAATTAAATCTCAACTTATCTACTTCAGGCTGCAAATGTTCCCCAATAACCAACACGACTAATGCTATGCTTCATTATTTCTTCATTCGTTCTTCATTGTTCTACTTTCTTAAATCTAGATGTACACATAGTATGCATAGTATATTAATTATAGATGTATTTATTTATCTTGCATTTATTTTTGTGAAAGTAGTCATGCCTATTCATAATTTGCAAAAAAATATACTGATGATGAGTGCCACAGATATTCAAATGCAATAAATCTTGTCCTCTTGACATACAGACACTCTTAAGAATTACGTTTATCATTAAGAAAACTCAGACGAACATCTTCCTATTTTTCTTGTCATGCATTATGATCTTGAGAGCCACAATAAAAATAGATTATTTCAATGATGTGGTGTGGTCAAATAAAATGTGCACGGCCTTAACTATATTCACATCATAATTAGACCAAATTTCTTCCCCGTGCAAACATTTTATGTGTACTCAATAAACCAATTCAAACTATTCATTTTTAGCAAAAGCACAATGCACAAATGCCACTTACATTTACATGCAGACACCGCATGCACTCTTGAAATCTATAATAAACCTCCCATCCCATTTTTCGGTCACAGTTCAAGTCCAAAGCTGTCCCAGCAACACTGACCGATGTTCACCTTGCACCTATTCAACCCGATAAATCCGGATAAATCAAGTGCAACCAAACACCTTAATCAAACATTGCATTGTCAACACGATTTAAATTATGCAAGGTTCCTTCCTACGAGACAGACGGAAAAATGAGACAGGGTTTTCCCAATTAGGAAAATCTCCCATCACTATTTATTACAATCACTTGCTCAAAGTCAACTTCACTCAGGAACTAACTCTTGTGGGGTCACTTTCACTGCCAAAATGTTCGAAGTTATCCGTACTGATCATGATAAGAATAAGTCACATTCTCCCAGCAGACACCACGCCCACCTCAACCAGCACAACTCCCCCTACTCGAACCACATCCAACTGGTCAAGACCATCTCGTCCGCGTCAATCCTGCCTCCAAGAACTCCGGAACATTTGAAATATTCGTACAAAACGATATTCAAAGTTTACTTCAATTTCACATTTTGCATGTGCATCAGTCCATTTCGATTCTGTAAAGTAGTGACGCCTTGGGACAAAGGGGTCACGTACAGGATGAAGAAGGCTACCCCACAAATGGTAAGTTGGGGGAAAATGAGACAGATATCTATGACCAGATCAGATAAAATATGTGAATCCTATATTTTTTTACTAGCTCATTTGCATACTCGTGCACATACTAATCATTTATAATTATTTGATGTCGATTCGTAACGTGAAATTAAAAATGCTCGCCTCCAATCCGATCGTGTACTTTGAGCTGTTTCAAACCGTGACGAATTCTCTGTATCGGGTCGCCTTCTGCTACATGTTGTGGACCAAGCAGGACCAAGTGGTGAAAGTCATGCACTTTTCTGGGGACTTGGCCGCACCGTCTGAAAAGGTTGTGAAATCTTACCTGGTAGAACATATTGTAGCGTTAATGCTGGGATATTATGTTAATCTGGCCCCTCTCTAGATCTACCCGTTTACAATATTTCTATGTGTCATGTACACCGGGATGTCACTAGGTCAGCGAAATTTGTAACAATTTTTCAAAATTACTATTAAATTTTTAACTTTTTGTAATTTAATTTTTCTTAATTGGCAAAAACGTGCAATATTTTGAAATTTATTTGAAGGCATGAACTTTCTTTCAAATTATGATTTTCTTTTAAATTTTGACTACAATGTAAAATCATGATTTTTCTCGAAATTATAGAACTTTTAACTATGATTTTTTTTCAAATCTGACAAATTTTTTGTTAATTTAGCAAAAATTTTGACACATTTTTTCAGCATGCGGCATCCTCGGTGATGAGTACGCAAGCCACGCGGCTGATAATAGTACGGAAACTACAATAAAAACGTCACGATGGACACCGTACTCTTTTTTACACGCGTCTTCCGCAAAGGCGAAATATTTCCTGTTTTTGGCTGACTCTGCTCTACCGACACCAATTAATATAACTGGGCACAATATCTCAACCGGAAATATAACGGTGAATAGCGTGTCGCAAATGGAGGTGGGTGACGTCCTTTTTGGCGTGCTCGGAATGACCATGTCCATCTACCGCAACCTTTTCCATTTCCAATCCAACTTGTTTCTGCTTTTGGTCACCTTGTCGTTGGCATTTCACGTTAAAGCGTTACATGTCCTGATCGCTCCTCGACCAAATTCTGGGTCTGGACTCCTCCCTCTGAACGAGCTCAGCATCAACTTTCCCGTGGACATGATCCTCTCCAAGTACAGGACCCTCAAGGACTTGGCGGCCATGCTTAACTCGACCTTTGGAGGTCTGATGCTTCTCTACGTGCTGACATCGATCTCGACCATTGCGACGTATCTCAACACGGTCATCGTCGAGCCGGACCTCTTCACCAAGATAAGAATTGTGTGGGGGACGAACACTTTTGTCATCATTTTGGTGACGGGGTCCAACCTGTGCAATCACGTGGGTGGATGAGTTACATACATGATTTGATACAATGTAATGTCCGAGTATGGATTTTAATGTAAATGTCACTTGCGACAGATAAGCGAGCTCAAGACGTGGCTGGGAGAAGGAAGCAATTGTAAGCAGTTGTCGCTGAGCCAACTGGTAATTTTGCTTAATGAACTTAACGACCACCCCGTCGGGATAAGCGGAATGGGACTGTTTACGATTCATTACAAGTCTGTGACAGGGGTAGGTGTGCATTAGTGTCAGGATGATTTATTCTGTGGGGTGGGAGGAAAAATGATATTAATTTTTGCGACGGTTTGCATTTCAGCTTGTGAGTACGCTGGTCACTTACTTCATTATCATGCTGCAGTTCCAAGTTGCTGTGCGGGGTGATGACTAATTCGTAATGTGTGTAATAATGGAGAGAAAGTAATAAAAATCTTAACCAAGCAATATCGTGGAGGATGTGACATGGAAATAAAATATAAAAAACGGATGGAATGTGTGAGTACGTACATACTTGTAAATGTATGCAACATTGTTGAGCCCCCAAGTTTGACATTGTCCAAATGCCAAAAAAACACCAACTATCTATGATAAATTATGTAAACCATGGGCAGGAAAAATACGAAAAACGACCCATGCGTTTTTTGAGTTTTATAAGATTGTATGTAATAATAAATACACTCAACAAAAATTCGAAACTATTGAAAGTCAATTCCAATGATATACAAGTCCTCCTTGTATTAGAATTTGTATCGGTTTCGAAGTTAATTTTTTCGCGTCACTTTAAGATATGTAATGGATGGTATCTATTATTGATTTATTCCAGATTAAAAAAGTTACAATATGAATACAATAAAATTCTTAACTACAGTGAAACATCTTCATCCAACATATGTATGAGAGGTGTCTTTCGCAACTTTCCTAAAAATGATATAAATTATGCACATATTTACTTTCAGCATATTGTCCAACCCAGCCCCTACTAACCTTGCTAACCAGAACAATTGGCACTATTGCCTGCTCCAAATTTATATGCCTCGTCCTGATCTCTAAATTGAGCCATGACAACGAGAAGAGTCATAAGAACGGACAAGATCTATCGAAAGAAATAATTTCTCACATAATTTCTCACACATCAATTTTCTAATCATCATATCGTCGTTGAATGAATATGCATTGGGACACATAAATTTGGACACACCTCCAATGTTAAATTAAAGTTAAAGTCGTGTCCGAATGCAAATTCAACTACGATGTATATGTCCAAACTTGCCGAAAGTACAAAACTGCGACGAAGGGTGAAGAAATTCCCTGCTGAAATGTTTAGGTCACAATTTCTTACTTTTTGGAGAAGCAGCTTAATCTAGAATTACACAGAGATTTTTCAGATTATGGAATAAAATTAGGCACATTTCTTTACCTCGGCGCGTTCCATCTTTTGCAAATTTTGTGTTCGAATCTGGCTCAGCTGAACGAAAAGTTTCCCCTTAGTTTGATTAAGGATTTCGCCATGATTTCCGTACATGTAAAGTGCATACAAAGCTACCAAAGATGAGAACACGTTTGTCGCACAACTCCCAAATTGTCGCATTTTCCAGGATACTATAGCAAAATATGTACATCCTAAAGTCCAACTTATGTAAGCGCCTACATCAATTAGAAGCCTAATCCCAAACGCATCGTTAAATATTGTCACCATTTTGATTAAAATGTCGTACGCGTCCGATGCCTCCTTCAATTTACCGCAACCAAAGTTGTAATTACCTTTCTGATGAAACATTTTTACAGCTACTGAATGATTATCGACCTCGCGCAAAATGCTTTTCAAAACAAGTACATAAATTCTAACGAAGAACGTAATCCAGTAAGCTAAGAATATATTAGAGTAAGAAAAGTACATCCAAAATGTTCCACCAATCACGGAAAGAAGAAAATTGTTCCGGATAATTGTGTCGTCGACGTTCTTCTTAATTTCTTCCTGTTTGCTAATGCCCAACAATCCTACAAACACCAAGTCTCCCAAGAAAATCGAAATTACTGGCAACATGAGAAGTGCACAAATTTTGAGAAACAGGCCACGATTTTCTTTCCGGAAGCTGTCCACCAACTCTGGAGCGTTCCATGGTAGTGAAATTTGTTCAAGATGGTTGCAATGATAGCTCCAAAATTTGAGTGTTTCTCGTACACTGAACAACGCGCGGAGACGATTTATGATAGAATTTGTAGTGCACGTAATGGTTAGAGCCATAATTATAAACGCGTCAGACGTTAGTGACGTAACTTGATCGAGAGATCCATATTCTTGACTTAGTTTGTAAAAATAGATGAGAAATATTACAAAAGATAACATGATTATGATTTGAGAGAGAAAGGGTATTCCCGTCCAACGGAACTGTAAATATGATTTCAATGATAATTTTCTGCATGGCTGGTTAATGTCGCTGTTTGTAATTACGGGAACTTGAACAACTGAGAGGGGGAGGTATCCGATGAATTGGAGACCACAAATGCTATATTTTCCCAAGCTTATGAGTAAATCTTGGACGTGCGTCGAATTTTTAATCGCTGGTGGTGAAGTCGATTCAATTAAGTTGGGATACATGACTAATGAATCGAATGTAAGTGTGCAGTATAATTTTTTCGCATTAATCTGGGGTGGTCAATTCGTGGGACCAATTAGATTAATTATTTCCCATATCTATAGGTTCTAAATTGATCTATGCAAGCATGACATTTAGGCAAATAATTAGTTAATTATTTTGTCAATAAAGGAGAATACAATTTATTTCGACTATATTCGTGTTACAACAATAAGGACTGAAACTTTGGGACAGCTTGGAAAAGTATGCATGGTATTGTATTGTTGGGTGCGGTTGTCGGCTCGATGCGAAAAACATGAAGAATACTGACAGAACTTGGAAAATTCGTAATCTAAACTTTGTTAATAAATATTTTTATACTTTTGCACTAAGTGGACTTATTGGCACGAACAATTAGCAATATTCAAAATTCCATATTTATTTGTCTCGTCCTGATTCCTAAATTGAGCCATGACGATGAGAAGAGTCATCAGCACGGACAATATCTAAAATAAGGAGGAAAATATATATTAGACAATTACATGAGTATGTAAATTAATCGAGCTTTATTAGTACAGTTTACATATGAATAGCTTACTGAAAGCACGAAGGTGCGATGAAGGACAAAAAAGTGCCCAGCAGTGATGTTCAGGTCGCAATTTTGCACCTTTTGAATGAAGGATTTAACCTGAAATTTTCAAATGTAAACAAAATTGTACACAATTTTCTAATCAGATCAGCTCAAAATTGTGTTGAGACAAAGGACAATTTACCTCCTTACATTCCATCTTTCGAAGATTTCGTGTCCGTACCTGGCTCAATTTCTTAATTAGCAAAACCCTTTTTTGGCTCAATATTTCCCCATGATTTCCGTAATTATAAAGCGAATACATGGCTAAAATAGAGGCCGCTATATTTGTTGTACAACTACCAAACTGTCTTACTTTCATAGACACCATAGCAAAATATGTGCATCCCAAAATCCAAACTATGTAAACTCCCACTTCAATTAGAATCCTAATTCCAAACGTATCGTTAAAACTATCCACCAATTTTATCAAAATATCATATGCATCCGATGCATGAGTTAAACTAAAAGTGCTATCAGTGCAGGCATTAATAAAGAGTTTTGTGGTAGCACAATATTTTTCCACCTCACGTAAAATACCTGTCAAAACTGTAATGTAAATTCGGACGAAAAAAGTCAGCCAGTTATTTAAAAGTACATTAGTGTATGCAAGATACACCCAAAATGTCCCACCAGCAAGGATGATAACGATATTAATCAGCTTGATACTGTTTTTCTGTTGATTTTCAACACCCCACAAAGCGTTAAATATCACATCCACGGCAGTCAAGCAAACTAATGGTATTATAAGCAAAAAGGTAAATTGGAAAAAAATGTTGCGATTCTTCTTTCGCAGGTCCTCCACTAATTCCGGAACGTTCCACAAATTTGCAATCTTTTCCACCTGATTGCATTGGAATCTCCAAAATTTGAGAGTTTGTCGCACATTGAGCAATGCGTGTATACGATTCGCAATGCAGTTGGTGACGCACGTAGTGGAAAGTATTGTGATTATAATAGAGTCAGAAGTTAATGGTGTAATGTCGTCGAATGAGCCATGTGGATGTACAATGGAAAAATAAATCAGAAATACGGTACAAAAAATGAACAGCGATACTTGAGAGAGAAACGATATTCCGGTCCATCGGAACTTTAGTGATTGAAGTGAGATTTTGCTCGGTGCGTGCTTTATTCCGTTGCCTGTGATCACGGGAACTTGTACGACTGAAAGGGGGAGGTACCCCACAAACTGGAGACCATAAATAGGAAGTTTCCCTATCCGTAAGAGTAGATCTTCGGTATGACTAGTTTTTTCGACAGAGTTGATCCAAGTAGGCTTAATCGAGCGGAGATCCATACCTACGACAAGATACACGAGTTACATTGGTGAGGTAAGTTGTCTAAAGACGGTTGAGCGTCAAGTAATCATAATCAAATTACGAGTATGCTCTTCGTGCCGCGAAATATAACAAATTAGTCTAATTAAATAGCTCGTCTGGAAAATAAACACCAATAAAAATGATTCTGATAATTAGACTTGCCAATAATAATGCAATTATTAGCGACAGCAAAAAATATAAATTCGCAATTATCGCAACGTATGATTATGTGCAAAACATCTACCTAAAAGTACAACATACAAATAAGGGAAATTAAAAGATATGTATGATACTCATCTTTTATGGACACATTGAAAAAATGTAGGAATACATAACCCTCGCCGTTTAATAAGGAGAAGAAAGTGAACTATATTCCTTAATTTACCATTGGGAAACGTCTATAAGCTTTCGGGACAATGCTCGACCCTTCATAAGGAGAATAAAATTTACAGAAATTGTATATTACCATTATTCTTAAATCACATTAGAATACAAAATCACTTGATTAAATCTAAGTAGTTAATTATTTAGCTCCGTATGCAATGGGTTATTTTAACATTGCTCAGACGTTAGCCCCCAGCCAACAATTCTTTGTGTTTTCGGGATCAATTCGGCCACAATTTTCGACCTATTCGGGATCGATTTCTTGACGATTCGTACAGAAATCCCGAAGAAATCGGTGGGAAATGTCCGCAGAATCGTACAGATTTCTTGACGATTCGTCACGAATTTTTACGCCGAATTCTGTGCGAATTCTTTGCGACTCTTGCAAGACTTCGTGTTGATTTCTGATAGAAATCCTAATGAATTTTGTCGAATTCTGCCCGAAATCACTACGATTTACATTGAAATGAAAAATTGGATAAATGATTTGTTCTTTTGAATTATTTTATTGCTTAGATGACCATAACAAAAAATAAGCTAATTATTTGTAAATTAATTCTGTGATGATGGCGAGGGCAGGTTGTTGCTGACTGGCTGTTTCCTGTGAAATTAAAACAGGTTTTAAATATTTTGCACAATATATTGATAATAGCAAAAAACTTAAAAATTTGAAGCAAAATTTTATTGCAAAATTTAATGGCAAAGAACATAAAACTCACTTGTTGCTTTTATACATACGATCACGGGCCTTAGTCAACTCCTTAAAGATTCTGTCATCAAATTTTGCAAGGTCAGGTTGCAAAAGGCTCATCACATTTGCTACACCCCCTAATAATTAAAAAATTGTAATAAATTCAAGGAAAGAAATCTATCCTAATTATATACACATAATATGATTCTCCTTACTTATTCCTACTTACTGTAAAGGACATCTTTGATATCCGCCGGCGTAGAAAGCGAAAGCTTTTTCTTCATTCCTTTTAGACTATATTTGAGCAATAAATCGCCAGTCAGCAATTTTATCGGCATCTTGGAAATTACATCGACTTCCTCTTATCCTCTCACTCCTCCAGAGACGATGGTGATCTGAATACCCCAAAGAACAATTACCAAAAGCAAAACGAAATAGAGATAAAACCTGCTACAACATTTTACAAAATCAAATACTTACCAGGTCCGAATTTGGAGAGAGGATTTATTATTCAGATAAATTTCCAAATTATAGTTGTTCTTTAAAATCCTGTTTCTGTCTGATGGAGAGCAGTAATAAATTGCGTAGCCTCATGGCCACCTCGAAGAACAGACTGCAGCCTTAGCTAGAATTCCTTAAAAATTCGTACTCTAATTGAGATTACCTAAATCTCCAAGAAATCGTGACGAATTCGGGCTATCTTTCTGTCTAAATTCGATCAAGATTTTCCTTTAAGAATTCGGAGTGAAATCACAAAGAAATCGGAACGAATTTCGGTCACCTTTCGGCCTACATTCGTTGAAGATTTTTCTGTGCGAATTCGCAGTGGAATCGTATCGAATTCTTTAAGAATTCTGACAGCTTTCGAGCTCGGTGTAATTTCGACCTGTTCGTACAGAATTCTTTCAAAGAATTTTGGCCGAATTGTTGGCTGGGCCAAGTGACTATCCAATGTGACCTTCGAAATTTCAAATATATTCAAAATTTGTGAATTTAAATCAATAATCGTCGCATAGGTATCCATTCCAGTCCATACTTAGCATGTTTCTTTATTGCTTCAACTACACTTTCCAATCCAACCATACACAATGAAATAGCTTAATAAGACAAAATCGCATTAATCGTCCACTGGCTTGCATGGTAGTAAAATGAGGAAGACGTTGACCTCCTGATATCGAAAATATCTGCAATCGTCAGCCTTATTGGACGCACACCCATGCAAACACGCCTCCCATAACTTCCCCGGCATCGTAAGAATGTTCTCGAGATAAATTTGAGAGACAATTCCGATACCCTGGATCCCAGCTGAATTGAAATGATTAGTACATTTAAAGTGAAGAAGGAGATCAGAAGTAGTGCAATAATCATTGGAGCCGGGATCTGGAACATGATATCACAATTAAATAAAATTAAGGCAGATTAAAAATTAAAGTTCTTACGAATTTCATCAATTTGACATTTGCATAGTTGGTCACAACAAACACAGCGAATCCATAAAGTGCCAAGCATGCCCATGCAAAATTGAAGGTATGACAAAATGTTTCCACGATGAGAGCAATCCCCCTGTGAACCTGAATCAGGGGGCGATTTAGCCCGATAACCTTACTCGCAGAAAAATGTAAGGTCCTCAGTTGCGCAACTATCAGCGAGTTAAATGCGAAAATAAGAAACACATTGAACTGTAGAACTTCCATGCACGTAAAGATCATAAATTGAGCAATTATGAGACGGCACGCGAAGAAGGACATTCTCACTAAGGTGTTTGGCGTTTGTGGAAAGTATAGATTTGTTATATCCATCCCTGAGTGAATCACTGCAAATGAGTAAATTCCTGACTTTATGACAGCTTTGAAGATAAGCACCATACTTTCCATCATAAATCCTAGCCTATCAAACCCACTAGTTTGTCCCAGGCCAACTTTTTCCTTCCAAAATAACAGCCCGTTGATGGCTGGCTGCACGGTGTCGTTACGCAAGAGAAAAGTAAAGTAGTTTGAGAGACAAATTGTGTAAATTCCGAGAAATACAAACTCGAAAACTGCTTTAAGATAGTTCTCTTTATTGGAAGAACCAAGTTTTCTTAGTAACTCTAAAGCGATTGCAATAGCTTGGACAAATTGTAAAATAAACGTGACGAAGCACAGGCGCCACTTTCTGAGATTTTGATCAAATTTTGAAACTTCTGGGTAAAAGGTTAACGGAATGGAAAATGAGGATCGATTTTTGATGAACGAATAGAATATCTCCCATTGTTTCTGGGAACTCATTTTCTTTTGGGATACAAATATTTATTTGCATTTGTACACAGTTTGAAACCATTTGGAGAGTATGTCTGAAATATTTCAAAATATTCACTCAATATTGTAGGGAAATCAAGATTGTATGTAGTTCAAATGTTTTTATTAATATAGGAAAATATTAGGTAAGTTGCAACTGGCTTCATGATGGCTTCACGTATGCAAGACTAAAAAATAAAGACAAGGAGGACTTATTGCTGATAAGACGGGCACGATAAATTAAATTAAACAGTAGCTAGAAAAATACATAAATACATAAAATCGATTAATGTAATTGTGCATTCAGGACTTTCTGGCTATTTTAAGTAAATGTTTAAACTTTTAGTTTATCCAGGAGCATGCATAAGTTACAAACGTTTGTTCGGGAGTCTGTCAACTAAATAGGTAAAATGCATGGAAATTATTTCGATGATTAAGAGGATTGAAAGTATACTTGATTTTTATTCATGGTGTTCGAGATTTCAGAGAACGATGTTTAAATTATACAGAAATTAACCCCGCGGTTTATGCAAATATGAATACGTATTTATGTATGTATATTTATAATTGCCATAAATTATATTGTCAGACTACCTGACTCATTATGATGTAAATAGATATGTCTGTGCCAACAATATTAATATTATCGAAATGATTTTCTCCAAGTAAGCTTATTCAATTTATTTCTAAAAAGTTTAAATATAGTCACGTCCTCCAAGAATAGCAATATATGTAAGTATAATAAATATATGTTTACGTATATATATTTACATATATTGGGTTCCAGGAGAGTGGTCGACAAGCAGCTCGTCGGTACCTGATTGGTCGACAAAATATGTTTTGATAGTATTTATTAGCAAAATCTCTGGATAATTGGCAGCAATAAAATCAAGTATATGTGGCAAATATGTGTATGTATGCCATGTCGGCAAACATATTGTCGACCAATCAAGTGTTGACGAGCCGTTTGTGAAACGACAATTATGTAAGAATTTATTATAATAACAAACTGTAATATACATGCATATGACAATTCAAATCGATACAATTTGCGTTTTTATATAGCAGCTCAGGGTTTTCGACCATGCACCTGCTTTTATTAATACTGTTTCACCTCAATTCCGTTGAATATTGCCTCCGCTTATAAGATTGACACATATTTTTGCCATTTTCAAATGACAATTAATGACCAACACAATTCTCAATTATAATAATTGACACATGTCACGCATCTTTCCACATTTTCGTAATATTATTAAATAATAATATGCACATAATAATAATAATATGCACATAATTTCGTAATACTATGTGCATAATTATTAAACTCAAAAATATAACTGATTTCGAAATTTTATCAAATATAAAAATAGGATGCATTTATCAACATTTATTTATGAACTAAATATTTTTCACATAAATTGACACAAATTTTAGACTAAAATGATCACTGATACCGTATAATAAACCATAAGTGACAGGAACGTGCTTCGCGTCCATTTGTTCACATAAAAGAACGGCCCCATGGCGACCCTAATTGGCCCGCAACTTTTCAAACTCTTCACCCGATAGTCCGTGACACCTCGTAACTCCCAATGACGCACAAATTCTTGCGATCTAGTCGTGATTTCTGCCAAAAGGGGCATAATCATGTGCAAACCAGCAATGCAACAAACTCCAAATACGGCAGAGACAAAAATAATCGGAAATGGAATGAATCTTGTTAATTTCACCAAAATGTATCCAGTTCCCACAACAGCTATCAGAGGTAGGAGAAGTACCAACGGAAACACAAAATAGCAGACGTCGTTCATTACACAAATTACTAGTTGAATTTGCCTATATTTAGAAATATATTGGAGAAATTGGACCATATTTTGAATTTTCTGGAAAACCTTAATTCTTCCAAGTTTCTTAGTTTTCTTATCATTTATCATTGAGGTAATAGCAGAAATTGTTATAATTAAAACGTTCGTAAGAATTATTACTCCCGACACCAGGATAACGGAGCTATGGAGGAGGGGAGAAAATATGGAAATTATTCGAAACACAAGTATCCATGGGGCTGATAGAATTTTTACATTTCTAAAAATAAAATACGTAGGGTCAACATTCTCGAGTAGAAATGGCATCGTGCACGTTGCCAGTGGTATCAGAATCACGATGGGGATGCACCCGTTTAGGAAAAGACCGACAAGATTGAATCTTCTGGCCCCGCCGGCTTCACGTAATGCTAATCATAACCCAAAAGTAATTAAATATTGAGAATGCCATGCAATTATTCTTTTAACACGGAAAGGAACCTACCATCACTTAGGGCGGGACGTTTAATTTGTTTTACATTGCTCAACACGAAGACTAATTCGTTAGTTTTGCAGATAAACGTGATGACCACGCTGGTTGCCAAGAGCTCCACGCACGCCGACAACATTAGCACAGCTCCTGATACGAGCGTAATGTCAGGATCTTTCCGAAATGCGACGATCTCGTTGCAAATTAAGTACAGGAAGTAGCATCCTTGTACGGCGACCAGGAGTGACAGTAAATACCAGGGAATTAGTTGTAATTTTGAAGTGTTTTTCGATGCCCGCCATGTATTTCGATCCCACGTTATGCGTTGTGGGTACAATTTTTCAGTAAATATGGCAATACGTTGAAGTGCGTCGAATGTGGATAATTCCGGAAGCTTTGTAGACACCCGGCGAGAAAACGACATCCTACAACTTGGCCTATATTTTGTTGAGAATTGCTTTGAAGGATAACTTTGCACTGTTTATAGAGGAATACTCGCAATTTTTTGAAGGTTATTGCGTCTTACGTACATCTTACAGATCCTTATGATAACTTGAGTTGAAAGTATGTAAATAAATGTATGTACATATACGTAATACGTATGCATGTTGTTATTGAGGTGGAGCGTTGTGACGAATTTCATAAAACAAGTTGATTCATGGTTACAAATAGGATATGTACTCATGTATTTAAATCATAATGTGTTATCAGTAATAAAAAAATATACAGTCGCTCGAAACGTATTTACGCAAAGTTTGCATTTCATGGTACGCAAATTTTGGCTTTCTTCTAACTTTAGACGATGGCAGGTTTGAATTGAAATTAGAGTTCCGATATGTAACTTTGAGATTGGGTAATTGGTAGGTGTGGTTGAGAAAATGCTGTGTATAATGTTATCCATTTAGGTAAAATTGATGCTTTCGGGTAGGTTAAATATTTACTCTAACTATTTATTTATTAACTTGGGGATGAACTTGAAAAATTTTCAGGTTATAAAAAGTTTGTAAATCGTTTGCAACTTGGTAGTATCTTTTCGAGTATAAAAAACTGATGGAAGCAAATGGGAAGTTGGTCATCAAATGCGTATTATGCACATATGTATGTACTTAATTCAGAAATGTATACACTTGTGTATATAGGCTCAATAAATTTATCATTAATCTAATAATCCACTTAACGATCGGTTCTACAATATATTATTACGGAAATTCTAGGTACAACTGCCAGAATTAAGCTATTTTTCTACTTTAGCCCAAATTAAACTGACTGCAGTTTAATTTTTAAGTATCCGATTTGTGTACGTGAGCATTGTCTGAGCGGATGTATTGTACATACATAAATTATGGGATTGACTGGACTGTAAGTCTAATGCGGAATTATAATGTGCATATGTACCTACATACATACAGACAAGCATGATCAGTGATACGTAATCATGTTTTTGATATATTTACAAAATAATTAATATGTATATTCGGATAAATTTTACAGTGGTCGTCTTCTGTAATAAATAACCCTTCTCAGACATGTCTGCTTTCTTCAACTCAGAATTTCCTAAATGGTATGATTTATGATTTGATAACGTATTTACCAAACTCTTAGACTTTATTGCAACTTTTTGATGATTTCCCTCCAAATATTATATATGCTGGGACGTCGTGAGTTTACTAAAAACCGTGGTTATGTCCTTAGCTCAAATCAGTATATCACCCTTGTAAATATATATACATATGTAGATCTATGTAAGGCTAAAGAAACGAAACAAGTATTACCGAATCCTTTAAACTATGTATGTACATACATATATACAATTTTTTCTGGGTTGGGATATGTCTTGGCCTTTGTCTGAGATAACTAAGCAATCCAATATCCAAACAATTTTGTAGAGAACATCATCTTCAGTGCAGATTTTAAAAGTTTATTTCCAAATACCCCTTTCTACATACAACTTACAAGGGACACTCATGACCTGTCGTTTGAGTCCAGGGTACCCACTATGTTTTTTAGAATCTACTAGGACCCCAGATGAAGGATTCATTCATATTTCCGTGTAAAACTCATATTTGGCGTCGTGCCGTGGCGCCAAATTCGCCAAATTTGAATGTTTTTATTTTTGAAACCGCCATAACTTTTGAAATCCTGGACGGATTTTCAAAATTTTTGGCAAAGATCATGACAAGGAGTTCAACTTTCTTATCCCATGAATTTTTTTCCAAAATTATGGCTTTTGACTTTTCGCAAAATTTCGAAATTTCGGGTTCGTCGAAAAAATGCTAAAAATATCTCAAAAATTAAAATTTTTTTATTTTTATTTTTTTCTCTAAAATTTCGACTTTTCTGATCATTTTAAGCATAAAATTTTAAAAATCCGACATAAACTGCAAAAGTTATGGGGGTTAAATTGGTCGAAAATGCAAATTTTTAAGTTTGGCGCCACGCCATGGCGCCAAATATGAGTTTTACACGGAAATATGAATGGATCCTTCATTTGGGGTCCTAGTAGATTCTGAAAAACATAGTGGGTACCCTGGACTCAAACGACAGGTCGTGAGTGTCCCTTGTTAGTTGTGTGTACAAACACACAACTTTAGAAGAAAATATATACTTTATTTGCTTGGCTTCTTGATTGCGAATCTTCCAACCAGTCCAAATACCCTAAATTTTTAATAGTAAATTTACAAGAATTATATTATAAATAAATTATTAAAAACAAATCTCACTTGGAAAACAGGAATGGTTGATGCGTCGCAAAGTACACGATGGGAATATAGGGCAAATTAGAAATCCACGACTCCTCCAACTTATTGCCAATTGACACGAGACAAAGTTCACCACATCTTTCAGCACTCATTTTTTTACCTGGTACCAAGGCTTGTGAGGAGCCAGATTTCTGACAAAATTATTTGAAGTTAAGTGAGGAGGGGAAATAATTATTCAACTTTATCCCTATGAATACATGCATACCTCTCCCGCTCCTGTCAAAGCATTCACTCCGATATTTGAAACCACGGGTCCCGGACAGAGGAGCGTGACATGAATTTTCGTTCCTCTCATTTCGTTCCGCAAGCTTTCAAAGTATCCCTGAAACAATTGAGAAGAACAATTAATTATGATGGAAAATACGAACCTGAGATAATTGTAGCCTACAATTTGTAGGCTTACATGAAGTGCAAATTTAGTGGCAGCGTAACTCGAGGCATTCGGCCCTCCCACTTTCCCACCTAAACTGGACATGACGGCCAGTTGCCCTTGATTCCCATTGGCTTTGAAATATTTTAGAACGACCCGATTCAAATTTATGACTGAGAAAACGTTTAGCTCGAAAAGTTTCTTATCCACATCAATCTCAATTTCGTCCCATGCTGCTCGCTGACTCATCCCGGCATTCGATACCAAAATGTCCAACTATTTACCAACAAATTGATGGAAGTTGTGACGATTAAAACAAATTTTGCGCATGTATGTTCGATTGGTGATACCTTGTAAAACTTTTTAGTGATTGTCTCAAGACAAGTTTTATGACTGGAGTAGTCTGTCATATCGAATGGTAAGACAAGAATCGAGTCTGGTTTTATAGATTTGTTCAAGTCTGGAGGAATAATACTCAATCAATAAAGGGATTGTGCAAATTATTTTTGGTTACAGATCTGGAATATATCTAGTACATATTTACCCAGGCATTCTTTCTTGACTCTTTCTAACTCATCCTTCCTTCGGGCAGAGAGAACAATTTTGACATTGGTACATTTCGCCAGTTCTTTAGCAAGTCCTAAAATTGAAGTAAAAAATATTTCTAGTTTGCAAATCCTGTATAGAACCTGATAATTTAGACCAGTGAATTTTACAAAATTTACCTTCCCCTATTCCTGATGAAGCACCGGTAATCCATACCACTTTTCCATGAAATTTGGACGCTATAAAGTGATAAGAAAATGCATGACGTGACTAATTTTCAAATTTGCGTTATTGGCTGACGCTTTATGAGATTGCTCTTTTTAAGTACACTAACCTGGATCTTTTCCAAATTTCCAATACAAAAATGTCAAAATGTCGGAATCTGCATAAAATATTATTCCAATCCAGATAACAAAGAAGGCAATTATTGCAGCAAGAATGATGTCCATGACGAACTGAAGAAATAAGTAAGTATGTAAAGTTGTTAAACTTCCCGTGTGAAAAAAATGAGCCAAATTCTGCAGAAAATATAGTGGCGAATTCGGCAGAAATTATGGCTAAAATTGGCCCACTTTTGTACAGAAAATTTTAGCCAGAAAACTAGCTACAGAAAAATTTCTGCAGTTTTGTTTATGCATAAAACTTTAGGAGCTAAAATTGGCCCACTTTTGTGCAGAATAAATTAGGCATAAAACTTTTGGTAGAATTCATTCGTCAAAAGATATTTATTTAATTCTTTAAATTATTTTAGAATTTTTCACAAACTATTAAAGCAAAAATATTTTTAAATATTTTAATCTTTTCGTTTCTTACACTCTCTAAGGAAATCCGATAGAGATTTCTTAATCTCTCGCTTTACCGCCTTCTTGTTCTTCAAAAACGATTTGTTGGCCTCATTAATGTCAGCATTTGGTGAGTTGTCGAATCCTTCTTCTTTAAGAACAAATTCTGGAAAAAGGGAATCCGTAATTAGTAAATCAAAAATAAATAAATTATACATATTGTAAAATTTGATATGATTTTGTTGTAGAATTTAATTTGCCACTTACTAATTACTGCATCAGATTTGGCTGTGTCAATTTTTGGAAGTGGGGGAGCTAATTGGTTTGCATTACAAATTTTTCCATTTAGGGAATGACTCGCTAGTTCTTCCGGAGAGAAAAGTCGACGAAACAAGTTCCTGGCCAGGGTTGTTGGTTTATTCGACATAATCTTTATCGAAGCTAATTCAGCAGCTGGCAATGTAACTCCAGACCCTTCATATAATTCAACCTTAAAAAATTTATGTCACTTAGAAATGTTATTTAAAATCATTCCATTGCGAATGTAGATACGCACATATGACTTACTTCGTGAGAATTCTCTACCAATTTTTTCAACTCGCGATATTTCTCCTTCAACCTATCGTGACGTCCTTTGAGACGATCATACTTCTCTGAAAATCCGAATCAATTAATTTGTAAATAGAAGTATTATATACTTATATAACACCTTTTGATACTGTTTCGTTATCCAAAGGAGGGTCAGCAAATTCCGCATTTAAACTCATGTCAACTGATTGAGAAGAAGGAATTTGGGATGCAATTTCTGTAATTTCATTGGCTCGGTTTTTAGATTTTTGCACTGGAAAAAATATTAATTCATATAAAATTAGAATTTCAAAAAATATATTGCAAAAATTACTTTTAATTCCTGAAGAGTTATCAAATTTGCTCTTGTCTTTTTCTTTAATGATTGAAGCTTCGTCAGCTGCTTTTACGGCTAACTTGTCAGCTTCCAAAGAGAGATTTTTGTGTTTCCCTTTAAAAAATATATTATTTTAAATATATCACTTTAATTTGTTCGAAAATAATGAAAATAATTACCAATTTGTAAAACGAGACCACGATGGATAGAGTTCCTTTTCCATTTAATTGCAACGACAGTTCCAACAAGTTTTCCAGGATTCGCACGCAAAATTCCGTCTTCTAATTGGTCAATTGACACAACAGAATATGTCTTAAAGTCATCTTCTGACCATTCGACCAATAAAAACGACATTTTATTTTATGTTAAGTTTATTTTTTAAGAAAAAAGTTAAAAGTTTTGACCATGTGTGAAATACTAAACTTCGCTGGCATGGGCTTAGGGCAGTATTTAGTCTTCAATTATTGAATTAAACAAAATAATAAGTTTACGATGTGTACGTATATAAAAAGTTAATTCAATAATTAATAATTAAATAATAATGTCAACACGAAAAAATTATAAAAAATATTTTACTCCAACTGGTGGGTCAAGTAGGTCACTTTTCGTCCCTCGCCGAACGCGTTACAGAATTAGTCAAAAGGTAATAAAATAATTTTTAGTTGAAACTTGTTAAGCAACAGCATTTTTTGTTTTTTAGGGCGTTCGTCGTAATTTGGATAATCAACATGAAACTCAAAATACACAGGAGGTCAACGGCAATAGCCCACAACATGAGGAAGAAACCAATCTGGATGATAATGTATTTTTAAATTTTTTATTGGCATTACAATAGTTTACATTCTTCTTATTTCATACAGGTTGTTGCTTATAATGATAATTCAATGCCAGGGATTGATGATTTATCCAGTGACGAAGAATATGATGACGTAAGATAAGTATGTTTATAAATAATAATTAATATAATATGACCCCATGATTTATTTGTTCACAGAGCGAAGAAAAATCCCAATCTCAACTAACTGCAAATGAAAGCTGCTTGTTAATTTTTGGATATGCCTTTCGACACAAAATTAGCAAATCAGCGTTATCAGACCTCTTGACCTTAATCAATTTTCACCTCCCACAAGGGGAAACAATTCCTTCATCTGTCTACTTGTTAAGCAAAAAACTGAATCCTTGCTACGATCAGGCAAAAAAGATCCCCTTTTGCTCCAATTGTCAAAATATTTTGGAGACAAACGGAAGTTGCGCCAGTTGTCAAGAGTCTGGAAGGAATGCTACAAAGGACGGCAACTTTTTCGTGTCATTTGACATTGCAACAATCATGAAGCAACTATTGGAGAGAAAAAATATTGCACAATGTTTAAAAAAGAATTTTGCCAAACGTCAATTTAATAATAACGAGTCATCCGGAATAATGGATGGAGAAGCATATAAAAAGTTAAAGTTATCAAAATTTGACATAACTTGTTGCATCAACACGGACGGCGTTTCGATTTTCAACTCTTCCAAGTCATGCATTTGGCCTCTACTTCTTTCAATCAACGAATTGGATTACGATTTAAGAAGAAAGCACACCATTTTGGCTGGATTGTGGTTTAATGATAGCAAGCCAAATTTCAAACTTTTTCTTGACCCACTAATTAATCAATCAAATCAATTATCAAAGGAAGGAATCCAATGGAATTTTAATGGGGTGGAAATTAAAAGTAAAATATTTTTCCCAATGCTTGCAGCCGATTCCGTAGCTCGTGCCCCCTTGCAAGGAATTAATCAATTCAATGGGGAGTATAGTTGTCCATGGTGTCAGGCTAAAGGGCTCAATTTGTCCACAGGGGACAGAAGTCATAAATGGATTTTTCCGCCAACTGAAATTGCTGCGAATCGAAACAAGGAACATTTTTTGAATCAGCTTTTGGAACTTCGAGACTTGCTATCAACTGGATCATCTATTTCAAATCGTTATGGAATTAAATTGGCCTCCCCTCTCTTGAAAATTCCACATTTTTCAATCGTCGATGGTTTCGTTTTTGACTACATGCACACTGTTTTACTGGGAGTCGTACGAATGTTGACATTTGCCTGGATTTTGCCCAAGAATCATCAGGAAATCTTTTACATTGGAAATAAGGAAAATCAAATAAATCAAAAATTAAGAAGATGCAAAATTCCCAAGAACTGCAGCAGGACAATAAGGGATCTCAGCAGCATTAAATATTGGAAGGCACACGAATGGAAAAATTGGATGCTAATTGCGGTGCCGCTGCTAAAAGGAATTCTTCAAGATTGTTTTTTAAAACACTTTGCTAAACTTGTAGATTCCATTTCGATTTTGTGTCAAGATAGTGTAACAATGGATGAAATATTGGTAGCAGAAATATTAATCAAAGAATTTTCAATGCTTATTCCAAACCTCTATGGCCAAAGTTATTGTTCTTTTAATGTTCATTTATTAACCCACGCAGCGGAAAATGTGAGAAAATGGGGCCCACTTTGGGGATATTCTCTATTTCAGTTTGAAAATTACAATGGTATTCTCAAAAATAGTTTTTGTGGTACTAGAGAAATCAGTACTCAAATTGTTAATCGAGCTATTTGCACCCAAAAGGTCTACAGTCTCGGAGAAGTGGAATTTTTAAGTGAAGGGGCTAAGCAATTTCATGAATCTTTGCTTGAATGCAAGCGATTTTTTAAAAATTCTTATTCCATTGATAATTGTAGATTATTAGGAAGCAAAAAATTGTATATTTTTAGTACCTCTGAAAAAGCTAAGCTTAAAATTATTGGTCATCAACATTCTGAAGGTTTTAGTTTTAAATCCTGTATTTTATATAAAAAATTGTTTGTTAATGTTTGTAGTAGTGATACAAAACAACATGTCAACTCCGTTGTAAAAATTAATGGAAAATTGTTTGTTATATTTAAAATTATCATACTTAGTGGTGTTAGCAATGCGTTGGTTTTTGTAAAAAGATGCAGTACTATTGATTATTCGAATTCTCCAAAATCATTTAAAATTAACTATGTAAGCAATAATGTTCAAATTTATTTACCTTCGGATATTGAAAATTGTAAGTTCATTGGTCAACATGATAACCAAGGAAGTTTGTCCATTGCAACACAATTGATGAATACGGTAGAATTTGAATAAAATAATTTCTTCTAAAACTTGCAAATAAATATATTTGTTACGCATTTTATAACTTTTATAAATTAACATAAAAATTTATGCAGAAATTGCTCCGCAGAAATCACTAGTCAATTGTCGTTTTTCGATTTATGCAGAAAACTGCAAACATTTTTCTGCATATTCGATTCACCGAATCTTGAGCTAGATTTGTGCAGAAAACTCCATAAAGTTTTGTGCAGAATGGTTTATGCAGGATGATTTTGCCGAATCCTGCCGAATTCGCCATATTCATTTTCACACGGGTTATTAATTCTCGGGAGCACAAATTCTGCTACAAACTGCAGAAAAGTCGGTGACAACTAAACGGCGAGTATGAGAAGCAAGTTCCTTTTTATGCAAATCATGTGTAGGTTTGTGGTTGTGGAAACTGGAACCAGATAATGACTGGCATAATATGCTGATGATATTGCAATGCAGTGATGGGGTGACCTTGCACACAAGCAAACACAACAAAGATGATGACTATATATGCCTCGTTTCATACCATTATTGTCAGTATTATGTGTTGTGAAGTGAAGATACATACACATAGATCATGATGATGCTTACTTTCGACATTGGACCAACTATGTAGGTCTTAATATCGTAAAAAACTGGATCGTGTCAAGAGATGTTGGGATCACGTGGTATTAATTAATGCTAGCATCTGACTGGGTTAAGGATTGGTTGGTAGATAATATTTTTGTAAACATTTTTGGCGACACGTACTTATTTAAATTTTATTTATTTATTTAGTTAGACACAATCTTCAGTCTTTTATATCCCTTACAATACGTTTTTAAGCTATTTTACGGCGTCAAATTATTTAAAGCTATTTATTACATTGACTTTGACATGGAGAGCAAGTATAAAATGTAAAAATTGTCCATCCGTATTCAAGGTGTTGGCATTAGTAAGGCTGCCACACACGCACTTTCGCAAATACCAAAGGCGGAGTTGCAAGCAATAATTGCGGCGGGGGTGCCCACGCCAGCGGTCACGGTGCCAAAGGTGAATCCTGCTGCGGCATAACACGCCACGACGACAGCAGAACAACCAGCGTAGCAAACTCCGGCAGCGGCAGGACCTCCAAGGGCCGAGTTTACCAAGAGTGTCGCCATGAAGAGGGTGAACACGGTGTGAAATTGTGTGGTCATCCTGCAAAGAAATTGCACAGAAATTAGTTAAATATGAATTTTGCGTGGAAAGATTTCTTACCAGTTTACAAATACAGTGAGAAATTTACCTCAAATTTAGTTGGTTTTGAAAAATAAACTTTTCGTCTCGTTACACTATAAAGCAGTGTGTATTGATTTACTGACTTGTTGCACCTCCATTTATACCCAACTTTATTTATATTCATTGTAATCTTCGCTTATCTTTTTAATGGTATATAAATAGCCAAAACATACTATGTCTATCCGAGTGGCGAATTTATGTATGCAGGTGATGATACGAGACAGGGAACGTTTTTCATATAATGCTGGAGTAAATTGAAATAAACCGTCGCAAACGCGCATACGGAAGTAGCTTCAGACTACTTCACTCCAAGCACTCCCACGACATCGCGGGAACACTTGATTTTACTGTATTTCATCTATACATTCAATTTTTTCAAAAATCTCATTTTGCCCCGACCACACCCCCTAGTGACGAGGGGGTGTGGCACAACTCGGGAGCACTTTATTCCACTGTATTTCATCTATGCATTCAATTTTTTCAAAAATCTCATTTTGCCCCGACCACACCCCCTAGTGACGAGGGGGTGTGGCACAACTCGGGAGCACTTTATTCCACTGTATTTCATCTATGCATTCAATTTTTTCAAAAATCTCATTTTGCCCCGACCACACCCCCTGGCGCCCGGGGGTGTGGCACAACGGGGGAACTCAAAATTTCACTCCATTTCATCCATAGATTCAATTGCACTAAAAATCTCATTTTGCCCCGACCACACCCCCTGGCGACCGGAGGTGTGGTCCGGTTGCACCCAAAAGTTGATAGGATCCTCCCCCTGGGGTATTATGTATGATGGCGAAAACCGATTTCGATTATCTTTATCCGTTCTCCCGTTATCCTGCTGACAGACAGACGGACAGACAGACAGACAGACAGACAAAGTCTTCACATAAAGTAGCTGAAGCTACTTAATAACACGCAAACGTTTGCACTTAATAAATTATTAAATGTAAACGTTCTTTGTGAAAAATAATTTAACTGTACGTAAGTGTTTAGATAAGAAAATTTATAAGTTGGTCTACATATTAATAGGTCAGTAAAACTATATGACTCACCTTGTTTTAACTACTTTATTAGTCAATTAAGTTTTTTTTACTATTAATAATTATCATGTATATGTATATGTACTCGTAGCTATGTATGTCCGTGTACTTGAACTTAACTGTTGATGCTCGTTGAAATCCTTAGCAATAATAAACTCGTATTTAAATATTTAAATATGTAACTACAACCACATAAAATGGAGAAAATTTTTGCACATACTGATCATATTTGTACTTACATATTTAGGAGCTTTATGATTTAATGCCCCCATGTCCCCACTGTTATTATCTTTTTGTGATATAAATGGCACTAATTTTATGTCAAAGTGCATTGAATTGTCATACACAATACGATAAAATATGCTCAAATTTGCATAACAATCTTGTATATGAATATGAATTGTTCAATAGAAAAAATCTGGCGATTACGGAAGGTAACACCTACGTATCATTTTAAAAAGTTGATAGAAGCTTATGTTAAACATTCCAGTTAAGAATGTAATTACTTATTTGCGCAATGTAAATACTTGGTCAAATTTAACTACATAAGTATTAATAGCTACTTTAAATTAATGGGTACATGATAAGCATTTCAGAATTTTGGAGAATAAAGGATCTACTTTATTAAGCAGCATTACTCGTACTTATTACCTGCCCAATCTGAAGATGAGTATCTTAAGACTTGTATTCCTCTCAACTAATCCGAAGTCCGTATTTGACATAGATTTAAAGACACCTAAAACAGGTCAAACTCGTTCTACAAAATAAATACAGGCAATGAGGAGAATTGATGCAGTGCAACAAAATCATTCATTGAAATATGCATATCACCAGCTATTTAAAATAAGAAACAACATCGTCTTACATTTTTAGTTGTCATAATTTAAAAATTCAAATAATATGCGTCCATTATTTATGTGGAATATTTTGCTTGCATTTATAACATTATTTTCAAGTGCAATTGTGTGTTTACCAATTAGTCAATCGAGTGATTTTGCAGGGGATGGAAAATTAACTCAGTTTCTGGAACACCTTAAGGTAATTTGATTTACTATAGCACAATACTAAAATTTTAAATATTAATTGTACCTTCATGGCTCGAAGAGGCCTCTAAAAGGATAACTCAATAAATCTTATCTTATCTTAAGGTAATTTGAAATTGAGGAAGCCATAATTTGAGACATTGTGTTAAATTTAATCTCCTATTTAAACATTTAGTTCCAGTCTGTCAATGAAGTTAAATTGAAAACTAGGAAATCCCGACAAGCATTTCCACTAATTATTTATGGAGGATGGTAAGAAGTCAAAGTTTGGAAGTACAATTGGTCTCGATTTGATGACATATGTGTCCAAATTATTTAGCTATCCTCCAGTCTATGGTGCTGGGAGTGGTTTAACTCAATCCCAAGGGTTCAAACCACAACTACGATAACTTAGTCCGGTAATTTTCAATCCACTTATTCAATGCTAACCATCATTGTTCATCATACTCATGAATATGTATGTACATACGTATTCTCATATGGGTACATACACATGAATATTTGGTTGACCAAAAAAAATATAATGGGAATGCTAACCTCTCGCACTCTAAATAAATATGTGTACATCATATATAAATTACTAAAGTGGCTTATCGAATGGTTTGCTTATTCTTATCACAGGGATGCGAATGTGCTAAGGAACCCTGTACTCCAAGACCATTTTGCTAACCAGAGGGAGGATAGTGGGATAATCAGACCATGTTATATATATGTTATATTTAAGTATATAAAGTTACGGTTTCCACATAAATATTGTTCGGGCTGAATAGGCAATTAATAAATGAAGTTTGCCTCATCAAATTTTATTTCTTTTTCACACTTTTTGATAACAATAATAACAATATCGGGCTATAATAGCACTTATTAATACACTCATAAATACTATTATATTTATGTAACCGTTTCTAATTTTAGTTTCATAAATACACAGAGTGGATTTTTGACATACTTGCACATTTTCATTCGTAGGCTTAAGTACCATCGTCTCTCCCCCCGTCCCAAGTAAAATTCTTATGGATTCATTTCATAATTTACATGACATTCAATTAGCCCGACAAAGGGTATTTAAACTTTTAGCGTAATATATTGTAGAAATTTCATACGCAAACACATTCTCATCATCAGGGTATCAATACAGGTTACTGAGTAACCGTTACTCATGTATTTAGCATTTGGTGGTGACGATATGCAAAATTGGATTTCTTCCTATTCTGCACTCAATCGAATTGGTGATCTTATCTTCTCCTGGTAGACCCGTCTTCATTAAAAGTCAATAACGGTTTCCAAAGGTGGGATTGAAACTTCTTCCGGAATAAATATTTTATAACAAGGTTGAAAGATTTGTAAATTCGTGCATATCTCAACAGGCATATCTCAAATTCCACACAAGTCGCTCACACCCCGCAAGGCTTACCCATAATTCTTATCTTAAAGATCAAAAGGTCTCGATGCTTTTCGCTATTTCGGTACTCGTATCCCTTTCCGTTCTTGGAGGTGGACATGGGAGAAGATTCAAGGACGGTTTGACTGGAAAATGCTTGGACAACATGGTCAAAGGAGGTCACAAGGCGAAAGGGAGCGCTCACACGAACCCATGTAATGGTGGCAAGTTTCAAATGTGGCACTGGGGGAAGGATCACACTATTTTGAACGCTGCTACGAAACAATGTCTCGACTCTGATGGGAAGACGATATACACGATGAGCTGTAATGGAGGGAAGAATCAAAAATGGCGGACAGACGGCGTGGGCGGGGTTGTAAATTTCGCGACGAGGAAATGTCTTAAAAGTTCGATGAAGGGGCTTGTGTTTCCACAAGAGTGCAACGTAGGAAGAAAATCGTGGCTGGAATAGTCCAAGCATCCCGCAAATGCTGAGAAGTATTTAAACGCCAATGACAATATTATTGATATTAATTTTATTGCGAACATGTAAATTAAAGTAAGAATAGTTAAGTTGACGTTCAGTTCCCACAGAATTGTTCACCTGCGAAAGATTTACACATATACAAATTGTTCAAATTAAGGGATCACACGATTAAAAAAAATATTTTACCTGTCGTTCCAATAATCCAGTCCAAATAGCTGGAAACCTTTGTAAATATATTCGGATAATGTGTCCGACATCCTGTCCCACCCGCACTGGTCACTCCCACAGCATACCATCTACCATTCGACCGGAAGTCTATGCCACCACCGGAATCCACATGACACACAGATTTTCCCATTTCACTCGTGCAAAGAATATTTGGTGCCAATTGTTGAGACCATGCATTTCTACAAACATGTTCCGGCACAATGGAGACCTCTGTTTTCATTAATCGTTGTCCTGTAGGTCCCCCATAAACGGTCATCCCCCAACCAGACATGGTCGCCCTGCTACCTTCCAGGTTTATTTGAGCAAACGGAAATGGGAGGCATGCCGGTTGCACGGTGGAGGAAAACGTGACGGGGGTTTTAAGCTGGATCAGAGCAATATCGTGGCTCAATGTGTATCGCTCGTAAGCAGGATGACTTATGACACGTTCAGCCTCCACCCAGTAGTTTGCAGTTTCGGTTTGCGAGGTCAGGTCCAAGTCACCGATGTCGATGTAAAGAATGTCCGAAGGTCGGAGGATTTTTGTACAATGGGCCGCAGTCATTATCCAGTTTGGACTGATAATTGTACAGGTGCAGAAGACGCCTCCAAATCTTGTCGTGTTTAGATTGCAACGCCACGGAAATTCACCAAGTGCGGCTTCGGAACCACCAATTCTTCGGGAAGTTTGGGTGGATGTCTAACATAGAAAATTAATAAGTAGATAATTATAGCTTTAATTAGTAATTATTTTTAGTATGATTTTACCACTCCGCAGGAGCAAGATGACGGTGGTGGTGGAGTTGTTGGGGAAACTATTTCGAAACAAATAACTAAGCTAACGGCGAATAAGATAATTTTCCATTTAATCGTGTTCATCTTTATGGATTTCACGTATGCACCGGTGATAGTAGTCTGATGTGTTATCACGAGTATATTCAAAGCCGTGTCATTTATATAGCAATTCGACCACATGTATGTTACCGTTAGGAGGATTAATAACTACATCCTTGTAGTCCGTATTTGAATTAAATGGAGTTATCGGATTTACATGAAAACTCATATTTCCAAAATTAAAAATTGTGATGCTAGGCAAGTATTAGCATAAGTATTTAAATTTTTTGTTGGTTTTATTCATTCTATGGATGTCTGGTCCTTTATTAAATTTATCAAAGATCATTACTCATGCGGATACGGAAGGTATGTTACTTTATGTCATGTTGCTGAACTCTCAATTTAACCACTGTTACATGCGCAACTTACCTATTTTGGAAAACTACTGAAACATTGTTCGTCTTCCAACGGTCGTTGCTTTTCAGTACATCGTATGTATTCACAGACTTGCTTTTCCACAAAAATCCATGCGTTTAATATAAAAAATTGATCCATGGCATTGTCCAACATACCTTTTCTAAATGTTTACTGAATCACTAATTAATTACCGTCGCTAATATAGCAAGTATTCTAACTGTGTATTTGCATATGTATGTAATTGTACTCGTCACCTAGCAGAATTTCGCTGCATTATTCAGGATTTAGATTCTTACATCAATTGACTTTATAAATTTATTCCATTATAGGTAAAACTGTAAATATACAGAGCTACGGAATCGTTATTGTAACTTGGACCATGAATTATGTGACACGATAAATAGTCATCATCTAATCCGATCGATTTGATATTTTCCACACATATGTAGATATGTATCTAAACACATATGTACGGACATATTTACATGTAGCCTGTGCGTATGAATGTATATATACAATTATATTTATACATACAAGCATATTAACATAGCGATGCGGACAATTAACACCGCCACTGATTATCAATAGAGCATCCTGGCTCGGGATATTGACTAGATATACGATACTGTATGTCCATATATTACGCTCGAGCAAATCGCTTATCATTCGAGATAACAATTTATGCCTTTCACACACCGCTGGGGACATGTCTAATTCGTGCTTATTTCCAGACTCGGAAATCCTTTCTACTCCTGGATCATAATCGTATCAACTTAATTTAATCCATTATTGTTTCGAAATTTCAGTATACGTCTTATTTAAAAACTATAGCAAAATATGGCAAATTTAGCTAATGACGAGAAACAAATGTTCGCCCTTGTCGGCTTACAATCGTTTAATGGTTCGTTCAAATTAACTCAACCACTGTGTGAATTATTGGGAATAAGTGCTCCTAGAATTCAGGAAGGTACATCGTTCAACACTAATTTTAATTTGCAAAATTTAAAGCAAAACCTGTTTCACAGAATGTCACAAAAAGGGGTGGAACGAGGAAGCTTGGACAACAGCGGTCGTACTTGCATACTTGGTTAAGAAAATGCGTCATCTTGAAGGTGATTGGGATCTCATTGCAGAAAAATCTAAAGCGTGGTTGGCCCAATGTCATGCTTCCACGACGGAAGAAATGTTCAAAAATGCGTTATCAATCTTTTAAGGAACTTTGTATTTATTTAAATTTGTTTATTTAGCAGAAAGCTTTTATATTAAATACTTAATATGTAAATACTTAAAAAAAATTGTAAGGCATGCTTTTTTGGTCATCCACGTGCCGATACTGGAATCGCTTTTAAGAGCGACGGTTGCAATGCTATTTTAAGCTGGTGCAAAATTTTGGTTTCTATCTTTTCATTGTCATTTGCATAAATGCTGGTGCCACCCCCGACTTGAGCAATACCATCCACCAACTTTCTCGATGCACCTCGTCCTATCCCCAAAGAGAAAACGCGACATCGGTGTTTTCTTCCTTCAATGAGTTTCATGACATCAGAAGGCCTGCTTACCTGACACATTTTATTTATAATTAATATGTACGGCCTTGTGAAACATTAGAAAATGAAAGTTCATTACTTCTCCATCAGTAAGGACGAAAATTTGTGTGAGATAACCATTATGTTGTTTCGAATTGTATATATTCTGCAGAGGCTCAAGTAATTCAGTCCCACTTAAGTTGGCTTTCATTTCTGTTGAGGTAAACTCGTTAAAATTTATTTTGTCCGAATAAAATATCATTTGGTTTCTATTCAGGCAAAATTTATGTACTATTTAGACAAATACACCAATAAGTAAATTACAGTTCATTACCTTTTGCATAATTAATCGCGTTTTCAAGTGCAATTTCTGAATATTCCACACTATCGGGAAAGAGATGCTCAAATGTTGAACCAAATCCGACAACATTGAACATACAAGATGTTGGTAGAGAACGAAGGAAGAGCTAAAGTTAGAGCAATAAGACGATATACGTAAATCTTAACGTCGCTTAATTTGATTCCTTTAACTTACGATTAATGCTCTCCTAGCTAATAATATTTTGCTTCCACTCATTGAGCCCGAACGATCAAGAACGAATATAAATTCGAACTTTTGATCATAAAATGTAGAAGCGGGGGCCAAGAAATTTTTAATTTCTACGAGGGAGTTCATTGTATTTTATGTAAAAACTGGAGCTTCGTGTGTAGAATAAGCGATGATGTCAGGGTTTTTATCTGGAATTTAGTCCGAGATAAAGTCGGAACAACAGGGCAGATTTGGAATGAAATTGAGTTAAGTTCACTCCACTCGTTGGATTTTATATTATGCATTCATTTAGCTTGTGTAATTTGGGGAACTTATCCTTATGATATCAAATGATGTTATATAGTCGCATCCTGCATAGTTCAGGTGAGCGATTGACCAAAGCTGCATGCAATTTTGTACATATTATGTAGCAAATACTTATATGGCATTGAATATTTTACTTTATCTTTCATTCATGATTCATTTCAATCCTTCATGTTTCATGGTAAAACGTATGACTCCAAATCTTTCATCCGAAAGTGAAGTGGTTTCAGATTGAATTGGCCGGTTTTTGGAAAACTCAGCAGAAATAAATCGACTAAAATATAGAGAAAAAGAACTAATTATACATATTTATATTTGAAGACGGGAGAACTGACTATAGAAATTATCCCGAAGGCAATATTTTTACACAGACGAGAGTAATTTGCATATAAATCCTTATCATTTATTTAGCTGGTTTATAATCTACTGATCGAAATTATAAGTAATGCATTTATTCTTTCACAAAATAGAGCTCCAAATACTAATGTGACCAGGAGTGAGTTAAATGGATAATTAAAATTAATCCAAAAAAACGTACATACTAAAGTTCAAAATATTTTGCAAGTGGAAGGTAACCAGTCAAACAAAACTTTTCTAAATACATCAACTTTCCACATATGAAAATAATTAATACGGTATTTGTAAATAAGTAACAATACATAACACTCACGTTTTTTAAGGCGCCGTAATCAAGAAAATGAGTGACGAACCCGTACGCATCATCGACATCATCGATGACAAAGGTCGACCACGCTTTAAATTGGAAGACGAACTTGACGACATTCTGAGCCAAGCTGGTGAGCATCCAATCTGTTTAATCGCCATATCCGGCGCCTCTCGTATTGGAAAATCATGCTTTTTAAGCTACCTTATTCGCTACCTGGATCACTTGGAGAAAGCTAAAAAATCCCCAAATACGGACTGGCTTCCTCCCAATAGCAAGGAAAATGTTACAGCTTTCCCATACAAAAACACTTTGGCTCCTCAAACATCAGGGTTCTGGATTTGGCCGAAACCATTCATAATTCCAGGAAAAAGTGGAAATGTTGCCGTCTTCATCATGGACACTCAGGGCGTCTTTGATAGCAAATCCATGACCGAATGGTCTGCAATCGTTGGAATTTCTCTCCTCACCTCGAGCGTTTTAATATTCAATTTCCAATTTAACCCACAAGAAGATGCTTTGGCTGCATTAGAAATCTTCCTTGATTACGGTATCATGGCCATGGAAAAAAATTCGTCCCACTCTGAACAATCTTATGAAGAGGACGATCAATACTTCCCTTTTCAAAATTTGCTATGCTTAATCCGAGATTGGAATCCGGTTGGATCATACGGCTATGGATTTATAGGGGGCAAACAATGCATCCAAAAATGGCTAGCAACAGATGATCCAAACTTGACCAAGGAGAATATTTCTAGGAGGCAAAAAATTAACCGTTGCTTTGAAAAAATCCAGGGCTGCCTCCTCCCAAATCCTGGCGATAAGGCAAAGGCGATGCACTTCCAGGGTGCTACGGCCGATTTGGATGACATATTTTATCGCCAATTAAAGGCATGCATTGAACGAGTCTGCAGACCGGAAGACATTGTCGTGAAAAAGATTGCAGGACGAAACGCTACGTATCGTGATTTATTTTCACTTTTTAAAACCTATGTGAAAGTCCTGAACAGTCGAAGCACTCCAGGCGCGATGGGATTTCTTGAGGCGACGTATGAAGCAAGTTGCGATTCAGCTCGAACATTGGCTTTCAACAACTTTAAAGTTGAGTCTGATGGGTGGCTAACTTCTGGGGAATATATTCCCGTCCAGGCTTTGACTGAGAAATTAAACCACCTCGAAAAGAAAACCATAGGCTTGTACGTCCTAAAAAGCAAACTTGGCACTGAAGACGTTAAAGCTAAATACAAATCTAAACTACTTGAAGATATTCGACTTCATGGAGCCAAACTCATGCAAAAAACGCCGGATATGGACCAGATTCTACAATCCTTAGTAAAAGAGGGCGAAGAGAAATTCCATGCGGATTTTAACCAATTTTGCCTTCGTCATAAGTACGATGAGGACACGCCGATACCATTTCAAGAAATTGATTCGGCTCTTAAAACAGTTTCTGAAGCAGTTTTTGACAGCTTCGAGTCAAACCCTGCTCTGAGGAATGAAGATTTAGAGAATAAATTTGCACAGGCGTTGAATGATAAACTGCTCGTTCTTCGGACACATTACAAAAATTCTAATAAACAAAAACATGATAAAATGAACGACACCTTGGCAAAATTAGTCAACGAACCCATGAACGAATACAATCAAGAATTTGACGAGGGCAGAGCATACTTGCCGTTTCTGAGCCACAATAAAATGGATTCTTTGAATTTGAAATGCAAACGCAGAGCTGAAAATAAATTAAAGAATTATTCAGAATCTGAACTACCACAGCGGCTAAAGTCACAAGCGGAAGCTATGCTTATGAAAGCACTGGATGCATCATTTGCTGAAAAGGTGGAAGAAAATTTTAAAGCCACTCAAAAAGCTAAAGACGACATGAACAATGTGATAATTTCACTCGTACTCAAATTTAAGAATCACATGAAAAATAAAATCGACGCCTGGGGCAAAATTCCAACCGATATGCAACTGTATTCAGAATATAGTAAATTTAAAGATACAGCGCATAACGATCTTATGGCAAACCTGCCAATTAATGATCCCCAATTTTATCAACCATTAAAGTTACAGCTCGAAGAAATTCTTAAAAAATCATACGATGAAATTATTGTAAAAATTGCACAAGATAAAAAAGTAACCGAAAATCATGTCCAGGGTTGGCTTGAAAAACAAGAAGCTATTTATAAGCAGCAAGTCCAACAAGACTGCAACTCGTCTTTGGAGTCAGTAGAATACCAAAATATGTGCAAATCGACCAAACAGAAAATACTTTCGGACACCAAACAAGAACTCGGAAAAATTGGAGTGCAAGAAAAAAACAAAACACCAACACTGACAAGGTTGAAGGATATGTTGAACAATGTCTCCAAATCACTATTAGAAGAACGTGAATCAAAAATTGAGACTCTAATGTCAGATGCAAAACAAGATATTGAACATTTTATCAGCAAGTACTCAAAGTTGATGACGCCACAGATAAACAACTCGGTTGCTAATTCCCACGTGAGTCATCATAAATCAACGAAAAGCAGCGTGCAAGATGAGTTTAAACTGAAATGGTCACAACTACCCAAAAGTAAACTGGGAATTCTCACTTTAGAACTTGATCACAAAATTGAGGAAATATACGAAAGTTTTCTTACCAAGGTTGAACTTGAGAGGACAGAAGAAGACAAAAAACTATCGGATGCCCTGGCTGAAGCTCTTCAGCAGTACAGCTCTAAAATGATCAAACAATGGACGCTCACTTACGTTGATGAATCCGACATTAAAAAGAACAGCGACAGCATTAAGATGATCATAATTAATAATTTCACTTCCAAGTATGGAAATATGAGAAACTTTGAGACTTACAAATTGGATTTGGGAAACGAAATCGACACATTATATCATGGCGAGATGCTCAAATTTAAAAATTCAAAAAAATCTGCAAGAGAAAAACTTATACAAGAAGTTATTGAATCATGCGCTGAGTCATACACTGAAAAGATGAAGAAATTTCAAAATGATTCCAACAATGATTTAGCGTTGCTGGAAGGTCAACATAAAAAACTGAAATCGCAATTGCTTAGAAATCTTACTGCAGAAGCGAACATACGAACGATAACTTTAGCACGTTCAGAGATAAATAATGCAGAAAATGAACTAGAAGAAAAAATCGACCTACGATATCCCCAATTTATCGAGAACGCCAAAGCGGCACTGGCATGCCTGGAAGATGAGTTGAAAGCTTATGTACTGTCCGTCACAATTGATTACGAAAACAAAGTTGGGCGAACTGCCGATGGCCTACTAGCTGTCAATGACGATATATTAAATGATGAACATCGCCAATTTATGGAAGAATGTTTAGAACATGTCACCAAAAAATTTGCCAATATCGGTCAAAAAAAGTTGGCTAACGAGACTAGTAAACTTTCCACCCAGTTAAACTGTCAACTTGGAAATATTAAAGCCAGATATGAGCTAAAATTTGAAGAAATGAAAAAAATCCTGAAAGGGCTCAACAACGACTTGAAAGAAGACTTAAGCAAAGTGGATGATCCAATTTGGGATGAATTGAACAAGGCCCACGTGAAAAGGCGAGACGAAGGATATCGAACCTTAGAAAAACTCTGCAACTTTCCAACTCAAGATTTACTTCAGGATTTCGAAAACCAGTACAAGGCTGAAGCAAAGACTTTATTTGACACTAACCGAAGAGGTTTCTCCAACGAACCAGACCCTGCATTACTTCCACCAGTTTGGAGAGAGCTATGCACTCTGTACGATGCTGAAATGGATAAATATGTTGGGAATAGTGGCACTTATATCGACCCAAATCAGCTACAAATTAATCATAACCAGGCCGCAGTATATGTCACCAAATTCATCAAGGACAAGAAAATGGTCCCGATGACGGCAATGGTCAAAGAAAGGATAAAAGTTAAGCTCAAAGCTCTTGGAGACTTGCGTAAGAAAAACAATTTCATGAAGGCACCAACACAACAAGCCGCCATTGGGATTGACTTGGGCACCACTTTTTCATGCGTTGCGATTTGCGAGCCAGACGGGCAAGTTAGAGTCTTGAACAATTCTCAGAATAAACCAACTACGCCCAGTTACATCAGAGTTGGGGTCGAAGACGTTGTGGGGGAAGCTGCAAAAAATGAGGCGTCCATTTACCCGAGTTCTACCATTTTTGATACAAAACGCCTCATTGGAAGATCATATAACGACCCCCATGTGCAAGAGGACATGAAAAGCTGGCCTTTCACAGTCGCTAGCGACACCTCAGGGAAAGCAGTCGTAGAAGTTGATGGAACTTCCTATGCACCGGAAACAATTTCTGCCAAATTACTTTCCAAGCTGAAGGAAGATGCTGAAGCGAAATCTGGCAAGACCATCACAAGTGCTGTTATCACCGTCCCTGCGTATTTTAAAGACGCACAAAAACAAGCTACAAAGGATGCTGGCGTTGCAGCTAAATTAAACGTCATAGAACTTTTAACCGAACCTACCGCAGCTGCTGTAGCGTACAGTCTGGAATTCGCTGTAGCAGAGGAAAAGAAAATACTTATCTTTGACTTTGGAGGTGGTACTCATGATGTATCCATTCTTTCGATCAAGGAATCTGACGTTAATGTGCTTGTAACTGACGGGGATAATCACTTAGGAGGAGAAGATATTGATACCAAAATGATGGACCATTGTATTACTAAATTCAGTGCAACAAACCCAAACGTGAACATTTTAGATGGAAGGGATTCCACGGATCCAGTACTTAAAGAACAATACAATCGCCGATTACGAAGACTCCGTAATGCTTGTGAAACAACAAAAATTGTCCTTTCTGCATCTCCAACTGGAAGGGTGACTCTGGACGGTATAATCGCTCAGGGGACAACGCGTTTGGATTTAAATGTAGAAATTACAGTAGACGAATTCAACACTATGAATGATACCTTGTTCAAGAGATGTATCAACATTGTCGAGAAAGCTTTGACGGACGGAAAGTTGAAAAAATCCGAAATTGACGAAGTTGTTCTCGTTGGTGGCAGTACTCAGATACCAAAAATTCAGAAAATGCTGCAAGATTTCTTTGATGGAAAGGCGTTGAACAAGAGGCTCAATCCTGACGAAGCGGTTGCAAAGGGGGCGGCCATCAGAGCGGCTGTCAGTCACGGCTACGAATCAGTCCGGAGCACGATACATGACATCACTCCAATGTCGATTGGGATTAAAGTTGCTGGTGGTGGCTTCTCCAACATATTTCCGAAGAATTCGAAATATCCAGACGAAAAAACTAAAGCGTATCACACTTCAGATAGGGAGCAGGCAGAAGTGGAAGTCAGCATTTATGAGGGTGAAGATACGCAAGCAGTTAATAATAGTTTACTGGGGAAATTTATTCTGGCCGGGATCCCAACGACAGATGAACTTCAAAGGGTTGATGTCACAATGGCGCTTGATACAAATGGGATTTTGACTGTGACTGCTAGATGTGAGGGGAATGGAGTTACTAAAGCTTTGACCATTCGAGATGAAAGGAAGATAGGAGGAGATGAAAACATGGAATGCCTTCCTCCACCTTCATAAGGTATGACATATGCCAGCAGTGCTGTATGTAAGTATGTATGTACACATGCAGTCAATAATCAATAAGCAGGGTGCGTCACTGGTCATGTATGTAGGCTCATTAATTAATAAAAATAATCAATCAAAAATACATTTACGCAAATGGCGTCATCATGAGAACCGTAGTCGGGAGCCAGGAATTTTTTGTCTTCTTAGCTCGAGTCATACATATGCATACATACGTAGACACATTCTTCATGTTAATTTAAATGTCTTGGTCAAATAAGGAGTCAAATTCAAACCCATACATATATGAATTTATTTGTATTTTAACTGAAATATATCCATATTCAAAAATATAGAAAAAGACAAAAAGTGATTGGCTCAGACATGAACATGAAATGCACCCTAGAGAAAAGCGTGCAAATACGTCATGCCAAAATGAGTATGAATACGTAATCCGTAATACGTACCATACATATAACACGATGTGATAACTACCAATGCTAAATATGAAATACATATTATACCTTACAGGTTGACTATTTGTCCATCCGAGGCATATATGCGTCGATTATCAGATCCAGTCGCCAAAGTCTTAAGAATCAAACGCAATTTGGATTTTGCTAATTATTACTTTGTTCGTTCTTAAGTAAATAATTACTTTGTGCTATGAAAATTTACTTTCAAATATAGTGTGATTTTATTGTCAAACAAATCATATTTCTAAATTACATTACATCTAAATACATGTATTTTAGAGTCGTAATCTTTATAATTTAAATGCATACAGCAGATAGTTGAATATTTTGATAATTATAATTATTTATATTTACATCAGGTTCAGTGCTTTTTTCCACTGTTATTCCTGGTTTTAATGTCCTCGATTTCTTTGTCAAGTTCCTTTTGTTTATTAGTGTAATATTTTTCACTCACGTCCAAATGTTTTACCAAACTCAAGTTTTTTTCAATTAGCCCAGTTAATAATTCTTTCATATATTCTGAGAAATTTGTATCATTCTTTATCTCCAGCATTTTCTCATTGAAATACTTTTTGAATTTCTGTTTGATTGGACTGTATTTCTTATTCATTATTTTTTGTGCAAGAGATATGTGTGTAATGATTTCACTTTCCTCTTCCGAAGTAGTTGGGGCCCACCAACCTTTCATAACTCCTATGGCATTGTAATTATGTTCATTTAACAGTAATGACACTTCTCTATCTGCAACAATTCCGCCATGGAAGTTTGTCCAATATTGCCAAGCTGAATTACTGGAGTGTTCAATTCCAGCCAAAAGTGAAGCGCCTTTTACGGCACAGACGCTAAGTAATTGTTCATCGGATAAACCATTTGGAACGACAGATTTTTTAATCCTGCTTTTAAAACTATTGTTTACTACGTCTCTTGTTTCTGAAACTAAAATTACTTTGAATGCTTTTGGAAGGAAAGAGGTAACTGATTTTAACATAGAAATAAAACCATCATAAATGTAATCCATCATGTAATCAAAAGCCCTTCTTACTTTCCAATCAGACTTTTGCCAGCACTGGAAACCTTGTCTAGAAATGTGTCTACCTGAGCAAGAAAAACTTGCCATTTCGTAAGAGGTCTTTCGGAGAACAATTACCACAAGAGAAGGTAACAAATATTCCGATGAGTGAGACATACCAACGCGACCAAAATATTGGATTGCGACCGCATCAGCTTCAGAAATGATCGAAATTTCAAAATTGAGTAGGGTCGAAAATCTTGAAATACCTGAATAACTTTCACAATCAATAAAGGAAGGAATAACGAGAACACAGTTTGACACTTTTTTGGACAAATTTGTTTCCGCGTATCGTTTCAACGTAATAAGCATAACTAATATAATTGAACATCCAGTTAATTTCACATTCTCCGGCCAAAGTTGTAATGAAATACTATTATCCACAAAGATATGACCAGCATTTACATAATGCTGTTGATGACGTCCTATCTTAAATGTATTTCCGACATATGAAAAGATATTATCTACATTATTTAACAAGCTAACAGACACATTTTTCTTATCATCCCAGTAATTCATGGAAAGCTTATCTATTCCAAAATGCATCGCAATAGACACTGTTTCGACAGATAAATCCTTTTCTGAGGATAAAAGTGCATCCTTACCTGCCCTACTCGATTGTGGCGTTAGTGATGGTGTCGCAAAAGTTAAGCTTGACCGCCTAGGCGTCAAATTGGTTTTAAATTTTGAAATAACCTTGTCACCTATTGTGGCTAACCCAGAAAAGAGCTTTTCTTCGAATTGGTTGTAAGATTTAGACTCACTAAATTCTGTTCTAAAATCTTGTGCAACTTTAGAAATATGTTTTTGTCGAGCTTCTTCTAACAAACCTACCGTCAAGGTGGAATTTGCTTCTTTCTCAAATTCTGCTGTGTAGTCACTCAAATATCGTTCCAACGAGGATGACATTGCATTTTCTTGTTCCCATCTCTGTTCAAGCTGAGAAGCTTCGCGAGATAATATGGAATCAAGCTTTTCTTGTAAATCACAAGTCATTTGTTTAATTTGTTCTGGGAAAAGAAAATCTTTCAATGTATTCTCTGCCTCTTCGAAGCATAAAGTTTGAGTTCTACATTTTATTGACTCCTGAAATATGGAATCCCAATCCTGCTGGCGTACACCGGCAAGTTCTTGGCATATTAAGTAATTATATCTGCTACATTCATGACTAATCACATCTGCGATCACCTTAGTAAGGGTGGTCTTGTTGTTGTCCATAATTTCAATATATGTCGTGCTTAGTTGGGATAGCATATTACTTAAACATGGGAGAAATATTTCAAATTTAAAAGAATCAAGGCCCTCCTTTGATTTAGAAACAATCGTTTCTCGAGTTATATTGCGAAAGTCTTCTTCTACAAAATCTTGAAATTTGACGACAATGGTAATAAACTGTTCAATGATTTTGGTAACATCATCAATTGCTTTGTTTAGTGTGGCTGGGGTCGAATTTAAAAAAGTGACTGACATCAATTGTGAAGCTTCGTTGACAATCGAGTTTGTCGAAGTGGTTGAATCAGGGGATTTGGAGCACAAAACTTGTACTGTTATCTGTTGTAATTTTTGAAAAACGGTTTGATAGTTATCGTCTTCATTTTTAGGAATCTCAACCAAATCCTCCGAAGATCCTGAATTCATGTCAAGGTTTGGAGTTATTTTATCTTCAACAATTATTTTATCTCCTTTCGTCGTAAGTAGACAGCTTTCAGAATTTATGCTTGGCTGTTCATCTGGAAACTGGTCAATCGGAACTTTGCTCTTTACCAGGGGTTTAGATTCGATAGGAGGGGTACTTAAATTGCCTGCTGCATGGTTAACGGTTTTTGTTGCAGATTTTATAGTTTCATCATTAACTTGTATAAATTCCTCGCGACCCTGATTAAAATTCTCTGTTACGACAGGTTGCTCATCTTCCATTTTTAAAAGGTTTCTAAATTTCGATCGAGTAGTTTGACTCGGTTTTTCAACTTCTTTTACATCTGCAATAATGTTAAATTTTGTAAAGATTGTCGTCACATCATCGACCTCCACATCTTCCTTATCATTGCATATTTCTTCTGCTTTAGGAAGTTCACAGCATCCACCGTCAGTACATTCAGATTGGTCGGAGTCAGTCTCACTGTCATCTTCGACGTTGTCATTCGCATGAATTGGCTCTCGCCAGGGATCCTGTTTATCTTCCTCTTTTCGGACTATTTGTCCAATTTTTGTAAAAACTTCAAGAAATGCCTCGTAATCTGAATCTGTTACATTATCTCGATGCTTCTCCATATATTTTACGACATCTTCTCCATTCATTGGTGCACCATTCTGAGACCGTTTTATCGTGATGTAATTGTCAAATATGGAAGAAAAAAATCTTTTGAATAAAGTTTGCCTTATAATTTTGTTTCCAGGTGTTGATGGAGGGATTTTGTGGCAATTGAAGGCCTCAAATACTTCACGAACCCTTGAAATTACGTCGTCATCGATACTACTCGTCCAAAAATCTTGAAGTAATTGGGTTGAATCTTTGTCTCCATAGGGGCCCGACTTTGCGTTGCGAATCAGAAAGTTAATTTGCTGGTAACGGTTTAATTGTTCCGATCTAAGCCCCTGGACCAGAAATGGAACCAAGTCTCTCATATCATCCACCTGTTGTCAAATCAGAATTACAACATACATACATAAATCCAGAATAATGACAATCTTTCCCATATGTAAATATGTACATACATACCTTCAACTCTTCTTCCATCATCACAACTGTTGATGACGACATTAAGAGCGATAGTCCAGCCAATGCAATAAAATTGGGGTCCTTGAATCCGTCCCGAAAATTACCAATTATATCCAAAATGTATACCGGAATTCGAGTAGAAGCACCTTTTTCCACCCAGATAGGATTTGACCATGCGACTAGCATCGGATCATTTGAATTATTAGACTTAAAGTTGTCCAAGCCATTCTCAAACCGTTCATAAAATTCTATCAGCTTTTCCTGGCCATCATCTACTAGTAGCAGGTGGGATAACATTTGCCGCATTAGAAGAGGGTATTCATTCCCATTAATTGGGTCAAGGATTAAGCCGACGACACAGAGGCCCGGAGTGCATAGATCAATCTGCACATCAAAGAGTTTCTTGCAGACGTCCTCGTTTATTTCCAGAATACCATCGTCGCTACTTGTCGCTAGACATAAAAAGTTGCACGAGTTGTCGATGGGCTCCTCTTCCATCTATTGGTTTTAGTAAAATAATTGAATAATTAGTAAAATGACAAGCTTTGAAGTTCTTACTTAATTACAATTGAGTTGGTGTGCAGAACAAGTCAAGCATAATTATTATGTATGCATTAATTTGTTACCTTAATTAGAATTAAATATAAAATTCAAGTGTTATGTGAACGATTTTACGATCGGATCAGCGGAAACCTGGAGGTGAGAAAATGCAATGTAGTATGAATGCATAAATATTATTACAAAACGTATATACATAACTATGTCTGCATATCCAAGTGAAGGTGATATGCCTGCAAAATTTGTCCTCCACGTAAGCGAAATGCCAATGAAAGGTGAACAAATTGATATCATCCAGCAAATTGCGATTGGCTAAGGCTTTATTATTTTGGTTCATATGAAAATACATTAATGTCTGCTTAGTCATTAAAACACATACTCTGATGCTTTTATAATGTAATACTACGCAGTGTTGCACAATGTATTAAGTACATTCGCTACATTTACCGGTTTTATGAACCTTTTCAGATAATGAGGTAACTGCTATTTCTGAGCGGATTATTCCATTCTTGCGTTTAGCCCTCACATCCTCACCACCGGAAATGTCCACCTTATCCAATGCGATTTGGATTTGGGCTCCTTCCTCAAGCAGCTGCCGATACTCGAGGCAAAAATGTACCGTGTCGAATGCATTTACCTTACGTTCCAAAGCGATGATCCTGTCAATTAGTTCGTCAAGAGGGGATTTAGGTTGGACTGGTCAAATAATTTCAATTATTGACGTGTTTGAGCCAAATTAAAATTAGAATATGGAATCTTTACCTAGTTTTACGGGTGCGGAATGAGTAGAATTTGGTGGCTGGCTGGTGGCCCTCACTTGATTTGATGAGCCATTGCTATTATCATTCGAGTTTGTTTGCTTGGATTCCCCACATCCCTGCGATTTTAATAATTCTAAATTCTTAAGTGCCTTTGAAGAAATGTCGATCTTCTCCCGATTAATAGGTCGAAATGTTACCATGATCACGCTGATAATGTATGTACCCAATACAATCAAACAAAATCCGATTATTTTATTAAAAAGTAAAAGCAAAATTTGAGATGGATCGATCAATGGCAAGTTCCAGCCAAAACCCATGTTGGTTATCTTATCAATGCCTCAATTTTGCTCACGGAACTTGGATCCGCCGGGTTGTGGTATCTCTGTTGTATAATTCGGCTGTAATGAATGCTAAATTTGGTGTTCAAGATATTATTTGATAACGATTCCAGTAAATAAGTTCAGGTTTACTTACTCATATCCAACCAACTCGTATCAAATATACATGCCCCATCATTCCTTTACCGGCATTAACTCACCAATTCGTTGGAGCTCTTAAACTTCCTTTCTTAAATATAACATCAATTATCGGTTGCGGAACGATAACCTCCGTGGTTGTCAATCAACCAACAGAACTTTCATTGTAAGTACATATGTACAACGAAGGCAAGTATTTCAAATATATAATTGAGTATTTTTAGTAAACCTTGATTACTTCAATAGTTGCATTTACAAGTGCTCATAACAATGAGCACATTGATTATGATGCACACATGAAAAATATAAATATATAGCAGCATAAATGTAAACCATGGTCAGTGAAATTTTATATTCATTAATATTGAAGAAATGCAGCACGGCAAGTTAAATATTTTTAAGAGAAGCAAAACTACAAATCATTGGATGATTAAGTATGTATATGTAATATATGTAGGTACTTATGAATTCCTTGTATGCTAGCTAAGCAGATAGGAGTGAATATAGTTATATTTCTTACTTATATGAATAATTTTTTTGAGCCGGTTGCATTATTTAAAAAAAAACATGCAAAATTTCGACTTCGTCGCTGTCAATATTACATTCACTAATTTTTATTCATGGAGTTGGAATATGTTGACAGGAATAAAACCTTTACAGCTGTCTCAGTTCAGGACAAATAATTAAGAAAAATCTAGCCATGTATGTACAATATCTAACAATTTGATGGAAATGCTGTAAATATACATAAATTAAGGCAAATTATTGAAGTACAGATTTTAAGTATTTTTCTACTAAATAGATCGGGTATTGCGACGCCACCTTGGCTGATTACTTGCAAAAATGTCAGACGACGACCTGGATCCGCATTCTCGTGACCAAGTCCCCCAGATTGTTGGAAGCCCAATACGCATCCTAGAGCTGAACGAGATCGGTCATACAGCTCAAGGAAGGTCATCCATGCGGTTTAACGATAAGAAAACTAAAGAAATCCTCTCTCGTGCGGACAGTCTACCCTTCTCCATCCTCTGCATAACGGGTGAGGCACGCCAAGGGAAATCTTACTTTCTTAGCTGTCTCATAAAATATCTGCAATGTTTGGAATCCGGTGTAAAACCAACCATCGAACTTGCCTCGAACAAGGAATTTTTCCACTTTGAAAATGGCACGGAACGAATGACAACCGGCGTCTGGATGTGGTCACACCCTTTCAAACTACAACAAGAGGACGGGACCCCATACGCCTTATTTCTGATGGACAGCCAAGGACTGTTTGACAAGTGGACAGGAAATAGGGAATGGGTTGGACTCGCAGGGTTCAGTTTGCTCGCCTCGTCCTGCCTCATCTTCAACACGGTGGATTCTTTGAGAGAAAACGTTCTCGAATTCTTCTCCACTTTCTGCGAAACCACGGCGCATCCGCTCACTGAACTTGACGATGATAAGGAAGAAATTGGTTTAAAATTCTTCCAGAAACTTGTCGTCCTCATTCGAGATTGGGGCTTGTACGATAACATTGATTATGGCTGTGCGACTGGAAACTCATACATTTTAAACAGGCTGCTACCTGATTTGAAAGCTACGAAAATGCATAACCGGTCAAGGAAATTAATCACTGACGCATTCACAGAAATTAATTGCTGCTTGCTCCCACCACCAGGAGAGGATGCAAAACGAAAAGAATTTCAAGGGCATCGGGCCGAATTGTCGGAAAAATTTTATAAGAAAATGTATGACTTTATCGAAGATCTCGTCGTCCTTGGAAATATTCCCGTAAAAACTGGCATAAGATCCAGAGCTACCATGTTACCGGAGGCATTTACTGCAATTTTAGATCTCTACGTGCAGACCTACAACAAAAACGAGACATTGAGCCCAAATGACCTATCCATGATTAATATGCAAGCTTCAAACGAAGCGGCGGTGCAATCATGCGTCAAGGAATACCGGACAAAGATGTCACCTGAAAATGCACCAATTAGCGTGGACGACTTGCAAGAACTTCACTCGTGTGTAGAAAATGAGATAATGCAAAACTTTCGAGCAATTAAGAAATATGGGGATGCAGACGTTAAGAAGAAATACGAAAAGGATTTGACCAATAAAATAAAAAATATCTACGTTCAAATTAAGAGAACCTATGCAAATTCTGGGAAACAAAAATTGGATGAGATTAAGAGTCTAGCTAAACAAGAATTTCTACAGCAAATAGAGATATTTATGAAGCCAGTTGATTTGAAAAATGTCAACCAATTTATTACAGAACTGATATCCAGGTCTACCAGAGACGTCGACAAATCCGCAAGCATTGCTAAAATTAAAATGACTGACGAGGATCGCAAGCAACTTGAAGAATTTTTTACGGCGAAGGGCCAAGAGCTTAGAGACAAATGCATCGTTATGCAAAATAACGTAGATTCAGTCGTACAAGGTCAAATTAATTTGTTTGAAAGAAAAATCAATGACACGTTGGAAAATCTTGGTCAAACATATGGCGACCACATTCCAGAAAATGTATTAACTCGTGCTGGAAAGGAGTTGGAATCAAAAATGCTGAAACAGTTGGACGCACAACTAACGCAGCTTCAAATATGTCCACAAAATATAGTAGAAAGTAGGGACAAATTTTCTACTGCATTGACAAAAAGAATGGACCACCTTCAAATGGAAAATGCCCAAAATCAGACCAGGACAACTGCTCTCCTTGACGACATTGTTTCCAAATATGCTATGGAAATAAGCAAAATTTGGAAACAAGCAGTTTTTACGGAATCGTACACGGTAGATGAAAACTGGATGGAGAATCTTAACCAAATGTATTTGCCCTTGCAAACCAAAGCAGTTGATGAATTTGAGGAAACTTGCAAAATAGAGAATGTGATAACATTATCCAAATTTAAAAACACGGTCAAATCAAAACTTGAAGAAAACTTCAACTTCTTCGTAACTGAAACTGAAAATATTTTGTCTAAGGTAAAACGTCTTTTTACTCATCACACGCAAACATTTGAGCAAGAATTACAAGAACGAATTGATTTGGATGATGTGATATCAATTCCAACCCCAGCGAAGTATGACGAGTTATGCAAGCATCACTTGGAAATGTATCAAACAGCGCTTGAAAATGAGGCCAACAAATTTCCTGCCTTTGTACTTCCAATTTCTGAAATTGTCACCCAAATAAGCAAAGAATGGGTGGATATCCTTAATGGACATGTTCAGCAAAAACTGCAAAATGTAGATCACCAAAGAGACATTATAATAAAATCTTTGCATGAAGCGGAGCAATTATTCCTTGACCAATTTAACCTCAATTCCATCACTTCTGTGCAAGATCTTAGTAAGCGGAACGATTTAGCTGTCAATAAAGCTATGAAATTTTTCAAAAATGAAACCTCAAGGTTATCGGAGACAATTCGAAAGGAAGGAGAAGATTCATTAATGGAGACCCTTAATGAGAAATGGTTAAATATACAAAAACAATTTACTAGTTCAATGCAAGCCCATAAACTACGTCTCCAAGAAAATGTGTCGAGGAATATTACAGAATTTCAGAAAAATCTCGAGGAAAAATTTGGGAATTCAAATTCAATTGAAGGGAAAAGGGTTTATCAAGCTGATGAAGTAAGGCAGTTTAGCACAAGAGAATTTGAAAAAGCAATTTGTTCTCTGAGACAATTGTCATCCTCAATTAATTGTCAGGATATTATCTGTAATGAGTTTGTAGTCAAGATGGAGCTTGAATTTGATTCTATGGCTAATGATGTAATTACACAGAACAAAAACAATGAACTTGCTTTCATGTCGTTCCTACAAGAGGCTGTACATCAGACTGTAAAACTAAACAAGGAAAGGGAAGATTCGATTGATATATTAACCAACCAGGCTCTCATCATAGAAAAAGTTATCACACTGGTAAATTTAGGAAATTATGTCATACATGAGGATTCAGTCAAAAGGTTGGCTCAAAATGAACTACAGAAATATAATATGCTGCAGCAGCAACAACGACCACAAACACCTCCAATTTTTAATGAACCAATTCCAGGGACGTCTAGCTCATTTAGAAGCATGCTCAGCAATGGTGAAAATTCATCTGAAGATCTTAACATGGATACAAGTAACAATGACACAATTCCATCTCCAACTACACTTCCTAGCAAGGTTTCTGATTTTAACGCTGAGGCAGAAATTGAATTACTTTTAGAAAATTTCCGCCAATTTCTAGATCATCAAAATCTAACAGTTTACGACCAGGACAAAATAGAGATTGAAAAAGATAACATAATTAAAACACTTTTGACAAAGTTGGATGACAAAGAAATGGAGCACAGCGACTGGCCTGACAAACTAAAAAAAATATTAGATAAAGACAGTGAGACTTTTAAGAAAAAAGTTGAAAACCAACAACGAATCGACAAAGATTTGGCGACAAGGGCATTCAACTTTTACAAGGCTGAAATTAACAAGCATAAAAGCAATAGCGAATCCGCCCAATTCCTAACACCGCAGGATTTGAACGACATGCACGTCTCGTCAAAGAATACGACCATGCAAAAATACACCAATCTAAGCCCTGAACATGCCGAGCAATTAGAATCCTTGATAGAGAAGCAATTTGAGCAAATGTGTCTTGAACAAAGGGAAAATTCCGCGTTGGAACCAGCAATTGGAATCGATTTGGGGACAACATTTTCCTGCGTTGCAATCTTTTGGGAAGGAAAAATGACCGTAATTCCGAACGCACACGGGAAGAAAACGACGCCAAGTTATGTCGCATTTAATTCAGATGGCTCTCATTTGGTTGGTGAGCCAGCAAAAAGTCAAGCATTCCTGTATCCCGCTTCCACCATTTTTGACGCCAAGCGATTAATCGGGAGACCATTTTACGATGAAAAAGTGCAGGAAGATATTGCCAATTGGCCATTCAAAGTAGTGCAGGAATTAGGCAAGCCAAAAATTGAGGTGAACGGAGAAACTTACCACCCAGAACAGATCGGAGCTAAAATTCTGGTAGAGATGAAACACGTGGCAGAGGCTTTCTTAAAACGAGACGTTGTGAATGCCGTCGTCACCGTGCCTGCTTATTTTAACGATGGACAACGCCAGGCTACACGTGACGCAGGGGCAATGGCTGGCCTGAACGTGATTCGCATTATAAATGAACCAACAGCGGCAGCCTTCGCGTACAGTTTAGAACGTCAAACAACTCAGCAACAGAGCAGGCATGTTCTTATTTACGATTTCGGGGGAGGGACTTTTGATGTCAGCATTCTGCATATGCACCGCAATCAAATCAGAACCTTGACCGTGAACGGGGATACACATTTGGGAGGAGAAGATTTCGACAGCAATATTGTAGCTTATTGTGTCGAGAAATTTAAGGCGGAACACAATATCGACTTGGTGCTTGGAAGGGACGATGCCAGCAACCCATTTCTACAGTCGAAGGTGCAACGTCGCATTCGAAGGTTGCGACATACTTGTGAACAAGCCAAAATTACGTTGTCCGAGGCATCAACGGCACACATTAATTTGGACCTAATCCATGACGATCTGGACTTAAACGTTGACCTGACAAGGCAAGAATTCGAAGCGATGAATCAAAACCTATTTGACAAATCCCTCTCATTAGTGGAGAAAGCTTTACAAGACGCAAAACTCGGGAGGGATAAAATTGACGAGATCGTTCTGGTGGGCGGTTCAACCCGGATCCCGAAAGTGCAGGAGATGTTGACCAACTATTTCGGAAAACCTTTAAGCAAATCGGTCAACCCGGATGAAGCAGTGGCATGTGGGGCAGCATTGCAAGCGGCCATTCTAACTGGCAACTTGGCGACACAGATGAAGTCGACAAAGTTGAATTTAGGTCAGCGACATCGAGCTTTGGTTGAGATGCGAGTTTCGGATGTGACCCCTTATGCGACGGGGGTCGAATTAATCGATGGCACGATGTCAATCATCATCCCAAAAAATAGCCCCGTCCCAACCAAACGAACTGAGACTTACTTGACGTCTTATGACAATCAGACATCTGTCCTCATCGTCATTTATGAGGGAGAACGTCCCATGGCTGTGGAAAATCATAAGGTGGGTGAGTTTTACTTGAATGGAGTACCACCCGCTGGGGCGGGACAACAGGAAATTGAGGTCACCATGTCGATTGATAATGAAGGGATTACACATGTCACTGCCGTCTGTAACACGAGTGGGGTTGTGCAAGAGCTCATTGTTACAGAACACAAGGGAAGAATGGGGGCTGCGGAGAGAAATGCGTTAGTGGAAATTAATTAAATTATGTACCTAAATTAATAGTGTTTTTGGTTAACTAACTATTTATTGACCAAAATAATAATAAATAGTTGGATTTTGAGAAAAATTGAATTTAAATGGAGTATAGTTATCAGCAATTTTATGCTTTCCATTGACTTGGAAGTAACATTGCTTGCGTGCTTACATAAGTACTTAATTACATGTATGTTGCACGTATATTATGCATATTCATTGCATTGCATATTTGTAAGCATTTGATAAATAAACACATATGCCATTCCATGATAGATATTTTAACATTCAAACATTCCATGAATTTTTAACATTAGTCTCAAGCTCAAACTTAGGAGGACAACCCTTCACCGACAGAATCGCCGATTTCGATGCCCTTTGGATATGTTGTAGCACTAGGTGAGTTGAGCAAAAGTGAAGAAGGATTTCATTCCATGGCCCCATTTGCGCCCGCCACACCCACTCAAAGGTGCAAAAATACCCTGTTTTGGTTCATTAAAAAAATCACCAAAAATCCAATTTTGGTCGGATTTTCACAATTTAAGCATTTTTGTGACCTTGGATAGTTGCTTTATCATATCCAATAGCAAACTCAACTTTTTTGAAATTTTGATTTTTTCGAAATCCCCGAAATTTTCGAAAATATTCAAAAAATTCAAAAAATTTAAATTCATGTCGGATACGATAAAACAACTATCTGGGATCAAAAAGGTGCAAAAATTATCAAATTATCATTAAAAATGGATTTTTGGTGAATTTTTTAATGCGACCAGTTTGGCATGGGATTTCTCTTTGAGTGGGTGTGGCGGGCGCAAATGGGGCCATGGAATGAAATCCTTCTTCACTTTTGCTAGACTCACCTAGTGCTACACCATATCCAAAGGGCATCGAAATCGGTGATTCTGTCGGTGAAGGGTTGTCCTCCTTAGCAAGACTTTATGTGTTGTAAATTATAAAAGGCTACATAATACATATGTACGTATGCAAATATAGATTATTTTTTAAGGAAAAGGAGTAATACACATTGTTGATAAATTTGCACGTTTTACGATTAAATTTTTTAAAAGAATTATTATGTATAATATTTATTGTAATAATTTGCACAACTTCTCAGAACAAACACGACTATCTGGGTTTGTTTTTAGCAACTGGTTAACAATATTTATCACTTTTTTAAACTTTCCTATACAACAATTATTCAAATAATTACGTCTCTCAATCCCACTTAAGTTTCTCAAATGTGAGAAAACTGCAAATCTGTCGAAATTGGTTCTTTCTCTGTGTAAGATTTCGACCTCGACCAACCCCAAGCTATACAAATCCGTCTTAACCGTATACTTTAATTGATTCCTGATTTCAGGACTTTGATAAAGATAAGTCCCAGCCACCCCAACATTTCCGTCCTCTCTGCTCATCACTGCTAACCCAAAGTCGCCAATTTTCCAGGTTAAATTCCCAGACGATTCTACCTTGCAAAATATATTTCCTGGTTTAATATCGCGATGAATGTAACCTTTCGTGTGGACGTAGTGAAGCCCAGTCGCAATTTGTTGAATAATACTGATCTCATCTCCTACTTCTTCAGAGTGCACTTGCAAATAACGTTTCAAAGTAGTGTGACACAGTTCCATTCTGATGAAGATGTGACTCAGGGGCGAATTTTGACTAGATGACATGGCATCATTGCAATGCTCGATAAGTTGGTGGATATATATTTCTAATCGAGACTTTGATAAGAGCATCTGACTGCAGTCTTCCGCTTCTGCCCAACAACCATAGTAGCGAACGACATGGTCACACGTTAGTTGATCCATGATTTGTATCTCGTTGAGAAGAATGGTCATATAGTTTTGCAGGTCAATTATACCACTGCTTTCAGCGGATAGGGACGTAGTTGTAGTACTTGAGAATGAAGAAGGACCACTGCAGCCCCCCAGAGTTTTTAGCATGTCGACACATTTGATAGCGTACTCGGTCGTGGGAACAATTGCGCTTTGATCTTCGACTTGGTATACTTTTCCGAAAAATCCTTCGCCCAGGAGGGAAAGACAAATTAAGGAAGGGTGAGTTCTCCAAGGAGATAGTAAAGGAATAATTGAGTGCGAGGGGTGGAGGAGGGGTTGCAATTCGTGAGAGATTGGATGTAGGGACGTGATATCTGTTATTGATCATGTACAAAGTTAATCTTTAAATTTATTAAATAAGTATCGTTCCGCACTTTATGCCAGTAAATATGTATACCCGATGATGACGTAATTGACGCCTTGTTCTTGCTCTTTTTTTGTCTAATGTAGACTGCAATACAGATTCCGAGAGCGGTGAAAGCAATGATGACAGTGACGAGGATGGCCCCCGTGGTAAGGTATAATGCAACCAGGTCATAATTTCGATCTTAGGTGCAATGGGAAATGTTTGAATTAGTGGACTAAAAAACTGACAAAGCATTTATTTAAAAAAGAACTTTACCATTTATTTTCATTTCTGTCCCGACACAATTTGAAGAGCTATTACTGACTGGAATACATTTCGCTTCTAGTTCACAGTATGTCTCATTTATTGAACAGTTTGTAACGGGTGTTGTTGTGGGTATTTCCTATTGTGTTAAAATTTGTTAGAAATATTATCATTGTGGATTGTGGATTATTTTGTCATTTTTACGCCGAGCCAAGACTTATGAATTGTTATACCTGTCTCGAATTCAATTTCAAAATTTTTGTTTAGTGCTTGCAGCATTGTAGTTAACTAAAAATTATGTAGATAAAATTCGATGCAGAATAATCTTATCGTTTAAGAAATATGGTCAAACTCTGGCTTGGCGTCTATGTACTAGAGGCTTTTTATACTTACGGGTGGTGCAGGCGATATTGTCACGTCCTCGTCACTCGGTTCAAAAGGAAGAAGTGGAATTACATAGATGTCTGTCGTAGCTGGAGTATCAATGGTTGATGTAGTCATTGTCCCTGAGGAACAGTTTAATTCGTCTTCACCATCCGAGCAATCATTTTCCCCGTCACATACCCATTGAATGGTGATACACCTTTTATTGCTACACACAAAAGTACTGGAATCACATTGTTTCGGACAAGCACTAATCGAAGACATTTGATCATCCCAACTCCTTCCATCACTCATTTTAAGAGAGCTAAGATCTTCATGATGGGGAGTTCCGGGTTCAATTTCCGCTGAATCACCCGCACAATTACGATGTTCCCAAATAATTATACAATTACCTAGCGTATTAATTGAAGAAACCTTGTCGCCATAAAAATCGTAGTTTACGCACTGTCCTCCCGTACCGATTGTAAATGTTTGGCAAGTTCCTCCACCAAATTGATAGCATTTATGGAATTTGTCTTCATAGAGGGTGAAATTAAAGGACATTGTTGGCAAAATTAATGTATTAGATGGTGTGATTGCGAGTCGTGTCCCTGGAATAAGCGTTCATGTGGAATAATTTAGTTCACAATATTGTTGTTAATTTCTAGAGCATGTCTTACTATTCTTACTATGAATTTAAAAAGGTTTAATTTATCTCAAAATAACGTGGCTATAAATACAAAAGTTTTTGATTGACGAAAAGTTGCTAACACAGCCTGCTAAAATTTTACTAATTAGGATATTACTTATTACACTAAATTTTCCAATATTCAATATTTAATTACTACCTTTATGTGTTTCTTAGGTTGATAAGTATATGCACAGTAATGTCCTGTTAATAATCTCCAATAATTTTGTAACCAGTTCAGTATTATCTAAATATGTACATATATACGTAGTTACATGTGTATGTATGTATACATACACTGTGTGTGTGCACGCATTTATGACAAATAAACCAAAACTTATCTTTGAAGTAATTTCTATTGGGCTCAAGTACTTTATACTGTCTGCGTAATTTACACTTTACTTTTATGTAAGTAAATCGGAAATTCAATATGCTTATACTGTATATGTTTTACCCAGTAACCGGATGCAAATTATACCACAGTCATCCCTCACATTACCATTTTGTCATATTATTGAGCTACGTATTTATTTGTCCATAGCTCTGCTTATACAATTTTCAATGAAGAGAAGAGTTCGTGGCAATTAATAACTAGATAGCTTTGTGAAGAGATTGGCAACCACAAATTAAAAATTTATGCCACAATATATGTCAGTGATTTGAAAACGCAGCACATGTATAATATATATGCATATATATGTATTAGCATGGCTGGATCTCATTTTAGAGAAATGCCGCTTGACGCTTAATAATTCACAAAATTTATCCAAGTCTCATTGAAATGATGGGAATTAACTTTAAACTGCGCTTTTAAATGCAGAAAATCATACAACCAATATCGGTTTCTTTCATTCGCAATTCTAGCAATGCATGATGAAAGTGAGATTTTTTTAATGCAACATTTCAATCAGACGTCGAGGTTTCCCGATGTTTTCATTTTCAAACACAGTATGCATATTCTATATTGCGCTGTTTTTTTTAATTTCTATCATTAAATATATGTATGTATGATTGTTTATTTGTTTAAGTATAGAATTGTATTCGCAGAGAATTGAAAGATGACAATATGCAAATATAATAATTATGCAGCATACAATTTTTTATTGAATTGTCTCAAACCAAGCATTCAAAATACAGGCTTGAATTGTATCGTAGTTTTATTATGCTTTGCTAGTACTATAAGTAATATAAAAACCGATATTTAAGGTTTACAACAAAAAATATATCAAGTTTCAGTTGTCAGTTTGACTAATCCATGCATTTTATGCTTGGCAGAATTGCTCTCCTGAAAGATAAAAACTTTTACTTGAAGTGTAAACATTTCTAAAATATTATCATGCAAATTACCAGTTGTAGAAACAATCCAATCCAAATAGCTTGCCACTCTAGTAAACACATTTGGCGAATTGCTATTGCATCCATTGATAACAGAGCTACTCACCCCCACGGTATAAGACCTCTCATTGGTTACAAGGTCAATACCGCCGCCAGAGTCCCCACTGCAGACAGATTTTCCAATTTCTCTCGTGCAAATCTTACTTTGAGGAAAGCTTGGTCCGAGAAAGCTTCTGCATACACTATTCGATACTACAGTCACATCAGCTTTCATCAACTTTGGTGAAGCGGGGCCTAATAAGTCGGTGGTGGATCCCCATCCCGACACTGTAACCCTGCGTCCCACGAGGTTTTGGCCGACTAAGGAGAAGGGTAAACAAACCGGCTGGATCGTTGGGGTGAATGTGATTGGCGTTTTGAGATGGACTAAGGCAATGTCGCCTCTCACGGTTTTATTGTCGTACGTGGGATGCCTAACGAATCTGTCCACCTCAATCACGACGTTCTCTGCTTCCGATGTAGTTGTAAAGTCCAAGTCGCCCACGTCGACGATAAGAGTGTCGGATGGGACGAGGGGGTCCATGCAGTGGGCCGCGGTCATCACCCAACTGGCCGAGATGATAGTACAAGTGCAAAAAGTCCTAGATACGTTCCCGTTGAAGATGCAACGCCATGGGAATTCGCCAAGTTTGGCCAGCGATCCACCCACAATTCGACTACTTTTTTGGGGAGATGACTAAAGAAAGTTGTTTTCACTTAACGATTTGAAAGCTATGAGAGATATACAAGTTTTGCTGGTCTTACCACCCCGCAGGAACAAGAAGGCTGAGTAGGAACTGGTTTTGGTGGTACGGTGGTACGACGACAGAGCCGGTGTGGGCGAGGGCCATTGCAGTGACGACCTTTTGGATAAAAGGATTTTTCGGAGGGCAAAGAATTGTTGGTTTGGGATGAAGCATTGTCGATGAGGGTCACTAAATATATTACGAGGACAATTTGGACCATGAGATTGTTTAATGTGACCATTTTGGTTGTGGTAAGGTAAGTGACAACTTATTTGGTGCGATTATCTGAGTTTATGCTACCGGGGGGTCCGTATTTATCCTGTTTATGTACCTATGTGTAAAATATACTTTCGGTTTAATGACCCCAGAATTATTAACTGTTCGAGACATAAAGGGCGGTCAGGTTTAGATAGAGACACGTATCACAGAGCAACGAATTACCATACGTACATACACGCAAATAGCGTAAAACATGCTCAACTTGGCATAATAAATCTTATGAATTGTGAAATAAATACGAAAAAATCTGGCATTTACGGAAGTTAACAATCATCACACCGTTATTTGCTTGCCTAATTAATCATACGTACATATGTAACATAATGCGTACTAAACAAACTCTACATGTGCTGAAAATAATAGTCGAAAACTGTTAAAAAGATTGCTCGTTCATGGAAGTTGATGGAAGTTCACGTTAAACGTTCATGTTATTCCCATGATTATGAATTAAATTATTTGCGTCATCTAGTCATATTTAACTACATAGTAATACTTGATTGATTATTACATGATATGATAAAGGAGCTTTCTTAAATATGGGATCATCACTCATTTTGTATTTACATACATGCATTCAGAGCCGTCGCGCGACATTGTACGGCCTGGATTTCTTGTGCTGTGTACGGCCTATGGTTTTATGGATTATTTTTTGTTTAATTAATCAATAATATTGGGGGAATATACCACAGTTAACGCTAAATTTGATATGTGTATCCAAGCGTTTTCTAAGGGCCAAGAAGAATATTTAAACCACGTTTACCGATTCTGTTGATAACCTATGCGTAGCTGAAAATAATTAGCTGTCTTAGCTTATTCTTCATGCTTATGGTTTCCTGATTAGAGCAGCACGGATTAAAAAAAACAATGAATTCTAGTAGTTGATTTGAAGCTTTTTAATTTCAAACCTTGCAAACTGCATGAAAATTTTGATAACCATTTTAAGTGTCCACAGGTTTCAAATCAGAAATAGAAACGACGGGCATCTCGCCCATATTAAACAAATTATGTAGGATCTCTTTATATGGAACAATTGCAATTTAAAATATTTAGAAAATGGCTAACACCATAATCTTAAGTACTATGTACGCCACCAGGTTTTTGCCCAACTTAATCTCATTCGACCGATTTGCAGATTGAAGTTCAAGGGCAATTTTTCACAGTTACTAAAACTTGTACTTGTAATCCGATGACGCCAGAAGTTTCGCTCCGATTTTGACGGAACCGCAATAATTATGTAGCATCAGATAATTGTATGTGTTTCAGGATTTTGCATAATGCTTAGTTTAAACGAAATTATGACGGAATCAGTGGGGGAGGATTTCGATTTTTATCGTGACATTTTTCTCACGACAGAGAAAAATACAGATTCCTCGCTTACGGATTCCATCATAATATCGTTTAACTGCGTGAGCATGAAATGTTTTTTATTTCAAATTGCTCGCACAAATTTTAAAAATTTTGAAAATTTTGACAAATGCAACAAACCAGAAATTTTGAAAATTTATGACAGAAACTTTTTGAAAAGATTTTTCATAAATTACTCAATGAAATTCTGTGCAAAAATGTTCTTATTCATATTTTAAATCGAGTCAAAATTGGAACAACGTTTTTTAAAAGCCTGATTTTTGCTGAAAATGTATTCAAACATTCTGTCATAACTGGAAACGCCCGAATTCAGGAAAATGCAGAAATAAACGGACCTGTATTCTTGCATTTTTGTATAAGTACAATTTCGAAAGTTTTTGCGAATTAGGTAAAATAGTTATAACTCAAAAAGTTTCATTATTCCAAAAATTTGTGATTTCAGATTTCTTAATCATAATTTTTAAAAAAATGAAGAATAAAAAAATCTTCAAATAATGACAGGATTTCAAATTCAAATTTAAAAATGCGTCCTTAATAATAAGTTATTTGTTGAATGTGGCGGATTTTTAGTACATAAATAATAAAGTTTTAGTTTCATGAAATCATCGGTCGAGTGAGATTTTGAGAAAAATCCAGGTGAGAAAATCCAGAAAAAACCAGCTCTCGTGGTTCTCTTTTAAACACAACTTTTGGCTACGTTAAACTTTCAAAAATTATCGCGAGGTCACATCTGAAATGTCGCCACCATTCAGTTTCAAAATTTATGTTTCTAAAATTGGTTAACGTTCCCCACATATGTTCGTATTACGCAACACCTATTTTTTCATTCTGAGGAATTTTAAATTCGGTGTCGTATTACGTATTTACACACTTGACTGAAAAAGTCCCTGGTAAAGTAACACTTCATACTCGTACCGACTTATTTGAGACAATGCTGGCAGAAAATCCACGAAACAAAATCTTACAGATTTTAAATACGACTGTTTTCAAGCTCAAACTAAAAAAAATAAATTTTCAAATTCTGAAAAATTCTGAAAAATTGTCATTTTATCTAGTGTATAGTTGATTCCCCTGGTATGGCCTATCGGCCGGTACGGCCTGGATTCGACTATCCAGTCGTCTCCACCGTCCGTACGGCTCTGCATGCATATGCACATTTCTATGTATGATTGATGACCTACCCAGCTTGATTAATTTAAGACTTGTTCCTTTAAGTAAAATTTACCTTTGAAATGCATTAACACGGACCGGAAAGCAGGCAAATTTTTTTCTAGAAATACCTACAAGGATGAAAATCCAATTTCGATCGGTCAATGCTACAAACTCGTTCCTTTAACACTACATTTAGAAACAAAGCAATCTTAAATTATCAGTCAGTGCAACTCAAAAATTAAAGTACTGTGTCCATTATTTACGTGGAATATTTTATTCGAGGTGTATGCCGCCGACGATGAAACAACTTTGGCGTGGTCATCATCATTGACAATTTTGACAAGAATAATGTTTTGAGTTATTCAAATTTTTATAACCAGACGAATAATTATGCAGGATACATTTTTAATTGAGTTTTTTTTACTATGAATTATGCATATTTAATTACAACCAAAATTATATTTAGTTTGACTCATCCATCCATTTCATGCCTGGCAGAATTGTTCCCCTGAAAAATAACGACTTTTACTTGAAAGTGAAAACATTTCTAAAATTTTATCACGAAAATTACCAGTTGTCGAAACAATCCAGTCCAAATAACTTGTCACCCTAGTAAACACATTTGGATAGTTTGTATTGCATCCTGCGCCAACAAAACTGGTCACCCCGACAGCATACGACCTCCCATTGTTTACGAGGTCCACACTGCCACCAGAGTCCCCACTGCAGGCAGATTTCCCAGTTTCGCCCGTACAAAGAATATTTTGTGGCAATCCAGGCCCAAAAACAGATCGACAAGTAGTGTCAGATAAAATAGTGACGTCCACCTTATTCAACTTTTGAGAGATTGGGCCTTGGAAAACGGTCGTACCCCAGCCGGATATCGTTGCTCTCCGTGAATCTAAACTTTGTCCCCTCAAAGGAAACGGGAGGCAGGCTGGTTGGACGGTTGGGGAGAAAGTGATCCTATCCTTGAGATGGATCAACGCTATATCATTAGATATTGTGGTCTTGTCCCAGCCCGGATGACCTATGACACGATCAGCTTGCACCAAATAGCTTGCCGTTTCAGAAGCTGTTCCCAGGTCGAGGTCGCCAACATCGACGTAAAGGATGTCGGTAGGTGTGACGATATCTGTGCAATGCGCGGCCGTCATGATCCAGCTGGCAGAAATGATGGTGCATGTGCAAAAGACTCCGTATCGTTGCATGTAAAGATTACAACGCCACGGAATTTCGCCCAGAGCTGCAGGTTGCCCACCAATTATCCTGGTATTACTGGTGGCAGACTAAAATTCCCATGATATTTTCATAGTTATGATATTTCATTTGAAAATGTATGCAGAGCTTTATTTGTACCGTTCCGCATGAGCATGTCGGTTGTGATTGCGTTGTTGGCAAGGGAGGTGCCAGTGTGGTGGTTGGTATGATGGTATTGTTTGCTCCTAATCAATAAACAGTATACAAACTAATTAATTTAAAATTGATTCAAATTATCTATTTATTTCAAGAACTAAAAATATTAGTCTTATGAGACAAGTGAATTAAATGTGTTCTCAACCTTGACACGACGTCGTCATCTTGTACATGCAGAGTGGTCGCATGACCAAAGTTTCGCAAAAGTGCTGACCCCATCCACCTTTATACCAGCCAAGGTTGACATGGAGGCAATTTGCAGTATTTGCTGTTGTGGATGGCTCTCCACCAATCCAATATTGCGGTCCTGTGGCAGTGTTTCCAGGCGTGGGGACAATCTTGCTATCCTCCAGCCAACGCCATGTCGTTCCGTCGCCAAGTTTGTTCCCAGAGAGCCAGAAGAAGCCCCATTCTGCAGTGTTGACAAATTTTATTAGATATGTTTTTACAATGTATTTTCTATGTACCGTTAGCTCGGACAGAATCCTTGGCCCAGTTGGTGATGACAAGTTGGTCAGCCGCACTTTCCACGGAGGCGAGTTGAAGACCATAGCTCTTGCAGAAATTCACTGCCGATGCCCAATTCATTTGCGTGTTTTGGGCAAAGTATTGCTTCGCGTAGAAGGGCCCGTCCGAGGAGCCGATAAGTGTTAGCGTGGCCCACGGATTTTGGCCTGAAACATGACTGAAGCATGTTATTAATGAGAGGACAAGAAAGATACGAATACAGTTTAAATTCCCCATGTTTGGTTTGGAGAAAGAATCAAATTTTGGACGGGCTGCAGCAGACCAGAGATCGGTATCTATGTATTTATACAATTCTTAATGTATATAAATATCTGTACGTACAATGAATGTCATAGTAGTTGGAGGTCACCAAGGTTATGCGTCATTTTCCTTTTTTATTGTGACAAATTTACATGAGAAATCAAATAAATATGAAAGATCACACAACCGAAAATAGTGTTTAGCGAACTTTAAGTTTGAATGCATTATTCTCAATCCATGATTTATTGATTTATGATGCTAGGAATGCATTACACCCTAGGAATTTAACAATAATTTCTCAATTACAAAGACAAATTTCATTCAATAAAACTAAAAATTTGTTCAAATTGAAGTTTTATAGTTACGCAATCTGAAAAATATTTATCTATTTTTTCCATTTACACCAGATGTTACATTCTCTCATGCATGCAGATAAAATTCATAGATTTGCAAATATTTTGACGTAAATGTGTATCTCCGCACTTATGCAATGACACTTAATATGCCAAAATGAATAGCAAATATGCATCCCTATTGAAGATTTCTCTGTAATCGTCTAATCGTGTCACATCAGAACGTGCTAAATAAAGTATGGATTGATCCGGTTCCTTTCTCATGTAGATGTGCGTATGCGAAACCACAACAGCCTACGTGATAAGGTTCATGTAATGTGTAACGGAGTATTTGGCTTCCACATATGTGTACCTATTTACTTTCACTTTTACTTCCACCGAGCATGGTTTTATCACCCGGAAAGCCAAAAGCCACCTGAGTTTGCGCTATTAAAAACTTATCTCGCCACTTCACTTCCTGATTGATCTCGTTAAACGAGAGTACTTTACTTGTTCAACAACTACTAGTTGAACACCTCGGCTGACATGTGGAAAGCTGGAACTTTCTCCAAATCAATAAACTCTGGACTCGCATAAGTAAATATGCATGTTGACTTAACACCTCATTTTCATTCGAGCAGGGGTATATATCTGGAGAAGGAGGATTAACAATGCTAATTTAGCATTGCTTGACTGAATTAAATTTAACTGTCACCAAGGTAATCCAAATTCACTGTTAAATTTAGATATAAATTAAGAGAAATCTGAACCAACTTTCTCCATTTCACTTTGCCCCAAGGTGATCAATCATGGAACATCTTGGGATAGAAGGGACGCCTAAATGTATCGCAAACACGGCCTACATCGCCACCGCGATCACCAGCCTATTCATGGGTGCATCTTTTTGGGACGAGGTCTACTGTCCCTACCAAAACGTGGCCCTTCTCCTGCTCACATTTGGCCTCGGAGCAGTCCTGATTCCGCCGGTTTTGTGGATCTTCCAATTTTGGAAGGAGGTGGGGGACGACTACGAGACGCGGACCTGGTTCCACCTGTCCGACGTCTCTCTCATCCTCCTCGTGACCGCAGCCATTTCATCGTTCGTCGGCTGGTTGACGCTGTCATCACTTCGGATTTACGGGCTTTGGATGAAGGTGCAGTTCGTGCATGTGGGGGAAAACTCGTATTGTGACCCCGCTCTGTTTTGGTATGCGTTTAGCGTAAATTCGGTTATCCTTGCCGGATATTTTATGGGGGTGGTGGTCAGCGTGGTGAACTACAAATGGTGGTTGAATTAAAAGCTGCAGTAACTAATATATGCAGTCAATCAAGTGATTGGATAGATTCTAGAACTAGTCAATTCGAAAAAAATTGTTTCGAGGTTACAAAGTTGGTCAAACTTTTAGGAAATTTACAGGGTTTCGTCGGATTAAAATACCGTCTTCGCGATTATATTGCCCAAGTTGTATTAGGGACGCACAAATCAAAATGGATACGCTTCCTGTCAACATATGTATGTAATACTGTCTATGTACATACATAAATACGTACGTACTTTGGTATTTGAGAACAATTTAATTCTTTACATTTATACTGTAAACAAAGCAAAACAATTGTAGAATCTCATCCTAGAAGGTTAAGCGTTTATTAAATACTTCATAATCTTTATCATTATTAACAATTTATTGTGATGAATAATGTCAGTATCCTGTAACATAATAAATCTTTTTTATGTATGATGTTCTATTTTGTACGATTAAACGTTGATGTAATTCTTATTGTGAATTTCGACGGCGAGGTTGGCCCTCAAATGAGATTTCTTGTGGATAGCCAAGTGGTCCGAGCGTTTAAAGGAGGAGTCGCACTCGGTACACTGATAAGGACGCTCGCCTGTGTGTTTCCTCAAGTGCCTGGTTAACTCATCAGATCTCGCAAATTTCCAGCAACATTCTGTAATGGGATACGTAATGTGCAAAATTATTAGTAATTACATATGTATAACGTGTCGTATAACGAAATCTGAAAATTCATTAGTTCGCTTTACCTGGCCATGTGCAAACGTAGGGCTTCTCGCCGGTGTGAGTTCGAATATGAGCCACCAAATGGGACGACTTTTTATAATCTCTCCCACAATTTTCATACGGACAAACGTGCTTCCTCAAGCTCACGTTTGGTTTACTTACTTCCACGAATTCTAAATTGTTCGCTCTTTCATACTGCTTTCTCTTCTCTATCATGAAACTGGAGCTATGCTTTTTCCTAAAGTTTGAGAAAATTTCCCCAATTTTAATCTTCGGGGGTAGGCTCGCTCTCTGTTCACTTGTAGGTTTGGTGGTGGTAATTTTGAGGTTTGAGGTAGGTTCTTCCGCTTCTCGGAAAGGTTGCGGTGTCAAGGGTAGCGGGAGGCTGGCATCGCCATCGTCACTTGGCAGGTAGTAACTTTCGTCTGCGTATTCCTCCTCCTCAATCTTAAGAATGTCACAATCTTCGTTGCTGTATTCGAGCGGGTCAGCAGGGGTGGGAGGAGAACTGTTGTAATATTCCAACTCTGGCGGCTCGGCGTCAAATGGTCCGGTGCAGGTGTAAATTCCGTGCTCAAAGTTTAAGTGATGAGTGGAGAAAGTTTTTAGAGTACCGTCGTCGTGGTCTACGTTGTACGATTTGTATGATTCCTGACAAATTGCATATATAAACAGTAAGAGAAAATGACTTTGAATAATAATAGTATTGTTGTTAATTAAATTTACATAAAACTCGTCATCATCGTCATCTTCAGAATTTTGAGTTTCATCTTCGCCAATAATTTGTGGAGAGTCGATTATTGGTTCACCTTCTGGAAATAAATGGGATGGATAAGAGGAAGCGTCCTCATCATCATCCATAATGTCCTCCACTTCAGCGTGGTTTAAATTCAATTTGTACAAGCTGACTTTGAAATTTTGATACAGCTGGACGACAGACCATTCTGTATTGTTTTGTTTCCTGTATGCATAAAATAATTGTTTTGTCACAATCAAATCTCAATAAATCACTAATTATATATCAAATAATACCTTTTCTGCACCCTAATTTTGTGCTTGTTTAAGAGGTGTTTGCAAATCTTAGGTTTTGATGGGAGAAGAAAGCTGCAAGTGTTGCACTTGTACCATGGAGATAATTGCATGGTTACGCTAGCATTTCTCGCAACAAAGTTAATCTAACTTGTGTATGTGGTGCAGATTTAATATATTATTTACATGCGTGATTTAAAATCACTGATTTTACAATCGGACAAGATTATAAAACCTGGAAGTGGAGAGCAATCTTCCTATGATCAGGGCTGTTTTGGAGAAATATGAACAAGTGAATACATGTGTAGGGATGGGTTTTGTTTTGGTTGCCGGAACCACTCGGCATTTGTACGATATCGTAAAAAGGAAACGGAGAAGAAACCAAAAGAAGAGAGGAGAAGCTGAACAAAGCCAAATGCATTGCAAGCAAGGCGTGGTTCGTTAAATTGTACGTTGAAGGATGTACGCTGGCCTTGCGTGAAAAAGGAGTTGGCTCGATTTGTGGTATGTATGAGAAATATGTAAGCTATGAAAATTAAGCCTCGAGTAAATAATCTGGTATTTTTTACTTGGAAAGTTTGCCTTATCTATTTCTTAGATTACGAGGACTAATTTAATATAGTTTTATAGTCATGGACTTTTCAGAAGAAGAAGAAGAAGTACGTTTTGGAATAAAATTACATTGGTGGATTCACTTACTGTAATTTATGGTATATGCAAATCAGGCTGGAACGTGCATGAGACGATAGAAAACTATTGTTCGAGTCTACCCATATTTAAACAATTATCTATGAAATGAATCATTGCAACATAGCTTTTGTTGTATGATTCTATACAACTTTGTTCCCATGATGTTATCTTATTTATTGTCCACAAACAAGCAAGTTCCCACGTTTGATTACACGCTAACCTAATGTAAACATGGTTGTGATTTAGCAAATATAAATTTATTTTTTCAAAGAAATTCCCAATTAACTCTTCAGTCTTTCATACAGACTCGTGTCAACTTGAGCATAAATTTATTTATTTACCGCATTTTGCCAATGGAAATTTTAAAATATATCATGGAACGTGCTATCAGTTTGAAATTATTCTCGATTATTGTACTCTTAATATGTCACGAAGTTCGTTTCGTGTCATTAATTGAAATTGAGGAAGAGCTGCGACTAACTGGAGAGGAAAACAGGAAACTGGAAATGGCATGCAGACAAATAATCAATATTATTCTCGAGGCATAAATTCTGATCCAATTTAATATAAAACTTCTAATATTGGTTTTCTAGCTGAAAATGAGAGTTGGGCATACTCCGACGCACAAATGGCTTAAAACCGACCTCGCCCTACTTCGGTGGCTGCGAGGTTAGCAATTAAATTAAACCTATTTACAATTTAATGCACAACATCCAAGTGATACTTAAATATATTTATCATACTATTCTTAGCTAGCAAATTGAATGTAGGAGCTGCAGAGACCGCTTTCAATGAAGTAATTCACATTTAATGCTATAAATATTTAATATCCATACTAACACGTATTTTATATGTACTTACATATTTTTTAGAACATTAAATGGAGGACGGATAATGATATGGATTCAATCTTACAAGAAGATTGGTCGTACTGGATACGGGAATATTATTTCGATTGTAGTGCTACCGACTATGATGGAAGACCAGGTGTAAAATTCGTAAATTTCTACTAAAGCTTTACATGGATAATTTAAGCTTATTACATCATTTCCCACAATTATCACAGTTTGTACTGGAGATATTTCTGAGTGGGATTTACGTCAAGCGATCGTATCAGGAAAGGGAGACAAGTTGTTGAGGTACATGATAAAAACCGTGGAGGAGCATCCACCCGTGTGCGAACATCTCAAGAGATGGGGTTAAACGTGACCCAATGGGTCACAATTCTGAACATGAATAATTTTAACCTCGTACAACATGGATGTGTCCAATGTGAGCATTACATATAAAAATTGTGCGAGGAACAATCAAAAATTTGCGTATTTTATTTATTCGCCTTATTTGGCAGGTGTTTCTTTATTCGTGAGATTTCTTACCGCCCATGAAACTTATTATCCGTACGGGACGCATAAAGTTATAATAATCAATGGTATGTTATGGATTTTTATTGAATGCACATTTAAGACAAATTATGTAAAAAATTTTATTCCCTAGCTGCGGGCGTATTCCACGTCGTCCTTAATATTGTTAGACCTGTATTGAGCAAACCCATGCAGGAATCGCTTTATGTTTTTGGAACAGACAAGGCAGAATGGAGGAAGGAATTGCTTTCCATGGTTCCAGAAAATGAATTGGCACCCCACTTTGGAGGAACAAAAATAATTTGATGCAATGTGAATATTAACGTATTCGCAGGAAATACTAAATTTTGTTATCTTCTAAAATAGAGGTTGTTATGATGATATTCTTCCTTCGTATCTTTAGTATTCTTTGTATGGTTCCGAACAGATATCTGGTGGTAACTTGATTAACATTGAATCTGATATCTGATCTGGTCAATGTTAATCAAGTTACCACCAGATATCTGTTCGGAACCATAATTCTTTGTATCATACAATAAGTTACGACGGTTACTAGAATTTGTTAGCGTCGTAAGATTTTGTCATTCAAAATAAGGGTACTAAATATACAATTTTTATGAAGCTTGGTTTTTCTTCGTAAACTATATATTGAGGATACGAAGACAATTATGAATACCTTAAGTATATACATATAAGATTCAAGTAATTTACATGTCTTGAGCAAAATTTGATTTGGCAGATCGCAGTGGTTTATTGTCTACCCATTTCTCATCTCATTCTCACTTTTCGTATGATTTTGATGAAATTAGCCCTAAGATATTAGGGCTAACTATGATTATCCATTCAGCCAATTATTTGACTTGTATTACAATCACTACGGAAAATTTTACTGTTGGAGAGTATAAAAACATGAGGACCAATATTAGAAATATTCAACAATAAAAATTTCATATTTTTAAAAAACGTATTAAACCTAAACTAACAAGATCGAATCAAAACCAGAATAGTCGTTCATATTTAAATCCACCGTCATTGAAAATGACCACCCAATAAGTTACTAAGTTACCAATCCTGAAATATTTACTAGTGAATAAAGGCTAACGTAATTTGAAAAATGAAAGATCTAGGGTTAGGTTCGGAATGGGTTTGGTATTCCGTAATTTTTCGTGTTCGGAAATTTCATATGGAAATTTTCGTATAAAATCTTTACTAGAAAATTATGTATACCAATCACTAGAGAAGAAATTTATTTCTTTTAATTTGTCTTAACTAAACTACCTGGGTTTGATTTACTTATGTGCATATAATAACAATTATTTTTTGTTTCATACCTACGTATTATGGAGAAATGACTGGTATTCCCAATGTAGATAAAAAGTATTTTCTAAATATACAGTTGTTAGATGCGCAAATACCCTGTCGAGAGTTATTGACGTCAGTCATCAATCGCCAACATTCATAAGTTAATCTAATCCTTAACGGTAATTTTCATCACTTATGTAAAATACTTATATATCGTCAGCAGATTACAAAGACAATCAATATAATTCAAGCAGGGCAAATTTATTATGCAATGTCGTCCTTTGGTAAATTTTGCGGATAGTTTTAAATTTTGCATATGCATCTTTTTCAGTGAAAACCTCAAATTATCAATTGAACCCTATGATACTTACATATGTACATGTTATCAAAATTACATACGTTAGCGTATTAAGGGCAGGAAATCAGTTGACGCACAAGAAATCGATAACAACATTATCGCACCTGGTAACAAATTGTATAAGTGGATTATTGACTGGTTGTGCGCAATATTGCGACACTATATAAATTGGAACATGGCCAGCAATTAAAATCATTCAAGTATTTCAACCATCAAATAGATTCATTCAATTAGTAAATTATATTTCCTACAAAAGCTTAGAAAATGCAAGGGCTCCAAGTTCTCGGATATTTTGCCATAATTGGCGCTGTAGTTTCTACCTCAAGTATTCACTCGGCACTAAATGTAAGTACACATAGTTGACAGGCTAACATTCCAAATAAATCAATAATGTAAATCAAATAAAACTTATGTATAAATTGTTCCAGTCTTCCAAGGGACAAGAACCAATTGGACCCATCGACTGGAACTGTACCGGAAATGGGGTGTTTCCAAAGCCGGATAACTGTTCTCACTATGTGGAATGCTGGATGAACAATGCCATACTTTGGCGTTGTACAGACACAATGTTGTTTGATTTGACCTATATGGGGTAAGTTGACACCGAGTATACGTAATACTGCAACTGTCTAAAAGGAATTAATCTTGTAATGATAGATGCAACTGGCCTCAATATGTAAACTGCGGGAACAGACCTGGAGGACCATTTAGGTGTCCAACCCCCGACGGGTACTTTCCAGATCCAGAGTCCTGCTTATCCTTCTACGTCTGTGAGCGTAGCATTGCGTACAAAAATTATTGTCAGCCTGGCTTATGGTATAATCCTAATACGAGAGCTTGTGACTATCCAGGTGATTTCTGTAGCATTGGAAATCACTAAAGATAAGTATATTAGATTAGTACGAAAATAAATTTATTCGAATTTAATGTATAATTATTTGAAAAATATTATTGAAGGGCATATTGCACAATTTCCGATTTTCCACATCCTCTAAATTTTGTGCTCTCATTTTTGGATGAATGCAAATAATTAATTTGGTTTTCTATTTCATGCAGTTGATCAAATTTTCTACGAAGCATACTTATTATCCAGCAACATTTTGTTGGAAGGTATAAAAGCGTGTGGGGCAACTTGACACTATATTAAGGGGCACCCCCTTGATCAGGATAATATAAACAATGATTAATCTTAATCACCAATACACATATGCATTTTGATGCCTAATGTTTCATTTATGCAAATACATAATTAGCTGTATTTGACAACACTGCATTAAAAAATTTACAATTACGTACTAACGTCAAACGTACAGCACTGATCGATCTACACAATTTTTTTTACTATCAGTCAACCTCATTCAGATCATATACTTACTTAATTTGTGAAAATAATGATTATTAAATTGAACTCCAAATAAACACTTGACAATTCACATTATAAGTATTGATATGGGCATCACGACCATTCTGAATGATGGCTGAAAAATCAGCTAGCTAAGCTTGCTCCAGAGATTACTACATCTCCGTTAAACTAGAATTTTGAAAGACAAAATAAACTATATATGTCCAGCTAATTAAAAATAGTATTCACTAAAAAATCGGCGAAATCGTGATGATGCCACCAACCCAAAAGAAGGCTTTACTTACACTGAAGTATATTTAATATGAAGTTGAAAAATTTTACTCATGAAGGAAATATGTACAATTAATTGTCCATTTCCATTACGCAGTCATTGCAGATAATGCGTAGCAATCCCAAAAGGAAAAGGATAATAAACCTCAAAACGATTAATTTAAGTATGAACAGGATCAATAAAGCAATAAAAAAGAACTTAATCGTCCACAGGTTTAATAATTTAGATTTGTCATGTTCACTATTTTCGACTTGTTTATCAAAACCTACTCCAAGCAACTTTGCGGGGCCTTTTAAGATGGCATTAATACCATCTTGGTAGTTAATGGCAACACATTTGGGTGGAAAAGACCCCCACTGGCCAACTACTTGGCCGATCATGCCCATCTCCGAACTCATCCTTACTTTTGTCCCGAAGATGAAGTGTGCAAAATTTCAAGTCGATAGCTTGTGTTTAAAGAGAGTTATCGTGCGCACAGACGGACGCACAGACGGACGGACAGACAGACATCTTGGTAAATGTATAAGGCCATCTTAAACTGTACCTATTTTCGAGTCAGTATAAATTTGAAAGTCGTTTAAACTAGATGGCTGCTCAATCAACGTAACGATGGCCCCAAAATTTCTACGTCAGTATTTAATCCCTTCTTCGTACATTCAAATTTTAAATCTAACCTTGACCTTGTCCTCAATCACATACACTTTCCCAGTGGTCAGTGTCAACTACAAAGTTTCCTCTTTTTCTAAAAATCTAGTTCACACCTTTCTGTACTACGCATTCATTTGTTGTGACATATTTCGAACATGCATATACTTCCAATGGTTTTACTTAAATGCAATAAATCCTAATCTGCGAGATTCACCAATTCCGAGTTACATGCCAATGATGCTTCTCTACCCACTGATTACAGTAAATTTAATTGCTTTCTTTAAAGTGATATTCGGCCTGAGGCAGATTGAGACGAAATCATTACTGCGAGGCGTTCTAGCTATGGAGAAATTGCTGGTTAAAGATCGTTAGTGAGCTTATTTATTATTTATTATTTTTCTTACAGCACAATAATGGAATTTCTAACTTTATGAATATTTGTATCCAAAGGTTTTCATAAATATGTCAAGTCATCAAATATCATTTTGTTAATGGTAATTATCCCTTTGGTGATTTCGCTACCAACATTGGCTGCAATAATTGTCATGTGGTCCCCTTGTACTCCCCCAGTTATCACTATGGCACTTACCAGCTGCAAATCTTGGTCCGATGATGGGGACGTATCCTGGGTGGAGAAGGGTGTCTTATCTGTTGTCGAATTCTATGCCTGGGCTGGATCATCTGGTGCTGTCATATTCCTCATCTGGGGCTGCGTATTGTACCCCGTGATAATTGTGGAAGCGTGGGTCAATCGTCTTTCCAGGTAAATAAATACGCAAATTTTGTGCCAAGATTTTATTAAATACGTACTTACTTCTAATTTACCGTAATTTGGAGCACTAGAAAAATGAGATTCAGAGCATCCATTTTTATCCAGTATCGACTATGCCAGTACATGTCGGGATTGTGGAATTTTGTTCTGAGGACACCATGCATGCCGATTTGTGTTGCTGGAACCATATTTTGTCAAGTGATCTCATTATATATCGTCATCGGATCGAACAATCTGCCAATCATGATCATCATGGGTGCCGGGGTTTTGGGGGTGGACATGTTTATCTTGATTCATGTCGTGTTTCGAATTTTCTCCATCCCGTACTTGGTTTCTACGGAGTTTCTGAAGAGCAAATTTATTAATTCGAGAAGTAAGTGGCTAAAGAGGTTTTTTAATTCATGTGCGCCCTTGAAGGTTTCGGGGGGCAATGGGATTTTCTTTGATAGGATGACGTCATTGGAAATTTGGAAAGTTTGTGTCGACCAATTGGTCACGTTATTGTTGATGTAAATGAGAATTTTTGATTTATTCTTTCTATAACTAATTTTCCTAGTGCTTGGTTATAAAATTTCAATTTTGAGTAATCAAGTTTAAATTAGAGAAGAAAGAATATTAACTATAAATATTTCAAGTACAATATTTGTAACTTCAAAATGGGTATCAGCATGGGAAATAAAATTGGATCAATAAAATAATGAAGATTTTATCAAGGTGCACATAATCCATTTTCGCGACAAATTCTTGTTGAAAGTTGGCTATGTTATGCATAATGCATGCTAAATGTCTGGTTTATTGGCCGTTTACATGTCCAACATGAATACTACCTACCATAAGAGGGATGAAAGAGCCAAATAAAAACTGAGGTAGTACATAAAGCACCTTCAATAATGTTGAATGTAGCACACGAATCATCATTTAGATAAATACATTATATGAGTAAATGCATACATGTAAATATGTACGTACTGCATATACATACTTTTAAGATGGTTGAGCTACGGATTATATATAGATAAATAATATATTTATGCGCACATATCAGTATATGTATGATACATATTATACAAGTTGTTTAACCTCTGTTAAATATTCGACATTATTAGTATTCACTATTTGGTGTGATGTTTATATTCATTTTAAACCGCTCATAAATTTTCAGCATACTAATCAACGATACGAAAAATGAATTTAAACTAGTCGTACTAATCCTAATACCAAAGCACTTTTGCAGTGAGATGACCTTAAAGACAACAACCTCTCTTCATGAACTATTTATTTAATGAACAATTTTGAATTCTGACAAATTTATCGTATTCATGCTACGTCTTAACGCTTTAAATTAGCACAATTAGTAAATACTAATAAATTTGTTATGGAACCAACAATGCGAAGCGACCAAGCATACATAATCTGCAAATCAGTTAACGTTAGCAGCTCAGCGTAAAACAAGGTTTACACGGATTTCAAAAAGTATATTACCAAACAAAATGATTATCTACGAATTGGTGACAGACCACAAATTCACCAAGGTTGCCGAGTTTTTGCAAGAACATTTCTTCAAATATGCACCTCTCGGGCTGGCTCTAGGTGAGATGCAAAGTAAAACAAACATGAGACTTTTTAATTCTAACTATGAGAATACACATAATAATTAGGATTGACCCAGTCCCAGGTTCAGAGATGGTTTGCCCCCTTCATTCAAGCGATCTTGAACTATTCCGATCCCGTCTCTTACGTAGCCATGGATGAGGCTGGGAACATAATCGGCGTACTCGTGGGTGTCGTCGAGGATCCAGATAAGCCATATCCACTACCAACGATGAGAGAATACCTCGACGCGACCAAAGAGCCAGTCATGCTGCAAATCGTGACTTTACTCGAACTTTGCAAGAAGGTGGCAAAGCATATAATAATTTTATTCTCAAATTATTCTCAAAAATCCCAATTTACAGGTTTGGACATCCGGGTAGAACTTGGTCAACCAGCAACTGCAAAAGTTTACACGGGACTTTTCCTCTCGGTGGCTGATGGATGGAAGGGCTACGGAGTTGCGACAAAACTTTTCTCAATGGGGATTGAGAAAGCGAAGGAAATTTCAGGATGCACTATTGCTATTGTGAGTAGCGTTTTATTTCACTGGGATGAAAAATTCATAAGATCTGCTATGTAGTGCACGTATTTTTATCTATAGAACGAGTGCACATCGGAGATCACGTGTAAAATGTCCTTAAAAGAGGAGCACAAGATGGTGAGGGAGCTCGAGTATGCAAAATATACGGATCCGCAAACCGGGGTGCATATTTTTGAGGGGAAAGAAGCTGGATTGGGATACAATACACATGCAAGACTTATGGCAAAACTTTTGTAAATTCGAGTATTACTAACACCACTATACTGAGGTTGATGACGACGATTTGTAGTTTTGTACCTAGTCGTTTGTATGGTTTTGTAATATAAATATAAATATAATTCATCTTTGGATATAAATAATTATTAGCATCTAGAGCCAGACTATGCTACCAAAGGGATAAATGTTGGCAAATGGCAGAGGCATCATCAACTTTCTCCGTTCCGTATGAAAAATAGACCTCATACTGACGTTGCATGAAAACATGTAACAAATATATGTACGCACATACATGAAATCAATTCTTGCAATCTATTCTGTTCATTATGCATGATGAATTTCTCTGCAATTCATATAATTGTAAGCTGTACATAAACCAATAAAATTATATTTTGGAGTTGGGCAAGCTCGGGGTTCTAAATATTGTGGTCATGCCTCTTGGTTGGTCTCCTACTAAAGTAATCACTCTAAATAAAATCACCGGGTAATCTCGAAGCAAGTATTACGCAATAGGGAACGTTGTTGATGATGCTTTTGAAAAATGCTACATTGAACTACTTTTTTGCCATATATTGTAAATTGTGTAATTGTCAACAGAAATCAACCAATTAACAAGCATTCGTCGTCAAATTAGCTTTGTATTTAAAGTGTTGTAGACTGCATCGTATCATTAATATCGTATCGTATCCTCAAAGGAGCTACTCTCAACCGTGTCAAATTTTTCAAATATTTACAAGTTATATTAAAGCCCTGTAAATTAAATTAAATGGCATATGACGGCGGCATTTATAAAACCACCCCCACCCCCACCCAAATCCACCCCCACCCCAACCTAAATCCACCCCCACCCCCATCAAATCCACCCCCACCCCCACCCCCATACACCCCCACAATTTTTATGGGGCAACGTGAGATACCTTGGGGCAAAGTGAGATTCTATTTCATATTGGGGTATCGTTCGTAATTAGCGAGCGAAGCGAGCAGGTTAGGTTAGATCAACTAGGTACGCGGAAAGCCTGGAAGGCTGAGCTAGCAAACCTAGCTAGCTAGGCTAGATAGAACCTAGGTAGAAATTCTAGCTAGCTAACCTAGGCAGCTCTGCTAGCTAGCAAGGCTACCTAGGTTAGCTAGCTAGAAGTGCTACCTAGGTTCTATCTAGCCTAGCTACCTAGGTTCTAGCTACCCTAGCTACCTAGGTTCTAGCTAGCCTAACTAGCTAGGATTGCTAGCTCAGGCTTCCAGGCTTTCCGCGTACCTAGTTGATCTAACCTAACCTGCTCGCTTCGCTCGCTAATTACGAACGATACCCCAATATGAAATAGAATCTCACTTTGCCCCAAGGTATCTCACGTTGCCCCATAAAAATTGTGGGGCTGGATGGGGGTGGGGGTGGATTTGGGTGGGGGTGGGGGTGGTTTTATAAATGCCGTATGACGGCACTAATCTTAAACTGCGAACCTGAGATGGAAAAAATTTCTGTACCAAAATATTAAGTCATGCATATATATGAACTCGTATACATTGCCTAAATGCAATTGCGATGGATGGAACGGTTGGAGGAGGATGAAAAGCGAGTATATTTTACTGAGGATGAGCAAAATCAAAACCATGTAAAGTGCTGCTTAGCAACTAAAGGCAGAGTTTTCCTCTCACTCAAAATCCTTTTTGCGCAAAAGGCAGCAAGGATAACGAAATTGACAAAACGGGTGCCGTCCGTCTCATTTCGCACTCGACTAAATCTTGTTATCACCAAAACATTTTGCATGCTTTTGTAATCTGTACTGTACGTTGCAATTTGTCTTGTCCAAATAATTTATGAATTGCTAAATACACAAGGGGGGACATGCTACGTATCTGTTCAGTTATCTGTCAATACACGATTTAATGCAAAGAATAATGCGCCTTATGCACTTCATGGAACGGGTCCCCATGTCCAAACCTTCATGGTCATATATTGAATTTTAGCTCAAGCAAGCTAGAGATCTTGTTAAAGGGCTATTAATGGATGATAATGTGGGACAAGAATATCTAGTAGTAGATCAATTATCGGGATAACTAGGGTTGTTTCATAGGTGTAAATGTATGTATATGTAAATACGTACACTCTTCAACTGGAATCGTTACTGACCGGAGTACATATATGACTCTACCGGCATCGGTAATACCGAACATTAAGGCGTAGTGATGCGGTGGTAATAAACTAAGAATCAAACTATAACCAATCAGGGAATTATTACCAAATCAATATCAATATGGAGTACATATCTGGTACTACCACTAGTACTACCATGGAGTACATATCTATGTAGTTCGTACAGTACTACCGGATGCTTTACAGCGTATGCATTTAATTTTGTGAAGGCATGTATTTATATAGTATGCAAATATTTGGAACACATACAAACTTTATACAAATTTATCAAAGCTAACAAATGTGACAGTTCGTTTTGTTACCACAAAGTTACATATCTGGCATATAATAATTTACATATCGAACATTTATTTCAGTTTTTATTTTAGATTTACATAAGTAATGCTTAACAGTCTTCGTTTGTTGTGTTTAGTTTTTTCTCAAAAACGTTCATATTTAACTCCACTTGCTTCCATGAAATCTCTCGTCCAATAAGTTCTTGTTTTTTTTCTACAATATGAGAAAAATCCGTGTAAGGTTTTAATTCCATTTATTCAGTACTGTGTTGGAGATTTGCATTAATAAATATCTCACCCAGGGTCTTTTGACCGTTTGAACGTTGGTTGCTGTTCGATTTTGGAATTTATCTCAAAAACGGGATATCTTTGATATACGCTCTGCTTTCTGAGTTCTCATACTACTTTCACTATCGTTCATTATGTCCCACATGAATTTAACCTCAGCATTGCCTGTTGTCACTTTTCGGATGATTTTATCCTCGTTATTCTTGAGTTGCACTGGAATATGAAAAATTATAAATTACCGTGAACAAATTACATGGTTCTTTCCCTGTTTGTTTAATAAATTATTAATAATTAATTATATATGTACCTTCAGTAGTTCCATTTTCAACCCTTTCTTCAATTTTGTCCAGCTCAAAGAGTATTTGAAACATGAAAATAGTCGCCCAAACCCCGCATTGGACGAGGACATTTTCCCAAGACAATGAGTCCGGTTTGACATAGTAGATGCACAAGTTGAAAATGATCATCAAACAAATAAACCATTTTCCACATGTTTTCAGTCGGTGGATTATGCTATTGTAGTAGCTTTCAATTTTATAGTCTACGTGTTTAGTAGGATTGGATTTAGGAAAAGGCAAGGCTCGCTTTGACGGACGCAAGTGCATATCGCTAAGTTCACCAATATGCATGGCCAAAAGTGTAATTTATATTTTATGAATTAAATTTATGCGTAGGAAAGTATCTTAAATAGGAATTGGAACCTGACAAATATAAAATACAGTCACCGGCTGGGCTATGATGTAATGACGGGAAGGGTCAGTGTAGACTTAAGGGTAGGGTATACTTATTTACTTTAGGAGTGAAAGGATTATTGTTGTGGATATGTATGTATGAGTGAAAGTAGAGGTAGATATGCACGTAGATACACATACATCATGTATAAATGAAGTTATACAATTTTCCGTTTTGCACCTTTAAGGTTGGTTCCTCCCCCTCTGAATAAAAATGCATGAACAAGGAGAACACATACTCATACAATAGAGTAGATACATACATAAATATATATTTATAAGAATACATACCCAAAATACATGCCACCAATAGATAATTCTTCTTAGGGTCCGTCCATAAATTATGTAACGCAAGAGGGGGGGGGGAGGGGAGCCTAAGGCTCCAATGATATCGTGCGTATGTGAAATATGTTAAAAGGGGGTCTAGAAAATCGCGATTTTTGTATTGCATAATGTAGGAATGAGAAATAACGGTATAGTGCAAAAATTTGGTGACCCCGGTCTCCATCGAAGGAAACATTTCCCGGTATAGCCCCAGACGTACTCCTTTGTACTACGCGACCACCATATCAATGCACCCGTCAAATCTCACTCATACTTTTCTTCCCCACAATAATTACTGTACGTACGGTCCCTTAAATATAATATTCGACCATAATATTTAGTTTGAATGTTAAGGCCAAAATGTTTGAAGTGTGCACTTAATTCGCAGGACTATTTTTTTACAATTCACAGGACTATTTTTTAAAGTAATATAATCCAAATAAACATCCAATTGTGTATGCCAACTGGTAATAAGGCAATACTCAAAATGTCGTATGTTGTATGTACATATTTTATCTCGAGTTCGGTTTCATGTCTTGTGTACATTTTCAAAGCGAGTTTATGCATTTGATGGATACAATACTTCATCCAGTTGAACTTCTTTGCTACAAATTAAGTAATACGTATTTAGTTTTTGTTACATCAATGCATCCTTTTAAGTTTATATACTGCTTAAAAAATATGGCAATTGTCTCACACAGAGTCAATCATCTCAATCATGTGGTCGTCCAGAGATTTTTTAACAAATCTCAAAATTCTGGAGAGGTCTTCCTCATTTCCATAAAATGGCGAAGAATGTGATAACGCAGAATTTATTTTCCTTTCACCTTCCAAAATGTTTTCTTCGTCTTTAGCTTCCTCCAGTTTGTCATCCACTTCATCGTCAACTTCCTCCCAGTTTAGACGAAGCTGAGCAGTGCATTTTATAATTTTGCGAAAAGATGTTGCATCGTTATCATTCAGGGGAAGGCGAAAAGTATTAGTAAATTTCCAGAATGTATATGCAGTGTCGCCTTAAATATGAGTTAAGTAACGAGTTACATATTTTTAATTCAATTATCTACGTTGGGTCAATATTTTAACTTATTTACCTTCGAAATTTCTTCCTTCAACCCACTCCTCAATCTTGATCAATTCAGAGAGCAATTGCACGACAAAAATTGTCCCCCAGATCGCACACTGGACGAGGACAGAGACTCCAGCGTTCTCCCAAGACAACGAGGTCGGTTTGAAGTAGTAGATGCACATGTTGTACGTGACAATGCCGCTAAGAAACCATTTGCCACAAGTTAACAAGTGAAGACGAATATTGGTACAAAAGTTTAAAGGCTCTTCCTCAGCGTCTTTCTTGTTTGGCGTGTTGGTGTCGAGACAATTTTTTGGTGACGACTGGTGGAGATTCATTGTGTTTTCGTTGGGCCAGTTAAATGCAATCAGCAGGACTGTTAATCTAGTTGATTAGGAGTCCAATAAAAATTGGAATGAAAAAACTCGGGCAGCTGTGGCTTTGATGTTGAGGTAGGGATTCGATAGGGTAGGTTTTTGTCGAATGTGTGATATGGAAGGTAGTGAAATGAACGAGGGTGAAAGTGGAGATGCCCGGTTATTTCACCCCTTCGGTACAAATATTCCTTCACTGTATGCGTGCATATTGGAAATGTGCATGTATCATGATGTTGTAAGGGTATATTATGTACTGAAATATCACAGTATACAATCATGAGTAACTCTATTAGATCCGGGACACATCTTTTCATTGTTATACGGGCTTTCCCAATTTATTTCAAAACTGACATTTTCGGCTGGGACTACTCTTCAAACATTTCCACAACCAATGTAGATACAATTTGGCACCTTGTGTTTTATCATCATTTATGTATGTGTGTATGTACTTATTATTGTCTTAACTGCAAACATTCTCTTAACTGCAAGTGGTTGATATCCCCATCGAGTTGCTACAAAAGAACAACGTCTGTTACAACTGTGCATACATTACACGTCTTTCCATTCAATTAGTCAAAGCTACAATTAATAATTAATTACCAAATTTAATCCTGAACGGATCCGTATGAGAATAGATGTCAAAACAGCCGACAAAATTGAACCCCACATTTTTAGGGTCGATCCAAGACAACGGAAACACCATGATGATATCATTTGCATCAGCAACTTCCAAATAGCCCGTTTCTTGAATGAAGCTGGGTGGCTTTTTGAAAACCCAGAGATCTGCGAGACTTTGTGAGCAGCCTTGAAATGCGAAATGAAGTCGACACTTAATCCCAGTCTCCGGTCGACAACGGAACGGGACATAAGCGTACCCGTGTGGATAAAAGCCGTGTTTTTTTGCAGATCCGAAATCGAAAAATTCGTCCTGATTGAATTTGAAGAGATGTCCCGAAGTACCCGGTTCGTACGTTGGAGCGATGTACTTATCTTGATATAAGAAGGAAAACATGTCGTAAATCCCAGCATAGCCACAGGCACAGACTCCATTATACACACCGATGGAGCAGATGCGATAGTCGAATTCAGAACCTCCGGTAGCATTAATTGGCTATTATGGGCAGATTGTAAAATGTAATTTTAAGTATAGTCGCACAGAAAAATAAAGCATTTCGCATATGTAAATACATACATAGCAATGTATAACTAACTATACCTAACTATACCTAACTATACCTTTCCTTGTAGTTGTTGATGTCAGTATCTATCCCTGTCTTGGTATTGGAAACGATGTGGCTCACATATCATATACCGCAGACGTAAAAGATTGAACAGAACAGAACAGAATGTCCAGAAGGAACTTTTGAAATCAAATTTTTTGTCCTGGGAACCCCGTAGTGTTCAAATTGTCTTAAATTCATTTCAGAATAGACTGGAATCAAAGAAAATTTTCAGGCACATGATTTTTTTTGTTCATATATTTTCATATCTCACATTTTGGCACTATTTGATCCGCACTGCCATGATAAATGAATGCTCCTAAATTGCTCCTCATATTTTTATACGGATCGTCAATCCATCCTTTGTGGGCAAGATAGTCCGTCCATGTCGTCATGGCTGAGAAATTTCCAAAATTCCAAAATTTTTCCAACGCCACCAAAGCAATGGGGAAGGGGGCGCCTGCAAATATTCCGGCCCCTTTTATGAACGACGAGTGGATAAAGGCGAGCATCATGGAGAATGCACCACCGGCAGAAATACCGGAAATGGTTATGTAGGGATCCGTATTGTAGTGACCTTAAAAATCGTGTACATTTGAACACAGAATTAAATAAATATGAAGATTTTACTAGTAAATATTACCCAAGCTCTTGTAATTTGATCCTGGTTCGGGTTCGGGATATGCACAGACAATCGGTAGTCGTAATTCATTATAAGTTATGATGAAAACTATTGAAATAATTATTTTGTTCACGAAACAATGTAGTTGCATTTTAATTTTTTATGTAAACAAATTTTGAACTTTATTTTAATTTTAAGTGTATATCGTTTACACGTACATATATGTAAATATGTACTTGCGTGTACGGCGCTGGTCGTTTAGCTTTTTCGAAATACATATATGTAAAATGATTTCATGGATATGTGCAAAAATGCAATAAAGTGTACTTGCATCACTCAAGCGTAAAGTAGATATGAATAGGACGATCATGATGATCAAAATGTAATTGTTACAAGATGCTAGACAGATTTTGAGGAAGGTGAGGAAATAAACGAAAACGGAACAAGTTGTAGGAAATGAATTTAATTTGTACAAAGGTTAGGTGAATGCATTCTAATTATTATGCATTATGCATACTTATGTAACTGCATAGGAAAGTACGATACAGCGAGAAATTATAAAAAATGGATCCACTTGATTCGATAAACTTGAAGCAATCATAATGCATTGCATATATGTAAGTGTGAACGTGTGAACGAGAAACAGGTCAAGTCTGGTTTAGGGGGTGAGATGAGGATGCTTTATTGCACGGATTTCTTTCTAAGAGCAGCACTTGATTATTGTTTACAGTGAATTTATTACGAAGTTTGAACATGCCAAACTTGAGATAATGCATTTTATGCATATTTTGTATTTCGTTATGTCACACTTTCTCTTCTATCGGTTGATAAGATAATAGTCATCGATATGAAGTATCGCACGCGTACCCAATAATTTTCTTTAGTTATTATACAATCGTAAATATATTTTTGCATACAGGAGTACCTGCAGTTGGAAAATAAAGTGAGACAAAGCAAAAATGGCGAAAGTGTTATATTGACAATATCATTATTATTTAATTAATTCCGCTATGTACTTGTAGTGGGACTGACAAAATTTAATAAGAATGCGGTGGGTCGCTGATTACATCAATTAATTCGTTTTTTTTTACGATTCGTCCTCAGTCAAAATTGACAAAAGGTTGTGTTATACATGTTAATGTTACTTTATAATTTTTCAAATAATCTACAAACCATTTGTATGCAAGTAATGTTACACTATAAATATCATAAATACTTTTTCAAATGGGGAGAAAGTCTGATCCGACATCGTTGGCAGCGAAGAAAGCGTTGATGTCGTCCATTGCCGCAGTCTTAGGTCGTGCAGGTCCAGCCTGTTGTTGTTGCTGACTACCGGAGGCACGAGCGTCCAGCGCCATGTCTAGATTTCATACACACCCAAAATACAAGTCAACTGAAATGATCACCGATATGTACATATTTATGCACTTGTACGAAGAATCTCACCCAGTTCGTCCATGCGATCTTCCTCGTCGTCAAACGAAAGGATTCCATTAGTCTCGCCCCTCCCACCTCGATAGCCCGAATAACTCTCTCTGACACAAAGATAAGGTTTTTATAGCAATGTATTTACGAGTGAAGATAAACGAAACGAAATGAATGCAAAATGTAGTTATGTATAAGTTAGAAGTACCTCGTTGTTGGATCCGCAGAGGGGTAGCCACCAGCCCCATAGTCGCTGTTCTGATCATCGAACGAGTCCTTGCTGTGGTGCTGCTGAGGTTGAAATGCGCTGGATCGTTGACCTCCACGACTGGAGCCCATTCTGGAGGGTGGTCCAAACCGGGTGGGGGCCGATCTTGAAGAGGAGGATGATGAATTGCTGAGATTTCGTGTCTCCTGCATCCGTTCCAAACGCCCCAACTCCTCCCGATACATTTCCGCCTCCTTCAGCCCCATGTCCGTGGCGAGACGGGCAAGAGAGCTGAGGGCAAACACGTTCTCCGGATTTCCCTTGTACACCTGCTCATCAATTATGCACCTCAAAATTAGCAAAGATATGGATAGAATGTATGTACACATTTGACGGCAATACCTTTTGAAATGTGGCGAGAGCCTGAGAGTAGTTGCCCATACGACGATACGCGTGTCCAATGCAGATGTTCCACTTGGGCTCCTCTGGCTGAAGAAGAGCCGCCTTTTGAAAAAATGTGAGGGCTTTCTCTGGAAGTTGTACTTCCTGCAGGTAGTTGGCCAACCATTCGATCACACTCATGTCAGAAGGGTCGTACTTGTGACACTATTCACATACAGACAGACTATAGAAATGTACATATGTATGTACGTAAATACATCTGAAGGAGAGATGAGTTGGGTTTACATACATCGTAGTAGTGTTGATAAGCCCCTTGTCGATCGCCCTCCATGTCAGAGAGTTCTCCAAGTTTTTTTAGGAGGCCGGGGTCGGTTGGAACAAGGGCGAGGGCTTTGAGGTACCATTCCATGGCGATTTCCACCTCTCCCCTCAGTTCGTGGGTGCGTCCAAGTTGGAAGGTGACGTGTGGGTGGTTTCGGACGAGCGAGTGAACCTTGTGGAAACATTCCAAGGCTTCCTCAAAGAATTTGAGGTGTTGGTTGACGAGTCCCAGATTGTACAGCGCCTCGATGCACCCCGCATCAATCCCGATCGCTTCTGTGAAGCATTTTTTCGCCTCCTCCCAGTCCCCTCGCACAAAGTGACAGTTTCCCAAGTTCACGTAGGCCACAGAGTTGTAGAAATCAGCCTTGGTCGCCATCTCCCCATACTTTTCGGCCTGCTCCAGCTCGCCTTGCTGCAACAGAGTCACAAATTGATGCATAATTTAAATTATTAATTTCCTACCTACGTACATATACGTAAGACTTGAAAAGATACAAATAAATTAGTGCAGACCAGAAAGAACATGAAGGAGAGGTTGGTCGCAGCGGCAGTAGCCACGTTAGTCTCCTTCTTCTCAAAGGATTTCAGGATCTCGGCCGCTTCGCCCAGTTCACGCTGCTTCAGAAAAACGAGAGCCTTGCTGATCTGCAGAGTAGAAAAGTAATAAAATGCATGTGATCAGCGTGCATATAATGATAAATAATATTGCAAAGAGAGCCAAGAAATAAACGAACTTCGAGGGCGTGGGCGAGTGGGGCGTGTTTTGAGGCACGGATTTCCTCAGTGACCCAGTGGTAGCCTTCTGTGAGGGAGGCCTCCACAGCGGGGGCAATGAGTCTGGCGGCGGAGAGGACGCAACGTTCCGCATATAATTTGCGCTCCTTTTCCCACTTTCTCAGCCGGTCGTTCTTGAGGACTTCCATGAGGAGTTGGGTGACCGGGTCGTCTTCGGCAGCAGAGGCGGCGGACGAGTACTTCAAAAAGAAAAAAAGGTGCCATACATAATTAGGACTACTTTTTAACACTTGTGTAAATTAACCCACTTTCTCCTCGTCCTCCTCGTAATCGACAGGTACTTGAAGGAGGTCTTGGAAACTCCGTTTCATCCTCTCTGGCTCCCCCATCATGAAGGTGGCGACGACGAGATGAAGTCCGGTTTTGAACGTCGGTCTCTCCCCCATAATGTACTCGAAGGAGGACGCTGCGTCTGAGGAGTGATCCATTTTCAAAAAGATTATTCCCATGTTGTGCATCAACTTTAGCCTGAAAGTAAATCAGAACTTTTGTTATCAGCACGTATGTACATCATAACCACCGAGATAGGTACATATGCTAATATACTTGAGGTCCTTCTGCGTGTTGCTGAGCTGGTCCATGGCCATTCGGTACATTTTGACTGCCCGGGTGGGGTGGCCCTGCTTGTAGTAAATGTTCCCCATGTTGATCTTCACCTTTGGGCCGTGAGCGAGGAGTTTGTTGTCCGAGATGGCCTTGTACGTTTGCAGCGCCTCGTGGTACATCTCATTCAACTCGAACTGTGACCCCAGATTGAATAGTACCTACAAAGATACATTTATATTAATTATGCTTATCAGTACAAGTTAATGATAAGCACAATGTAACGGACAGAGAAGGTAGTGTCCCAGTCGTGCCCTTCGTTGGAGCCAGCCTCGACCTTGAGCTTCATGAGGACCTTCTCCTTATTTCCAGCGTCCTTGGCCAGCTCGAGAGCTCTTCTGCCATCCCCTCGAGAGGCGGCCAGCACTGACTCTTCGATCAGCCGGTTGATCCGCTCCTCCATTTGCCTCACCTTCTCCTCAACCCTGAGTCGATAACAAAAAACATTCATATAATTTTAAGAGGATGACAATAACTTTACAATACAAATAGCGAATACATTGATGCGGTCTTACGTGTCCTCTATTTTGGGCTCCATGGGTGGTGTGGGCTTCTTGTTGGTGCCACCAGCGTTCATGGGATCAAACGTATTTCGTCCTGCCGCCGTGTAGCCTGCGCCACGAACGGCGGTCATGGGGCGATTAAGTCCACCGTCCGCTCCCGTCATGGGTCGACCTGTACCCCCACGAGTGAATATCCCAGTCTGAAGAGACTCCCTCTTGAACTGCGGAATAGGAAAAAAGTTAATTTGACCAGGATCAATATTATGCAAATTATATTGTGGAGTGTTGTAAATGTGCAATTAATCCTACCCCGGCGGCGGTGCCAAGCCTTGAGGCTAATCCGAAGGGGGTGTTGGGGGTCAGTGCGGTTGGTCGTCGACTGTCCAAGGTGCGAGCGGAGGTTTGGAAACCCTGGTCTAGCTCGAGGTCGTCCGTAGCCAAGGCGGGGGAGAAGTCGTTGTAGCCGGAGTAGAGGTCCTCTCCGTCCCCCATCGCCCCACCCCCACCGTCTCCGAGGTGCATTCGACGTGAATTGGTCCTGTCCATTCTCTCACTATATTGTTCCAAAGGTGTGTATTTGTATGTCTACTCCTATCTAAATATATACACGTCGTTCAAGCTGTGACGAAAAATTTGTGCAATAATGCTGGTTATTTGGTGTTCTAATTTAGTATTAAACTTGTTTATGTATTAAATTATGATAAGAGCCGAGTTTAGAGAGAACGTACACAGCTGTAGTTTATTATTTCTGAAAAAATTCGGAAAATGTTTTGCTCTGCGGATTGACATCGTAATGCATGGCCGGCACCATGACTACGGGTGGACAACAATTCCGACTCAGAATTTCTGATCCTGAGTAAACCAATCCAATGCATGTTGCATGACATTAATTTGCATTCGCATGTATATGTGTCTGCATCATACTTCAAACTAAAAATTTCTGAAAAACGTACTGTACAAACGGATTTTTAATAATAATTTGAGAAAGCAGGACGCCTTGCATGGTAGTTGTGATGACGTATTATGAGATGTGTTTGTGTGGGTGGTGGTTGTAAATACTGAGATGATGAGTTTTACGATTCGCTTATTTCGCTTGTTCGCGTCACAGTAATTGCTGAAGAGCTCCTTTATTGTTGAAATAATTTGAAAGCGAGATTAGTGCATTTGCATCACATACGCTGTATCCCTTTCTGCAGCTTTACTGTACTCTTCCCCACCAAATACGTATCTATTTATGTAGGTTCATAATTGCACTGGTATACATACTGCGTTGCTAATTCACCCTAACCCAGCTTAAGCTGTAATAAAATTATCCCACATTATGTCTTTGGTTGCAAAAAAAAAGATCAAGCTAGTTGATCTTCACTGTGCAACAAGGCATCATCATCAATATCTCCGACGACTGTTGAAGGCATAAATAAAGGTGATCAGCTTTATATGAATTTTGAGTTGGATTTAATTTCCGAGCATTTGAGAACAAGGTGACTGAAGTGAATATGGAAGTGAATATGGGGTCTAGTCTGGAAATCATTACGATGAGTGGTGGCTCATTATGACTGTTGTTGTCAATATAACTAGTTCTACAGTGGGGTCGAGGGGAGGTTATTTACGGGAGTGAGAGTGACTAAATAATTCGTATTGATCAAATGAGTCGTGTTCTTGTGGGTAAGACTTACATATAATTCCGAATGCTAAAACATGTAATATATTTACATCCTTTATTGCCTAGCTTCATTCATTTCAAAAATCATGCGCAAATACTTCAATATAGTGCGTCCAAAGTCATGATAAGTCTTCCTAATGCTGAAAAATGTGCTGGAATTATCCAGAACAAAGTTAAAATAATTTGTAAGCAACATTTATTGGATATTATTCAATAGACATTTGTAAAAAACGAACAGGTTTCATAGGATATGTAATTCTAAAATGATTTTTCTCCTTGGAACGGGAAGACCCATTCAATCAATTCAATTCACAACTACCTCTAACAATACTCTGCCTACACATATGCATTTACTGCACATAATAATGACGCTTGATTTTGCACTGCCTACAAATGGAGCAGCATTGTCTCAAATCTGAAAGCGATAACCAGTAATATCTAGTTACGAGTGACTAACTAAGTTCTCCTTTTAAATACTATTTACCTGTCGCCATTTAAAAATTCTCATGCACAATTGCACATGCACGTTGACTATTATGAGACACACTTCCCCTCACTGCTGGCATAAAAAGAAGCCGTGAAAAGAATGAATGGGCGAAATTTCTCTTGTGCAAATACACAAAGGACAGAGCGTTCTTTCCCATGTCAGTGAACCACTTTTACTCAAACCGAGTGCAATATCATGCACGCCATGTGAGCATCGAAATTCGCCTAAATGAAGCTCTTTCGAATTGAAGATGCTTGTGCTCAGGTGAACTTGCACATACGTGCGCAGGCAAGATGGATATGAGAAATAAGTATCTCGGAACGAGGTAACGAGGTCAGGTTCAGTGGCAGATAGTGCTGCTAATAAGTATATTCACTCTATTTCCGTCCACTTACTTGCACTTTCTATGTATGTACAATCAAATATACGCTCTCACTCGTTACTATCCTATGCAATTACCAATTACAACCATAGGTATATACATATTTGTATGTATGAAATATGTGGCTTTATTGAGTGCTAGTGATTATTACTGCTCGTTAGAAACAAGCATTCATCTGCATCTTTCACATGCATACGAGAATGATTAAAAAAGTGTCATATTTTGACATTTATTAATGCATTCATCCACACTAAAAATAAGGTAGGTTTAGATCTGCTTAGCTTACATACATCGTTTTTGTTGTACTTGAAATTGTCCTCAGGCGTATGTACCTTTGTCCTACTATTCGTTTTTCCAAAGACTTTTTTAGCACTAACAAGGGAACCTTAAGTACTGTCACATCTCGATTTCCTTTCGGATGGTCTTAATTGATGGGTAATTTAGTGGAACTAAAACTTTGTCATAGAATATAGGGTGTAAAATCACGTTTTGCGAAAAATTTGGCGAAAGCTTCACCAAAAGGTGCCATTTTTCCAATGCTTTTAACATAGATAACAGCCTTCGGATAGGAATAATGAAATGAATCTTATAAATTGTACACCTGTCCATAATTTGATGCTGATCACCAATGTGCAAGAAAACCTGCAATCATTGGCCAATTTTTTCAAACTGCGAAAATCTGCAAAGTTGTCTAAAGAATTTCGTCGCTTTTAAAATTTTAACAAAATTTAAATGTTAAAAAATTTTTATTTAAGCATTAAAAAACTTTTCAAAACATAATTGTTTTCTTATTCCAGCAAAATGGGCGAAAATTATCCAAAATTTAAACTCGTAATTTTTCATGAAAAAAGATATAATGACCAATGCTAGTCTATTTTACATATTTTTCAAAATTGTTGCCTATATTTATTTTTACAAGTTACAAAACTTTTTAGAAATTTATATGGTCAGCTTTTAATATATTCAACAAAATAACTTTTCCATGTCTCATTCGAGATTTTAAGCGTTTTGGAAAACTGGAAAAAATTTCATCTGGGAGGGACCCCATGGGATCCCTCCATTATATACATATATGCCACATATATAGGTCGACCTATATATGTGGCAATTAAAAAATTGTGTGAAAAATTACGAGTTTAAATTTTGGATAATTTTCGCCCATTTTGCTGGAATAAGAAAACAATTATGTTTTGAAAAGTTTTTTAATGCTTAAATAAAAATTTTTTAACATTTAAATTTTGTTAAAATTTTAAAAGCGACGAAATTCTTTAGACAACTTTGCAGATTTTCGCAGTTTGAAAAAATTGGCCAATGATTGCAGGTTTTCTTGCACATTGGTGATCAGCATCAAATTATGGACAGGTGTACAATTTATAAGATTCATTTCATTATTCCTATCCGAAGGCTGTTATCTATGTTAAAAGCATTGGAAAAATGGCACCTTTTGGTGAAGCTTTCGCCAAATTTTTCGCAAAACGTGATTTTACACCCTATATTCTATGACAAAGTTTTAGTTCCACTAAATTACCCATCAATTAAGACCATCCGAAAGGAAATCGAGATGTGACAGTACTTAAGGTTCCCTTGTGAGACGCATTATATATGAGTAACAGTAGTGATGATGTTACTAAACAATTCAGATGTGTAATTACATCAAAAATTACGTCTCAAACAAAACAACCGATTAGCCGAGGGGTAGGAATTTCTTACTAAGAATGCGATTGCCGACGGATTGGATGGAAAATTGACGCCAAATAGGAAACGGGTTATTTCCTCATAAGAGGATGATAGACAGCGGTACCCGTGTAAACCAAGGATTAATGTAATTGTAATTATATCTAGTTACAAAAGTGTTTGAGGAGAAACACAGGAAGGATCTGTTTCCGCTGAGGATGTGAACAGCGATGAAATGGAGAGCTCATTCATTCATAACAAATATTGTCGACATCGTCGTTGGAGTAGAAATACGACATAAAAAGCTAATACACTTGTGGTCCTCTGCACATAAGGCGAATGAAAGTGGACTCGCATAGTCTGCTTGACTGTGTGGCTTAAAGTGTAATAATAGTTAAAGTGGGTGGTTTGGTTATATATAAGTATATCTAAGTTTTTGTCAAAATTGTTACCCTTTTCATTTGTTTAATGACGATGGCAAATATGGGGAGACAAAATTTGAAACCCCGAAAAGGGGCAAAAACACCATCACGATTAAATCACATGGTCACGGTCACAGGTCTGAGCTGAAATAGGAACATTAAGCCTGGTTATGTATTTGATATCTTAATTGTGTATTTTGTACTTATTTTCTCCAGTCTTGTGGGGAGCTGTCGTGGCTGGTGCTGTTCTAGGTCGAATTCTGGACGAGCCAGCAGGAACAACCGGGGGAGGTTCAACTGAGGGGGAAGTGTACTCCTCCCACCCCGACATTGAGCGGGCTCAACTCGAAGCCTGGGGATCAGAGTTCTTCCAACCACCATTTTCCTCACATCGTCACACTCCCTCCAGAACCGAACTCCTCCAACGCTTCCCACGGCGTCAGAGGACCTTCGTTACCTCAGCCTCATCTCCCGCCTATAATAATAATGAGAGGCGAGTTTATTGTTTCGAGGGCTAAAATGCTGTATACGTATTTTAAATACAAGCTAGGCTAACTGTTAATTGTGTTCTCTCGGGACAGGGCGAGCAGTAACACGCGACACTACGAAGTGGAAAGCGTGGATACTGGTAGCTTGGATGCGGTCGTGAAGCCGGAGAACTTGGAATGGATGCTCACCAATATTTTCAGCTACCCTCGAAACCACAACACGAACGAGACTGCGAAGGAGGGGGCGAAAAAGTATATTCTCGACAGCTTCCAGGTCACGAGTGGACTGCAAACGGCACTCCAGCATTTCAAACCACTCCAATTCCTCAGCATCGTGAGAATATAACTAATTATGCATTGCCCAGAATTTTAGAATACTTATACGTTTTTATTTGTATGCAGTATGATGGATACTCACTCCCTCAAGGTGCCAATATTATCGGAATCCTGGAAGGAAGTGAGTGGGGTACAGCGAATGATCGACCAACGCTTGTTGGTGCCCACTGGGACACGGTTGCCTTCACTCCTGGAACGGATGACAACGGTTCTGGGACCGCAGCCATGCTGGAGGCTGCTCGAGCAATCTCACATTCCGGCTGTACTCCAAAATATTCGCTAATATTTGTGGCCTTTGACTTGGAAGAGGTTGGCTCTCAGGGGTCACTCCTTTTTATCAAGGACTTTCTCTCTCAAATTCTTAAAACAGATTCCCCGCATGACGTTCCATTGGAAAGGTTTCAAGTGAGATATCTATAATTTGAGATATATTTAGTTGTGGTGACCCTGTTGATGTTTACGGTGGCTGTTGTAGGGTGCCTTCATCATGGATACGATCATGAACATGAATGAGACAGAAGGATCTCAGACATTCCCCCGTGATTGGAGTCTCCTTCTGCCGGATGTGTACGACGTGGTTGCCGACGCAGGATATCGGGGGGACTTTCTCTCCATGATTTACCGCAAGTCGGTGGATGGTGGGCTGGCAGAGCGGTTTGTCAAGCATTGGGATCAACGGAACAGTCTGGGTCCCAGTTTCAGACTCCAACCCTTCCCCCTCGCACTGGGGAAAGAACTTCCGGAAATGCAAACCCTCGCAGATCACCTAAACTTTCTAAGAAGCGACCATTCCCGTTTTTGGTACATGAATGACACTGCGATGCCAACATCCCTGAAAGCTGTCCTCATGACAGACACTGGGCCTTACAGAGGCAACATGAGGAACTGTTACCACACCGTTTGTGACGGACCTGAGGTAAGCAGTTCTTCGTATACTAGGTCTATTAACACGAAAGTTCGATGTATGTATGTAAATAAATGTATACATACTTATAATTAGGTCTCCGTCCTGAATAATCCCACCAATCTCAAGTTCCTTGCCAAAATAACCCAAGTTCTCACAGACACGTTGATTGACATGAGTCAGTGTGACATCAAATCATCATCCTCGTCGACTACAAATTTGCACCACAACTTTGTCAAAACCAACAACGTCCACGCCAAGAGCGCCACGTCACAAAGAACGTCCGAATCCCCTTTGAGAAATCTTCTCAACTTTGTGCGATGGATGGAATTCTCCTAATAGCTAAATGCGTAAATGTATAGAATAGTCTTGTGTGTACTTTCTATTTATTGCCTAGCTACCTAACATGTTTGTGTGAGAGAGAGCGGTTCGTTTTTACGATTAAGTCAAACTATATTTTTATAAATACTACGAACGAATACATTATTAAAGTCTTAACATTTATTGCACAATTTATAGTGATATGCAGCCAACAAATAAGAAAGCTATATATAACATTATTATCACTATTTGAGCAGAATGACAGAGTCAGTGGCTGGATATTGGGGAAGATTAAGGCAATACTTTTCAACCAACTTTGGTGGGAGGAACCGTCCTCCCAAGAAGTGGAAGCTTCCCTGAAAGAAGGAGGCACATTTCTTTGGCGCGGAGAGTGAGACGAGGGTGTGGGGCATGAGGGGTGAATTTGCAGGTGGACCCTCCTCTACGTCCCACCCACTCGGAATGTCAATCGAGAGGAGGGTAGATGCAGGTGCTGACAAGATCTGGAGGAACGGGGTCATTTCTGCACGGACGGGAGGCTTAAAACTGAAGCCGAATAAGCCGTCAATCACAAGACTTGGTCTCGAAGACTCCTCTCTGTGGACAATAATAGTAGAGGTTCATATTAGGTAGAGATTTGCTATTATTATATGTCCGTGCATGTAACTCACAAGAATGGGGTTGGATCATCTGCAATCTTCACGCCCGATTGTTCCGCTTGGGTGACCAGAGCTTGGAAAAATTCCTTTGTTGGGGGGCGAGTGTTTAGAAGAGTGACATTTTCAAACCCAAACAGCTTCATGTGTCTCACAGCCACCTTAATATTAATAAAAAGATAAATAATAAATGTACATATGTATCCATATCACGCATTAAATAATACAACATTTAGAAAGATGACGTACCATTGCGTCGCCCCCGTTGTTTCCCGGACCTGCGACTGCTAGCACGGGACTATTTTTGTGAGATTCGCCATACACACGGTACGCTGCCGTCGCCACACTTAAACCGGCCAGCTCCATTAATTGCTCTAGGGTGAATTTATACTCGTGAAAAAGGTCTTGATCCAGTTGAATTGCCTCTTCCTGACCCAGATACCGAACTGCATTTAAAAATATACATAATTAAATAATTAGCACATCATTAATCATACAACAACATGTCGCGTACCAGAACTTGAAGAGCACACTGATGTCGTCGCCATTGTCCTGCTGGTGTGATGCGGATAAATGTGGACAAATGATCCGAGAGTTTTGTTAACAACAGATTTTAATCTTAACAACATCCAATCCTCGTTGGGCAATCGAAAATAGTTGAAAAGTGCAAAAAATGAGAGACAGACTAAGAATTTAAATTCTGTCATATGTTAAAATCGCATGAGAATGAGAAACACTTGAACAAAAATGAACCACAATAAGTTTTGATAAAAAGAAGTAAATGAATATAACGCGCTGTTCGAATGATCTCACTTATCCCAATAGTCTCAAGTTTCTCATTATGTTCGTTCACTGCAAATGTCAGTCTCATAATTTGAACAAACTAACTAAACGTTAACACCTGAATAAAAAGTCTCAGTGATTTACCTAAATAATCCTGATAAGCACATTAAACGTTCCTTATAAATACTGCAATATACTTTCAATGGGCAGACTACTATGCATGGAAAAATTAGAAATTAATTTCTCCGTCTGCATCATTTACTGAAACTGTGTTAATTTAATTATTTAGGCTAACAATTAGCAGGGAACATGCTTGAAAATTATTTTCACTACTTTTTAGTCTGGAAAGTCTCAACTTCGAAATTCAATCCCCCCGAGAAATATGAGACTACTGGATTCACGCACAATCCATGGTCGAGTGAGCATACACCATCCCACGACAACCCTCTACACCACCAGCGTGAACAAAGACAGTAAATATTTCGCTCCTGTCCAGACCTCTGCAAGTATAACGTCACTCTTACAAAATTTCCATTCATTCTCAATTTCAAACTAATTTGCGTTTTAACTCAAAAAACAAAATAATTACAATTTTATATAACTTCCTGTTCAAGAATGACACGACGTGTGAAAAAAATACGACATCCACCCTAATGCCGGCATAATGACCTCGCCTATCATGACTCATGCGAGGAATTATGCATAGATTTTCTCAAATAATAAATTTCTTTAAAAATTCCATCATAGTCATTTATCTTGAAGTGGGTGTGGTTTTTCATCGCATAACACCAATACTACGATTTTTCTCTCTCTTCGCAAGGAAGTATGTTGACTTTCATCAGGCCGGGAGGACCGTGGATAAAATTCGTGACATATCAAATTGTTCCAAAATGAGTAATTTTTTTTGAAATTTTGCAGAGTTTTTAGACCGAGTCAAGGCTTATGTACCCGTCACGTCCGTCTGTCTGTCTGTCTGTCTTGCGATAACTGTCGTAAAAGTAATCTGATTCGGCTTGAAATTTTGCACATATGTAGTATGGGACAAATGAGGAGTTAAGTTCAAAGATGGGTGAAGTGGTTGACCGGTGGGGCCATATAGTTGGGTGGTTTATAGGTTTATGCACCAAAATTTAAAAATTGTCGTATAAAGCTGAAATTTGGTACAGAGGTTGACTATGGTTTCTACTTTCTAATGAAAGAATATTAAGTAAAGTTACACAAATTTTCACCGGACCCTAGGGGGTGACCCATCTATACGGATTTTTAAAACTCATCCAATCGAGCTGAAACCTATTAAATAGTCTGCCAATTGTTGTTAATGGAAGAATGCGAATTTAAATTGGAAAAATCAATCTAAATTTTTAAATTTTTTGAAATGCATTTATGATAAAATGTCATGCAAAAAAGTCGGTAACCACGACCTGACTCGGGCTACATCAAGTCTGCACTAGGTTTTATATTTAAGGAAATGACCCACATCTGATGTGGACGGTGTTTGTTTGTATTTTAACGGACACCCAAACGGGAAAATCTATGACAAGTCAAACTATAACCCAACCAAACCTCTCTGCCTCGGAGCTCACTACTCGACTACTTCTCGCAGCAGCAGGATCGTCATCTTTTTCCTCTTCTCACAAAAAGTTTGGACGCTTGACGACCACACCCACACTCAGAACTATTATTACTAAATCTCGGTTATCATCATGAGGGAGATTGTGCACATTCAAGTCGGCCAGTGCGGAAACCAAATCGGAGCTAAGGTAAGACAGGAATATAATATTTAGTTCGTATATTTGCGATTTTAGTTTGTAGGCCAAGTTGTGGGGTGGGGTGGGTGTGACGAAGGGCTGTTTAGGTTTAAATCATACTTTTCATCCGGGGCGAGGTGGTGGGGTGAGTTTTGGAGGTGGGGGTGTGGTGGGTATTTATTAAAATGGGGGTTTTATGGGCAGCCGGCCGGTAAAACAAGATGGAGGTTGGTAGATAGGTAGTGGTGGTTGGTTGTGTGTATTGTATTTTTTTATTAGGGACACAGAGATAGAGAGAGACGAAGTAGGAGAGAAAGGTGGGTGTTGTTTAATTGTAAGAAGATCAGACCAGAAAGAAAAAGACAAGTATGGGATTATTATGTCATTGCATTGTTATTCTGCAGCTGCAGATTTTGGAAGTGGAGGAGTGGGTGAAGGGAATATGACCAAAAAAGGGCAGACAGAAGTGGCATCATCATTATTATTAGTGCTTGGTTATGAGTTTGTTATTTGGTCGAGATTAACTTAATGATGATGATTTATGGTGATGATGAGAAAGTATTAGGTTTTTATAATTTTGGTCATGTCGTTCTCTTCTGTCGTATCCATTTAAGGGAGTGAGCAAGGACTTGTTTTTATTTGATTAGTATTAATTGAAATTTAAACAAGTTTTAATTTAATCTCTTCCAGTTTTGGGAAATCATCTCGGACGAGCACGGCATCGACCCCACTGGCTCGTACCATGGCGACTCTGACCTCCAATTGGAGCGGATTAATGTATATTACAATGAAGCTTCAGGAGGAAAATATGTCCCCCGTGCTATCCTTGTCGATTTGGAGCCAGGTAAGGCAAACTATTTATTTGAAATGAGGATTTATCGTATCATAACTTCAACTAGACAAACAATTAAAATAACTCTTGCATGTGTAACTTTATTTTAGGAACGATGGACTCTGTTCGATCCGGTGCGTTTGGTCAACTCTTTCGTCCCGACAACTTTGTCTTCGGACAGAGCGGAGCAGGTAACAACTGGGCCAAGGGTCACTACACGGAGGGAGCTGAACTCGTAGACTCTGTCCTTGATGTGGTCAGGAAGGAGGCGGAGGGGTGCGATTGCATCCAAGGATTCCAGTTGACTCACTCCCTTGGAGGTGGTACCGGATCAGGTAATTTATTCGTTTTATCTTTTTTTATCTTGATTCATAACAATTGCCAATGATTAGCCACATTAATTGACCTTTATTATTGCTAGGAATGGGAACCCTTCTCATTTCCAAGATCCGAGAGGAATACCCAGACAGAATCATGAACACGTACTCAGTCGTCCCCTCCCCAAAAGTTTCCGATACCGTTGTAGAACCCTACAATGCCACCCTCTCTGTCCACCAATTGGTCGAGAATACCGATGAGACCTATTGTATCGACAACGAGGCCCTGTACGACATTTGCTTCCGAACTCTCAAACTTACCACCCCCACTTATGGAGATTTGAACCATCTTGTATCCCTGACAATGAGTGGTGTCACGACGTGTCTTCGATTCCCTGGTAATTACATATGCACGCCTAGTCAATTGTTAAATTGACGCAAGTTATCAAGTATTTTGCTTTACTAACTTTCACTTTTTATTTGATTAGGACAACTCAATGCCGATTTGAGGAAATTGGCAGTCAACATGGTTCCCTTCCCCCGTCTTCACTTCTTCATCACAGGCTTTGCCCCCCTCACTGCCCGAGGCTCTCAACAATATCGTGCCCTCACAGTCCCAGAACTCACTCAGCAGATGTTCGATGCTAAGAACATGATGGCAGCCTGCGATCCTAGACACGGACGTTACCTTACCGTTGCATCCATCTTCCGTGGACGAATGTCCATGAAGGAGGTAATTTAATTTCCCATGCTCTAAATATTTTATTTAGTTCCAATTTGAATTATTTTTTAAAATCTTCTAGGTCGACGAGCAAATGCTCAACATCCAGAATAAGAACTCCTCCTACTTCGTGGAATGGATCCCAAATAACGTCAAGACTGCCGTCTGCGACATTCCACCCCGAGGACTCAAAATGTCAGCCACCTTCATCGGAAACTCTACCGCCATCCAAGAACTCTTCAAGCGTATTTCGGAACAGTTTACTGCCATGTTCAGGCGCAAGGCTTTCTTGCATTGGTACACTGGAGAGGGCATGGACGAGATGGAATTCACTGAAGCCGAGTCCAACATGAACGACTTGGTCTCCGAGTACCAGCAGTACCAAGAGGCCACGGCCGAGGAAGAGGGTGACTTTGATGAGGAAGCTGAGGTCGATGAGAACTAGTGAGTGGTGCAATAACTTGACTTTTTGTCAATTTTTACAATGTGACTAATCACTATTATTTCCCTCTTATACAGAAGGTTTTCGAGAAGCAGCTATGAATCCACTGCCCTCAACATCTACCGTGTTAATTTTCATTACTGAGATTCACTCTCCATTTCTTTCTACAATTTATATATCATCCATGGTGTGGCTTGGCTTGTAAAAAGGCTAGATTTAGACGTAAAACTATACACAATTTTCCAAGTGTTCAGTTAAATTTTTAGCAGACAAAATTAACAGCACAACATCAACTCGAGTGTGAAAAAGCTACTTAACAACAACCAGCCATAATAATTATAATGTTATGTATAATATGAGATAAGCTGTTCTGTCCACTTTTTCTATAGAATCTGCAGCCTTGACCCCTTTTAATAATTTATTACTTTCTTATTTTCGATATTAATTCGTACCAAAAAAGGAAAATTTATATATTTAGTTATGAAGCAGTTGTTCTTTGATAATAGCTTTTGTAAAAAAAGAAGGCATAATTTTTTAGAATTCCTATTATTACTCATTCTTGCTCATGATGGTCAGCTAAAAGTGTGAGTGAAATGAAGTAAATTTCATGTGTGAGAAAGACAACTACTGTAACGCAACTAAAATGTAAAGATTTTCTTGAAAGAGTATTATAAATTTGCTAATAACAAAATAAATGTTGAGCTAAAACATAGTCTGGATGTATTGTCAAACTTGTTTATTTGAAATCATTATGCAACAAATCCGCTTTACTTTTGCATTGCACAGTTACATTGGTACATCTTGTTTTTCATTCATTCCAAGAGTTTACTGCATATAAGCATGTAAGTATTTATGTAATATTTATGTAATATGACGGTTATTTAGTTCGTGCAGATTAATTAATTGACTTTAATTCACATGTATTTAGATTAATTCTTGTCCAGACAAGCATTTTATTTTTGACCATATGAACTTGTTTATAGTAGTAGTTGACGTCATACAACTAGCCGTTGTATAAATAAGTATTTATGTAATTCATATTATGGATAGTTTGCAACGTAAGTGACGAAGTCGAATCCGCTCAAGTTGTCATTTATCGTTGTTGAGGCCATCCCATTGTGGAGTTTGGATTCGGTGGAAACCCTGGATTTTGCATATTTGGATTCGGTGGATAACCAGGATTTTGCATATTCGGGTTCGGTGGGAAACCAGGATTTTGCATATTCGGGTTCGGTGGGAAACCTGGGTTTTGCATATTCGGGTTCGGTGGGAAACCTGGGTTTTGCATATTCGGATTCGGTGGGAAACCTGGGTTTTGCATATTCGGATTCGGTGGGAAACCAGGGTTTTGCATGTTTGGATTATGAGGGAACGGATTCGGAATACTTGGATTTTGACCATATGGATTTGGTGCATTGGGATTATGAATCATTGGATTTTGATTCGGGTTGTATCCCATATGATTTGGAATGGCTGGATTTGGCAAATTAGGATTGTAGCCAGTTGGGTTTGGATTAGTTGGGTTGTATCCACTAGTATTTGAAACCCCTGGATTCTGATTTGGAAACTGTTGGTTGACGGGATTCGGATTTTGCGGATTAATAAATGATAATGCTTGCGGAACTGGTCAATAAATAAAATATTACTCAGACATGTACCGAAAAGTTAATCACTTATTTTACAATTTGAATTATATTTGACTCACTAAATGGAGCAAGTTTTGGATACTTGGAAGCAATCTTATCCCCGATCACCGATATAACAATAGCTTTTCCAGTTCCTATTAAAATCAGGCTGTTAGGATGACAAGATTTCGGACTCCGATCTTTTTCTTAATAATTAGACTTGTTACCATTCAAAATTTTGTACCCTGCCAGAGCTAAGTTACTAGTTTCCAGAGGATTTTCATTTGTGCAATCAGGCAACAATTGCTTGACAGCACCACCTCCAGTACCAGCACCAGTCACCACACTCGTATCCGCCTATAGTACACGGAATAAGGGGCTTCGAATTAAATACAACATAATTCCAAAAAGTCCAAAAACTTATAAGAAACGCTACCTGAATCCCGTTGGACACCAAAATTCGTAAATCCGCTGGAACTTGCATCCCCGGCGTCAATTCGACAATGTCGCCCACGACCAATTTCTTACTGGAAAGGGTGGTAATCTTCCCGTCTCGATTTACAGAAACGTCGCCATAATTTTTCTTATCATCCTTGGTTTTACCGTCTTTGGACTTTTTGTCCTTTTTCTTGTCTTCTTTTGACTTTTTTGTTTTGTCATCCTTGTCTTTTTTGCTGTACTGCTTCTTGTTCAATTTGGCTTGAGCAGAACTGAGCCCCTATGGTTAAAGTGCACGAAGATTGAATTTAAGTTTACATGAATCCGACAATATCTTCCATTGCTTAAAATAAAATGTCATACCGAGGTCACATTTGTACCATAGCGTCGACAGATTTCTTCTACGCTTATTTTCCATTCGTCCCCAATAATACCGGCGATAGCTTTGGACATTTTTCTTCTGTAGCTTTATTTGTTTAACTTTAATTATTTCTACTTGGCTTTGAAAATCAAAATGTGATATGTTTGAGTGCTTGGATTATTTATCGCCTCAGTTTTATTCACCTTCTCCGGATATGAATCAGAGTGATGTCAAAACGGCCAACAGTGTTAAATTATATTTATGTACTGTATAATTATGCAGTCATTCTAAAGGAACACATAAATAGATCTTGCTAAAACTAGGTGCGGCTGTAGGTATTGCATTGTATGTTATTGATACAAAAAAAAACACATTAAGTGGTGACTCGTCATTTATGTATGTAGTTGTCGGTAAATATGTATGTGGAGATAATGATGAGATATTGGTGAGGAATGCATGCATGTATGTTCATAAGCATCTGTATTACACACCAGGACTGACTCTATTATTATTCTGATAAGCTAAAGTTATCAGTTATTGGACATGAGAGAATCACTTCTATTTCGAACATAGTTAAGTTGAAGTGAATTAGTGAGTACTTATGATCACAGTATTTAATACATGCATACTTATATATGTACATAAGTGTACATACATAGGATATGTATGTATGTATGTATACTGGAACGTCGTTGACCTCCTTTACCTATTAACGGCCTTCAAGCTTTCATCATATGCACAATCATTTTAAGGTAAATGAGTTAATCAATTAGAATTTCAAATTCTAATCAGAACCTCCCCAACACTGAACATCAGCGATGCATATGTATGTAAAAAGTCAAATTAATCCCAATGTTCTATTTGTTCACATATCGGTAAGTGTTTACATAAATGTCACGTATAAAGACACGAAGATGAGGCATATTGAGAATACGTACATAATGTGATATGTCAAAATACATCTCATATCGATAAGATGTGCACATATAAGAATGTATGCGTTATATTATGGGAACATTTTCCTAATACCTATTTGATTGTAAATGTGGTACATACGACTTACGAGTATTTTTTGTCTATGCAATAAACTTTAGGAACTTAAGAAATATTTTCACAATCTCTTTGTTACTTATTTTACAAAGCTTGCTCAGCTGAATAGATTGTACTTTCTTGGTTTTGTAGAATTTATATTTTATTTATAAAAGATAAAGCAAACATAACTTTGCTTTGGCTTCCATTTATCGTTTTGCAAATAACGAAAATGGGGCCAGGCACCGCTGTTAGGTCAGACAAAATTTACGTAATTCAATTTCATTTTATTGAATTAAATGAAATTTATGAACTTTCGATAATCGGGTATTCCCGAATTTGTTTGTAAGCGTACGAAATTGTTTTGTGAAGTCGGCACGGAATAAATATGTACATATGTACCCCCAGTTAATGTGTATTTGTATAGGAATGCTTTCTGAAATCAAATTAAAAGTATGCAGACATACACAACTTGGCGTATGTACTTGGCGTATAGACACTCACTCAAGTATTTATAAATCCAAAGGAAAATATTTTACATAAAATATATTTCCTGTCCCAACGTCATTGGATTAGTAAATATCAACATGCCTATCATGACGATTTGTTAAATTAAAAAATCTTTTATGAATTGTGGGATTTTATTTATTTATTGAGGGGTGAGTCCCGTTTATAAGATCGTTATGTCCGTCTGTCGGTTTGTTGTGTATGCAGATTTTAAACTTGAAAACTACCTCAGTTAGGTCAATGGTCAGACCTGATTAGGAAATGGACGATGTTGGTCACAAGGTTACGGCGCCAGGTCATAGATTATGGTTTTCCTAACTTAGAACGAAATCATATGAGGACTCAAATGGATAGTATTTTTAAAGACCAACTGACCTGCGGCACTCCATGCGGACGAGACAAAGGTCATCAGTGACGAAAACCTGTCAGATGTATTGCAGATTTTCGACGGGTGAAAGCCTTATGATATTCATTTTGACGTACGAGACATACTGGTTTCACTCCATAGTTACATGGGCTGTAACGATTTATTTATTACATAATGCAAATTTTATACGACCAATAAGTTAGTTTAATTTACTTCAAATTTTTTGAAAATTGATTTATGAACTCGTATTTTCCCTAAACTGGATGAATATCTTGTAAAATAATAAGTCCGAAATTCATAGAGAAACGAGTTGCCTCATATTTAGTGCTAAGAGAACTAAATAAATGATTTAGGTAATTTTTACATAACTGGAAGTATCTGCTTGATTTCTTACCGAAAAAGGCCAGAAAAAGGCCAAAGGTATAACAAAATTCTGTAAACGTTGTGGTCTAAATATGCACCACTATGCCGACATCATACACATCTAAAAACGTTCCCCTCCTCTCGACCCAGCTTCTGGAAACTTACTCGACCATCTTTGACACCCCTTTTTTCGAACAACGCCCCATCGCCTGGAGTGCTAAGAAGGAGCGATTCACCATAAGTGGCTCTATGTCATGCAAATTGTACTGGTTTAACGTATTCATTGTTCTTGTCTTCATGAATGGCAGTTTCACATTGGTGATCTTAAGGCAACTTTTTCACCGTCAAAATTCGACCTGGATGGGAATTTGGTTTCCATTATGCGGCTTCATGATTGGGGGCCAGTTTAATTTTATGCTGCTTACAACCTACTACGCCACAGAAGTGGCAAACTTACTCCAAAACTTGGTGGCATTTGAACGTCAAATATTAAATGGTAATTAAATAATTCAGGTTCTAAACAAATTAAATAATACATTAATGAAGGTTGTAAAACTGTGACAAAGTATGATGTTCTTGGGGTACATGTAGATAATTAAATCTGAAATGATTGACTGTGTACAGATTAGTACAGAAGTATGTAAATATGTAAATACAGTATATTGTATATATGTACATATATATGTACATACATATGTATGTAGAGTCGCTTAAGAACTTGTGCACACCAAGCGACAGTCTTAGTATTTAGTCTGACTAAATAGTTGGTACGTTGGTACAGAGCGTATCTAGAAAAAAATGGATGGGCGCGATGGACAATGCGGCTTATCAGCTATGTTACCATGACGATCGGATGCGTCGAGCAGATGCAAATGACCGCGATGCTAAGCGCGTTCATAACATCGATAGTAATTTCTTGGGAAAGAATTGAAAACCTGACGAGCCAACTTCCAACGAAAACTGGGAGGCAGTTTTGCAAGGCTGTCACAAATTATCGACAACTTCATGTGATTGGAAATATGGGAAAGCATTTCGTGATGTTGATGGTAATCGGAGTGCTGTGGATCGTCTCCCTCCTTTCATCAGGGTTCACATACGTGACGATTAAGTTGTATGGGAAAATGCCAACGAAAGTGTACCTTCTGGCCCCATACATAAGTGTGATGACATTTTTTGTGACTTATTTCGTACTCAGAGGGCTTGAGGGGATTAACAAGAAATGTGTTGAGGGGTTGGTCAACTTGAAATTGTGTCGAGTTCGGCGTTCGCTGGAGAGAAGGGTTGCGAATTCCATTCAAGTTTTTGCCATCCCATGCGGGGTGCCGGGGTACAAGATATTTCAAATTGAGGATGGCTACAAGACGCAATTTTATGCCAACGTGCTTGACACTACGTGGAATTTGCTGTTGTCATTTCCCAACCCTTAGAGTTTAAAAAATTGTTGGTATTAATTTTAGTATCGAAATTTTTGACCTCCCGACACAATCATCAGATCACTGTATGTCTAAATGATGGTTATCTCTGGAATTCCAGTCGTAAGTAAAGTTTAAAACGTTGAATAAAACTTACAAAGGCTACCAATATAATTTCACACATGGTCTATTTGGCATTCTAAATATTATAGCCTGACACATATGTGCATCCATGCTTAATAATCTGTGTCCACCATTTGGCAAATATTTTTTTCTTCGTCCCTAAAACTTTTTCCGACCTTGATGCTAGAAGATACCCCTTAAATTAGGTGAGTGGAAATGTTTCAGCTAATAAATACATAAACATACCGATATATGCACTAATATGTATACATAAATGAACATAAACTTGCGCCATTAGGCGTTGCAAAATATAATTAGTTAAATAACAGCTAATTACTGATAATATTGTTTTAACTTGTTGTGATTGTTATATAAGCATTTAAATTGGGGTGCCTTATCTGAACTTGCTTCGTCAACTCTAATTCATCGATTCCAGGAAAACGGGTGTGTACGTGTCCAGACAAGCACACCAAGTGTTTTGATTTAGTCTGACTCCGTAGATATCATTGCACATGACAAAGCTCGTTAAAAACCTATTAGCACAAAAATGACACGTTCCATTTTCATGCTATCTTTTACCTCTATATAAAGCAAGAAATTTCGCCCTTTAATTTTTGCACATAAATCGCAAATCAATCCACAAAACTTGAATAACTTTCCGAATAACTAAGCTATCATGGGTTTAACACGAAAATTTACCTTCGGACTGCAGTTTATACTTTTAGCAAAAATTGCATTTATCCACTCGCAAGACCCAACGACAATTCCCACTGACTCCACAACTGCAACGACAACTGAAGCAACGACGACCACAATTTTTTCACCGAGTTAGTAAATGGGCTAATTTTTGCAAACTTTATTATACAAACTAGAAATTAAATTAAATGATCCTTTAGCCCTTCCACCTTTGCCAAATGCTACTATTCCTGCCGTCAATGGAATTCCATGCACTCTTTCAGTCACTGCCTTATTCGCTGTTCCAGTCGCCCAAGTTGACGGACTTTGTTACGACGACAAAATCGTTGATCGTGTCTGCTGCAAGAATCTCGCCGTTCTTGGCACCCCTAACATTGGACTTGTTTTAATTTCTCAAACCTGTCCACTGCCTCAGTACTGCTGCATTTTGAGGGCAAATATTGACCACATTACTGGACCGGTGAGCGTGTATTGTTAAATATGACACGTATTTAATATGTAATTATTTAATTATACATATAAATTTACCTGGATAATTACTATATTAACATGAATCTCGTTAAATGAAATGCTTTAAAAGTTTGTATATGCGTACCACTACATATTTTAAATACTTTTCATGAAATTATACAGATTTTTATTTAAAATACCCTTTCTACCTGCATATATACATCTCACAGCTTGAAAAATTGAATTTTTCCTTCAAATTTTAAGTATTTCTTAATGTTCAGAACTAATAATATAATCGACTTTATAAATATAAAATGTGCTGTGAAATATGTGTTAACAAGTAATGTTTCGTGAACAGAAAAAAACTTATCGCTCTTGCATATGCATCAAAGTATTTACATTTGCACGATATGCATAAACTTTCTTGGCTTAATGTTCCCACAATTTCTTTCAAATACACAATTTAAAGTTGGAACATGGCTGCAATGAATGGCTGATAATCGTAACGCTGTTGATATCCCCGTCCCATCATCAGCTCTAATTCCTTCGCCCTTCAGATGTTGCACAAACCACGAAATATGTGACCATTGCCGCAACCATCTATACACAACAATGCCTTATTTAATCACAACCAATTTAAACATTTCATATACTTTGAGTTAAGCAATTACACTAAGAATTGTAGAATAATCCACTACAAAAATACTTCCATGAAGTCCCACAACATGTTTTGTAGCATCATGCATCAATACACTCGTCAAACCTGGGTCGATCTCCCCGAATTTCAATCTGATCCACCCAATCACTGAATCCTCCACAGTTTGGCAACTATCTCCCGAAAAGCGAAAAATCATAATTGCAATCGATAAAAAAACGAGACTTCGTATCCTCTCGGTGTCCTCCTCATCCTTTAACAAGTCATTTATATTGACCGAATAATAAAATAGTGCTTCGCCAAAATAGAGCAAAATACAATTTCCCATGATCTCCCTGATTAAATTCGAAACGGTTTTCAGAGCTTGAAAATTTAGGAGAAATTCATTCTTGTCACAATTTCTGGAAACCAACTGTTCGAAACTTTGCGAGAGGGTCCAAATAAACATGGCTAACAGGAGGATGAATCCATCCGATGTGAATGCAAGCAGTTGACGAAACCAAATTCCTATAAAAGCAAGGACACCAATGATCCAATCGGAGGGGTGAATGTCGTCCCACGTGGGGACCGAATTCAATCTGGTGTCCGAAGCGAGAAGGAAATTGTAACGAGCAGTGGCAACGATGCGACGAAATATTCTGTCCGACGAGAAGGGTGATGGGTCCAATTTCTCAGTCGTGCTAGCGAAAATTGCTACATTTATTATGGCCGCAGTGACGAGGAGGGCGCAGAAGAAGCGGAGGAAGCGTTTCGAGTTCAACTGGAAACAATTGTGCTTTAGAAAAATTTGTAGTTTGAAAATTGCTTGTCGAAGAAGAAATCTAATAAACACATTTGTTACATACCTTCGATCTGAACCTAATGCATGAAAGATGTCCGTTGTCCGCAAGAAATTGTACAATTTTAAGAAACGAATGTTCCCTCGTCCAAAATATCATAATCAGGAGGAACTTGGATGAGAAATTTGCTAATGTTGCTATTGCGAAAAAAGTGTTGGTAGGATGATGAATGTTCTTGAGAAGTATTCCTTTGAAAATTTGCTGTCTGGTTTCAGAGAGAGATTGTAGTAAGAGTAGCGAATGGGCCGAAGCACACAGGATCTGAGGTTGAATCAGAAAAGCTTGAATTTATGTAATTCGTTAAGGACGTAATTGTACAACTATAATTTACCTTTTGTGTCCAGTTGCTTCCTAATTCATACTCCGCACTAACGGGATGCTTGTTTATTTTAAACGGTGTCAGTAAAAAGTAATACCCATAATTCAAAAATACTTGTATGAAATTTATATTATTTGGAGTTTGGATTTCATCCTTAGGACTAGATTTCGATGCTACTTTTATCTTTCTCTCAATTGATGGATGCTGGATAATGGACATATTGTCCATGTGACTAAAGAAATTCAATAATAGATTTTATGCCACATCCGTTTAATACGGATTCGATAAATTCGATTACACACCTTGTGTCATTATACGTCCTTAAATATTTGTCATTAATTTGTCTAATGCAGATTCAAGAACGTACGCATGTATACACAGTGGTTTACGTAGTTACATCTGTATTAGCCCAAATTATGAACTAATGGAAATTGCAAAACTGAAAATTAATGAATTGGAGTATAGATAAACAAACGCAATTTGGTAAGACATGACCAGTTTGTATAGCTATTAGATTATCCATCAATTGTCAATCATAAATAAGTGCACTACCTGCGTCATTTTCATGCAGCTAGGCTTTGAGAATATGTATGTACAAATGTATTTATAAGCATACGAGAAAATATTTAAAATCAGAAACAACGAGGTCCGAAACTTTATTAATTCTCAAGTGTGCCGAATGCCTCCGTCCACAAACAACATTTCACCATGAATATGTGGTGATGATGGTGAAAGCATAAACAAAACAGCGTTAACAATGTGGTCCATTTCCATTAAGAAGTTCCGGACTGGAATTCGGGCATCAAGTTGACTCAGATATTCATCAGCGTCAAGTCCAGCATTATTAGAGCATGTTTGATAAAACTGCTTATACATGTCCGTATCAACCCCGACCTGATTAATAGAATTTACACGGATTTTCTTTGGTCCCAATTCAACTGCCATGAGCTTGGTGAGCATATCAAGTGCAGCTTTTGACAAGCAGTAGAGAGACGCTGCAGGAAATGGGGAGGTACTTCCCTATTAAATATCAAATATAATTCCTAATTAGGTATTTATTACAAAATTTTCAGAAATGACATGTTGAAAGCAAAAAATAAGCTAACTGAGGCTGAAAAACTTACGAGGGATGAAATGTTAACGATCGATCCTGCAATGTCGGATTTCTCCATGCCCTCGGCAACAACTTGTGCCACATTAATGCAAGCCCCCACATTCACCGACATTATCCTACAATAAAAAATGATTTAATGATAATTGAAGTTGCATTTATATCTATTTAATATGTAAATGAGTGTCCATGCTTGTGAAAATTGCTGGGCGTAATGTCCTTAAACAGTCCGGGAATAAAGATTGCGGCATTATTGACAAGAAAATCGAATGGATCCAAAGATAAGAGCGCGTTCCTCGTGGCATCCCAATCCTCGAGATCAATCGCGATAGTTTCAATCTCTGGACATTCTAATTTCAAAGTGTTGAGAAGTTCTTCCGTTTTTGATAAGCCTGTCACATGCGCCCCGTAAGAAGCTAATCGTTTAGCAATACTTCTCCCAATCCCTGAAATTCGCAATAATATTTAAGTTTGCAGAATTAAGTAATTCCTTAATTTTATTCATAAAATTATAATCATAACTGACCTCGACCAACACCTGTTATGAGAACTCGTTTTCCTTGAAAATATTGCTGGAACATGGTGATGAGAAGGATGCAAGAAGATTGAGGTACAATGAAGGCGAGTATGGCAATTAATAGGTAAATCTAAAAAGCTATCTAGACTACTTTTTACCCGAAAGTATTTACCTGCACTCAAGCTTGCATTTCTGAACATACATAAATATGTACTTGGCTTGCACACAAATTTTAGGGATTGGACGAATCAATTTAGTGTGGATAGGTAGGTGCGTTTGCTTCAATTATGTAGTTGTGTCTGATTAAAAGAGTCTTCTAGATTAGCATGTTATATTAGTTTTGGTCAAAGTACTCAGCTTGGAAGCACGACCTTCAATTTTTTTAGTTTATACTTCAAAAGAATAATTCTTTTGGATTTACACATACATCTAAGAAGACAAATTTCGCATCTCAATGAACTTAATTAATTCCCACAGCATGCATATCAGTATGTGCATGTGCATGGGAAAACCAACTGTTTTTTAGTGAAGATGAGAACATAAATTCGGAAACGAACGAGAACCCTTTGCATGAGAAAGATACAGTATTTCAAAGAGTATTTTTTATTAAACAAAATACTAATGCATAAACACATTGATCTATTTTAGGTCCAGTAATAACGTTATCGTAGCATCCACCGCAATCCTCATAAGTGTCAAGAAGCTTGACTTTTCTATTTCAAAAAAAGGATAAGCAGTCTCCATTCTCAAAATCCTGCATGACTTTAACCTCTTAAAATTGTACGATTTCTTAAATTGCACATCTTTCAAGACTTGCAAGAATCGCTTACTCACTTCCGGCACTTGCGAGACGAACATTACTTCAAACCAAAGTATCATGCTAGCTGTGACCGTCGTCAGCCCAACAATTGCATTTCAAACCATTCCACTTCGTATGAAAATCGAATGAGTCCAAAGGCTGGGAAGGCTATCGCAACAATTATGCTCACAAAGTGAAACGACACCCATTTGAAGACTTCATTAACCGCTCGATTCAGTATCTGATGACATCTGTAAACGGCAAAAATTCTGCCAAAGCTCACAACCCCTAACGCAGTTTTATACGAGTGTTGTTTCAATACAGCCTTTCTCTTAAGGTTGATCCCGGTCGGGGTAAAATTGGTCAACCAAAATGTCTCCAGTCTCATGTAAAGGATGCCCAAATTCAAGTAAAATGAACAAATTGAGGAACCCTTTGATGTCGTGACTGCCATATAAAGCAGAAATGGTAATACATCCCAATCCAGACGAGGACTATATCCCAAAACATACTGGACTACACGATGCGCAGTGTCGTCAGAATTAAGACCAAGAATTGCCACCATTGCTGGGACAGCAGTTATCGAACCTATCGAAGTCATTAGTATGCAAAACTCATAAAGATAAAGCTGAATGCCGGAGAAAAGATGGGTCCTGTTTTTGTGGAGGTGTCGCTCGAAGACGTCTAAAGGAATTAGGCAAGTTTATTACAGTTAGTATTTAAATAGTAACAATTATGTATTGGATCATTACGTTTAAGTTGGTGATCCAGACTCATCAGCAAATTCGCGGCAGTTGCAATTTGATTTCTTTTCCAGACGGTGAGATACATAATGAAAACAATAGAGAATGACAGGCTTAAGTAGCTGACATCAACGGAAATACTGATAATTTTACTTTTATTGATGTTCTGGTGGTAAAAGTCGTAATACAATTTGAGGCCAAGCAGAGTAAAATATGTCGTATAGTAGAAAACCCAAAATGACCAGATTCGAAATTGGGCGTTACTCGTAAGTTGTACAGTTCTGGTTTTTGTATCCCATCGAAATGGGTTAATGCGAGTGCAGGAGCTTACTTGCAGATGGAAAACAAATACATTTTTCATCCAGTTAGACAACATTTTTATGTGTGTTTTTTACCACAAAGAGGATGCGACAAGATCTGTTAAAATAAATACTATATTCTTTAGGAAGTGACCATGAACGCTTAGGTAGGGTTCAAACTGAATAGATATTGACCTTCGGCATGTCATCGGTTTACATAGTATAGTATTACATAGTATTGTTTATTAAGCGACTAAATTTATATTGGCAATTTCTACATACATGATTAGTAGCATTTTAAAACCTATATTTGGTTATTATTTCCCGGACTATATAACCTGGTTATGTCTATTTTAGGATAATCGATTAAAGTTGATTTGTATGATCAATATTTACAGAGGTTCAGCTTAATATGCTTATGAACAAAATTATATCTTCATATGTACATGCTTATGATGTTGTATTGCTACTGGGATTATTTTTTTGTGAAAATGCCAAGTTATCATTTGAATAAATGTATGTATCAAGTTATAATTTGTGAAATTAAGGATTTCTTAAAAATTATTGGTAAGGATTTCTTAAAACTAATTACGAATAGGCTATCGGTAATACGTTGACTTCATTTCAAATAAGCTTATGTATGTAGATGCATGCCTTTGATATTCCGTTAATTAGTACTCGATAAATTATTCAACCCTTTGAAATCAGAATTCGTTATAATTGGTCTATATCTCTTTTTCTGGAATTATTTATTTAGGATTAACCAATCTAATTGGGGGAGGTTCCTCTGGAAGGAATTTGTTCTTAAATATTGCTGCTCAAATAAACCACTCAAATTATTCAGCGATGTTGATGAAACACGACGTTTGAAATGTGAGACTGATAGAACATGCTTTTTAATTGGTTCCATAATTTGCAATTCTATATGAATTGCTATATTTGTGGTTGAAAGGTGTTGTCTCAAGCGCACATGATTAATGCATATGCAACTTTTTTAAGTAAATGCTAAAACGCGTAAATTCTCTGATAATACAAAGTAGTTAAAACATAGTGTAAGTATTATTGTATATGCGTTAAGCTGATTTTTAAGCAATTCTCAACGTGAATGATATGCATATATAAGAGTACGCCAACATAGATAAGTATGCAGAACTAATTTCCTGTTAGATCGCAGCATTCATTAGAGGAATAGATTTGGATTTGTCAACTTTTACTCCTGTTTACAATAGCGTCATACTTTTTTTGTGACAATCTATAGATTGTTATTTTATTGAGTTTAGTATAAGTACATATTTCAGTTGTGTTCGCAGAGTAAAAATATTCCACCTTGATACATAGCTTACATAATATACTTTTACATGACATATATAATTTAATACACTCAAATAATATAGGAGGGATAAGGTGCTGAACGATGCACGCTCCCCACTCCAACACGGGACCTGTAAAAAAGCAATTTCTTGTTTTACTTATCATAACATGACATTACATATACGCCATTACTTTTAAAACTTACCATGGAATCATTTAACCTCCTGTTAGTGGTAGACATTCGGGACGGAATAGTACCACTGTTGACCAACCCAGCCGACGAAAGCAATCGCGACCCCGTACTTGAGGAGGCTCATGTTTCGAGCAGACTTGGCTTCTTCCTCCTCCGGGGTTAGCTTCACCTGTTTCAAATAAATGACAATTTAATTCGAATTCTAAATTCCAGTCTTGAGTCTGGATTGAAAAACTTACAGATTTTGGCTTGGCTCTAGGATTGACCCACTTCTCTCCGGCCTCTGGAACTTTACTATCCACCATTTTGATTATAAAGATTCACTTTTGTGACTTGAAAATGAAATAAGAGCAAGAAAAACTGTAAAGATTGAGTAACAAAAGTGTGGGCTCTATTTATACAATTTTGTCCATGGTGGTGGTGGAGTTTCCTATTTTGGTTGAAAATTTTGCACTCTCCACTCATCCTTTTCAGGTTGAAGTCGACTTTCCATGTCCCCGAACCAGGATAGATTCTCGATTTTCAGAAAATATTGTTGTCATGTTGTTTCCGTTGGAGGCATACCGGTAACCTGATGACAGCGTGGGTTAGGTAAGACCACCGTAAAAATGTGATTCTCTTTCTTAACTTTACTTACTCAGTCCGGGCCTCGCTTTGATATTTAGTTTGCAAATAGACTTGCAAAGCACTGCCAACTTAATTCCAACCTTCATTCCACACCAATTGTTCTAGAATGATTTGCGTAGTCAAGAACGAGTTATGAATGTGGCGTTTATTTTTGTGAAATTATGACTACCGATTAATAACACAACTTGTGGGACATGAATGAATGGATACCTTAGCTGTATGTCACGTGCACTAGACTTTGCAGCTTTAGTGAAGAGAAAGAATCGTAGTAAGTATGGCATATGCAAAAATAAGATTAAGCCGTGTGTTGGTATGCTATTTTTATCTTCGAAATAAGTTTAATTCCACGACATGAGACTGCATCGCACTGCATTGCTTGCTTATATTTAGCTAGATAGAAACGGAGAATGCTTTATTTACGTAGAGTAGAATGTGGACAGCTTTTATACATAGGTGTAAATATTTACAATTTCATTTGCGATTTTTGCTGAAATTTTTACTCAGAATTTGACCATAATATATTGCAGACATTTCTCATCATCTTTATATTTTCAGATAGTTGTGACCTCTATGATCCTTGAAGTTATGATTTTAAATTATAACCTCTAGGATCTAATGCATCTAAATTAATAATTTAGATGCATATACATATGACTCATGTTTGCATAACATGAGTCATAGTTCAGCAGGTAACAAATTTATAGGATTAATTAATATTTTATTGTTTAAGAATCAGTTGCATTTATTATACTTTTCTACGCCACATTGTTATGTCATCAAATTTCATGCCTACAGATATATACATACACATACATATTATGTAAATATAAGCGTATATACATAGGCACACAGAAATCGACAAGAGATGGACTTATTCCCATTTTCACTTATTCCCATTATTCCCATTTTGATGACACAGTTTGCTGAACTCTAACAATAGCATGTCCAAATTCATTCCGAAAAAGGTTATCCCATGCTGGATTAAATTTCAAATCTGCCGCAGATACTCTTCCGCGTTTACTTTTGGACCATAATTTTGACCACAAATTCCTTCCTAACTTAACGATTACAGTTAACCTTTGCCCAAGCCTTTCATAGTCCTCCATCAAGTAAATAATTACTGAGACGAAGGAAAGAACTGCATGCACAATAAACAATAATCCAACTGACTCCGATAATTTAAGTTTATTGCCTTGTTGACAACCATTCAAACACTCTTCTTGAAACCTTTCCTTGCTCATACGCCTCATAAAATTTACCCACATAAGGTCCCCCAACCACATCCAGATACCGTTGTCCACATGCCAGACGAGAATGCGAGCCAGGTCCTTCGAAATGGCCAAATTCCCATACACCATCAACCGAAATGTCAATTTTACGAAATATGTTTTCGTCACGAAACAGGACACCTTGTCCATGCGAACTTTGACCTCTGACTTTCCTAACTTGTTGAGAACTTGCTCGCGCATGGGCACATAACCTTTGTATTTTGCTATGCTATTGAACCAGGAGGGCCTTAAGATGTCACGAAATATATTGACGGACTTGTCAAAGTACGCGTCTTCAAGGGTTACCTGCCTGCCCATCATTTCAGAGTACTGTTTCCCTGCCATAACCTGGATAAGGGGGAAATACGACTTATCTGGCAGGACAAAACGGTACCCTGCGAGGACTAAATCCTTGGTAGTCTCATATGAGAGAATATGTAGAGGTGCGGTCAGCTGCGTGGTGGTGAAGGATTCGTAATGGTACGAGAGGAAAGATATGAAGATCAGACTGGGAATTAGGATAATTCTGAAACGCTTAATATTTCTGACAGGGACGTAAATGAAGTAGAAAAGGACGTCAAGAGATATTTCTACAGATCTCAGCACAAGTCCGAAGAAAAGTACCGATGTCGCCAAAAGGAACCAGATTTCCCAGTCGAACGGGGTGACAAACCAGGTCCACGATGGGGCTGTGAAGGTCGCTTGTTGAACACAGTATATGGAATGCATGACCTGCTGGTGAAAGCCGGCCAGGAGGGCGTGGTCATAATCTGAGAGGCCATCTATGTCTTCCATTCCCAAAGTTCCCCAGCAGGCGAAGACGGCTGACCAAGAAGAATCTTCGTACGGAGAGCAGGTGTTGGCCTCTGTAATATTTTTGATAAAATATTCTCCTAGTTTTACTTATTTTTATTGGTCGTAGCTAAATTTTGGGTCGGAAGTATTAACAAAATTAAAATTTGAGGTAAAGACTGGTTCTAAAAGATAATATTTTGTATTGGGATTCATAAACTCATAATTGTTTTAATTAGTACTCCCGAGCCAAAGGCATAATATATCTGAAAATGTACCAGCGACCGATGAAATGTTAACTTTGGCCATAAGAATTTGCAAAATCACAAAAAATGCATTTGCACATTTTGGCTCCGATTGGAAATATTTATTGCACTGGGTTAGCCTAGGATTCTTTTGGATATCTTCTTGTGTTGGAACTGGCTCCCCAATTTGATAAAGTTGAATCATACCTCCATTTGCGTTAGAATTTAATCGGATATGAAGATCGAGCAGGCTTAATAGGTCCATCTTATCCAGTTCTAAGGTTGTAAATCTCTCATTTTCATGACAAGTATAGCAAACCAATTGTCCTGATGCTATGGTAACTTTCTTAACATTGTAGAAATCTAGTTTATCTTTTACTCCTAAAAAGACGAGAGGACTGACAAATCTAGGTTCAGGAATGTTGTTCAGGTCTTTAAACGAGCGAATAAGATGTCGCAAGTCCTCTGTTTGTTGGATGACATAAAATAATACTGCGTGATTTGCACTGATTCCATATCCGGTTCGAATGATGAGGTAGTGCAGGCTCTCCAAAGCAGGTGAAGGCAACAGGATAAACACTTTGCCATTGGAGGACAATCTTTTCACGGTTTGGAAATAAAGCACTTCTCTTTTGGCAAGAAATGGGTCTAACGTTTCTTCGCATAAGCCATAATATGATTGGATTGTAATAACGTGGTCGAGTTGAATGGGCACATAAGATTCCAATATGTTGTTGGGATAACAAGTTCGGAAATGTATTTCATACTCTGATGGGATTTTGGAAATTAAATATTTTGAATCGAATTTCGAGACTGGAGACGAAGATCCTAACATACTAAGAAAAATAATGGTTGCAGTAATTACTGTTGCCGATATTTTCATTGTAGAAACGTCTTTAATTGATGTGACAATTACTTTTCTGTGTTTTGGGATACTATTAATGACGGATTAATGCGGAAAGTATGTAAATCTTCTTTGTCTTAGGAAAGAAAGGTATGCACATATTTTATTATCTGGTTCGATTCCATGAGTATATGTAGCTGATGAATATTGTATGGTAACAGATTTATACATAATTACTGGAAATCAGTAAATAGTATTCTTCCATGTATACAGTACATGTTTGTATCTTCAATGTAAATGCACACAAAGAACACCATTTTGACAGCATGGACAGCATTTTAAGTACAATGTAATGAACTTGACAAGTACGTTATACTTGGTTGGGAATGAGTTGAAATTAGTGTGTAATGTGTACAGACATACATAAGTACATAAATATATATGTAAAACACATCATGAACTATTAGAATATAATTGCTTGTTTATATTATAATTACAAAACAAATTTATATTTGCATATCGTCGCCGTAGATCCATAAGATACCAGGACGAAAACCAGTTGGGACCATAAAATACCAGGACGAAAACTAGTTGGGACCATAAAATACCAGGTTAAAAACCAGTTGGGACCATAACGTACCAAGTTTGTTTTTTTGATTTTTCAGGACAGCGTGAAAACTCGAACCACATGATTGCTGGTTGAAGGAATATATCCACGTACTCAAGTATTGCTTTTTCCACTGTTTAATGTTCCGTGTAAACGTTTAAATTAAATAGTGCCCAGATCGCATAGATTGGCAATCTTGCCACGATTTTTCCCGAGTGAGAGAAAGCAAAATCCTCCACATTTGACCAGTTTTTGAATTTTAATACCTCCAGAAATACTTGGTCAATTAAAATTTTGTAAAAGCTACTGTGTGCGCAATTAACAAACCAATTTTTAGCAATTAAAATCTCAGTACGCCCCAAAACAGTCTTGGTATGTTATGGTTCCAACTGGTTTTCATACTAGCACTTTATGGTCCCAACTGGTTTTCGTCCTGGTATCTTATGGTCCCAACTGGTTTTCGTCCTGGTACTTTATGGATCTACGGCGACGATATATGTATTATCGGGATTTAAAAGTTAGACCGCATTTGTCTCTGCGTGATCGATCAGATATTTATACATATTGGTATCCCCAAGTTTTCTGTCTTTGTCTCCCATCAAAATTTATGAGGGCTTTATGTACCATTCAAATAGCAAAGTGATACGAATAGGCACACATTTATTTTATCCTGACAAATGAACACATTTATAATTGACTATACAACATGTAACTGGAAAAAGAACAACTATACGTGGTTTAGGCATTTCATCTCTAAAGGTAAATTGAAGTCATTACTTCAAACCATTATGTAAGCCACTCACCCTCAGCTTTTCGATGCGTGGTATTGTAGTACGTCTGCAAAGCATGCAATAATTTACATGTTGAAGTATGTTTTAAATGGATTTTGAACAAAACTTTGTTTTGATTGATGGATGAATCAGTTTAATAATAATGGTGACCTTTGCTGTCATTTTTAATTTCATACACGAAAAAATTGCATTTTTCAGGTAAATAATTTGGAAATGCGATTATTTTTTGTACGAATACGAGCCTCGTCTGTTGGTGGTGCTGTTCACGAAACTGTCTGAATTTACATTCACCTTTGGACATCTTTTGTCCTAAAGATCATTAATATTTTATTTATCATACGCAAATGTCGACAGCTATGTAATTAAAAATGTTTCATGCAATACAGCCACTTCAAGTTTAGCTATGTACCTATCTATATTTACGAGTATTATGTAGGCTAACTTCCCCCATAAGTGGGTACATACATTTTATACAAATCTCAAAGTTTTCACACGAATACTTATTTAACTTTACTCATTATGCAAATTTAGTTACAAAATCTGGAAGCTCACTCATGCACGTAATAATCGAGTACATTGGTTTAAAATCGACTGGGCTTGATCTGTTGTGTTTGAATTGGCTCCTGAACATCGCTATGATTACTGTGTAATTGAGTCGTTTATTTTACCCGTGTAAATAAATAAAGCGTTGTACAGCACTTTATGTTTAACAATTTCAAGTATCATCAACACTCGATCATGAGCGTCATGAGCAATATGCAGTACAATGTACATACATATGTGTTAAAATTTGCAAATGCATCACGTGAATAATATTCTTCTGTCAATCATGTTTGTGTCCATCAAGATAAATAAATTAAATAAGTGCCAATCGGTGAACGATTGAACACGACGACATCTCACAGATCCGTATTCTTTATCTGCCCTGCCCTAAAAGTAAGGATTATTAATTTAATGGCTTCCGCCACTCAGTACGTCTTGACCCTGCTGATCTTAGCAGCAGTTCTCATCAATGAAAGATCTGCCAGTCCAACCCGAAATGTGACAAAAGTTTTAAAACAGGGTGGTAAGAAGGTCTACGCTCACGTGATGCCGTGGTTCGAAACTAAGGAAAGCTCAGGAAATGGGCAGTGGGGAATGTAAGCAATTAATTTTAATAAAATAAGTACAAATATTTTTTCCAAGGTACAAATTTCCTTAAGTTACGCAATTTATTCCTATAAAGTCACTGGACAATGGCCACAAGAAACCCTGACAATGTTGACGGAACTGGTCGTAGAGAAATCGCTGCCTATTACTATCCCGACATCAACCTCTACCCCAGTGGTGCTGAAGGGCTGATCGACTATCAAATCCAGCAGATGAAATATGCAGGAATTGACGGCGTCCTGATGGACTGGCCTGGCACTGCGCAGGCGTACGACTACCCAAAAAATGCTCAAAACGCACATAACTTTATCCAAAAACTGGAAGCGGGAACCGATCAGTCCCAAGGTTCCTGTCGTTGTCTGCCATAAAAATTTATGAGGCTTTTAACATTTAAATAGCAAATAAATATATACAAATCGGTGCAAATATGTTTCATCCAGACAAATGTACATATTTATAGTTTACTGTGTAGTATATAACTGGAAAAATTGCAATTAGGTATTTCATCACAAAAGGTAAACTAAAGGTATTACTAATTTCCTAAACAATATTCTGCATTGTTGAGATATTGTGACGCGAAAAAGGAACGAAGGACGCGTCTAAAGTTAGTGATAAGAAATCTATTTCTGGACACTTTACTCAATATCACCTGATGTGAGCGTGGCGTGGGGACGCCTTACAAAATAGCATAAATATTAGACTCTTTCTCTATTCGACAACCACTTCATTTCTGGCAGTCGAAGAGGTCAGTCATTATTAGTTCGAAGGATCAATTGTCTAGTGATTTCGATATTTTTACACTGTCGTCATGTCCGAGAAAGGCAGAAAAATAGAGGGGAAAGCGAGTGAGAAGCCTCTTCCGACCAAGAAAAGAAGATACTCTACAAGCGCACAACAACAACCACCAAATAAAAGTCACGTTTTGGTACAATACAGGGGTCGTTCACTGGAATTCGTAGTCCCAGAAGCACTTCGGAGTGAGGATCCCCAAGGACTCACGTTCCAAGTGACCGTTCTACACGGTGATGGTGATGACCCAGTTCAGTTAGATTTAGTAGGTACGAAAAAATGTATTTATTTTGTCACTGTCATATTTATACCATTTATGAATTGATTTGATACATTTCTCTATTTATCATTTCCCCTCCAGTATTATTATTATTCATGTACTAATTATGTACATATAACTGATTTTCTCGACATGTTATATTTTTAAACAGAGCGTGAAGAAATGTGGTCTGGGAGGCCGGAGGGCGTGACAATGTCCATTTTCGAAGCTTTTAAAGCTCATCTTCGTTGGGGCGAGCAGCCGGGTGAAACGGATATGCTCATGGACTCATCCCCTCAATTTCTCGCCATGATGACAGAGATAGGAGACAACCCATCAAAGCCCGTCTGCAGTTTGAAACGGAGCGATGGAACGGTGACCAGGATTCATCACAACGGTCAGGACGTTATGGTGAGGTGGTTCAAAGGCACCAACGTCTACTTCAAAGTAAAGGTTGAAGGGCAAAAGTTCATGTGGGGCTCGAAAACAGGAGAAGGTGGTGCCCATAAAATCTGCACCGTTAAATCTTGCTGGTCCATTTCAAAAGTAAATTAACTAACTTGTGTTTGTAATAATTTTATGTAGATAATTACTTAAATCTGGCATCATGTTACGTGTTTCAGGATCGAATTTTTGGATATTGCAGACCTCACTCGGAGAAGACTGAGGAGGTCATGTTGCTCAGAGATGTGAAAAATTACACCAATCCTAACATCGTAGTATTCTGCCCAACTCTGAAAATGACCACCTATACAGAGGAGGACATCAACGAGTACGTGAGGAACGCGTGCACACGTGCCTCGTATCATACTTTGGACAAGTACATGACCGACAGAGTGAAGGTGACGAAAGATGAGTATCCGGATACGTGGGAGAATATTGTCCCGTTTTGGTTCGAGATTGACCAGTCCCTCCAAATGAAAACCACACAAGCAACACGACGTTATAATGTAATTAGTGTAAGTCAAATCATTATTTATAAACTCGCTTAATTTTCTATCAACACATGTCGTTATTGTTATGTGAATAATTTGTAATTGTTTAGGTCGGGACGTCACTTTTGGTCCATTTCCATAATTTGGCCTGTCCAGCACTGGCGGACCAAGTATTTCTGCAGATGAAAGCCATTCATTTTTTGGGGGCGGATTCTCAGTTCTGGGACGAGGTGTTCCAATTCGTCGATAAGAATGGGTTGAAGTTCTTCACTTCTCCGCTGCCTCCCGACTACGACTTCCGTCAGACCCAGTATTTCCCACCAGAAGACAAAATTGTGAAAACCCTGCCTTACAGCTACCAAGGGCATGACGAAGGAGGAGGAATTTACGACGGCGCTACATCAACAACGATATCGATGGCAGGATTTGGGAGTAACACGCACCGAACTCACAAGAAGACGGCTCTGACGGGGTTGGAGCACACGATTGTCCCATTGTTTCAAGAAATTTTGGATGACACGGCCGAGATGGATAAGACCGCTCTCCAGGCTGAATATTTAGGAAGCCTCTCCACCATAATCGCTTCGATGTTAAAGTTGAAGAAAGATGGTCATCACATTCGTCCCATTATTGAGCAGATTGACCAACACTTTAACAGCGTCAAATATCCTGAGTTGCTGGACATGGTATTCGCCATGCGTACCGGTTTGAAACTCAACGTAAACGTGGAACCCTTGCTCATCGTAGACGGGAAACCGGAGATTATTTTTTAAATCTTGTAACCGACTGTATTTGTATTGATTTCGTAATATTGTTGTGATTGTACATTTTCAATATATTCAAATGTACTATATGATCTGTTTTCTAATTGGACCATTATGCAGCATTTGTACATTTCTATGTAATTACTATTTTCTGCTTACATAAATAAATGAATTTCGCAATTCAATATTTACCTTCCAATATCCAACTGAGTCTCGCATGAATTATTTTAAATGCCTTGGATTGCCTTACTTGCATTGCATTTTTTCACATGTCTTAAAAGAAATTGTAGAATTTGGTGCCAAGTACTACGAAGAATTTACTCTAGAATTAGTGAAAAATAGCTTGACTGAACATTCTTACAAACATGGGTTTATTAATCAACTCTTATTCGGACCAGACAAATCCGAGGTGCAATAAATATTAGATCAGCTTCGGCTCATCATTAATTTCTTGTGTTTCCTTTGATTTGCTTTGATACCATTTTCACGAACACTTACTGCTTCACTTTGGCGTCATGGGTGAACAATGTCTCGACCAAGGTATTAACATCGATGGAAAGAAGGTCGGCGAAAATTGGAATTACGAGGAAGTCCATGTTGAAGAAGGAAATTCGATCGTGTAACGTACTTACGATTAATTCTGGGCTAGAGTTTTCAATTGTGTATGAAGATCACAACTTGGGATTGGCACAAGAGGGTGGATTCATTACTGATATTTTGGAACAAGGAGCAAACGATATGAATTTCTTGGTAATTCTTGGTGACTTGTTTGGATAGTAAGAAAATAATTAAGCAAAATTGTAATATGAATTGATTAGAGGGACAATTACTTCGGAATGAGCAATTATTTGAGGATTAACGATACACCGGTGCTCATGACTTTCGGGCCTCAAACGTTGACCGATGGACTTCAATGGGACGCCATATTTGAAGGGGTCGACCCCAAACCGACTTTCCTCACGCTTTGGTACCAGTCACACCAAGGAGGCTCCAGGTAACTTTGTTTACATATTTAATTCTACAAACATACGTGAAACCTCTACTTTAATCGGATCAATTGATAAGGAATATAAATCTGGGCGTCAAGGAAGCTAGCTTATAATTGTTTATTCCTTGCCAATTTCAGCTGTACAGGCGAGTATCCCTGGATTTACTTGGACTTTATCGACGGACTCAATAATTTCTACAACAACCGCCCACTTGAGACTAAATTTGGCGTCGTCTATCCAGGATTCAAGGGATATTACGGGGAGGGAGGTTGGGCTGGTCCAGACTGGACGATTGAACCAGTGGGACCCGAAACTTTCCGTCGAACGGTGGATGCTGCTTGGAATTCAGACGTGGAATGGGTGGTAAGGAATTTTAGTCCAAGATTTCAGGGTGAGTATTAATGATTTCAAATTATTTTGACCTGTAGCAAGTAGCCACCTGGAATGACTACGGAGAGTCCACGGTTATCGAACCAACGCGAGAGTTTGGAAATGAATATTTGAACATTCTCCAAGAGAAGCAGAAGGTCCCGTATGGCAACAGAGAGCTCAACTTGATTAAGGACCTCTATTTGAAGAGACAGCATTATGCGGCTTTGGGAAGGACTGATGTACTGGAAAAGCTGATCCAAGTCAATGACGCCCTTAACGACTTGCAACCCGATTTGGCTGAAAAATTACTCAAGGGTTTTTAAATTTGTGCATGTGTGATAAAAGAGTTTAGTGCATGAGCCATTGGTATCACACAAGAACATGTTACACAAACGAAAAATGTGGCTAAACACGTTACCTTTATAAAACTTGAATATCTGTAAACTCGTGTCGAATAAATTGCTATCTCTGAATGTTTAATCAATCACTGAACGATAAATTTAAACGGTAATAATAAAGGAAGCATTGTGCAGCATAGTTGTTTATGTACATTAAAGTAGTCAGCTCATCGGCACTTCATTTTTTGTCAAATATATACAACATTCTAGACTCTACGAGGCTATCATAAAAAAGGTACGGAAATTCAATCAGGTAAAGAATTGTACAATTTTAATTTATAATTAAATAAAAATATCCCAACAGTCATAAATCGATGTTATGTCTGTACATATGTAGTAGGCTTTTGCAGATTAGTTTTATGCTATCCTATCGTTGACTATGTATATGTACGATACATTTAAGGTATATTCAAATTACACGTGCAAGTATGTATGATAGCTTTTGACACTCATTTTAACCAGTGTGCAAAAATTAATTAGATTACAAAATGTATTCATTGTTTGGCAAGATAATCTCATAATTTATGTATGCAGACGTGCAGTCCTAGTCCTCAAATCCTTCAATATTATCACACCTCATTTCAACTTGACTTCCAAAAGTGACATCTACAGATAAAGATATTTGTGGGCAGTGTCAGCAGTGATGTAAAAGATAATGATGCCATACAATTTCTATAAATAATGGTAAAAATGTATGACATCAGCCCAGATTACTCGAAGCATTTTAATCACCCCCACACAAAATAATCTTCGGTTACGTATCGTTTTAAAATAAAATACAATGCAAATCCGCTGACATGTTGAAAATCCAGAATGATTAATCACAACTAAACCATGGTATTAGAGCCAAGGATAAAATGCAGGTGCTCCAGTCGCCAAAAGGAGGTCTACAGGGCACAAGTTTACCACACTTTTGAATATTCAGGCCCCAATTATAAAATGATCAAATTCGTCCTACTGCTCCTCTTGGGGCTGACCTACACTCCCGCAGAAGGGGCGTGGACGGTCGATCCTCCATATTATGGACAATATTACGCAGGCATGGGAGGTGTCCGTGGGTTATGGGTGGACCCGTCTGGTGATCTCTTGGCAGAAGCACGCGGTCATGTGCACGTCGTTTACGAAGAGGATAATGGCGACGGAACCATTGCCGTCAGACAAGTCGAGATCATCACTGCCGCCGGACTTAATCTGAACCACGGTGTCACCTTCCACGACGGTCATATCTACGCCTCCAGTGCGGTCAGAGTATTCAGGTGGCCTTACACGCCTGGAAGTCGTACAGTTGTTCCAGATTTGTCAGAAATTGTGGTCAATAACATTCCTTCTGGTGGCCATGACACGAGAAGCATGATCTTTGATCCGCAAGGGAGACTCATTGTCACGGTCGGATCTGGTGGAAATGTGGACCAGAACTCTAACCGAGCTCGAATCCGTAGGTGCACTCTGGCAGGACAGCTTCCAATTCAATTTGAAGATTGTGAGGTAATTAGGTTGCAATATTTTTAAATTGAGTTAGTAAACTCTGACTTGTCTAACATATTTATATTTCATAATTTCAGGTTTATATCGACGGACTGAGAAACGAAGTAGGACTCGCGTACGATCTGAACGGAGTTCTACACGGTGTGGGTAATGGGGCTGATCAGGTAGGTATAAATTAATTTATTTAAAAAAATATACATATTTACATCACTATTTTAAAAATGTGTAGCTGAACCGACCCGATATCGGCGGCGATATTCATAACGGTAACCCTGCCGAAGAGTTTAACCGATTTGACCGACCGACCGGACAACATTACGGTTATCCATACTGCTTCTCAACCCACAATTTGGCTGGATACCCGAAAGGCGAACAGTTCGCGTGGCCGTCATTCCTTAACGATGGAATCCACGACGACGCGTGGTGTAGGAACGTGAACAACAACCAACCCCCACTCATCGCCATGCCGGCCCACACCGCCCCTCTGGGTCTTGATTTTTACAAGGGTCAAAATTGCGACGGAGGTAATGGAGCGTTCCCCTGCAGCGTGACTGGTGACGCGTTCGTGGCGTTGCATGGATCGTGGAACAGTGACATCCCCGTCGGGTACAAGGTCGCATGGTATCCGTTCTCCAATGGTGAACCCACCGGTGAAGAGAAGGACATGGTTTACGATCCAGACACCTCTTTTAGAGCTGTGAATGCCGTGTTTAATAATAATGGACATTTATTGGTCAGTGCGGATGGAAATGGGTTCATTATCAAGGTTACCTACGGCATGCCAGCGAAACCAATTCGAAACGATTAAGAATTAAAGTAGTAAATAAACGGAATTTATATATTGTCAGATTCTTGCACTCTTTTTTTCTTATCACTGGTTGTTGAGAATTTACATACGTATTTACAAATTTGTATATACGATCATCATACATACGTTCAATAACATTAAAAAAACTTTACTAAAATTATTCCCCCATGCAGTAAGAAGACATAAATATTCCAAGTAGATTTTGCAATATATTTTGCAATATGTACTTATTTGCATGCATAAATAAATATGCACATGTAATACATAATAATGGTGGCACATTAATTCAAGCAATGGGGTTGTGACTCAACAAACTTTTAAAATATTTTATAAACTTTTGAAAAATTAAGAGACACAGATTTCGTTGTTGCAGGCATCAGGGATTTGTATAAGCTTTGTAAATCTCGTTTACTGTATTCATAAACATTTATTAATTTGCATAGCCTTCTACCTATATCGTCAATTCTGCGTGAATTTCCTGAATTTTACATTTAGTTTTACTTTTGTTGAGATTAAGGGGACCAGGGAACCACACGACTGGATTTGTGATGCAGTTTTGCTATGGGTCACCAACAAAAATAGTTGAATGCTTTATGATTTTAACCAATTATTGTCTTACCTACTAAGGACGCGACGACGAGAATTATCAGTAAGAACTACCTTACCCACCGTTTTGTGTACTTCTATTTTCTGTTAAAATGCACAATGATTATTGACGTATTTAGTTCGGATGTGCGCACTAGGTCGGAAAATCACAAAGACAAATGACTTTTTTTAAACTGTGATAGATATTTATTTGATTTTCAGTGAACTTGCAATGTCCAAGGGTCATAAGGACGCATGATTTATTTGCATATCTATTTATGTACATATGCATGTGTGTATGTCAACATTGTCAACCAATTTATCCATGATTGAATTTTAATTGGACACGACACTCCAAGTACGGAATCAGAATTATCAGATTACTCTGCTGAATAAATAAGTATACATGTGTACATGAAGGTTGCAAATTGCTGGAATCGTAAATCGGGGCCCACTAAATGCCATGAACACAATTTTGATAAAGTGTAAATTTCATCATACTCAAATAATAATTATGTACATTTATTCTGATACGATAACAAAACATAACATTATCTCTGCAAGTGACGCATGATTACAAAAGAAAACCTACAATAAAAGGATGCCTTTTCGCAGTATGGAAGTTATATCAGAACGACACACATTTTCATCAAAATGGCAAAATTAATATACTTCGTTTTTGCGATATTGTCAGTCGTGGGGACAGCAAGGCTTGCTTTAGGACTTAGAACAGAGCATATTTCTACTTCGCCAGGCTACATCGTGGCATGGGAAATTACGGACGCATCGACTAGAAATGCTACCATAACATTTGACCTAACTGTGCAAACGACGGGATTTGTTGGGTTTGGAATTTCCAAAAATGGCGGAATGGGCGGGGCTGATATCGTGATCGGGGGCGTCTTTCCAAATGGAACGGCATATTTTTCAGTGAGAAAAATTTTCAGCTATCCAATTTTCTGCTATTTCTGTCTAATTTGAATCACTAGTTACTATACGTACAGTATTTATTTAAACAATTATAATAAATAATTAAACCCTAAAATTTCTATCAGGACCGATACGCTCCTGGCAATGGATTTCCCCCAGTGGACACATCCCAGGACTGGGTTCTTCACTCAGCATTAGAAAACGACACGCACACTGTCCTCCGCGTATCTCGTTTGTTGGACACTTGCGACCTGGAAGGAGACGTTGTTATTACAAGAGACACCTTCCGTTACATCTGGTCAATTGGCGCCACTGACGATATCGAATACCACGGATCCGACAATAGGGGATCATATGCCGTCAACATCTTGGCAGATGCTTACCCCGACGTCGACTTGTCATTGTTAGTGAAAACATTTACCCCAAATTAATTCAAATTATTTATAAATTTCTGATCATTTAAGGTTTGACACTTTCGACGCCATAACAAATATTACATTGCCGTCGAAGGATACGACGTATTGGTGCACGGTCCATAGATCACCGGTTTTTAATGGAAAACAACATGCTGTTGCAGTATGTAAACCTTTCTTATATATTCAAATTTCCCAGGTCTTACATAATGCATTCCTAAAAATATGCTAGTTTGGACCTGTGTTGCTGGGACCGGCGTCGAAACATTCTCACCACTTGAGCTTGTACTCTTGCACCCCACCCGAGGGCGAAGATCCAGTGGAATTCTTTGAAAAATACATCACACAAGGCGGCATCGACTGCTTGGAACCTGAACCTGGTTCAATTTCCGCGTACCGGTATTGTACCGAATTGGTGTACACCTTCACCATTGGAGGAAGGGTAAATATCTTCACGTATTATTGCTGCAATTTAAATTAGAAAGCCGTGCGAATCTGTATTTTTCATGACAGATTATGCACATGCCAGAAGGAGTCGGATTTCCGATTGGAGAAGATACTAACATGTATTACCTAATGGAGAGTCACTTTGACAATCCTGACCAACTTTCGGACGTTACGTTTGAAACTGGAGTGAGAATTTACCACACGTCTGATTTGAGGTATGTACATATTTATGTAATACATATGTACAAAGAAATTCTCGTTATTGTGCACCCAATTACATAAACGTGGTCTGTTAAAATGCCATTTTTCCATAGACCCATTGAAGCTGGAGTTATGAGAATTGGACAAATGTACGATTACAACTTTGTAATCCCACCATCCTCCACGAATTACGTGGTCGTGGGTCACTGCAGCTCGAATTGCACGTCTCAATGGGTTCCTGCCGAGGGTGTCGATATTTTTAATGTCATGCTGCACTCCCATGCATATGGTAATTAGATGAATAAAAAATTTCTCAGGGAAATTTCAAATCAATTTCATATTACAGGTACCAAAATGAAGGTCCGCCAATTCCGGAATGGGACGGAACAACCGTGGGTGCTAAATGATGACAATTACGATAACGACTATCAGGATAATCGGAACATTCCTCTTGTAAAATTCATGCCAGGAGATCAAATGGCTATAGGTTCAATTATAAATATTAAAGAAATCTTCAAATTTTCGAGATGTAGAGAAATATAATTTTATGCAGAGTGTCACTACGATAACTCAATGTTGTCACCTCCTTCCGGTGTTTTGGGTGGATTTGGGACGCGACGAGAAATGTGTGAAGTTGTTTACTACTATTACCCGAAGATGGGATTGGAAAACTGCCGGAGTAATATTTTGAAGCAGAATATTCTCAACTTTTTTGGAGTTTCGGTTGAGGAAATGTAAGCCTAATCCTAATTTTGAGCGAGTGACATCCTCTTAAAAACTTAACTTCCTAATTATTTGAGTTAAACGTCTATATTTTTCTCAATTCCTGATTAAAATACAAAATCTGGAATTTTTTATAGTTTTTAAAAAGTTTTTTTTTTCATTTGAACCGTTTTGCAGCGATGACTCTCTCACAAATCCAATCATCACAGCTCCGCCGCCTTTGGCTGGACTTCGTTTCCTGGAATATATTAATCTGATCGTGTGGAACGACGTGGTTCGTGGCCAGTTGGAACAATTGATGCGCTACTCACTGCACGAGGAGCAATGTGGTGGCGATGGCTTCCAAAAAATGGCTCAAGAAGAAACATATTACGTTACATATCCCGAAATAGTGGAAGAATATGTGCCACCGAATTCCGAGTGTCCAACCCAGAATTAATTTCCCAATTTATTAAAGTCCAAAATGAATATTTGGAATCGAGTTAAATTTGTGAATTGAATAAACTAAATTATTCATTGCAATTATTAATTAACTGACATCATTAACAATTTTGATTCGGTTCATGATGAGCATACTTATCTAGAAGAAATTATAGGTTTTAAATTTTGAATCGCTCATACATAGTGTTACATACTTATATCATACGAAGTTAATATTTATTATTGGTATTTCTTAAATATGTAATAAAGGGCCATATTTCTTTAATATTGGTATCAATCTATAACTAATTTAAAAAATCTACATATGTAACGAATCATAAGAGACATTTTACAAATGAGATCTTGCGAAATTTTTGACGAATGACTCATTGAAATTGTTTGCCTTAAAACCATGTCTACTTTCGTGTCATACGATCAATATGACTTCTGTTTATTTTCTTTAATTGTTAACTGAGTTAAGAAGCAAAACGACATAGCGTAACACGACCATGCACACATACCCGAGCGATATGTGATAAGTATATCTGTAATTTGATGCAAACGTTACTAATGAAAATTGCATGGAAAGAACATCTACCAATCAAAATCATGTCTAAATGTCAACATCTTTTATGGTTTTATGGTGGCCGTGCATAAAGCAGGTAGCCATTGTTTTTCGAAATTTATTCATAGCTTGAACTTGTCAAGTAGGTATTTTCGGATCAATGGAATAAATAACAAGAAAATATGATCAAGTACAAATTTCTCCAAAATCTCGCATGAATGGCTTTTTTTCTCTGCATTATTTTAATTTTCAACCCTTTGCCGATGAAATGAATTTTTCCTGTCACAAGATCATATTATTCATGCATGTTATAGGACTACACTCGAATATTGAGCCGTAAAAGTGACTTCAAATTCTAAAGTCCAACTTATAATTGCCCATCCAGGCTAGACATACTCGTCACTCGTGCCATGTACCTATGTACTTAAAAGGATCATATTTCGTTATTCACTTGACAGAATGGATAGAGCATCCTATCCTGCCTTTCATTTACAATATTTTCACTCGTTCGTTAAAAAATACGTATTTCATTTAGTTGTACCTTCTCAGGATCAGAGAGATATTAGTTCCCATCCCAAATATATGCGCACGTCATTCTGATTCTCTTGAGTGCTGAAAGTATAAGAAAATATTACCTGGAAATTCGATTAAGTCTTGAATAGCGTAAGTACAGCATTGATAATGCGTGCTATTGATTACCAAATTTGCGAAGCTTTGGTGTATTTATAAATTTGCATTTTTTACAAAATTATGGAGGAGTTTTGCCCTGCTTATTTTAGTGTAGCTGGCTACTCTTCATTATTATTTATGTACATTCAATTCATAATGCAAATTCTTCGTGATTCTTATTAATAGATTGTAAAATTTAAAATGCAATTTTAGAAATTTCCTGCCAACCTGCAAAAATGTTGACCCGTCACTTGGGAAATATCGGAATTCTTCTTATGGCGACCATAATCAGCGCAAGCAGTCTACGAACTACAAACGAAGGAGCTTCCGTTGTTTATGGTGGAAGATGCGAAAAACACTTCGAATGCATGGAAACTCACTTTTGCGACGATAAAAAGCGGATTTGCAACTGTCAATCAGCCGAGAACACGCTGACCATGATCTTCAACGAGGAAAGTCGTAAATGTGAGAGCATTGTTGGTTCAGTCTGCACAATTGAGAGTGGACCTGGTGGATTAAATTGGACGTGCGTCAAGGATGCTCAATGCAAATGGTCAACCGACCTTCCAGACACGTTGGGGATTTGTACATGTGTAAGAGGACGTTTTGAGAAAAATGGATTTTGTGTAAACGACGATGACGATAAAGTAAGACAAAATGACGATAATGACGCTAAGGTAAACCGAAATGATGAAAATGATGATAAGCTTATCGATAGTAACGACATTTATCAAGCAGTCAGGGCTCGTCAAAGTTTAAAGGGTGCTAGAGCTCCTTGGAACTGGTCCTCTGCTAAAATCGTCACATCCGACTTCATCATCATCATGGCCAATTTGCTAGTCTTAGCATGCTCATATCTCGCGTGCAATTAGTGCACGATATTCCATTTATTGCGAAATTAATATTTTTCGCTTGAATCATATTTTAAGAGATGACGGATGCTTAAGAATGTATTTCCTAACTATATACATCTTTTGCACTGGCTTGTAATTTTTAAGTTTTTTGGTTTGTGTCAAAAATTGTCAAAAAAATGCTTTGAATTTATTTGACTTAAAATAGATAGCATAATTAATGGATCTTCCCATATGTGTATCTAACTATTACACTCAAGGAAGTATTTCGTGTTGTATATGAAATTAACTAATCGCATCTTCAGATGCATGAACACATCAATTATATGACAACATACGTAGTTGACTAGTTTTATGAAATTTCAAATTGTGAATTACACATTAAATATTTACTAATGTATAATTAGTACATATAAACATAATTTTAAAAATTCGTACATTTATTTTCTTCAACAAATTGCTGTACATATGTAGTTATTATTTCTATTGCTGCCAATAAAAATTTATCAAGTTAATGTGTATGAAAGCCTACCATTTGACGTGATCATCCCATACTCTGAGATATATGTATTTAATAACTCTCAATCGTACATATGCATAAAAATATACATATTTACTATTGCAAAAATGATTAATATCCAATTTAATTAGTGCCTAATTCGTCATTCTTACTTATCCAGAGCTAACCAAACTATCACGTTAATACACCAAATACTTGGTAAATATTGCTGTGACATTTGCACCGAACTAGCGCCTGTCAAAATGCGGATCCAAATTAAGAGTGCGACCTTTTCCGTAGGAGGGATAGAAGATCAAACACGGTCTTAAATTCTCATGAGAAATCTCATTCCCTGAAATGGATACTCTTTCTCAAAGAAGCAAATTATTTACGCTGATGTTGGTTCAAGTCTTTACCATCAACAGCAACCCAGCAACTTAAATAATTTGGGCCAGCAGACGACCCCATCAAAATATTCATTAATGTGGCCTGTGAAACATGAATCCATTTCCTTCCTTCCCTGTCAAAGAGCTTGTTTGCTTTCTCCTCCGGTTTGTCACCGTGGTTTGGTTTCTCTCGTCAGCAACGTCGTCTCACGTCCTCTGCAAATACCTCGCCAGGTTTGATCTTGATATTGCACACTTCAAAATCTACCATTAGATTCTTTTCAGTTCAAAGTGCACATCAGCCTCTTAATGACTAGTCAAATATTGGTTCATGACTAGACACAACAAAACAGTGGTGGTGGGAGGGCATCGCTATAATTCACCACTTACCGCAACAAAGGCTGCTGGAAATCAGGGAATGAATTGCATGGAACATCTTTTTCCTAAATTAAGAAAAGTGGTTGATTGATTTTGAAATGATTGAGAAAAGTATCAAGATCAAAAAAAGAAAGAAATTACCAAGAGTTTTGCCAATTCGAAATTCTTACTCGTGTCTGTTCACAACTGGAAATTAAATTGCAAGTCACGTTCTCCTCATAATTTAAAAAGTGTGTATCTTTATGACCCATCCAATAACACGGTATTTATTGGGTGCATGGTATCGTTTTTGTCGAAATAGTATGCGTACACACAGCACAATATCATCTTCCGCATTCGAATGCGAACTGTGTCTGCTTTCCCCAGATGAAATTTACTTTTTGTTCTCTTCCTCGTACCTAGTTTACGAGGGGGGCATGAGAAGAGAAAAATTTTGGAAATTATTGGTAGTGGAGTCAAGGGGGAAATATTCTCTGGGAACGTTGCGAGATGTCCATTGTTCCGTCTATGTAGTTGTACTCGTGTATCTGTATACAGTCGTAAAGATAATCGTGCATCATGCCTCTCTCTCCGTTGTGTTTCTCCACTTTCCCTCCGCACACGGGTTGCTCTAGGTCTGAATATTTCCCACGATAAGAGAAGATGAAACGATACGATACGGTCCGTAGTATTTGATACAATTCGGGGCTGCTGGTTGTTGCTTTGTTGTTCTGGAGAGGGAAACCAGTGTGCAGGAGAAAGTAACCCTGGGCCATGACCACATTAAAAGTTACTGTGCTCCCCACACCACCACTTTCTCCTCACCTTGAGTCCTTTTACTCAAAAATATTATAAATGAACACGACAACCGAATAATGAGTTTATTTATACATTCCGCTCCTTTTTTATCCAGGGGAAAAATTTGGTTTCATATTTTCAGGAAAAATGCAGTGTTATAGCGTTTAAAAATAAAATGGAGACAAAGCTCGAGAGCCATGTCTTGTGTTCCAGGTTGTTGTCGTTGTAGGTGCAAGTTGTCCTTCTTCTTTCGGTCACGATGCAATGCAACAAAGAGCGTGTAGCCGTTCCTTGTATCTATCTTTGCTTACTTAATTATCAAGCAACGGAAGGAGCTGAACACGAAGAGACGCAGTTTCGCTGGAAAAGGAGAACAACTGCCCCGAGGTGAATAATACTGCAGCTTTATGTACTGTTCCGCGTTGTGTGTATGAGTATACAGCATGAATAAGAAGATGTATACGTTGCATGACTAGCTGGTCCGTTTATTTATTTATTATTCGCTCTCTCCCGGTATTTAATTAACTCTGGGCGTCTTTACTTCCGGACAACGCCACGAACCGACCGGGACACCAACCCAGAAACTGAACTGCAGATATTTTGAGAAACGCTCAATTCAATCGCTTTCAAAGAGAAGGATACATTATTACGTGATGCGTTTCGGAAAAGGAAAGAAAAAGAAAGTTCATATGCTTAATTTCTCACCGAAAAAAAAATCTGGCGAGTAGTTCAGGCTGACAATGCCATCTTTTTCGTATATTTATCTGTATATATTGTTACGTTATCCTGAGAGAGAAATGAACTGTGCTTGTAAATACATAGAAGTTGGAGGGGGCCAGATTTTGATGGGTATTTCAGATCAATTGTAGACTAGGATGACAAGTTTATGATTATTTTATACGAGCAATGTGATTGTTAAGCTACTCGAGTATTTATGTTCAGTTCGGTACCTATGTCCTATCCTCGTCAAAACTTTCTTGTCAGTAAA